ATATGTTGAATACATCAACATGATTACAGATAGATGCCAACAAAAGCAATGACTGGTCAAGATTTAATGACATTGCATATCGTATTGTTGACTGTTCTTGTCGACTGAGCTACTTGTGTAGTTCTATTACAGCAATTTAGTTGATTGTTGCAACGCAATAAGCTTTCAAACGGATAAACCAATATTTTGTGTAAAAGGTCAATGATGACGCAAACAATGATTGATTCAATCAGGCAGATTTGATTTGATTTGATTAAATGCAAAACAGATACAGATATGATGGCAGTCATGTAACATTCAGTGGATATTGCATTTACTAATCATGATGCAGATCTGGTTTGGATCCGGTATGTGGTATTCAAGTTTATTTGAAACACTCGAGATTTCAACTAACCAGTCAAGTATTAAAGCAATTACAGATTCAAAAGGGTTTATTTTTATATAGTATTGCCAAGTAAAATATAAACTAATCATATGCATAGATCTCCAAAATAGAGTAGTTACAAACACATTTTGAATCAAGAGTAAATGTAAAGCTGCAAGAGTGCAAAATTAAAAAAGATACTGCAGATATAAGACTTGATAAAATATGCCAGGAAAAATTCAGCAATAGTAATCCATGCAAGGTTTAAGACAGTAAAACATGGTGACCGTTTAAAAGCCACAGCTGCATCTAAATCCACATTCGCAGCCATATCCCTATGCAGATTCGTGAAATGAGAAAAAGTATTTTGAAATTCACCAGTAATGAGAGTCAAAAAATGATCAACAATATAGCCAATCAATACGTTGAATGCCAAAGAATACCCATCCATATAACTCAAGAATAACTCACCGATCCCTTGCAATCACAATGGATGGAGTGACGAATACTTTTTTGAAACAAAAGGTGCGACATGTTAGTATCTTGCAAATCCCTGTCGTTATCTCTTATCACACATTTCGAATCTAAATTCTGCCAGAACAGCGGATCGCTGGTCATCCTATTTCGACGCAACAGTCCATTCACAGAGTTTACCATTGTCATAGTAGGGCTGGGTACGGAAGAATGGCTTTTTGAGTGCATATCATGATCGCTATTTTGAATCCTATAATATGATTCAGGTTCAAAGATCATGCCATAATTGCATCCATTATCAATATCAGAGAAAGATCCCATAATATTGTTTCCGCCATTGCTGTTATCGCTCACATTGCCCTCGGCATTTCTTTCAGCAGAAACCAAGTTGGAACAAGAGGTATCTTGATTATGAGTATCCAGATAAATAGATCTAGCCAAGCGATGCATCATAGCATTGTGACGCTCACGACGCTTGCATTGCAAACATTTAAAGGTAGAGGTTGTAGAAGCACCAACACAGGCACAAGGGGAACTGGATCTGGAAAGAGAGTGCATACACGCGAAGAGAAAAGTATCAAGATCAAATAAAACAGTAGTTCAAAGTAAAAGTAGCTTAACAACTGTAAGAGTATTAACTTGAACCAAAAACAATATAACTCGGGGAATTGGAAAACAATGCCTTTATAAAGTCCAATTTCCGGTGAGAAATTAAATAATCACATCGTCTAAAAGCCTAAGTTCCAAAGATGAGTCAGCATAAAGTTTAATACTGACTCAACGGTCCGTAGTTTTTGTTCGTTTTGCTGGCCGTGGTGAGTCATTAAAAAATGGAGATTGAATCTGGACAAGTTTGTTTTGCATGGCTGATGTGGTCTTGACTCCAATGCGAGGACACAAGTGAGATACTGGACATTCGGTGCATTTTGGTCCAACAGGCAAACACAAGGTTTGTCCAAACCCAACAAGTAGTTTGTTGATTTCGTTCCAATACTGTCTAGGCAACCACTCTTCCAGTTCCTAATTTTAAAACCAAGTTAGTCATAATGATCAAATACACTATGACACTGTTTTCGCACAGGGTTCAAGTTTCCATGCAATGTGAGGTAAGATTATCTCAATGAACGATCTCGGTCACTGATTACAATACAATGAAGCATCAAGTGCCCGACCTGTAATCCTGAATCATAGTTATACACTGACCTTTCTGGAGTGCTCCGGGGTCTTGAGATACTTTGTCCATCCAATACGGTGGGAAATGCGATGTACGTGCGTATCTACGCCTATTCCCACCGTCTGGTTCCAGGCCTCTTGCATTGCAAGATGTGCCATTTTAGGTCCGATTCCAGGCAATGACATTAATCCAGAAAGTGTATCAGGTATATCGCTGTTATATTGAGTTTTTAATATTTCTGCTGTTTGTTTCATATACCTAGTTTAGTGGATTGAAGCAGTAAATTAATTAAACCAGATTTGCATTTATATTTTTAAAATACAAGATACTAAACAGTCAATTACAATGCTTTGCGGTTATGGAATCCCACTTTGCTAATATAGCCATCAAGCGTTTTGGGATCCATTGCTAGAATACTTTCTACAGTCAAACCACCTGGCTCATGAGATTTAAGATTAGCGATCGCACCTGCGGTAACAGCATCCTTGGTTTGTGAAGATAATTGTAATGCTGTCAATGTCTGATATCGATAGATCTACAAGTTTGAAACTCTCAGTATCAGATGCAATCAAGATGCAATGCAGTCACTATGATTCTGTTTGGAAATGATAATCATGCGATATACCTTTGGATCAGTCTTATCGCCCAGCATAGCACATCCGACAACATCTACTGGAGCAACATGGTCCTGTCTGTAAGCCTTGATTCCATGATATAGCTCACGCCATTTAGCAGGACTGTTATCTTTTGACGAATGTTCCATTTTAACTACGCTATCGACATTGGATGAATAATTGATATTGTTCAAGGCATGGATACTGGATTGATCCTCGTATTCTTGCTTGATGGATGTTTCAATGAAGCTGGATGATTCAGGTAATGTATCATTTTTAGTATGTTCGATTTTAACCTGATCATTGATGAGTTCTGAAGGTTTAGAATGAATACTATTGCTGGAATGACTAATCAGAGTATGTGGTCGCTTAATGTGTTTTGCTCGAACTGACGGCACTCTCATTGCTTGATATTCGAGTTGATAATCAATACCAAGACAAAATCATTTCCATTTGAATATTCGATATTGTCGTCCAATATTGCTTGTAATTCAATTTATAGCCGCACTCACATAAAATGAACATTTTTATTCAACAATCATCAGTGTGCCATGATGGCTTCAATGTCGGCAATTTCCTTGGGAATCCATCCAGTCAAGTTCTCAATGCCATTTTCAAGAATAACCACATCGTCTTCAATACGAACACCACCAACATGCTTACGGAAACGCTCAACGACTGGAACATTGAGATATTTGCTGATATTAGGATCGGCTATAAAAATGATTAGTTAAAAAAAACTCGCTAACAACAGTGCAGAGCCCTGTAACAATCAGATATGCAACTTTTCAAGATTCTTACAAAGTGCTGGATTGAGAATAGCGTCAACAAAGTACATGCCCGGCTCAACAGTCACCACCATTCCGGGCTGAAGAACACGGCGCATACGAAGGTACTTGATACCAGGTTCTTGGATGCGCGGAACACCAGCGGGATAGCCGGCAGGGTCGTGAACATCGATACCGATTAAATGGCCAAGACCATGGGGGAAAAAAAGAGCAGCAATATGGTTTTTAGTGAGATCTTCCTCGGAGCCCTGTACTAAACCAGCAGCAACAAGTCCCTTGAGAATGGTGCGATTAGCAAGGCGATGCATGTCTTCCCATTCCACGCCAGCTTTGAGAGCATTGAGCACGGCCTAGTAAAATACAAGTATGGATGACTCCAAGTTGTGGTCATGGCTGACTATCAACAAGAAATATGAATATAGCAAATCAAGAAGCAAACCTTTTGAGCATCGAGAACAATCTCATAGGTGGTTTTGAAATCTCCAACAAACTTGCCGCCTAAAGGAAACACACGAGTAATATCGGCAGCATACATGTTGTATTCACAGCCAGCATCCACGAGGAGCATCTGATTGGGATCTGCATGCATCTTTTCGTCATTTTTGACATAGTGTAGCACAGATCCGTTGCGTCCTACTGCAACAATGGGCTCATATGCTTGAAATGGAGCACCGTTCTTGAAGCAAGTGTACTCGAAAAGAGCATGAAGTTCTTGTTCGCTCCCCTGTCCAGGGCAAACAGCCTTCATAAGAGCGATATGCGCTTCGCTGATCAAGACAGTTTAAAAATCAGCGGTTAGATTTGGTTGTGCTAGCTGAATGTTGAACAGCTAGAGATTGTTGCTTACCCACTGATTTGAGCAGCCTTGCGCATACACTCCAACTCAGCTTCAGATTTAATCATACGGGCTTCATGGATGGCAGTGGCAAGATACTCGGTACATTCCTTTTCGGCATGAACATTGGCGGCAATAGCATCAGAACTTGATTGCAGGAGCTCTCCAGATGCAATCACATGAATGGTATCAGCAATAGAGAGAGCATCTGCTAGTTTGTCTTCAGTCAGAACTCGGTCAACTTGATACTTTGCCTGGATTTGAGCAGCAGTGGGAGGAGTACCCATCCACAGAGCATGATCGTCACTGTACTTTGGAATGAACATGCACGTCTGTCTAGAAGCCAGATCCACAGTAAAATGGAAGCCTGGTTCTTGAGTGCCAGTCATGTAGCTAAATCATGCAGTAGCAGTATTGAGTGATTTGTTAGTATGTATTGGTCGATTCATGACCTGCGGCTTAGTTACAGCTTACAAAAAGTTGGACTCTTGACGGAAGCGGTTATCAACGTCCGTGCCTTTACGAACGGTAATGTCATTGCCTTTGAGGTAAAGTATGCCGGATCGACCAGCAAGACTAGCGATAACCTTTGCTCTGTTGACAGCAGCGAGTTTAGCCACACACACAGACATTTTGTAATTATTGACTGGAATGGTAATTGGCAGATTTAGTTTCATAACTGAGATCCCTGATGCTCAAATTCACATTTGTTGGTAATCAACTCTGGTGTTCTCGTGAATATATTGCAACTCGGCTATTCAAGCCATCCAACAATTCCATCGGGTTTGAATATTTCAACCAACATTTATCCTTAAATACAGATCAATTCCATTGGAATGCTCGGATAATTAGAATCCGTTCATGCTTGAAATCAGATGCATAGAGTAAAACAATACTCGACTCATCAAGGTACAATCATACAAAAATATTCATGAGTTTAGAATGTCATGTTTGCTGGATCAAAAGCATGATTTAACTTGCCAAGGCTGAAAGCATTGCATCATTCTATGCTGAATATCCCTTTTGCTATAATCTCCCTGTAATGCAAAAAAAGCATTCAACACTCAATGCGGATAATTTTTAATGGAAAATAAGACGAGCTAACTATCAATGTACTACTTTATCCGCACATTATAAATATTCTGCTTCGTATTTATGTCAAAAGAATATAAATACGGCCTATATTCTACCCATTTACTGCATATTATCATTGTCTACATTTACCCACATAGGGCCTGTTTGCTGTAAACTCCGTCAACCTTTAACAATTAACTTACTTGAGCAACGTACCTGCAATTTACTCGGTCTTTGGTACTTGAAATCATTAGCTTTTTGATAGACTCGCATTCATGGAACCGACAGCAGCAAATCCATCGCCAGAATACCGCTTGAACGTCTTTATACGATGGACATATGGATGGATTAGTCCATTATTAAAAAATGGATACAAGCACCCGCTCCAACAAAAAGAACTTTGGGATTTGGATGCTCACCTTCAAGCTAAAAACATTAATGCAACGTTCGACGCCGCATGGCAGAAAGAATTACAGCGTCCCAATGTCAAATCATCGCCATCTATACGACTTCTTCGAGTACTGTTTGCTGCATTTGGCAAAGACCTTGTTCGCAGTGCTGGGGATATGGGTGTAACCAGCATTTTATCTGTTGGATCGTCTGTTCTTTTATTGTATATGATTACGTGGATTCAAGATACTCAAGCTGGAGTTGCTACATTTGGAGACTGGTTTGGCTATGTCATGGCAATATCCATCTTTTTGGCCCAGTTATTTACAACATTTGCTGATAATTGGCAGCTTGAGCTTACAACTAAAACCGGATACAACATCAAAACATCACTGATTGCAGCACTCTACAAAAAATCATTGGTTCTTTCAGGAAAATCCCGTCTAAAATACTCTATTGGAATGATTACAAATATCATTGCTACTGGTAAGTATTTAAGATTTTAATAGTGCACATGTCTGATGGTCATCTACTTTTAGTAAACTAATAATCCCGCAAATATCATTGTAGACACGAATCGAGTTGATATAGCTTGCCAATACTTGAACATGGGATGGGGTGCTCCATTCCAGATTACTATGGCTACTGCTCTTCTTATATGGACAATTGGTCCATCGGCTCTCGTTGGTCTTGCTGTCATGTTGCTCTACATTCCAGCTCAATCTAAAATCACTAGCATGCTGACATCCTCTCGACGCAAGGCCAATGTAGATGCTGACAGAAGAATTAAACTTATACAAGAAACGCTTCTTGGAATTCGTGTCATCAAGATTTACTCGTGGGAAGAGAGCTTTGAAAAAGTATTGTCCGACATCAGAACGATTGAACTCAAGCATATTTATGGCTTTCTGCTATCTCGTGCAATCATCGCTGGTATAACACAGGCAGTTCCTACATTTTCCATGATTGCCAGTTTTGTTTGCTTTTCGCTACTCGGCAATGAGCTTAACCCTGCCAAAGTGTTTGCCTCACTGTCTCTGTTTTATTCTTTCCGATTTGCCTTGATGTTTACTCCGTTGGTTATTTCCCAGGTATGTAAATCAAAGTTACTTTTGATTGTATGTGTTCTTGTTTTGATCTATTGACACTTTGTATCCTGGAATTATTTGGAAAATTTAGGTTACTGATGCGTGGATTGCAATTGGACGGATTGGTGCGCTTTTGCTTGCTGATGAACTAGACAATGCTCCTAAAATGCTACCATTATCGCCTGAGAGTGCTGAACCAGCTATTGATATCGATGACGCTACGTTTGAATGGGATCAAGCTGAAGTAAGCAAAGAAGACTCAGTCAATAGCCCCACACGCTCTTTTGAAAAGACGTTCAAACTTGACAAGCTCAATATCAAAATTCCTCAAGGTAAACTTATTGCAGTCGTGGGAACTGTTGGCTCTGGAAAATCTTCGTTCCTCAATGCTCTTGTCGGCGAAATGCGCAAAGTGTCTGGTGATGTGACATTCCGAGGCACAGTCGGATACTGCCAGCAACACGCATGGATTCAGAATGCCACAGTAAAGGAAAATATATTGTTTGGTATGCCATACAATGCTGCCAAGTACAAGTCTGTCATTCATTCGTGTGCCCTTGAAAGTGATTTTGCAATTCTGTCTTCAGGAGATTCAACCGAGATTGGTGAACGTGGTATCAATTTGTCTGGTGGACAGAAGCAGCGCATCAGTATTGCCAGAGCAGTTTATTTTGATCCGGATATTGTCTTGTTTGACGATCCGCTTTCGGCCGTTGATTCGCATGTTGGACGATTTTTGTTTGAAGAATGTATTCTGAAAACACTAGATGGAAAAACACGAGTACTTGTTACTCACCAGCTTCATTTTTTGCCCCGAGTGGATTACATTTTAATGATGGACCATGGACGCATTGTTGCACAAGGCACATTTGACGAATTGTTCAAAACAAATCTTGCGTTTTCAGCGCTCATGCAAGAGTATGGCGGTCTTGATGACAAATTGGATGAAGAAGTTGAAAAGCCCAAATTGGCGGAAAACTCAATCAAAAATGCTGTTGTCAGGAAAAACTCGGATACCTTGGCAAAGTCTGAATCTATTAAAAAGAGCATCAATGAGCCGCCTCCAGACGGCCATCTCATGACAGTAGAAGAGCGCAACACAGGACTTGTTGATACTCGTTTTTACATGTCATATCTCAAAATGGCTGGTGGAATGACGGCTGCATTCACAATCTTAATTGTTCTTATTTTATCTCAAGTACTCCGAGTTATGACGGATCAATGGCTTGCATACTGGTCTTCAAATCGTTTCCATTTACATCGTGATACTTACATTGGAACCTATGTTGGCCTGGGTGCGGTTCAGGTTATTACTAGTGTTTCCTATGGTGCCATTGTGTCATATTTTGGAGCAATAGCCTCGAAACAGATTCACGAACATGCTCTTTCCGGTGTGTTTCGATCACCTATTTCGTTTTTTGATTCTACACCATTGGGACGTATTACTTCTAGATTTAGCAGAGACGTGGATGGCGTGGACAGCACTTTGCCAGATTCAATTCGAGTAGTAGTTCAGTGCTTGACAATGACCTTGTCCAACTTTGTGCTAATATCAGTCGTATTTCCATATTTCCTTATCCCACTCGCACCCATACTTGTTGGATTTTATTTATTGCAAGCATACTACCGTTCCACTGCCCGTGAACTGAAGCGACTGGACTCTGTATCTAGGTCTCCATTGATTGCCAATGTGTCTGAAACCTTGACAGGATTAGCCACAATTCGTGCATATAATTCTACCTCACGATTTGTAAACAAGACATATACGTTGATAGATGATTGTAACCGCAACTACTATCCATCTATCATGATTCAACGGTGGATTCAACTTCGCTTGGAAAGCTTAAATGCCATTTTGGTTCTTATGGCAGCGATATTTGCAGTGATTCAGAAATCACATATTGGTGCAGGGGTTGCAGGGTTAGTTGTTGCCTATGCGATTCAAGTTACTTCTGTGCTTAACTGGAGTGTGAAGCGTGCAACCGAGACTGAGTTGAGCATGAATTCGGCTGAGAGATTAATCCATTATGCCGAGGAACTGACTCCTGAAGCACCCGATGTTGTCACCAAGGATACACCTGGTGCCATTTTGGATCTACCTGCTTCGTGGCCACAGACTGGTCATATCAATATCGATCAAGTTGTATTAAGATACAGAAAAGATCTACCTCCCGTGCTGCATGGTGTGTCATTTGTTGTTCATCCTGGACAAAAAGTTGGAATTGTTGGAAGAACAGGCGCAGGAAAGTCAAGTATTATGTCGAGTATTTTGCGACTGTTTGAAATCGAGTCTGGATCTGTTATTATCGATGGTGTAGATGTCAAGCACATTGGACTGCGCGATCTTCGTCGTCGAATTGGTGTAATTCCACAAGAGCCTGTTTTGTTTTCAGGCACCGTCAGATCAAATTTGGATCCGTTTAGTCAATACCAAGATTCAGAGTTGTGGAGTGCGCTTGAGCGTGCTAATCTCAAACCAACAGTTGCAGAAGCTTCAGGTGGACTAGACTCTGTGGTGACTGAAAACGGTGATAATTGGTCGACGGGTCAACGCCAACTCATTTGTCTTGCACGGGCAATGCTCAAGAATGCCAAGATTATTATGCTGGACGAAGCCACAGCATCTGTTGATATGGCTACGGATGACTTTATCCAAAAGGCGATTCGCAAAGACTTTGCATCAACAACAACAGTATTGACAATTGCGCATCGACTCAACACTATTGCAGACTATGATATGATTCTAGTACTGGGTTCAGGCAGAGTGATCGAGTTTGATAGTCCCAGAAATCTACTGGCAAATCCAAACAGCCATTTCTTTGGAATGGTTGCCGAAACAGGACCAGTCAATGCAGATCTAATTCACAGTTTGGCCAATGGCAAATCATTGAATTCTGTCGTTGCCTAAACTCACAGAACCTGACTTTGGTTCTGCCTGTAATATTGTTTTTGAATAATAGAGCTGATGTTTTATTGTTGGCAACCTTACAAAATCAAAACACAAATAAAAAGTTTAAACCAGAAAAATATTTAACAATAGACATGATGTCGATTCAATATGTTTTACAACCCAGACTCGGGAAGCATCCAACCCAGCTTCTCCCATCCATCATAGTCGCCAGATTGAATTTGGCGGTACACCTTGAGCATAGATCCAAACCCAGAAAAATCACTGTCAATCTTTATACTTTCGATTTGCAAAGCCACGGTCTTGGATGTATCATCCCATAGTGCATCCAGCTCAGTTTCGTTGGAACACCTTTTGATTTCTGCTTCATGCTCAACTGTGTTTATAGGAACCTCTCGATCAATGATGCCAATAGGTGTGATCACAACTGCCGTACCACAGGCTGCCACTTCATCAAAATCACCTTGTTTTAGCTGCTCCCAAGATATATTACGACGCTCAACTGACCACCCAAATATCTTGACTGCTATTTCCGACAAGGATCGGTTAGTAATTGATCCAAGAATACTAGTGGATCGAGGAGTGACATATGTTCTCTTTCCACAAGCATCTGCCTTGGTTAATGCTACAAAGTTTGATGTAGCAAACTCTTCAATGTACTGTCGAGTCTTGGCATCCATGAATAAATTCAGTGTGTAGCCATCTTTTTTAGCTTGAGCAGTTGGACCCATGCAAGGAGCATAATTGCCACCAGCCTTGATATGTCCAGTGCCATTTGGTGCAGCCCGATCAAATCCGTACTGAACAATAGTCTTGACAGGATGATTGAACCCGTTAGCATAGTAATCACCTACAGGATTCACTTGAACAATAAACTTGAACTCTTTAGGTGGTGATGGAGCAATGTTGGCTCCAGATCCAATCACGTATGGACGGATGTAGAGCGATCCGCTGTGGCCATAGGGAGGAACCAAGTCAAGGTTGTCTTGAATAACTCTGTTGATTGCTTCAAGAAAGAGATCGGTGGGTGGTGCAGCCATGGACAGTGCATGACAAGAGAGTTGCATGCGAGCAGCATTTAGATTGGGTCTGAATACTCGAATCTATGCAATGCGATAAAAGTCAATGTCAGCAATCTCTGACAATCGATTGCTCAAACAATGCGAATGACAAGAGTCTCGTAGCGCAATGTTTCTGTTACCTTTCCATCCTTCATCCGGAAAGCCTTCAACCCTTCAAAGCAAGACTGGCCATAATGTAGAGCAGTAGCCCACATATTCAAAGTGATGTCCGTGCTGGAAACAAGAGCACCCTTGTCCCAAACACCATCAGTGTAGACATATTCAATATGAGAGCGAGGCTTGATAATATCAAACCCAAGATTAGACCAGTTGATAGCAGACATGCAATTTGCTCGACTGCTCAGATTGCCAGGCTTAAACATCAGCCCAGTTTTTGCATGAATTGAAATAGCATAATCCTGAGGGTGTGCTGAGATAACATCAGAAGTGCTGTTGCAACCAATCTGACCAATGCTGATCATCGAATGTGTTCAAGACCTCGAGTCTTCTAGCGGGACTATGCGAGTGCATTGGTTTGTGCCAAACACTCTTCCCCAACACCCTCTTGCTCAGTTTCCAGGTGTTGCTGTTTTTACAGAGATCTATCAAGTCACTGGTCCAGTCGAGCGATTTTGTCGGCAGATTGCTTCCAACGGTAACCAATCTAATGTGTTGGTCTTTTGTATACATTATGCATTGCTTCATCTAACTTGCATTTTATATCATGATCTATATTGTCGCTTATTGATGTGTATAATTAGGATATGTTGTCTGTTGTCCAGAAAGCTATCATGAATTTGAACAGCCTGGAGTCGTCATTCCATATGATGTCGAGGGCACCGAGAGGGGAAATAAATACAAGGTAGTCGATCGTTTAATCTTGATCCAATACTGACTCGACTGGTATGGCTATTGTTTTTATTAACAATAAATGCATATAGATTGAAAAAGAGCTTTCGGCGTATGATGAGGATGCCACATTAACCTTGAATGCACTCGAGAAGCATCCCAATTGCAATGGAAAACTGGCGGCTACTGGAATGTGTTTAGGCGGCCATCTGGCATTCCGCTGTGCAATGGATCCCAGAGTGAAAGCATCTGTATGCTACTTTGCTACCGATATTCATTCCGAAACTCTTGGCAAGAACAAACAATCCAACTCACTTGCTCGATGCAACGAGATCCGTGGTGAAATATTAATGATCTTTGGCAAACAGGATACCCATATTCCTCCTTCTGGTAGAACACATATCTACAGTGCATTAACAAAGGCCGAAGTCAATTTCTCTTGGTATGAATTGCAGGCTCAACATGCATTTATTCGAGATGAACTGAGTAAAGGAAGATACGATCCTGCAGCAGCTAGCAACTGTTTCCATATGCTTCTGGAGTTGTTTTTCAGAAAACTTTATGTCGATTATGGTCCAGAGACTGTAAATACCCAGATAAAAATTGAACATGTATGTTAAATGAATCTTGAGTGTTTCAAATAACCTTGAATACCACATACCGGATCCAAACCAGATCTGCATCATGATTAGTAAATGCAATATCCACTGAATGTTACATGACTGCCATCATATCTGTATCTGTTTTGCATTTAATCAAATCAAATCAAATCTGCCTGATTGAATCAACCATTGTCTGCGTCATCATTGACCTTTTACACAAAATATTGGTTTATCCGTTTGAAAGCTTATTGCGTTGCAACAATCAACTAAATTGCTGTAATAGAACTACACAAGTAGCTCAGTCGACAAGAACAGTCAACAATACGATATGCAATGTCATTAAATCTTGACCAGTCATTGCTTTTGTTGGCATCTATCTGTAATCATGTTGATGTATTCAACATATATTGTCATGACTCATTTTACTATTTGTGGTCAATACTGCAACGGTTGGTATACAAGTAGATCATGACCAGATCTGATGGTTGAATCATTTGACCCGAATGTGTTTTACTGCAAGTACAACCGAGTCATTGCTTGACTGAGTACTATTAGACACGACTATACATGCATGTATCTACAACCAATGTCGCATAGATTCAAACCATTCAATGTGTTGTATGCCATCAATCAATCAATCAATATGACATGTCTGACATGTCTGTCATGTCTGGTATCCACAAGTCTTGTCATGATATATTTGTAATGTAAATCAATTGAATGGTCAGTTTAGTTTTTGGTTTGTTTTGACCATCTTGTGGATGACCATTTATTGTTTACGATTAGCCGAGCTGACAGACAACAGACAATTGAGATTGGGTCCACGTCCTTCCTTTTCACGAATATATCCGATCATCAAGTCTTTGAACTCGATAAACTCACCCAAACTATGTAACATATCAAACACATCGCCTTCTGCTTGATCGGGCCGTTGTCTACATCATGATACAATAATCATGCATGCAGTCAGTCAGTATTACAAGGTTACCCGTTGCAATACCGTCAATGATTGGCAGACAGCAGTTTATAAACTTGAAATTGCTTACTTGATCATTTGTAAAAAATCTGGCATGGAAAACCATGGCAGCCTGACTTTTAATCGTTTGCACAGATACGATTCAATGTATTGGTTCTGGTTGTCACGAGTATCCAAACACAGCACCATGCAATACACAATTCAATAAGATTTGACCATCAATCGAATATACAATACATATGGTTGACAAATCAGGTCCACATACATATTGTTGGAAAATAGCCGTGTATTCGAGCTTGTTTTCGTCACTTTCATCAAACACATTGCAGTGTTTTGATAGAAATGCCTGTTGCAATGCAATAAACTTGTCATCTGTGAATCAAGGTCCACCATCACAACACCACAGATTGTCTAGGTCAGTAATGTGATTAAATGTGATCAAATGCAATCAAATATGGTCAGAATAACAAACCCACATCACATACCCATAATGATGGTTTCGATTTCACCAACAATCGTGTCAAACAAGGCGTCTTCCGAGTTGGTGGGACTGCTATTCAATTCACAAGTAGTGCATGTATGTGATGGGTTTAGATTGGGTTGAACATGACACGTCATTGAACGACTGCAGTCCGTACTAACCTGCTGAACACTAGACTGTTGTCAAAAGTATCGAGTTCCGTGATGCTTGATTTGGCTTTTGATGAGACTAATGTAACATTCCAAGACAGCAAAGTAAGCTAATTGTACCAAACACAAGCAAGTTGGACAGCAGTGTGTATTGTCAAGTGTGACCATTGTAGATGGCTACTGACATATACATGGTTACTGACCACACACTAGAGTCACTATAAGTCAAATATCAATAGTGACTTGATGTAGTTGTGGTCATTCATAACAAGCGGGTCAAATGGTTGCATATGAACGCAACAGTTACATACCAGAACAAGCGTCTGTGTGGGTGCTAGTTGCCATGGACATATTTGTATGAGTCGAGTGTGTATTTGTGTCAGAGTTGAACGATGGTCGAAATAGCGTGTATAATTCAAGTCGCGATGGAAATATTTTTGGCTGGTAATGTGGACAAGAACACAAGTGTTCACATGGCTGAGCATGTTACATTTGAACAGATTCGATACAGTCTACTTGTCTTGTAATCATTCACAACACCATACGTTGTAATGGATGTTGAAACAATGCGATAGTATGTTTCAATACAAGTGTGCATCGGTTACACAAACACACGACTTACAATTAGTACACAATGCATACTCGGCTACAATCGGAACGCGATACAAAGTTGGACCAATGAATATGTTTATTGTTCACAGTGTGTATGAGTAAGCTCAAGCCACCAAGTGTATTAGTCAGACACAACTAATACACAATCGTATGCTAATCGTGCATCGAGTATTGTCTATAAATAGCAGTGTAGTTTACACCTGGCTCGACTCATCAACAACAATCTTTATACGTTTAAACGATTAAAATGCAGTTCGCTAGTGCAGTCATTGTAGCAACATCAGCCATTGTGGCAGTCAATGCCGCTGCAGTTCCAGCATCGGACAGTGCAGGTTTACAGAAACGATCAGCAGATACGGTAGCATCGCCTATGGTTGATGGTTCCGATTTAAACAAACGATCATTCGAATCCAATTTTGATGCACCACATCTTGAACGTCGATCTTATGGCTTTGGAGGTTTTGGAGCAACTCATTTCTGGCCTTCATGGACTTCAAGCATGTGGCCTTCGTGGAGATCCAGTTCCTGGAGTTCCTGGAACTATTAAACTATTAAACTAACTAAATCCAGACATCATGACTGGACAATCACAATTTAGAATAAACTAATAAACTAATGCATTACACTTATGGTCGTATTCGCGTAAAATGGAACACTAAATAACGGTGTTGGTGTATCAAAGCCGGTTTTGTTTGATGGGTGTCATCAGATTGACTGGACAATACTGTGTTTTGAACTCTTGAAGTTTACTGGTTTTGTGTTCATTTTGTACCAAACATTGATCGAATGTTCGCATCACATTCCTGTTCCAATACATGCCACATCGTTGAGCTTGTCCGATATGCAACTATACTTTGTATCAAAACAAATATTACAAGTAAACATTCAGCAGCTGGTATGAAAACAATGGTTGCGTTTTTGAAATGTGCGATCGTTGTTTTTTGAACTAGAGTATCTGATGTACGAGTTTTTACAATACATCATAACTTGTTCAATGGTATGGTCGTCCAGATATGTGTTGGTTGTGTATAAACCCGATGTATGCAATACCACAATGACTGGATGTGGATTGTGTAGTATGATCCGTTGGTCTGTGATCAACAAGACATTGAAAATACTATTGAATGAAAGACACCAGACAAGCAAAACTGGCATTTGGATTAGTTGTAATGGGAGTGACTGGAGTGACTGGATTAATAAATAATACAGTGCAAGATGGTTGATTCAAGTTGATGTGTAACGTATTTATAGTAAAAGATGAGCATGTCATTGTCAATTGATGGTTGTTTTGAAATAACATCTGAAATAAAGGTAATCATGGTATTGATTGACATTGTTGACATTGATGGCATATAATCAGGTTAATGGACCGTTTTGGGTCAGTGTGTGTAGAATACCAGATGACTGTTGTTTAGCAGTTATTTGACACACATCATAATTAGCATATTGTACGTTTTGTTTTTTGGATGGATTCGCATCAATATTGAACATATTGTAAAGATGATGACGCAGTTATGAGAGTAACAATCCATTGAACGAGTCAAGAAATGAGCAATCTCGATCCATTTTGACTGTTCAAAATATCGTGCAGTAGTAAACTCAAACTATCAGCATCCAGATGAATGTTGTGTACGCTTGACTACAACATGCTATTATACACGAATCTGATTGTATATAAAGTCTTGAATCGTTCATGTTTGATGGTGATGCAAACTTGCAACCACAATATAAACCTGCACTTCAAACACATTCAAGTATCAAAAGAATACTGTGAATTCAGTGGTAAGAATCACACAAGCAACAAACAACCGCACAAGAATGCAGTTGAAGTTTAAGCGAATGTCTTGAATACATGAATATACTGATGATGGTTACTGACAGTTTTATTTTTATGCATTTCCAGTTTATTTTCATCCTTACTGACGGCTGTGAATGATTCAATGTTGCTCAGTAAATCGATATTCATTATTCCGTGAAACTGACAGTTTTATACACTGAAATACAAGTATTCCATTTACGTGAATATTGCAATCAAGTCATTCGATAATAATATTTTTATGATTTGCAGTTAATTCGTTATCAATACCTATTCTGAAATCTCGCTTCAAAATCAGCATCAGATTGAATTGACTGAAATAATTTTGTACCTTCAAATAAACAAAAATCCATTTACAGTCCTGATAAATTCAAATGGCTCATACTAGTATTTCATTCAAATATCACTAGAGGTTACAACCTCAGCAGAGCATCGGAATTTAATGCGATCCAGGGTTAGTTCGAAATTTTGAAGCATTCCGCGTGGATGTAGGAGTAGATAAATTGTCGATATCATCGTCATCTTCGCTTCCACTCAGCCCATTTTCGCTATCAGAAAACAATTGCATAACATCCTCTTCTCTGTGATCAGCTGTTAAAAGACCAGCATGGCGGTGAATGTCACGAGTGCGTCCACCACCACGACGTCGAGAATGTATGCCAGTTTTGGAGCTCATGGCTTGAGTAAGTGTAGAAGCCCCACTAAGCTCAGTGGAAGCATATCCATTCTGACTTTCAATCAAAGTATCAAGCCTTGAGTCTCTCAATGCTATTGCAGATGCAGTTTGCAATGTAGCAGATCCAGCACTATTAGCGCTGTAGTTGTGTTGAGGAGTGGCTCCAGGCAACTCTGAGGCTTCATCATCAATGTTATGATTGTTTAGTTTCCTAGCTTGTTTTGATCCACCGATTCCAAGTAATCCTGATGAAGGCATCCCGTCGACAACAAAGGCACCGTTTATCCCAGTATCCTTGATCCGACTCTCAGCACCAAGGTAAGCGATGGCATCACGAATCTTGCCAAAAAAGTGCTGCTCGCCAACTACAGAATAAATTCCTGACCGTTCAAACGATTCCTTGCAAGTTTCGCGAAGTTTGACAAAACATACGATAATTCCTCTGGAGTGGTACTCGTGGACAATTTCAGTCATAATTTGCGTTGCTGTGGCATCAATATCACTTACCGCCGTCATGTCAAACACAACACTTTTAATCGTATCAGAGTCGTCAATAAAAGAAACTGGTTGAAGCGAAGGTGAATCATTGTCGTGTGCCTGTGCGTAAGTTGGAGGTGTCATTACAGCAGAAACCATGGCATTCCCGCCGCCACGTCTTGGCTCTTCACTTGGATGCACGCTTAAATCACCATATGCCTCAATCCGCTTTAGGCGATCCTTCAATTGCCCAACATTTCCGAAAAACATTCCTTCTTCAATGCGAACAACAATTCCGCCTTCGATACGTTCAATTTTTCCACTCTGTTCATGCATGCTTCTGAATTTAGTCTTGACTATTCCGGTGGAAGGATCAACTACCAACGTTTTCCCTAGTATTGCCAACCGCGTCTGCGTGGTATGTTTTACCACAAGCAACAGAGACACGCCAACAGAGATCAATGTTCCTACTTCAATGGAAACAAAGATAGTGGAACAAAAAGTAAGAAGAAGTAGCCCAAGATCACCCCATGCGTGTAAACGAAAGATAAACTCAATGTCCTCCACTTCAACCAGTTTAAGTGCAGCTACTACGATAATAGATGAACAGACAGCTTTGGGGAGGAATTCAAAATAAGGAAGAAGCCAGACTGAAGTACAGTACACGATGACACCAGTGGTAAATCCAGCAACTTGGGTTCGAGCACCTGCAGAGTCGTTTACTGCAGAACGACCAAGCGAGCCAAATCCAGGGAATCCGCCAAAAAAGGAAGAAACGATATTTCCAACACCAATGGCAACAAGTTCGCGATTGGGAGAAACAGTATATCGATGTTTTGAAGCGTATGTTTTGGCCACTACAATGGACTCTACAAACCCAATTACTGAAATGAGAATGGCTGGAAGTGTGAGGTATTTAACCTTTTCAAGCGTGGGGATTGGATGAGTAATGTATTCAGTGCCATCTGCGGGTGTTTCTGGAGCTAAAACTCGATTCAAAATGGCGACACCCTGACAATCCCAGCGGAACACTTGTGATAGAATAATCGAAGTCAGTACAAGCACCAAGATCTCAGGCACCAACTGCAGCCATTTTACATGCTTGTAGTGACGCTTAAGCTGGCGAGAGAGTAGCAAGAAAAGAATACTGGTAACAGACAGGATGGTTGTGAGTATGTGTGCATGAGAAAGATTGATCAAGGTATGAATCAATTTTTCAATAGGAGATGCAGTTTCTTCAACGGGAGCTGGTAAATCTTCAAGTATGAATTTTGAAGTAGATCCATGAGCAGAAGCGAGTACACTTTCTGTTACATTTGCAATGCATTGCCCCACTGGAGGAATAATTCCAAACAGTGTTTCTGACATATCAATCATAACCACCATGGCAACAGCAAGGACAAATCCACGCAAAAGCGCACGAGAAAGTACCGAGTCGAGAAATCCTAGACGAAAGAAGCCCAAGAGAAATGTAAAGACGCCCACCATTAGACACAGCAGAGTAGTAGCCTGTACGTTTTCCATTGGATCATGAGTTCCAACTGATGGTTCGGAGATAAATGAAAACATGCCAGGCAAGATACTAGCAGAGCTGTTTGTTTCTGGATTAGGAGAGTCTCTCCAGGTAGTGAATTCACGAACGCTGGATCCAACAAGAATAGACACGAGTGCTTCAGGACCAACAGCCAATTGCCTATAAAATGATTAGATGGATTGCTCGATCAATACAGATCCAGCAGACAGCTTTAAAAGTATAAGCTCTAAATTTACCTGGAAGTTCCCAACAAAGAATAGACGATCAGGGGGATCATGGCAGAGTACAAGCCAAACACAGGAGGAACTTGAACCAAAGCCTGGGCATAGGATAGAGACTGTGGGATGATCAAAAAGGCAACAGTGATTCCAGCCATGATATCTCCTTGTAGATTGAGCATGACATCATATTTGGGTAACCAACCGACTACAGGAACGTAGTATCGCAATCTGGTTCTAAAAAAGACCCAAAATTGAGGCCAGGTGCGATGACCATGGATACTGGGTATATCTTATAGTACAGTAACATGAGTATAATGAGTAGGATCAATACATCAGCATGACAGTGAATATGACGGAGTAAATAGTCGAGACGACCGGATATCAACCAAGCAATGCGTTGGGTTAGTATGTAGTAAAGTCATATTGATTGGTTGATGAATACTCCAATAGTTAATCATGCAATACCAATTTAGACACTTACGCATAGTAGTTCCAGCTGAAGGAGACCACTGTTCCTGGTCGTCATTTCTACTATTGTCCAAGTTCAGGTCAGCACCAGAACAACTGTTGGTCAGACCGTCATTTGAGCTGTAATGGTTAATACTCGGAGCGATCTTGGAAGCTGTCTTGGAAGGTAACAGTGAGGAGTGTTCATTGAAGTTGTCAGGATCCAATTCCAGAGCATCACCATGAGTATCTGTGCCAGTACTTGGATTCATAACAACAGTCTTGATATAGTAAAAAGTAAAGTCTAACCAGCAATCCAAAGCATTGTTTCAGCCAACCGACGCGACTTGCTAACCGTCGAATCCCGTCCATGTTGCAGTCTGACTCTTTGCAGGCTTGTTTTTGATGGCTTAAAATCAAAGAATCAAAACAATGTCATGGACTGCAATCGCATCGATTCCCTTTATTGTCTTGATGCACGGCCACAGACTGTTGATCGTTTCTACACGACCCTGCAGTCAGATTGTCGCATGGGAATCAATGAGAATCAATGACGGCAAGTGGAGTGTAAACCCTAAAAGAATCCTAAAGGAAATCCTAAAGAAATCCTAAAAGAAACCCTAAAAGAAATGCAAGTCGGAATGGACGGCCACGTGTAGTCTGGTAAAACTTGACTAAAAACCATTGCGGTTGTCATGATGGGATCTGCTGAGAAGGTAAACATCATCCACACCGACCTGATCAGACACTACACAAGAAAGAAGTCTTCTTTCCGCACTCACATCCACATCCAGTCACTGCCGCCTGAACTGCTGTTGTTGGTGTTTTCTTTCTTGCAGTACATTGATGTGCTCTCCTGTGCTCAGACTTGTTGGTGTTGGCATGCGGCTGCATCGCACTCCAGCATATGGCTTCGTCAGTGTAAACTGTACGGCATTCCACTTGTTACAGCTTCAAATCATGTGGATTCTTGCTATCGATCTATGTTCAGGACTCACTTTAATGAATACGCCGGTTTCATGGACGATTATGTGCGGATGAGTTGCATTTGTAACAGACTCAAACTTGTCTTGGTCGACTGTCCTTTGCTTCTACACTCTTTTGAACCTCCTTGTCATATCAGTGTTTATAAAGCCTTGCTCAAGGACTACTTGCATATTTCAAGTGTCAGGCAACTCATCTTGCTATATACTATGATGGGCATACAGCATCAGACTGCTCCTGCTCTCTTTGGCTCCATCCAAGTGTATCAATACTCTTGCGACTACCGTCTATCTGAACCGTTTTTGGTCAACGATCCAATGGGCGGAGCTTACCTTGGGTTTCTGTCAGGCACTCGATCATGCAACAGAGTTATATGCATGACTGAAAGCTTGTCTGTTTATGGTCGCTTGCTTAATATATGTCCAGAGGCCGAAAAATACAATTACGATCTTGGCGAGTTTGTAGACTATCTCGACTCCTATGTTACCGATATCGAGCAGAAACGCTTTCTTGTTCATCCCCAATCCGGCGTTTCCTTGTTTCCAGAATTTGGTCAGAATACTTTCTTCAACAGTCCCACTGAAGGTGTTTCTGTTATCGTCTCTACAACTTCGTTTGGTGACCTGATCGATGATGTTTACAAGGGCTTCGCCTACCGAATACATATTTCATTTGATCCTGACTCGTCTCGGTTTGTTCAGATCCAATTGCAACGACGATCTTGGGTGTTCACCTTCAAATCTGGCCATTTTGAATTGATAAGCGGTGATGGAGTTGTTGGCACGCTTCCTCTATTCAATGGTATGTTTATACATGTTTTGGGTTTGACTAGATACAGCTTCGTGAGGTTTTGTTGGATTAATGTGTTTTAAAGATACTAACGACTGAATATGTGTTCATTTGGTAAACAACGTGTATGTTACAATTTTAGCTGATAACAGGAGTACTACTTACCAATCATGCAGTCCAGAACTGTCTAATTTCAACGATGTGCTGATTGGTATGCAAGGATATTTTACCATGAACGGTATTGACGCGAGTGGTCTAGCAACATCGTTTAATGTGCCCATCAGCTCCTTCAGATTAGAACTTCCACCTTCGTCTGAAACACTATACCATCGTATCAGCCAACCATTAAATTTTAAAGCTGATGGTTGAGGTGCTAGTTCTGTTTTTATGAACTTTGGCCATTCAAAGTGTGTTTTATTTTCTAATGGATTGTTTTGGATTTAAATTCTGAAACATCACGATTCAACTATTTTTACAACCTTGTAATCTATGCATGTGATTTATTATAGAATGTAGTATTCAACCACATTATCAGTGTTTTAGAACTAAATAATAAAACAAACTTTGCACTGATTCAGCATGATACTCCAACCGTTTATTCTTGATCCTGCCGACAGTTTACAGCTATATCCACGTCAAATCAAAATACATTCATGCAATCTTGAACTAGAAGCGCGAATAAGTTTTGATAAAAGTAATCGATTTCTAATAGAAAGAAATGAATATTCAACAATTGTTTATTTCAAGATAAAGTGTTTCATTTTACGTGAATGAGACTAATAGCAAATAGGTTTATACAGTGTGCGATTTCACACCAAGAATTGAAAGTCAATTTAGAATAAGAAAACGCAGCGAATAGTTGACTTGTTCCAAAGCAAAATACAAGTGTTTTATTTTACGTGAATACAGCTATAATACCATTATCAGGATCTGTTACAACTATACAATAAAGTCTAGCATTCATGCATCAAATACTACAGACAACTTCTGCATTCGTACAAGTAGCCATGTCTACAACCAATGATCCAACAACTTCAACTCAGCCAAACCTTCCTTCTTTACCCTCACACACCCCCTTGCCTGCAACCCAAGAAGAAGTGTCCACTTCTTGGGCTCTGTTGATCCTAGTGTCGATCTTGGTGTGCATTCTACTTACAAGCTACTATCTGCAACGCCGACAGATTCGGTTTATTCATGAAACGGTTGTGTCAATTTTTCTTGGGTCGCTTGTTGGGGCTGTCATCCGATTCTCACCTGGTAAGTGACAGACTTGTTTTATATTCTTGGTGCCATGCAAATAGTAAAAGTTTAAATGGGCATAACCCTGGCTTGAACTCCAGTTTTGTACAAACCATGACCACTTCTAATTTTTTATTCATTCCACATGAATCTTTCAAAATAAGCTGGAACTGGCGGAATCAAGGAAATGGTAACTTTTGACCATCGATACTTTTTTAATCTACTTCTCCCGCCAATTATCTTCAATTCAGGATACGATATGAAACGACGCAACTTTTTTAAAAACTTTGGATCTATTCTCATCTTTGCTTTTTGTGGAACATTTATTTCTACAACTGTCATTGGGTATGTCAAGTGTATACTTACAAGTATCACGTTTTTATGTATGGTCTTGAATTAACATGTGTGTTTAATTAGAGTGCTCATTTTTGCAATCGTGTCGGTTGGAATGCCAGGTCTGGACATGACATTCCTCGACTGCTTTGTTTTTGGAGCTATTCTCTCGTCCACTGATCCAGTCACCATTTTGTCCATATTTCATCAGATGAAAGTAGATCCTAAACTGTTTGCAATCATTTTTGGTGAAAGCATTCTTAATGACTCGGTAGCCATTGTGCTGTTTAGCACCTTGGGCAAGTTCCAGGGGAAATCATTGACACTCTTGACTTTATTGCATGGTATTGGATCTTTTCTTGGAGTTTTTTTTGGATCAGTACTTATTGGCATCATCATTGCATTGATGTGTGCTCTCATGTTGAAACACACTCAGTTGCACTTGTACTCGTCACTTGAATCGTGTCTGATTACTCTCCTTGCGTATTCGTCCTATCTTTTATCCAACGCCATTCAACTCTCGGGGATCGTTTCTCTTCTTTTTTGCGGCATCACGCTTAAACACTACGCATATGATAACATGAGCATTAGAAGCAGACGGACAACAAAATACATGTTTCGAGTGCTTTCTCAGATGTCGGAAAATTTCGTGTTTATCTACCTGGGTGTAGCACTATTTACCCAAACTGATCAAGCTTACTATCCCGTGTTGATTTTGCTTACACTGGTGGTGATTATGTTTGCAAGGTATGTTTCGACTATTCCGCTAGCAAAACTGATCAATGTTGTATCGAGAAGATGGGGCTCGCATAAAAGGGTGAGAAGGCTAGGAGTTGTCCGCAATGCATCCACTAGACAAGAAAGTGATGCCCACGATCAGCCTTTGGACGATATTCTTGAGTTTCCACGTACAAGGGGCGATACAGTGAATGACATGATTCCTCGTAATCATCAGCTCATGATATGGTGGGCTGGTCTTCGTGGAGCCATTGCATTTGCTTTGGCATTTAATGTTGAGGGAAAGGCTGGCCCGGTTGTAAGAACGACTACTCTAGTCGTGTGTGTAGTTAGTATTGTTTTACTTGGAGGAACGACACATTTGGCTCTGGAACGACTGCATATTTGCACTGGTGTTTCTACCAAAATTGCCAGAAGTGGAAATAGCAGAGGTGGCATGATTCGACTATCAGACGGTGTTGTGGCAGAATCAGATACAAGCGAGGAGGAGGATGAGCAAATGTCTGTTGGTGAACAACATCGTAGGAGATATATTCGACACGACCCACCGCGTAGTGAAGATGCACACAATACACTTGAGCAAGATTATGAATACGATTTACCTGTCCACCAATCTACAGATTCGCTTGATTTTGGATTCAATCACCACGATGATCAAGTCTCGAACCATTGGTTTTTGAGTTTTGATGCTCAGTGGTTAAAACCTTTATTCACTCAGTCAGGTTGGAGACGAAGTCCAGTTTCACGTGGTAATAATGTTGAGCGCTTTTCTGTTGAGCATCGTCCATCTGAATCATCAAGTCCGACTCGTCAACCATTGCTGTCATCCAGCGGAGCAGACATTTGTGACGAGCGACACGGAAATCTTGAGCCATCTGCTAGCACATCACCGTCTCTAAATTTATCTACCAACTCTGCTCGTCGTATATTTGGAAATCAAAATTTGAAACCTGCATTAATCTCTTTGCCCGACATCTCTATGCCAAAGATAAACCTGCGTGTATTGTCTCAGCGCGATACCTCGGACAGCGTTGCTTTTACTGGAACTGGTTCTACTAGTGCGTCCTCACATCAATCTATAGGAACAGATCGTTTAAACCATGCATCAGTGTCCACATCAAGTTTGAGTGGTGTTGTTAGGAATACGTCTGCTGCAGATTCTCCTACACGACCTTTTGGAACTGCTCGAGCACATTTACCTACCAAAGCTGATGCAGCTACACGGAGTGTTCAACCCATGCACCACGGTGATGGAACAACCACCCCTTTGGTGTTACCAGCAGCCCAACATGAAAAGCATATTGGACTGGGAACTTTATTTGGAGGTAATGTGTTTATGCATACTGCTGTTGAAAATGAGTCGGGGATTACTGCGACAACCAGTACGTGTCGCGCAAGTGGGGTAGGTGGTTTTGGTAGCAATGATGATGAGGATACGTTTTTAGACGTGAATGGTACGTCATGGAAACCAAAAAAATAGTAATCCAGAGTTGCAGCCAATTCATGTAACATGGACCACCTGTATTTATCTTGAATATGTTTATTTTTCTCAGAATAAACAATGGTTACATATGTGTTGTTTTTCTACTATAAATTGGTTTTGGTATTCTCGGTGTCTGGAATGGTTTGACGCACAAACCCATTATTATAGAATGGAGTACTGTCTAAAATAAGACGTGTGTTGGGAAGCATTGCATCTCATTGTTTAGAAATCCTTGAAAAGCATACACGCTACAAAAGATGGGAAAGAGTGAACGGGAATCAAACACATGGGACGTGCACTACACACATCACATTCAAACAGTGTGTTACTGCAAGTATTGGGTTTACACAACCAACATATATATAACACGATCATGTCATGGAACAAGCTCTGTTTTCATGTCGGTCATCTAATGTCGACTTGAAATGTTTGTTTTTGAGGGGAAAAGAGTGGTAGATTGACCATTTACTCAGTTTTTTGTATAAAAATGGACAAGAGCAATACACTTCAAAAAACACAATATTGTTTAATCCGATGACACCCACTAAACAAAACCGGCTGTTTGATACACCAACACCCTTATTTAGTGCTCTATTTACATGAATACGATTGTGATGCTAAATGAGTAGCTTGGTGGTAATTTTTATTATAAATGTGAGCTGGCCCAAAGAAAAATACTTTAAAAAAGCTTTGGGATTCTCGACAATAAATGAATTAAAATTATGCAATACGGGGTCCTTGAGCTTCAGGAACTTCGACAATAGATTTTCTGGTGCTGAAAGCAAGAGCAGCTTTGGAAGGGAAAGGTAGATTGGGCATTTCTCTTCCAGTAAGCTTACGGAACGCCAAGTCAATACCGGTGAATACGACTAACCAAACTATCGATGAAACCGAGGCAGTCAAAAAGGCGTTAACATCATACACAGTATAAAAGTAGGTCAATAAACCGGTCGAGATATCTCCTGTCATAATTTTGCCATAAACCATGACGGAAAAGAATGAAAACAGACATGCAAGGCAGACAGAGAATGAGGAAATGATTCGGTTTAGGGCTGGGATTAAACCTGCTACAAGTGGGAAAAACATGCATGTGGTGATCATGTTGCCAATTAGAAATACGCCAAGAACGCTCAATCCAAGTGTACCGATATACATGATAGGAACATTGAACAGGATAACAAGCAAACGAGCACCCATGGTGGGGAATTTGACACCAAATGATCCAAAGACAGACACAACAGCATCAGTGATGGCGTTTTGGAACGAGTCGACAGCGGATTCGTTCATGATGACTGCAATAAGAATCACAACAACTAGGATAGCAGCAGAGGTGTATCCGTTCAAATCACGGAAAGCAAGAAAGTAGCCAAAGTTGGAATTGTCATCAGCAGTTGCACGGCCAGACCAATAGGCTAGCATAGAACCAAGACCAAATACAGCCACAACAACCGTAGACATGCTGGAACCAATAATAGCTCCAATGCGCAGAGATCGCTCAGATTCGGCGGCCCAAACACGCTGCCACATGGCTTCAGAGAAGAATGTGGCAGAGATGAGCGAGATACCAAGAGTAATAAAAGATTGCCATCCAACAGTAGTGGCTCCGAGATAGTCGGGGAGTTTTGGAAGAGAAGTGCCATGGAATGAAACGCCCATGTAGATAATAGTAATGGCAAACAGAACAAGCGCCATGATAGCCTGCCACTGATCAGTAACAATTGATACATAGAGACCACCGGTAGCAGTGTAAGACATGGTGACTATACCAACGACTAAAATGGGTACCCAAGATGGTACACCGAAAAAGTCTTGAAAAATGCCACCAATGGCACTGTATTCGGCCAAGAGTGCAATGCCCAGATTGAGAACAACAATGATCATAATAAGCAGTTCAATGCCAGTTCCGAACCGCCAGCGACCGTATGAAGCAATCGATGTAGCATGAGGAACATTTTTTCGGAGATAAGTGCCCATAAAAGCAAGCATGACAAGAGGAAGACCGGTAAAGAGAGCATACGCAATTAGACCAAGGTAGCCAGTACCATAAGTGGGATCACTAACAAATGCAGCAGGTCCGTAGAGAACCCACGCACCCATCGACCCAGCAAAGAAAGACCATGCAATTCGGTGAACCGGCTGAGTGTTACGAGCAGTAATGAAAAATTCGGTATCGACCTTGGATTGGTCAGTTCCAAAAAAGGAATAAAGAACTGCTGCAGCACCAAAGAGGATGGAAATGACTATAGCAAGAGCAAGGCCAGTTTTACTGGCAACACTGTCAAGAAGTGCCATTGTAATTATTTATAGACTTGAAGCAAAATATAAAGTTGAATGTCTTGAAAGTAAAGTTAGCAATCTGGACACCAAAGAGTCGGAATGTTGTAGCAATAGTCTTAAAACTTTGTAAAGCAGGACAATCCGAATGCATTCTAGGAATGCATCGAGTTCAACAATCGCACACAATGCATGTCATCACAAACTCAAAAATAAACTTACATATGTCGATACAACCACAAATTGATCACGGTAGAGCAGTTGACAATAGACTTGTATAAAAGAAAAAAGATGTTACGGCTGGTTTTAAGCGAGTGGTTTGGATGAAATTATTATCCATATGGCGCCTCGTATCCAATCGTGTGATTTGATTTGCTCCTCATTTTGATGCTTTACGGGTTTACATAGCCAGCAAACAAATCGACTGAAACATTTTGACTGCTTCATTTTCAAAATTTGACACTAAATGTTTGATCAATGATCTGAAAATGAAACACCAAATAAATATGTCGAAAAAATTGTAACAAGGCATAGTTTATTCTACGCATTGCAAATTCATTGAGCCGTTTTCGATACGGGTAAGGCTTATTCGGGTTTTTTGTCTTCGGCGGGGCTTTCTTCTGGTTTTGGAGCATCAGGAAGTGTCCATCCATACATGGATCGAACACCAATATCTACCAACGCATACAGCAGCATCCCAACTGCAGATACAATCAGAGCAATAGCATGAGGCTGCCAAACTGTTTTGGAATGAAAAAATACATCGTATGCACTTGATGACAGTTCTTTTTTTTCAGTTACTTTGGTCCATGCATAGATGAATACACACAAAAGTGAGGAAAGAACCCCGAATATAGCCGATGCACCTGTGGCAATTTTATCGAGTGATTCGAGCATACCCATAAGTGTCGGAGCCAAGAAACATGTTGCAATGAGTCGTGCGCAACATGCCCAAGCTGCTACATCAATTAAAGCTACTGATGCAACAATAATGGGAATATTAACAGCTAAAAGAATAAATCGAGCTAGATGCGTGCTCGGACAAAACCCACGAACAAGAACCACGCTCGTGATAGTATTCACAAGACCGACTTGGTATGCACTGACAAATGAGGCATTAAGAGCTGTACCAGCCATGCAAATAAGTGTTGCAAGCCATGCTGGACCAACTGGAGTAAATTGTGGATCATTTTTTGGAGTAGCCATCCGCAATGCTTGAAAAAATGCAATGCCTGAATTGGATGTCGATGAAGTAGCATCCCATGAGTGCGTAACCAGACCAAGCCATCCAGCTAAAAAACTAAAAATACTGAATATAAAAGTAACACTTGATGCCAGTATGCATGCAACGCTCGAGCTGATCCTGATCGTTGCATCCGATTGAGCCGACCATACCAGTTGCCTACAAGTATTTATGTGAAGATTCAAAATGCCGATTATTTAAAAAACTCTAATGGATAGTGATTTGTATCCAAATTTAAATTCAAACCCAATAAAAAGTTTGAGTTGGTAATCTGACCAAATAAATACGTACCACATGGCGTCCGAAAACATGGCCGAGGAAGTCAATTGACTACCAAGACTGATAAATGATGCTTGTCCTTTTGCTGTGGTATCTAGATACGCTGGAATAACATCCATATCTCCAGGTCGAAACACGGCACCCAAGTACAGCAACGTTAACATGAAAATCAGCATGGCAAACAAGGACTGAAACTGCACTGAGCTCATACTTGCTGACAGGCCATTCATCAGAATATACAACAATGGTATGGTTCCCGCACATATAATTGGACCAGATCGCTTTTCAAATGGTAAACCAAGGACTTGGATATACATATTTGACAAGGATTGGAGCTCAGTGGCAAGAGTAGTAGCCATGGTAATGAGAGATACAATCGTAACTAATATACCAAATTCTGCACCAAACCGCCATTTAGCAAATGCAGCAATAGATGTAGCCTGCGGAAGTTTGGATCTAAACGTAGGGCCCAAGATTCCTGCCAAAAGAAGTGGGAGGCCAGTAAACACGCACATAGCAACCATGCCTAGGTATCCAGCACCGGTATGATAGTCGGTGATAAATGCTGCTGGGTTATTGATGACTCTGGTTAGATGTGTTGTAAACACAATTAGATTTTAAACATGAACTAAAGATTAGCTTAACGCATCATTTAACAATATTGTGTTTTTAAACTCTTTAGTTTACAGATGTTTCTTCTGTTGATCGATATAAAAACGACAGATGCATGATGCATGCAATCTTTTAAACTAGGCGCGAACATGGAGGTTTAGAATACAAAAGGGGTTTGTAGAGAGCAGCCAAATCCAATATCTAAATTGGAATGTATGGATTTGACGACTGTGCAATGTATGGCTATGCCAAATGAGAATAACCTCAGTTTAAAACTATAGTTTGTGAACATCATATGATGGACATTGTGTCTATTGCAAGTCAATGTCCAATAGACACACTATTCAACCATTGTCTATCCAAAGCAAAAGGCAATCACTGCAAGATGGTGTTCCATTTTACATGAATATGGCTGTGAAATAAATATTCTTGAGCAGACCGTAAGTCAAAACTTTTCAGTACAGCCCTATTAATATAATAAAAATACCTCAAGACCATAGATTGCCCATTACTTTTTTAATATAGCATCAAGCAATCATAAACAATCTTGACAAAACTACATGGTCTAAATTAGCAATTTTGCTCATCTTACCCTGCACCGACAGCAGTTCCAAATAGTCCCCATATGACCAACAGCATTGGTTGTGTATTTCGTGCAGTAAGATAATAACTGATTGAATGATCGGCATTTTTAGCATTGTAGCTATAGTATGCTAAATATACGCCAAATACACCGAATATCACTGCAATGGTATAGCACATTGGTACACCGATCCGAAAAAGGTCTACAGACGCATCCGACATTTTTGCAAGAGAATGGGTAATTTGAATGGATTAGAGTTGTGTAAATAAGGATAAAAAAACTGAGCAAAGTTTATTGATCAAGATAAATTGGATTTCAGACTGTTGCAGCTTTGCCAATAGTCCAAAATTTAGCGCTGTATTCATGTAAAATAAGCCACTAAGCAAGTATAATCAGCCGTTAATCTCATGAAATGATTGGTGCCAGTTTACCGTACAATATTATGTTTTTTGGATCACCTATGGCTGGCCGTAAAGGATATGAAAATGAAAAGATGAATGGAAAATTGCCAATGCTATATTCAAAATAGTATTTGTATAAAACTCCAACACTTTCGGATTGTTTGGTGTTGTTCTTTTACAAATATCGGTAGATTGTTTGTATGATTGTTTTTAAAAGTTGATGATATCAAGTGTGACGAATATATGTGCACCATAGCGGCTCATGCCAGTATACAAGCTATGCAAGTGTAGGGATGCACGGTTAAACTATGCAAGTTGAATACATCGATGGTCGAGTTATTCAGACATTACAGTACTTTTGTACAATAGATTCAAAACATCTGGACTTGTGCGAACATTAGTATTTACAATTGAATAGTTGCTTGCAGATGAGATATAGTGGTTGGGGTGATTTTTTGATACTGTAGGGAGAGTTGAACACAGCATGAAGATTAGGGCTAGAAGCTTTGTCAGCAAAAGGTTTTAAAAAGCTTTCAATGCCGCTTAAATAAATTAAAACTAGGGCACCCGTTTGCTTGATAATGCTGAATATTGACAACTTATGGCCGCATTCATGTAAAATAAGACCAAGAGTGCCAAAGTACATAAACGGACATCATGAAATGATGAATGTCAGTTTACTGGACAGCGCACTGTCATGAATTCTTGGTTGGTTTTTACTCATTTTGTATAAAAACTAAACGAGTATTCACATTAGTCTCAATACACTGCACTTGTTTGATCTCCAACTCTTTTCTAGAACAAAATATTATAAATAAACACTGGTGATTATTGGTATGAAAACAACAGTATTTTTGGGATGTGCAATCTATCTTTTTGAACTAAAGCGTGAATATATCTGATAATAAAACACAACAATGTGGAGTTTGGCTGAAAACAATCGAAAATAATCGAAAGCAATCGAAAGCAATATACGAATTGTAATGTGAACCTGGGCTCAAATTTGGTGATCGTAAAACACATGGCTATGCCAAAAGAAGATAAAGGGCTCATCTGGAAAAAATGTAGTTCAAGGCCATGTTCAACCATATGGCATATGCTGCCATTGAAACTACATCAATATCTAGCAGAAAGTGCAACGAATATTGCAGATTCTAAAACAAAACAGTATAGACCAATGTAAGATATATACAAGTGTTTGACTCTGTGTTGATGAAATTGCTGTTGCTTGTGGACATATGACGACGTGTTCGTGCTGTACATAGTTTAGAAGTAAGTCATAGTAAGTAAAAGATAATTGTAAAGGAATGAACCAATGTGTTGATTGTGTTGTTTATTAAGAGAGAAAATAATATCTTTTATAAGATGAGAGAGTAGTGGAAAATACTAAGAAAGATATGCGGTCACATCTCGAGCATCTCCATTGAGGGTCCCTAAGCGCTCTAGTTCTTGTATAAAGGGAGGCAATAATCATCGCCTCAAATAAGCTACACCTTGCGTATAGCTTCTTGTTATATAATGCAAGTCAACATAGGCCGCATCTCGACCGTCCAGGTCTCATTTCAAAGGCTATACATTACCAATGTCTAGCAATTGAAAAATGATAGATGCCTTGGAAATTGTCCCTGCCCAAGGCTTACAAAAGGGAGATTTACTAACGTGCAAACTAGCCCTAGTAATCTATTAATTTACTATATAAATCGGTGAAGTTTGCACTTGATATCTGGCTAATTGACAAGGATAACTAGTATCGAACCACCCTCCTTGTCAATCATGAGACCTGTCTTTTTACTGTGCACCTTGACCTGCTCACAATTAGTAGTGGCTGCACCATTGCCAGTCTTTGGCGCCTTGAGCAAATTAAAAAATGAACTTTTCAAAAATCATCGAAATCCTTATGGTACTTTAAAACAGCCTAGCCCAAGCGAGTCAGCGCATCAAACAAGCACTGTTGAATCCTATAGCGCTGCGCCTGAAGTCACTTCAAACGAACCAGATCTTCCAATAGTAGAGCCATATGATCCTGAAGATTATGATCCAAGAATGCAAACTCCTCTCGAAAAAGAACTTGATGAACTGTATACTCGACTGGAAGAGATGGAAGAGTATATGGAGATCATATCTGCGGATGTTTTAAATTACTCCTCCCTACTTTCCTACGAACAAAACAAGGTTCATCATAAACATAATGTCGATGGCTTTTCTAAATTACGACAGCGAATGCAATCAGTTCAGAAAGGTGTAAAATGGCTCGAAAAGCAAATCAAGAAGACCGAAGATAAAATACAACATGAAAAAAAATCAGGTTCTTTTAAACCGGAAATTGCAAGATGCAACTCAATTTATGATCCACATCCGATTAAAAAGAAAAGTAAATCAGGACCCTTTTCTAAACTTTTTGGTAAATTTAAACTTCCAAAACTCGGCCTTGAAATCAAATTACCATTTCCTAAAGCTTGCAGCAAATCTAAACCTTCAAAGGCTAATCGTAAAATCAAATTACCACTTTCTGAAGCTTGGAACGAATCTAAACTTTCAAAACTCGGTCGTAAAATCAAATCACCGCTTTCCGAAGCTTGGCGTAAATCTGGACTTCCAGAACTCGGTCGTAAAATCAAATCACCGCTTTCCGAAGCTTGGCATAAATCTGGACTTCCAAAACTCGACCTTGAAATCAAATCACCACTTCCTAAAGCTTGGAGTAAATCTAAACTTCCCGAAGTCGATCTTGAAATCAAATTACCACTTCCTAAAGCTTTGCGTGAATCTAAACTTGCAGAATTCGGTCGTAAAATCAAATCATCACTTTGGGAAGCTTGGCAGAACTTTAAACTTCCCGAAGTCGAGCTCGGCCTCGGAAAATGACCATTTATAGGTTATAATGATCCAGTGTAATGCTGTATGCAACTAATAAAATACAGTAACAGTAGGCGAACTTTAAATATCAATAGTTGTTTGTATGGTGTCAGCTCATTAATTTTGATGAGATGGTGATGGTGAATAAATTCTAATCATTATGAAAACAACTGTTGTCAATGTGTCGACAAGGATGCTTATACTTTTAGTTGAATGTGTGCTAGATGCTATTCCCAGTATTCAAAGCACAAAGACTTGAAACCACACAACCCTAACCCTTGGTTATATGCCAACAAGAATGTTTTTCAACTTTATATTGATAGGATAGGTCTGACTGGCTAGACATGTTGTACTTGTAACCAGACACTAACCTGTGTCTGATTGAACTTGATTGTTGCCCATCAATCAGCCCTACTAGAAGTAGGGTGCCTTATGATAGTTTTTCCCTATACTCAATCGACTCGACTGTGTTGCTTAAGGGATGAACGATACTTTCACCAGCTATCAAAGCGTGTCATTGGCCGACACAAATAAGTTAAGGGCTAGAAAGTACAGCAAATCCTGCCAACATCGAGCTTATCGACCTATTATAAAGGCGATTACAGTATACCAATCCGAACTTCGACTCTAATAATCATATATCATGAGATTAGCCCTTATTTCAATCATTGTCACACTCACCATTGTAGAAGCAGTAAGCCCTACTGCTCCCTCGACGCTAGTTAAACGGACGCTTGAATCGGATGAAGAGGGTGCCCTATGTAATAAAGCGGAATCCCCAAATAGACTTTGTCGCAAAGGTGCAGTAAAGCGACGTAAATCGCGATCCCATACCACTAGAAATAAAAATGGCTTGGGATCACCTGTTGGTAGTATACAGTCACCTGTTGATGATCTAGAATCGCCTTTCAAAAGTGATCTACAATCGCCTGCTGGTGGTATATATTTGCATGACGAAGAAGAACCGTCAACCTCCGCTCCCACTCCTCAACGAAAAGTTAGGCATAGACCGTATGTTGTGAATATGGCTAGCAAGCGAAAACCCAAACTAGGAAAGGCTTCCAAACGTCCAAAAAACAGATCGACAAAACAAAAGGTTTCCGAGTATCCAGAAGACACACCGACAAAACAGAGGACTTCCAGGCGTCCAAAAAACACACCGACAAACCAAAAGGTTTCCGAGTATCCAGAAGACACACCGACAAAACAGAGGACTTCCAAACGTCTAAAAAACACACCGACAAACCAAAAGGTTTCCGAGTATCCAGAAGACACACCGACAAAACAGAGGACTTCCAAACGTCCAAAAAACACACCGACAAGCCAAAAGGTTTCCGAACGTCGAAAAAGCAGTTGGATAAACCAAAAGTCTCCGAAAGTAGATCAGATAGAAAGGGAATTCGATCCCAATGGAAAATTTAATATGAAGGAAGTTTCCAAGCTGTCAAATATGTATTCTGACGGACATGGCAGAACACCAGATGAGCGGGAGAGATTGGCCAAGATGCTGCACGCATCCATGCTCAAAAAGCAATAATATTTAATTCAATGCGAGTTTGATCTTACAGACGTATTCATGTAAAGTAAGACCAAGAGTGCCAAAGTACATAAACGGACATCATGAAATGATGAATGTCAGTTTACTGGACAGCGCACTGTCATGAATTCTTGGTTGGTTTTTACTCATTTTGTATAAAAACTAAACGAGTATTCACATTAGTCTCAATACACTGCACTTGTTTGATCTCCAACCCTTTTCTAGAACAAAATATTATAAATAAACACTGGTGATTATTGGTATGAAAACAACAGTATTTTTGGGATGTGCAATCTATCTTTTTGAACTAAAGCGTGAATATATCTGATAATAAAACACAACAATGTGGAGTTTGGCTGAAAACAATCGAAAATAATATATGAATTGTAATACTTTTCTGATAATCGTACAGTGCATGACTATTAAAAAAGTATTCCAGTTCGAAACTGCAGTTTGTATCATCAATGTCGTGTTTTGAAGAGTTGAAGTGCAACAGTGATTGTTGAAAATTCCTTTTCAATTGTTACTTTACCAGGCGACTTCGCTATGAACAGGACCACAACTCTCCTAACTGCTGGAAGTGTCCGCTCCTGTCTATTCAAATTAGGACTGCGCTCTTCACCTGCACTTGGCCTTTCTGCCTTTCGTGCTATTCAAAGTGCTCGTTCTAGTAGTAGGTGAGCCAATATCCCATGCATGCCATTTAAACAATTTTGTCAAGTAGAGGCTACTATACTTGATTGTATGGCTGCTATAAAAATGAACTGGTTCTATTATAGCCATCATTCGCTGTATAAATACAGTACTGAGAGTTTAGTCATGCATGCATCAACTGCAATCTTAACGCTTCTTCCAGTCGTCAATTTGGGTCGATCTCTGTATTGGGTTATCTGAAAGCCTGTTACTGATGCATAACTGTTTCTGCACGACAAATACTCCTATTAGCAACTCATTGAATGTTGGAAAAGGTTCCAGTCTCAAGCGTCCTGAACAAGATATACTTCGACCCATCCCGCATCAAGAATGGACCAACAGGTACATTCCTACTCCAACTGCTGCAAAACTTGAGATTGATGAAAAGGATCTCTTTCAGCATCCACAGTACACTCCACCGCCCAAGGTGTCTACTTCTATCGGACCACTTGTTGGACCTCTTCACATGCCTGAATTTGATCAATCCAAGCAGATGTGGACAGAGACTGGTGTACGCAGTTGGGACTCGCTCGCCGATTTCCGATTTGAGAATGCCAAGGACTCACTTATTGGTGACTATCCCCGCATTGAACCTCAATTCGCATGGATCCGTGATCCCTATTCCTACTGGGATCAGCAAGGACGACGTAACTTTGGAGAGGTCTTGTACGATAATGACCAATTTACAGATGCATGGGGCATTGGTCCCGCTTCAGACTGGTGGCAACCTACTGTGACTGCTGCAGTTATATTTGGGTTTATCGGTATCTTGGTTTCGATGGCTTACTTGTGGGATACTGACAGCCATTTGTGGTTTGTAAGTATCGTGATTTGCATCATTTCTTTTTTACTGGCTGAAATGGACATCTAACGAGACTGCGTTTCAATCATGGATGGGTTTATATAGGCTGAAAAGGATTATCCATTTAATGGTCTGCGTATTGAACTTGGAGGTGATCCCGAGGATGAGTCTGATAACTGGATGGCTGTAAGTACAGTATGCTGAGATGGATTTAAACTTGTGATCTTGGTCTGACTAAACTACGCGTTTAATAGGCTCATGTTTACAAGGTTTAGTTGGATCAATAAAAAGCAATGCAGTACTGAAAAACACTAAACACTCGACTGTATTAAAATGCGTATACGATATGCTGCTCTTATCAAATGATGTCGCATGGGTAAACTTGAAAACATTGGTTTTAATTTATTTTGTTAAATACCGACACTGTTTGGCAGCTTAATTGAACACAACGGAATGGATTCTCAGTCCAGAATTTTAAAGCTCAGTTTTGATGTCGGATCCAGATTTCTTGTCTGTACCCTTGATAGTGCCAGCTGTATGTGCACTATCCTCCAGTTTCTTCTTTTCCTTTTCTTTCTTCAAGTAGGGACACTCATGGGCAGCCTCGGCAGCATTATGATCGTGGTGAACTTGATGGGTAGAGTCCTTCTTTTTAAAGTGGGGACATCCATGCAGTACAGGACAGTCCAAGGCCTTTCCGTTGTTCTTTTTAATATCATCGTAATAGGGACATTTGGCGGCCAAAGGACATTTAGATGCCTCCCAATTGTACATGCTAGGAACAACGTTGTCACTTTTAATGTTGTGGTAAAAGGGGCACTTGGTGGAAGACAAAGGGCATTTGTGGTCTTCTGTTTGAACAATGTCGAGGAGAGAGTGTTCTTTGGAATGCTGATCGAAATATGGGCAGTTTTTTCCTTTTAGAGGACAGCCATGACTATGTTCAGCAGCTGCAGACGAATCTCTTTGAGTAGGAATAGATTCTGCACGACTCTTGGCAATCTATGATTAGTATCAAGAGGTTAGATGCCAGACTGGATGTTTACTAAAGTTACAGCCGTATTCGCGTAAAACCGAATGAATGTTTACACTACAACACTACAACACTAGTAAACATTGAACAATTGACATGAAAACAGATGCATGTTTGATGCATGCAATCTTTTAAACTAGGCGCGAACATGGAGGTTTAGAATACAAAAGGGGTTTGTAGAGAGCAGCCAAATCCAATATCTAAATTGGAATGTATGGATTTGACGACTGTGCAATGTATGGCTATGCCAAATGAGAGTAACCTCAGTTTAAAACTATAGTTTGTGAACATCATATGATGGACATTGTGTCTATTGCAAGTCAATGTCCAATAGACACACTATTCAACCATTGTCTATCCAAAGCAAAAGGCAATCACTGCAAGATGGTGTTCCATTTTACATGAATATGGCTGTAATGAGCCTTCAGACCATTTTAATGGATAGGACGTTGAATATAGAAAGTATGTTTTTACATTATAAACAGTTGACAACATCCAGCAACACACCTTTTCATAGTGAGGACACTTTCCAGAAAGAGGACATTTGGGAGCAGCAGCAATAGAATCACTACCAGCAGAAGCAAAGGTAGACATGGCCAGAGCAATAAAAAAAGTCTTGAGTAACTGCATTCTTGATGATAACAGTGAGGGTGAGTGGAAAATGCTTTGAATGCAATAAATGGACGAGTCAGTGCGCTGCTCGCTAGTGGCAAATGGACGGCTCGCTTTATTTGTCGTTGAATTCAATCTGTTTGCTGACCTTTACACAATCCATTGCATTGAAGCCGTCTTTGCGTAGTCATTTGATTGCTAGTGAAATGCTTGCGTGCATTCTGCAGATTTGACCAAAACTATTCGCTTTACTTTACGACTGAACTGATGGTCGAACTTGGCGAGACTGCTGTCGATCCAGAAAAACTACGCTTTCAGCTGGAACTGGAGTTTGTGCAGTGTTTGGCCAATCCTGCCTACTTGCAGTACTTGGCTCAACAACGACATTTTGATAATCCTGCTCTCATCAACTACCTTGCATATCTCAAATACTGGCAGAAACCTGAATATGCCAAATACATTCAGTAAGCTGTCACATCTGCTTGACCATGGCATGCACACTATTCATTTCTACCACTCACTATCATCTTTGTAAATAGATTTCCATATGCCCTGCATATTCTAGATCTCTTGCAACATGAATCGTTTAGAAAAGCATGTGCTAGTGCAGACACTGCTGCTTTTCTCCACAAGAAACAATACTACCACTGGGAAGCATACAGAGCTCGGTCATGGCAAAATGCCTCCACTGCAGATTTGGAATCACAGGCTGGATTTATCGATTCAACTGCTGCTTTGCCAGACTTGGCAGTAATCAAACCTGAATCAGTTGACCCTAACATGATTAATCCAACTTGAAAATGAATGATAAAGTGAACAGTATTCAATTCATATATAAGGGATAGAGTGTTTCCAACTACGTGGATTCAAACTCGATCCAAGTCTCGAGTTTGGTGAACTTATCCTCATTTCTCAACAAGATATTATTTACGCGAACTTGATAGATTTGAATGGACCGACAACAGCATCTGCCAGATACAAGGTGTGACTTGCCGTCACGTCCTACTGGTATAACTGTCGGTGACACTTCACGACTTGGCTCAGGTGCCTCGAGAGCAAGTATTAGAGGTGCTTCGTTGTCATACCAGTCCGAAAAGTTATCAGATATACCTAGACAGCCAGGCCTTGTAGCTCGACACTCTCAGCTGCCCTGTAACCAGCCACACGCGCTTCAAGATATAGATACCACACAGGTACTTGACTGTCGCTTAATTTCTTATCTACTGTCCGACTTGAAATGCACTAGAACCACATATACTATGGTCTGTCAACCAATTTACTGATTTCATGTTGAATGTCTAGACTGTTTCATCACATTCAAGTAGATACAGAAAATATCCAAACCTAATTGAGATTTACGTCCCAACCAACCGTGCTAGTGTAAATACTAAATTGACCACAGGGTTCTATGGTGTTTCTGGAACAAATACAGTCGATTCCCAGTCTGATCAAAACAAACCGCATAATCGAGGTCCATCTCAACGCCCCAAGCCTCCCCAAAAAGGTGGTGTGCGTGAAACCCCACCCAAAGAAAACACCGTCTTTGAGCTGGCCAAACTTGACAATGTATGTATACACTGTATCATAATCTGCCAGCTACACGCTGTACTGAGTTGACTGCTCAATCTTTTATATCTCACGAGCAAATTAATTTGATTCCCAGTATACAACAAAACGTACTGAAACTAACTCCAATACACTACTCTGCAGTTTGTTCCATTTGTGATTGATCTCGACAATGTAGATTTACCACCTTTACTTAAAAAGTTTTCATGGACTTTGGCTTCACCATTCAAGGAGGAAAAGTACCATCGCTCTGTATCCAACTCTATCGGAAATAATTATAGTCCATCTGCTACAGACATCAATATGAAACAGATGGGAAAGCGTGGACGTCCAGGTGCTGCCGGTACGTAACATTTTAGGTTGATACTTGTAAAACTGTTATTGCATGTGTTGATGATATCCAGTGTGTATTTTCTGTTTAAAATACATGTAGAAAACGATTTGATCAAACGATTAAAGTCGGCAAATAATAGTCTAGATTCAGCAGAAACGGTTGACCGAATTCCTCAAAACTCCAGTCGACCGGTATCACCCATGTCGAGAATCAAAGCTACAGTCACATCTTTTGAAACGTTTCAAAAACCTGAGCAGAGAAATGCCATGGATCTGGATCCCTTTGATCTTGAAACGCTCACCATTTCTCAACAAGTGACTCCCGAGCAGAGGTACTGGTTTTATGTAGAAAAGGGGGTTCCCAACACTGCATTGGCTACCATGGATCATGCCACGCTAAAGGGAGTTGAAAGCCGTCTTCCATATCATTTGTTGATGGCTGATCACCTTCAAGAAACACGCTGTAATTTGGTTGAAGAAATCAAGGAGGTATATGCCACATCAGCCAAACAGTCCATTGTGGATTATATTCTATTAGATCCATCTGAACAGCAACGGTTACTGATTCCTCAGTTTTTTGCCAACTACGTGCCTCGGATTGCGCGTGCTCCAGTTCCTTGGCACGACAGTTTAATTACAGCCAACACATATATTGAACAGAATCTATTCATCACCAATCCAGTTATGATACAACTTCTTCAAATCTATGCTCAGTTTGAAAAGTGCAAAGTAGTGGATATGAGTGTGTTTTCCTCGAGCGTTTTGCCCATGACCACCGCGGAATTCCAAGGTATTCTTAAAGCCCAATGCCAAGCATTCAGAAGCAAAATGCTCAATGAATGGATTCCAACAGTAGTCAATTTATTTCTACAAAGCAAGGATATATGGTACTCTGTCGCGACTGATTGTGAAGATACCGACGTAGGCTTCCGACGCCTTGACATGTTTTTTAAATCTGTTACAACACTACTATCCAATCAGCTATGGTCATTAGTGGAAGCAAGCATTGTAGAGTTTGAAACATTTTTCAGTCAGTTTTCTCAAGCCTCGTCTGATGTCTCTCTGTTTGCTGTTCATTTGAATATCTCTGGAGCTCAAATTCGGTTTGATCCACCACTTTCAGACCTTGAAACTGTTGTTGTTACTATTCTCACAGAGATTGTTTCTGCTGTGAAAGAAATCCCTCGTATTGAAACCAAATTGTTTACAAGTCTTAGCGGGGAGCATCTATATCTTCCTACTATTACTTTTGAAGATGATCGGATTGCTGATGGCCGTTTTTTTCGTCGCATCGTTGCAAAAAATACTGTGGGGCCACAAAAACATCTCATGAGCTACGATAAATACAAGTCTCTTCTTAATCACAAAGCAGAAAAGCGAATCGAAGATTTTTTAAGAGAAAAACATGATTTGGAAGATTATGAAACAGAAATCAAAAAGTTGATTAAACTGATTGATGATATTTCCGTGTCACCTTCTATTGCGCGGTTTAGCATGATCTTTCTTGAATGCGAGGCACTCAAAGTCGAATTAACGTCTAAAGCCAACATGCTTGTACAAAAGTTGGTTGATCAGGTGGCTGAGATGAACAGAAAAGGCAATCTCTCCATTTGCGAATCGTATGAAAAAATTTCTGCCAAGGCGATGAAGGTGCCCAGCGACACCGAGGAGCTAGTCGAGTTGATAAAATATGTTGAAAATGCCAAAACCAAGGACATTGTTGCACTAAAAGAGGAAATACACAAAGGCAAACGACGATTGGACTTTTTGCTTACATATGCATTTATGAGTGAGGAAGATATCAAGCTTAATGGAGTGACATTTACTTGGCCAACACGGATTCTCCCTATTTTTGAACTGTCCAAAAAGCGCATGCTGCAGAAAAAAACCAAGGCACAGGAAGATTTGAAGTTGAAGATTGAAGCAACAAACGTAGATCTGGACGAGTGTTTCGAGAGTGCAACAAAATTCCAGGACTATGGTATAATGCCAGAACTTCCCGAGTATATCAAAAAAATCAAAAAACTTGAAGTTAAACTCAGCGAACTGCATGATGTTATTGAAAATATCAATGTTGAAGAAGAGTTACTTGATTGGGAAAAAACTCCTTTTGCTAAACAGCAACAGACCATTGATTTTCTTGATCCGTACAAAAAACTATGGGAAACTTCGCATCAATTCCAAACCGATTATGCTCGCTGGATGAATGGCAGTTTTCAAAATATTCAGGCTGAACAAGTTGAAGAATCAGTCAACAATATGTTTCGCATCATGTTTAAACTCACCAAGACTTTTTCAGATCAACCTGTGCCGAAAAAGGTTGCTGAAAGTGTCAAGAATAAGTTGGAAAAGTTCAAGGCGCATTTACCCCTGATTGTTATACTACGCAATCCTGGCTTGTGCGATCGACATTGGGATCAGATGGCGCAAGTTGTTGGACAGCCCATTGTGCCAGATGATTCAACTTCTTTGAGCAAGATTTTGGAACTGAATCTGACACCCTATTTGACTCAATTTGAAGCCATTTCTGATGGAGCATCCAAGGAGCATTCGTTACAAAAATCGCTTTGCAAAATGCGCGACGATTGGGAACCTTTAGTATTTACCTGCATCGATTACAAGGACACTGGAACAAAGATCTTGTCTGCATTTGACGAAGTTCAATCACTGCTGGATGATCAGATTGTCAAAGTACAGACTATGCGTAGCAGTCCATTTGCAAGGCCAATGGAAGAAGATGTAAAATCTTGGGAAACCACATTAAACAACGTGCAGGATATCATTGATTCATGGCTTTCCGTACAAGCAACATGGCTATACCTTGAGCCCATTTTCACCAGTGAGGATATTATGGCTGCTATGCCTGTTGAAGGAAAGAAATTCAAAACTGTAGATAGAACATGGAGGGATATTATGTCAACCACATCAGAGGATCCAAAGATTCTGGCAGTATCAAAAATTCCTGGTATTCTTCAACGTTTAAACGAAAGCAATTTGTTATTAGAAGAAATTCAAAAGGGACTCAATGATTATTTGGAGAAAAAAAGGTTGTTCTTTCCCAGATTCTTTTTCCTTTCCAACGATGAGCTATTGGAAATTTTGGCAGAAACAAAGGATCCTTTGCGTGTGCAGCCTCATTTGAAAAAATGCTTCGAGGGCATTAATAGCCTAGTGTTTCAAGACGGCACCAAGATCATTGCCATGTGCTCGAGTGAAAACGAAAAGGTAAAGCTTAAAGAAGTCATTGAGCCTGCCAACGCTAAAGGAGCGGTGGAAAAATGGCTGCTGCAGGTGGAAAAAGTAATGCAGATGTCTGTCCATCAGCAAATAGTCAACTCACATAAAGCATATATGGATACTCCACGTGAAAAATGGATTTTGGAATGGCCGGGACAAGTTGTAATTTGTGTTAGTCAGATATACTGGACAAAAGAAGTTACCGAAGTTTTGCAAAAAAATAATAGTGTTGATGAGCTTGCAAAATATCGTAATATCTGTACAAAACAGCTTGAAAATACAGTTTCTCTTGTTCGTGGCGAGCTGTCGCCTATGGCTCGAATGACTTTATCTGCATTGGTGGTGATTGATGTGCATGCTCGCGATGTGGTGAATGATCTTCATAATGCGCAAGTATCAAGCGAAGGAGACTTTGAATGGCTTTCGCAGCTGAGATACTACTGGGAGCAAGACGATGTCAATGTTCGAATGATCAATGCAACCATCAAATATGGATACGAATATCTTGGAAACTGTCCCCGACTAGTAATCACACCTTTGACTGATCGTTGCTATAGAACTCTCATTGGTGCGCTAGATCTCAATCTTGGTGGTGCACCAGAGGGCCCTGCTGGTACAGGCAAAACAGAATCCGTCAAAGATCTGGCAAAAGCTATTGCCAAAGCATGCGTTGTATTTAATTGTTCAGATGGTCTAGATTATATTGCCATGGGCAAATTTTTCAAAGGTCTTGCTTCGTCTGGAGCATGGGCTTGTTTTGACGAATTCAATCGTATTGATTTAGAAGTACTGTCTGTTGTTGCCCAACAAATCTTAACTATCCAATGCGCTGTGGTGGCCAAAATGGAAAAGTTTGTGTTTGAAGGCACTACAATTTCATTAAATCGTGGTTGTTCTGTATTCATTACTATGAATCCAGGATATGCCGGTCGCTCTGAATTGCCTGATAATCTCAAGGCACTATTTAGACCAGTAGCAATGATGGTTCCTGATTACGCCCTAATTGCTGAAATTTCTCTCTACTCGTTTGGGTTTGTCGAGGCTCGCACTTTAGCTCGCAAGATTGTTGCGACATACAAACTCTGCTCTGAACAGCTTTCCTCTCAGGACCATTACGATTATGGTATGCGTGCTGTCAAGGCAGTGCTTACAGCAGCAGGAAATTTAAAACTCAAATATCCTGACGAAGATGAGCACATTATCATGCTGCGATCCATCAACGACGTCAACTTGCCCAAATTTCTTACGCAAGATATTCCACTTTTTAAAGCTATTTCTGCAGACCTGTTTCCTAAAGTTGTTTTGCCTACACCCGACTATCGCAGTCTTATAATTAGTATCCACGAACATATGAAAAAGTCAAACCTTCAGGCAGTTGACTCTGCATTAGAAAAAATTATCCAAATGTATGAGATGATGTGCATTCGCCACGGCTACATGCTGGTCGGTATGCCGTGGTCAGGAAAAACAACATCATACCGCGTTCTTGCAGCAGCGCTTTCAGATATATTTGAACGTACACTCAGTGAAAATCGTGTCGAGTACAAGGTCATCAACCCTAAATCAATTACCATGGGACAACTATATGGCCAATTTGATCCAGTCACACACGAGTGGACCGATGGTGTACTGGCCAATACATTCAGAGCATTTGCTCAACAAGAGACAACCGAACGCAAATGGATTATTTTTGATGGACCAGTCGATGCTATTTGGATTGAAAACATGAATACTGTATTGGACGATAACAAAAAATTGTGTTTGACAAGTGGTGAGATTATGTCCATGTCCAACAGTATGAGTATTCAGTTTGAGGTTTCTGATCTTGCTGTGGCCTCGCCTGCCACTGTGTCTCGTTGCGGTATGATTTATATGGAGCCCGATGCGCTTGGATGGCGTCCGATTATGCAGTCTTGGCTCAATTCTCTGCCAGAGGGTATCAAACCTGATCAAAAAAGTATGCTTTCCAGCCTGTTTGAGTGGATAGTTCCTGCATGTGTGAGCTTCACAACTACTCAATGTCGCGAAGTCGTTGGTACGTCAAGTATTAATATGGCTGTTACGCTCATGAACCTTATGAGTTGTCAATTGGACGATTTTTCTGGCGAACCTAAAGAGTTGGAAGACGTTCCTATCAATGTTCAAACTGTATGGATCACATCCTATTTTTTGTTTGCATGTGTTTGGTCTTTAGGAGGCACGCTAGATGCCCAGTCTCGTCAGAAAATCAATATATTCTTTAGAGAGTTGACTGCTGGTGCCAACAAAAATTACCCACCGCCAGAAAAGTTTAAATTCGACAAACTCATACCCGACTCGGCCACTATATACGACTATGTGTTTGAAAAAGACAGGAAACTGGGCGGTGTGTGGAAATTGTGGACAGACACCATAGACTCTTTTGAGATACCAGCAAAACAGAAATTCAACAACATTACCATTCCTACGGTTGATACTGCTCGCTACAGCTATTTGCTAGACTTGCTTCTCAAGCACAATAAGCAATGTTTGCTTGTGGGTCCAACCGGTACGGGAAAAAGCGTTTACATCAACAACAAACTGTTCAATGGATTGCCCAAGGATAAGTATTTGCCAGTGTTTATTAATTTTTCTGCACAAACTTCTGCAAATCAAACTCAGGATATTGTTTTGAGTAAACTGGACAAAAGACGCCGTGGTGTGTATGGCCCACCTCATGGGTTCAAGAGCGTAATTTTTGTCGACGATCTCAATATGCCTGCTCGCGAAAAGTATGGGGCACAGCCTCCTATTGAGTTATTGCGACAGTGGATGGATCACGGTCAGTGGTATGATATCAAAGACACTAGTCCACTCCAGCTAGTTGATATTCAGTTTGTTGCTGCAATGGGTCCACCTGGTGGAGGGCGAAACCCAGTTACTTCCAGATTCCTGCGCCATTTCAATATACTATCTATTGTAGAGTTTGATGATGTTACGATGAAGCATATATTTTCTTCGATTGTGGACTGGCATTTTACATCAAACAAATTTTCTGCTTCTATCTCTGCCATGAAATCCTCTCTAATCTCTGCCATTCTAGATATATATCAAGGTAAAGGTGTAATTTGACTGTCGTATATTTTAAAAACAACGACAATTAACGTATTGGTATTTCAACTTGATAGGTGCGATTGCAAGCCTCTTGCCCACACCAACCAAGTCGCATTACGTATTTAATCTACGTGATTTTGCTCGTGTAGTACAAGGGTTGCTTCTAGCCACGCCAGAGAAATTTACTGAAACGCCCAAGATGATTCGACTTTGGTGTCACGAAGTATACAGAGTATTTTACGATCGATTGGTCGATGACACTGATCGAGAATGGTTTTTCAACAGCGTCAAAGAAATTTCAACCCGAAACTTTAATATCCGTTTTAATGATGTGTTTGGTCATTTGAGCTCAAACCAGAGCGATGTAATTGAGGACGACGATATTCGCAGTCTTATGTTTGGTGACTACATGTTTCCAGATGCAGCAGTATGCATATACGATGAGGTTTCTAATGTCATCAAAGCTTCGGATATTATTAAAGTTCGACTGGACGAATACAACCAAATGTCTAAAGCTCCCATGAACTTGGTGATTTTTAGATTTGCCATTGAGCACGTGTCACGCATCAGTCGTATTCTCAAGCAACCTAGTGGCCATGCGCTTCTGGTCGGTGTTGGTGGTAGTGGTAGACAATCACTTACTCGTCTTGCAGCATTTATGTCCGATTACATATTGTTCCAAGTTGAGATTTCCAAGTCATATGGCAAAAACGAGTGGCGAGACGATCTAAAGCGATTTTTGATCAAAGCAGGCGCAGATGGAAAACAGTGTGTTTTCTTGTTTAGCGATACTCAGCTTAAACAAGAATCCTTTTTGGAAGATATCAACAATATGTTAAATACGGGCGAAGTTCCCAATATTTTCCCTATGGACGAAAAGGCTGCAGTGATTGAGCGTGTGAGAGATACGCTTGCAAAGGATAACTCCAAGATTGACACATCACCTGTTGGACTATACAACTCGTTCATTTCAAAGTGTAAAGAAAATTTGCATATTGTACTATGCATGAGTCCAATTGGTGATGCTTTTCGAAATCGATTACGCATGTTTCCCAGTCTGGTCAACTGCTGCACAATCGATTGGTTTCAGGTATGGCCCGAGGATGCGTTGGAAATTGTAGCTACCAAATTTCTAGAAGATGTGGAATTGTCTGATCAAGTGCGCAAAAGTGTTGTAACCATGTGCAAGCGATTCCATACTGATACACGAGTACTTAGTGGCAAATTCTACGATGCACTGCGTCGTCATAACTATGTTACCCCAACTTCATATCTAGAACTTATTCAGACTTACAAGCAGTTATTAACAAACAACCGCACAAAAGTTGATTCGCAAAGAATACGATATGAAGTGGGATTGGATCAATTGGCTAGTGCCGCTGCCCAGGTTGGCACCATGCAAATCGAGCTAAACAGCCTCCAACCCGAACTAATCAATACTCAAAAAGAAACTGATAAGATTATGGAAGTTATTCAACGTGAAAGTGTCGAGGTTGAAAAGAAGCGAGAACTGGTTAAAATTGACGAGGAGGTGGCAAACCAAATGGCTGGAGAAGCCAAAGCCATGAAGGATGAATGCGAGGCTGATCTTGCAGAAGCCATTCCCGCCTTGGACGCTGCATTGGAAGCGCTTGACACATTGAAGCCACAAGATATCACAATGGTCAAGTCTATGAAGAATCCTCCTGGAGCAGTTAAACTGGTTATGGAAGCAATCTGCATAATGAAGGGACTCAAGCCTGCGAGAGTCAAAGACACGGCTGGAAGTGGTAAAATGGTTGACAATTATTGGGGTCCTGCACAAAAAATGCTGAGTGACTCGCATTTTTTACAAGGCCTGCGATCCTACGACAAGGATAATATTGATCCAAAAATAATCGAGCGTATTAGAAAAACATACATTCCCAATCCCGATTTTGATCCCAACATTGTCAAGAATTCATCATCAGCAGCAGAAGGATTGTGTAAATGGGTATGTGCTCTTGACAAGTACGAGGTTGTTGCTAAGGTTGTTGCTCCAAAAAAGGAAGCTCTTGCCAAAGCCGAAGCAGAGTTATCTGTTGAAATGGCCAAATTGAATGCCAAGCGAGCGGAACTGCATGAAGTTGAAGAAAAAATGGCCAAACTTGAAAGTGGATTCAAGGAAATGACTGATAAAAAGGCAGATCTGGAGCATCAAGTGGATATGGTTGGAAAAAAACTTGTACGCGCTGAAAAGCTTATTGGCGGGCTTGGTGGAGAAAAGGACCGTTGGAGTGAGGCTGCACAATCGCTGTCTATTACCTATACCAACTTGACTGGTGACGTGTTGCTTGCATCTGCCGTCATTGCTTATTTGGGTGCATTTACTCTAGGCTACCGTAACTCCATACTTACAGAATGGAACAAGATGTGTATTGCACAAAATATTCCTTGCTCATCAGCATTTTCGCTAACATCCACATTGGGAGACTCGATTCAAATTCGCACATGGAGTTTAGCTGGACTCCCTAATGACTCGTTTTCGTGTGATAATGCAATTATTTCTACCAAAGCACGCCGATGGCCTTTGTTCATTGATCCACAAGGTCAGGCAAACAAATGGATCAAGAACATGGAGAAACAAAATCAACTGATTGTCATCAAACTTTCCGATTCTGACTATGTGCGCAGTTTAGAAAATGCTATTCAGTTTGGCACACCCGTGTTATTAGAGAATATTGGCGAGGAAGTTGATTCTGTGCTAGAGCCGCTTTTAACCAAGCAGATTTTTAAGCAAAGTGGTGTAATGTGTATTCGACTTGGAGAAGCTATTGTTGAATATTCTTCAGATTTTCGATTTTACATCACCACCAAATTACGGAATCCACATTACCTTCCCGAACTGAGTACCAAAGTTACCACAGTGAATTTTATGATCACGCCTGATGGGCTAGAAGATCAACTTTTGGGAATTGTTACTGCGAAAGAACGTCCTGAACTTGCCGAAGAAAAAAGCAAACTTGTGATTGCATCTGCCAATAATAAGCGACAGCTAAAGGAAATTGAAGATAAAATTTTGGCAATTCTCAGTACTAGCCAGGGCAATCTTTTGGAGGACGAATCAGCAATCACAGCGCTAACAAGCTCAAAGATTCTATCAGACGATATTGCACAAAAACAGCAAATCTCAGATGTGACTGAAAAGCAGATTGATATTACTCGCCAGGGATACAGACCTATAGCATTCCACTCTTCGATACTGTTTTTTGTTATTGCAGAGCTGACCAATATTGAACCCATGTACCAATACTCTTTAGGATGGTTCATTAATTTATTTTTACAGTCTATTTCAGATTCAGAAAAATCAGATACTTTATCCAATCGTTTGGATAATCTCAGGTCGCATTTTACGTATTCATTGTATTGCAATGTTTGTCGATCTTTGTTTAAAAAGGACAAGCTACTTTTTTCGTTTATTCTTTGTGTCGGTATTTTACGAGGAGCTGGTAAGATTGATCCTGACGAGTGGCTGTTTTTGCTTACTGGAGGACTATTATTAGACGGGAAAATGCCGCCAAAACCATCTCCTGACTGGCTGAGCGAAAAGGCTTGGTCTGAATCGGTTCGTGTTTCAGTTATACCAGCTTTCAAGGAGTTTTTTACCGATTTAAAAAATAATTTGCCCGCATGGGGAGAGATCTACAACTCCACCGAGCCGTATATGATGGATTTGCCATTGCCTTGGAACAATAATCTCAACTCTTTTCAAAAACTATTGGTAATGCGTATTATTCGGCCAGATAAACTTGTTCCTGCTGTCATGGAGTTTGTGAAATCCAATATGGGACAGCAGTTTGTTGAACCACCACCGTTTGATCTTAATGCAAGCTATAGTGACTCGAATAGCTGTGCTCCACTTATATTTATTCTTTCCCCTGGTGCCGATCCTATGGCAGGATTACTCCGATTTGCTGAGAGCAAAGGATTTGGTGCTAATAAACTCAACGCAATTTCACTGGGTCAGGGTCAAGGTCCTGTAGCTGCTGGAATGATCCGTCAAGCAATCAAAGCAGGAACATGGGTGATACTTCAAAATTGTCATTTGGCTGTATCTTGGCTACCTACGCTAGAAAAGATCTGTGAGGAGCTTGTTTCAGACACGACAAATCCCGAATTTAGACTATGGCTTACATCCTATCCAACTGAAAAATTCCCTGTTACCTTGCTTCAAAATGGAGTCAAAATGACCAACGAACCACCAGCAGGATTGCGAGCAAACTTGTTGCGAAGCTACACATCTGATCCAATTTCAGATGAAAATTTCAGTAATAATGTAGTTGCAGGTAGCCGTATTGCTTGGGAAAAGATGCTATTTGGTCTATGTTTTTTCCATGCGTTAGTTCAAGAACGTCGTAATTTTGGCCCACTGGGATGGAATATTGCATATGAATTCAACGAATCCGACTTGAGAATCAGCATCCGACAACTTCAAAAATTCCTCAACGATTATGAAGAAGTGCCTTGGAAAGCACTGGCTTATTTGGCCGGAGAGTGCAACTATGGTGGTCGTGTTACAGATGATCGAGATCGACGCACTCTCATGTCTTTACTATCGATTGTATACACACCAGAAATACTCGACGACGATTACAAGCTATCTGCCTCATCTGCCTACTACGCGCCTCCTCATGGATCATATGATTCTTATATTCAATATATAAAGTCATTACCTGCTATCCAAAGTCCAGAAGTGTTTGGCATGAATGAGAATGCGGATATCGCAAAAGATTTGACCGAAACCAACCTTCTTATTTCGTCCATTGTACTGACACAAGGCGGTGGCGGAGTAGGTGGGGGCGGAAAAAGCCAAGATGAACTGACGGCAGATATTGCATCAGGCATTCTATCTTCATTGCTACCAGATTTTGATGTTTCTCTTGCAAAAAAGCACTACCCGGTCAAATATGAAGAAAGTATGAACACTGTTCTTATTCAAGAACTGGTTAGATACAATCGTTTATTACAGGCTGTGCGTGAGTCACTTCAAAATGTCCTTAAGGCTCTCAAAGGTCTTGTTGTCATGTCCAAAGAACTTGAAGAGGTGGCAACAAGTCTTACACTGGGCAAAATTCCCGAATTATGGGCAGGAAAGTCGTATCCGTCACTTAAGCCATTGGGTGCATATATTCAAGATTTTGTTACTAGATTACAGTTTTTCCAAACATGGATTGAGCAATCTACTCCACCTGTGTTTTGGATATCTGGGTTCTATTTCACACAATCTTTTTTGACTGGTATCTTGCAGAATTACGCGCGAAAATATGCTATCCCTATTGATCTACTCGTACTTTCTTTCGATGTGATGAAAGAAGATAGTTATGCACATCCGCCTCAAGATGGTGTGTATGTTCGTGGATTTTATCTGGAGGGAAGCAGATGGGATCGTACAACAAATCTTTTGGGCGACCAACTTCCTCGACAACTTACAGATGCCATGCCCATTGTCAGAATGACACCTTGTCAGTCAGATTCTGAAGAGCTATTGCATGCCAAAGAAAAATACTACGACTGCCCAGTATACAAAACAAGTTTACGTCGCGGCACACTTTCGACAACGGGCCACAGTACAAACTATGTTATGAGTATGCTGCTTGCCACTGATAAAATTAAGCGTTACTGGATAAACAGAGGTGTTGCTGCAGTGGTAAGTTATTTGATTGAAATTGCTCAAAAAAAAGTTTTATTTTACGTTTCTCACTGTATTTTTACTGATTGATGTAAATATAGTTACAATTGAGCGACTCTTGACGATTATGAATAATAAACCACTGATTTTGCCGTAATGGTTATGTGATCAAATACCATTTGAACTGAATAGAAAAATAAAAATTGGATAGATTTGAAAAAGTATGACAAGATTGTGACATTTTTGGATCACTTGATGTATCAGCAATTCAAAAAACAGCTGTATAGTCTGAATGCTCTCATTCATAACTTGTTAATCTATATTCGATTGTCTTGAATATAAAAACGAGAAATAGTTGGATAGCAACCAAAATCAAAACTACAAGAGTATAATGATGGATAGTATGAGCATATTATGAGTATATTATGGGTGGATCTCAAGTTTAATCATTTTGATACTAAGCATTCATATGCCAAATCACATGCAATCCTATTACTGATGTTTAGTCAATTCATGCTTTAACCTAGACTGACTACTATTATTAAATAATAAATTGATTTCACAACTTGTATCCCCATCCAATTACAAGGCATATCGATTAATAAAAAGCTGTTTATAACTGAAACAATTCAACCCACAAATCTACCATCTTCTTGGAAATAACCAACTCTGAGCTGCTGAGCTTTCCGATCCGGGAGTCTCTATAATCGCCAGGTGCATCCATTTTTCCATATAAACAAAATGGCAATCCTGAAAGTTCCCAATCAACATTTACACCTGCACTTTCAGTTGCCCAGTAAGTAGGCTCCATCATGTTCAGGTTTTTTGAAGGGATGCGTTCGCCAATGCCACCATTGAACCATAGTGGTTTACCATGTTCATCTGCATGGTATAAACCACCGCATACCTTGTGCTTGCCTTCTTGTTCAAAAACTTTCCCAATTGCTCCACCGTTATCCAAAAAAACTGTGAATGGAATCTGCAATGCTTCATGAGACAACCAATACGTTTCCTTGTCACCTATAAACAGTAGTTCAAATTGTGTTAATACCATGTTCAAATCAGCGTGTATTACTTTTAAATAAAAGGTGCATACCGTATGTCTTTGAGTATATCAAGTCCATATAAGGCATACTGTTAAGTGCACATGTGAGGAGAATAGCAGGCATCGATCTTGTCTTATCCCAAACCACAACTCCTGAATCAAGCTCATCGGACGAGACTTTCGCCATCACGCGACTAGTATTGAATATGAGATTTTCTTTGAATGGCTCAGCTAATGTGTTGATTAAATCAGTCAATCCAGGTCCATGACCATAAGTTCCAAATCCAAGAGTTCGATCACGAAAAAACAATGCTCCTGTTTCCTTGTATGCCTTTGTTTCAAACAATGTTTCTGGATGTTGGAAAAACAAGGCATCAGTGTCCATCAAAATGACTTGTTGAAAACTAGATGCCAATACTGCCAATGGCTTGTTTTCCCATCCTTTGCTGCATTTCTTCAGACCAAGCACAGATTGCATATCCACAAGTGTAACTCGATGTAACGACGTCAATGCATCACGCTCCTTTTGCCCAAGATCGTCTTCGCCACAATATATGATTTCAATTGGCAATTGATTACCAATAAAATTAAGCATGGTGATGGAGTGTTGGGCGACTAAAGCGTATTTTGAACCAGTGGTCATGACAATTCCACGTCCTCTTGATTTTAAAAGTGATTCCACTGCCGAGTGGTACATAGGTCCATTGATGATCCATGGATAAAGTTTTTTTTCCAATTGGAAAAGTTGATCCTCCATGCGAGTCCTTGTAGCAGAATCGTATTGGCAAATCACCAGTTGATAGTAAATGTCAAAGGCTTTTTGATAAGTACGTGCAATGTTCCCCAATTCAACCATATCACCGCCGTCGGGAATTGCGTCTTTACTATTGATGTATTTCAGTGCTGATATAATCTGATTTATATATGCATCGCTGATTTTAATTGATGGCCCGGATTTACCATTAGAGCTAAAAATCAAATGATGTCAGTGTTGAGCCGAGTAATCGAATGCCCATTCTTATTGTAAAGCTGACTACTTTGTTCACATACCTCATGTTTAAACTTTTAGAGCACAGTGGTTCTAGTGAAACAGCTGTGCTATAGACTGCAGTGTAACTATCTTCAATACTTGAACCGACATGCCCTTCAAGTTTGGAATAACGAATAGAATATGCGCCTATGGTTGCAGAGTATTAGTTTAACGATATTGACCCGAATACACGCTTCAAAACTATAAATAGTCGGTGTATTCGACTGAATTTGAATAGTATTAGTCTCAAAAATAACATACCAATGTGTATAAATGCAACTAATACTACAACACTCATTAAAAGATACAGGAGTATAAAACCTTTAGCTTTTTTTCTGAGTATGCCATAAACATATTTTGCTGCAGGCATGTCAAACATGATTTAGTATCAAGTCAAAGTATCCACCGTCTCAGCTAATCAATTCAGCTACCTTTTTGAGGGCCAGCATACACGAATCCTAAATATTTGGCATGTATTTAAATTGACGATTAATATCTAGGGTTGTTGAAATCGAATAAAAGTAGCCAAAACTAGACAGATACAATGTATCTGAGACTTATTATTCCACTCCAACTATGCATGAAACTCAAATAAATTCAAGACATTGTCTATCAAGTCATCAATACGCACCACGATAGCTTTTGGCTGAAAACCCCTTTTGACTAGAGTAGTCATATACGTTGTCACAAAGTGGGTGCATTTCAATCTGATATTTATTTTTAAAGCTAATCAAACAATTTGCTGAAGATGAGTGTAAACCCCAGCCGAGTCTACTTATATTTTACAGCTGTTTGTCAGTTCAAACGCCATGGCAGTGTTTTAAAAATTAAGCAAATGTTGAACGTGGCATTCTAATAGTGGCTCTGGTAGATCTAACATTATTGAATCTCCGCGAATCTGTAATTGATTAAATATCGACATACTTTGATGTAGTCTTCAGTGTATGAATCAATATATTAAAGTCGAGCTGAAAAAGTAAACCCGTTTGACATATTTTTGCCGTCTTTCCATACCGTCAAAGGATTTGGGCTGATACTTGAATGGTGAATAGCAAATAATATATTCTGTGTGAATATGGTGTTGCTCTTCAATTTATCAAAATGTTTGGCCACGAAAATGGAGATGCAGATTTGACTACTGAGACTCGGATCAACACGCTCATAATTTCGCCGCTGTATTCGCGTAAAATGCAACTAAACAAGTCTATAATAAAATCAGCTCCGTAGCATGATAATCCACACAAAATATACTATACAGCATTGTCTCTAAATTTTTGACAAAGCTGTCTGGTTCCTGTGGTCATTTTTGTATAAACATGCATAATCTCGGTTCAAAACTATAGTTTGATTGAGAATCATATTATGGATGATGTATTTATTGGAAATGCCAATTTCTAGTAGAAAAACGCAACAAATATTGTATAATCTGGAGCAAAAATAGTCACCAAGCACAGAAGTGATCCATTTTATGTGAATACGACTGTAAATTAAAGCAAAACAACTCCTATGGTCAAAAGGGCCAGCCCAAAGTATGTGGTTATGTTTGGAGTTGCCGCAGCCAACACCCAATTTGCTGTACCATTAGCAGTATGTCCTTGTGATGGCATCGATGGATCTGAAGTTCCTTCAACTTGGCCTTGTCCCAAGGCCGGAGGTGGTTGACTACCCGGCAATTCAACCTGTACATCAAAAGTTGCTGCGGGCGGTTGCTTTTGTTCGGTAACTGATGTACTTGTTGTACTGGGACCATTTGAGGTATTTTTATCTTGTGTTGAATTGTGATGTTGTGATTCGGTATTCGTTTGTGAGCTTGATTTGCCATGCGAAGTAGCTTTACTTGAATCTGCAAAATTTTTTGTCGATGAAGAGCTGCCATGATGAGTATTCTTGTCACCATCATCGTCGTCATCACCATCTTCTTCTTCGTCACCATCACCATCTTCGTCACCATCACCATCTTCGTCACCATCACCATCTTCTTCTTCCTCCCCATCTTCTTCTTCGTCATCATCATCACTCGAGTTTGATTTGGAAGTACTAGTATGTGGGTGGTTACCTTTTTTATCAGATGCAGATTTACTTACACTTGTAGTAGATTGTGGTTTAGATCTGTGGTATTGAGCGTGTACAGCTGATCGACTCGCATGTCCATTTGATACATGCTGCCGATACTGAATATTTGGATTGTGTCGGTGTTGCACATTGGGATCGTGCCAATGCTGAGTATTGGGATCGTGCCAATGTCGCACATTTTGATTGTGTTGATGCTGGATATTTTGATTGTGTTGATGCTGGGCATTGGGATCGTGCCAGTACGTTTGTTTCCATGACCAGCTGGCTGGCCTTTGATGCGGATGTTGTAACCACCAATGTGTTCTATACCAGTACGCCTGTTTTTGGTTTGGAGTTGGTCTAACTACTTGGTGGTGATTTTCCTGAAGTTCTGGCGGTAAGGAATATGCCGCCGTAGATGTTGCTAAAGCAAGACTGACGATCAAGTTTGACTTCATCGGAGCTGTATAGTAGTGAAGTTGTAGCAGTTTTGTAGGCAGAATGATCACTGAACAGCGATTGGTAGCAGGCAATGGGCAACTCCTTCCCTTTTTAGCTAGAACACTATGCTTTTATTAACCAGCAGTGTCTACTGGAAGGACGTGGCCTAGCAGGGTTTAGGGTGTTGTGTTGCCTTCTCTAGCCCATTCTACTTTGTTTCTACCATGTTAGACCTTGACCTACTGAAAATGGCTTCATGCTGTCCCTTGCAGTGATATAGAAGACCTTATTTTGTCAGGGCATGTTTAAGGATTGTGTTGTGCTATACGATGAGCGTTTGGGGCTACTTGCCCTTGTGCTACCATCCATATTTGCAGTATTCCTACTACTGACCCTGTGTTACATTAATAAAAAGCTTATATGTTTATCAGCACCCTTTACTTCAAACAACTAGATTATCGGCATATCCAGGGTACGTGCTTTGTAACTGTGGAAGTAGCGAAACCCTGGGTGTGGAAAGTGCTTAATCTCGATGATCCCTTCATGACTCGAGATAAAAACGTTGCTATTAACTCTTAAAAACCTACTCATTTCTCTGGCTTTTCTGATTATCTTTTACAACAGCAATATCTGATATAATTAAAAACCAACCTATCAAATGATCATAAATTTTACTCTGGGTCTTTTGGTGCTCTTGTATGGGAGCATCATGGCATCTCCGATTTTACCTGACAACGTCGATTCATCAGCACCATCATCACAAACCAATTCACCCAATGCTGATGAGGATTCACAAGTTCAACAGCATCTCAACTCGGACTCCAATCCAAACCACGACTCGGATCCTGATTTAGAAACCAATCTCGAACACAGTTTGACTCTTGATTCAGGTTCCAAGCAAAGACTTATTCAGGGACCCAAGCCAAACTACGGTTTGAATCTTGGTTTAAATCCCAATCCAAACCACGACTCGAATCTTGATTTAGAAACCAATCTCGAACACAGTTTGACTCTTGATTCAGGTTCCAAGCAAAGACTTATTCAGGGATCCAAGCCAAACTACGGTTTGAATCTTGGTTTAAATCCCAATCCAAACTTTCAAGTTTCTGTACCAAAATCCAAACCTTCTACCCATTTGGACACAAGCGCTAAAACCCAATTAAAACAAGCGTCCATGTTGAAAGATCAAGCTATTTTGAGCGCTCACAATGCACTTTCACTCAAACTCCGAGTGATTAAACTTGAGAGAAAGTTAAAAAAGTGTCTAAAAGAATTGGAAGCTAGTGTAAATTCCGATACTAGTGCAGACAATGAATCCAAACAGGATACACAGACTAAAGAACGTGATGCTGCTCGATGCGATAAAATTAAAGAAAAGATAGCCAGGCTGAGCGCAAAAATCAGATCTAAAACAAAAAAAGCATCTGATTATATGGATGAAAGCAACGATGCGCACAGTAAATTTGTGGAGCATTGGTTTAATAAATAGACCTATATACTTTTATGCTGCATCATGTAAAGTAGAACATTAAATAAGCCAGTGTATAATATACAGTCAGTTTCATGACATGATAATTCACACCATACTTGCTGTACAACAGTCAAACTCAATATTTGGATCGTAATGAATTAATTCCAGTTCAACACTATAGTTTGACTGTCGATATCATACGATGGATATTGTGTTGATGGAAGAATCAAAAAGATCAATTTTTGTAGGAAAGCATAACGAATCTTGCATATTATGGAACAAGACAGCCATTGCAGGATAAATAGTACTCCATTCTATGTGAATACGACTGTAGATTACACACACTAGAGCGACAGCTATTGAGGCGGTTGGGTTGTTTAGTGCATAGATTCCATCTACGATCAATGAAGGAACTTGTGAATGCCATTAATTATTTTGGAAAATAAAACTCGTCAGTATTATGAACAAATATTTTAAACTGGATCAGATTTAGATGGCTGTTTATTGATATTTATGATTTCTAACTTGAATATGCATCAACTAAAGTCCATGTGCTGGCCGTTTGGCATCAATGAATCTACTAAACGAATCCAAGCTAAGCTACCAGATACACCTTCAACTATTGAAAGGATGACCAAGATACTCGAGATGATTTCCATAAATAACGAACTATACCATCTATTGATTGGACTGAGTTACCTCATGAATCTCCAACACATGCTCTCATGAATGGAGTTGGTAAACCTTGGATTAGAATATTGTAGATTCAAGCCTAGTCGTATTATTCAACATGTTGAATAATACAAACTAGACATAATCGAGCATTCAGTCATAGCACCATTGTATGCATGATGCCAATACCAAGTTTATTCTGAACTCTTTAACATCCGAGACGTCGTTGATAGTTTAAACGGGTGCAACGCACTTCGATATCAATCGTTCTGAATGAGCTTCAAACACATGACTAAAAAGCTATCAGCTAGAGCTTGGGTCAAATATGCTTAAAATGCACTGGCAGGACTGAGAGTATTTATAACAAACTCCGATAGTGTCAATTGTCCTGCATTTGAACTACTTGCTGCTATTAGTATGGTGCAGATACTCTCTAGTAGCAACACTGATTTGGGTGTGCTTGAAATCAATATGAACAATGGTAGAGAATCGGATGCAGAACATGAATCTGATGGGTTATTGGGCAGCGATGTAGATCCTGTCATGTCCTTTGTAGAGATCGATCCTGGCATCTCCAACAACAGCAGTTTGATTCAGTGGATGCTGTCGGGCTTCCCTTATAAACGCTCTGTTCCAGTAATGGCCGATAGGCCACTTGGCCATCCAGTCTGCAGCACACCCGCAGATGCCAACTTACAATCCACCAGATTCAATGCTGGATCCAGTCCAACCATCAGATATAGTCATGTCTTGGCTGCACTGACTGCCATCGACTTTATCTGCTCTGTCTGTCTGTTCGTTGTTTATATCGTTGTTTATCCTGACAAACTTCGTCTGCCATTTCCTTCTTCCATCGTTAATCTGCCGCCGATCGACTTGATGCTTCTCTCTTGCATTCGGTGTCTACTGATCTTGTTTTTTCTATTGCGGTTTGATTGGGCTATTCGGTTTAGAATCCCTCTTATCTGCACGTTTGTAAGTCGATGGTGTTTTTGGCGCTTGCAAAATATTCAAATATGCATATGTTCTAATCCTGCTGTTTGTGTTCTGTAAATATATAGATATCTACCTTGTACATGTTTTTTAGAGCAACAACTGCGTATACTGGACTTGCTTTTATTACCCTCGCATTTCAGTTTCTTATTTCATGGAGTGAACTCCTGTGTTATGTGTATGTCACAATGATCTTTGGTGATTATGTGTGGGCTAAAGATATACATGTTCAGGCAGGCTATACTCCTATATTCGACCACGACGAGAATGAGCAAAGATTTAATGTATCAAATTTGCAAAATTCGAACGATCATACATCTACGCTTGCTACTTCTCAAGTTGAAGCTGCTCCACCGATTCATACAGATGCAAAGGCTCAATCACTTGATGCTTCTGATTTCTTTTTCCCTGAATCCACTGCTTATATTGCAACTACAAAAGTCCCGACTTTAGGTATACATTCAAGTGTAACTCAAATGTGCAATATTTTAAATATACTTTACATCAATTAATTGAATCTATACCTCATCAGCATGCTCCACAAATACAGGTCATACTATTGAAGCACACGTCGCTAAAATCGAAAGCTCAATGCCAGGATTAAAGTCGTCACTGGACAATTCCACCATCAACATGTGTACATCAGCTCCCATTTCCATTCAAAAATCATCGCTAAAATCTCGTCCATTTGCTGACATAGACTATTCAGATCAAGTCGAGTATTCAAACTTTCAATCCGACAGACCACATCCAATCTCGTTTCACCAGTCAACGTTTCTACCTATTTCAGGAATGTCTACAAAAAGACTTGTTGCTTCCACTGCCGCACCTGACTCGGCTTTGTTCAGAAGAGCTCGGCCAGAGCAAGATACTTTTGAAAATTTCATTATTCGGCGCAAAGAATTTAATGAAGCATGCAATCAGCTGTGGACCAATCATTTTGAAGGAGTTTTGGACATTGCTAAATCCCAGTCTCGCGATAAAGTACTGTCTCGGTTTTCTCTTTTAATCGTTTTTGTAAGTAGTATTTGAAAGGATGTATCAAAAACTGGAATTAAATGCAATGACGGCCAACTTTTTTTATTTAATCTGGCGCATATAGACTCGATTTTTGCAGCATATCTCAGTTGGATCGCACCAGACAAAAGACGAGCTATATCGATCACTCAACTCAGCCATGTCTGTTTGCTTAAAAATGTTGGACATATCCGACACACAGTATATTTCTGTTGCGCTTTCTAGTTTTCCATCAATTTCCCTGAATTCTCGGATGCCTACTTTTGGCTCTACCCATTCAAAAAGTTCAAGTACGGCATGGTTGGATCATGGAGTGGCAACATCTACATCACTTCGACAAGAAACTCTGTTTTGGAAACTATGGAAGCTGGATATTGAATGCTGTTTGGTACTGTTGTTACTTCTTCGTGGAATCTTTCAGATTTTAGATGGAAGAGATATCAATGGTGCAATGAATTTGCGTAAATCGTGGCAGCTGTTGCAAAAGATATCTAAACAGATAGAAGGCATTTCTACGACCGACGAGATTGGACACAATGCTGCTACCATTGGGACACATTTTGCTACTTCAAGATGTAGCGATTCAATCACTGTCACTCGGGCTACAAAAGCACTGTACACTGATGTAGTCGGTGCATTGGATTTGGGAAAATCCATATTTTGCGTTGCTCCTGTTTTTGTAGGTTTTATTCTGCATTTTTCATTATAATATTACTTGATGTTTTTATATGGGCTGACTTGACTGTTTATATTTTAGCTTTCAAGGTCACTTATTGTGTTTTTCAAGACAGTTGGAGTGCGAAACAAGGCACACGGTGCTATGGAGTCTTTATTCCTAGCCACATATCAAGATAATGTATACGGTAAGTAATTGCTTGCTGTTCCTTACTTGCTTGGGCTATTTGATAATGAACAGTGATAACTGATTTATCTTGAATGGATATATGTCGCAGCTCCATTTTCTGCTATAGCCTACCTTTCCTGTGTTATCAATAGCCCCCTCGCATTTTGTTCGCTTCCATCTGTAGTGGCCGAGTCTGAGCTAGTCACCCAAATTATACAAATAATTCAACAAAACTATTCGTAAGAGTGATTATATTCTTGCTGCAATATTTACTGTAAAATAATGTCTAAAGCATACAAAATTTAAACGTCAACTGTTTTTAGGAAATCAAAGAGTATGGCTCTAGTTTGCAGCACTGCTTGTCGCAATATTGGACAGCCACAGTGGGGATACAACATTATTGATGCATGCATGCAATTGTCACCACCAGCGTCACAGACATCCACTCGCCTGCTTTTAGAAATGGGAATAACTGCACTATTACTTCAAGACTACGCGCATGCTTATAATACTCTATTGCGAGTATGGGATCCTCGTAATTTGCCATTAGATTCAAAGAGTACTGTTTTAACATCACACTTTTGCAGAGACATTAATGACTGCCAGCAAGTTGCCGGAGTGTTGATATGTGGCATTGCTGCAATATTTCCTGTTTTGGATTCAACTAAGGAAGCTTGTTATGACTGTGTAATTAATATTGCAGATGTGCTGGCTAGTTGCAGACAAAACATAAATCTGATTTCCTCGCAACAAGGGACGGGGATCAAGGTAGATTGTATTTATTTCATGTCAATCCTGCCTAGATATTTGGCTCTGACTGTTTCTATACTCTGCTATTTCAATACGGTGCTGAAATATGTAGGGTCTGTCTATGATACGTGCATGTAAACTGGTGCTTGAATGGGTTGGGACGGATGAAATACTATACCCATATATGCTGTTTGTTTCAGTGTATCTTTTCCGAGGCATAGCGAGTATTGCACAGTCCAATACCAGCTCATTACACTTGTATAGTCTGAAAACGCTCTTGGAAGCCATTTACCAACAAACCACCGCATTACGGAATGCATCCAAACCTGCAAAAGCCAAAAACTCATTGTACATCAAAATAGATGTTGTATATCATTTAATTGCTGGTACAATATGCAAGTATATTGCTCTAGCTTGTATGCAAGAGCATGTTCACTCTAATGTTTCTTTGCAGAAACACCACTCGTTTGAACATTTTCGACACTGTATCCAATTGGACGATGAATTGGATGCCACGCATGTATCCGTCACTGCCAAGTTTATATCATATGCGTGGCTTGAAATGGCAGAGCTGAAAGGTGCTGGATTTTCCAAATGGGATATTTCCAAACGCATCTTGTTGGATTTGGTCAAGGAAGGACGACCTCGTGATATTGGGTTTAATTCTCAAGGCATGCTAGTCCAACTTGGACTAACCCATCACAGCATTGTATCTCAGTCACTTGAACTCCATGAGCAAAATTCAGATTGTTCTATACCTGAATCCAATGAGTTTGTGGACGTTAATCCCGACTTGATAATTGGAAGCGATCGTCCAGGAATAGCGTCTCCCTTGGACACCACTTCACCACCAAGACAACTTGAACGGAAACGAAGTGCATCATTTAGTGGGTTCATTAGAAGCAAAACTCCTACACTATTGTCGGGGCAAACTCGAATAACTGGCACTCGAACGCTTGCGCTCATATCAGATATACCCACGCCCCACTTCATTCGTCGCGAAATGAGCAGCAGCGGTCGTGTCGGTAAACATCACCACTCTCTTTCAAAGGGTATGGATGTGGAATTTCCATTCATGGGTCATGGTAGTGGTAGCTCGCCTCAGTTTAGAAGAACGCCAAGACTGGACGATAGCGGGTTAGGTGTGTTTATGGGTGTATCTAATACAAGCGAATATGTACAGGATCAGAGAGCAGTGTTATCTCCTTCACCATCCTCTACAGCTGATGGAGTGTCATTGGATGCGTCTGCTCGATCAACTGATGCTTTTACCCCCAGCAATAGACCCGTGGATATGGATTTTAAATCTATATGTGTTGCAGCATTGGCTCAAGTGACTGCAGTATTGGAACGTCTTTAAATATCAATATTTTGATGCAGTTGAATACTATGCATCAAGTATTTGAAGTTGTATTCTATAATATAGATTTATTTTACCGCCGTATTCACGTAAAATGAAACACCTTTCTGTATCTATCTTGCTTTGGAATAGACAATATTTGTTGTTTTCCACTACAGATCGACTACACTGACTTTTCTAAACACAACGCTTATTATATAATGCCCATGATTAAACTATAGCTTGAACTGCAATGATTTCTTTTTACATTTTTGATATAGATATATATTGTACAATTACCAGATTCATCCATTTCAATTCACATATCGGGTTGTGTCAAGTATTCCAAACTTGCAGATACGCTCGCGTTCTAGTTCAATAATGCAATCTTGGAAATACAACGGTTGTTTCTGTGCCAATCATCAAGAAATCAGTCAAGTAATGAGTCCAAAACACATTAATGTTTAGTAAATTGACACAATCATTTCATGAGATTGGCTGTTTGTATCTTGATCTTCCATTGCGTCGATACGATTGAAGAATAGCTTTTTACCCTGAAATAAATTTACCAGCTTTACATATGCCAGAACAGCAAGACCGACGTGAAATAGGAACAACAATTGGGTTTCAGTACACACCCACTGCTAATGAGAAACAAGTCTTTCATAATGCAGCAAAGTACATGCTGTCTTGTCGTAAGTATTCTTGGTCTTGACTGCAATTCATTCATGCACAGACATTGTTCTTGCCAATCTGAGCCATCATGCATGAGTCACTATCTCAACATCTATACTACTGTATCCAACAAATCATCATGCTCATGTAGACATTGCTGGTATTGTTCTGGGAATGACTGTCGGCATCTATGGAAGTAAGTTATATTCATGCTACACTGATATTCATTTGTCACCATCAATCATGTTTATTTTAGACTGCCTGCAGATCTGCCAAATATTCATACAGCCTTGCATCGTTATATATTCTTCTGATTAAATCAATGGAGTTTATAGTTAGGAAGATGTCTCTTAAGCCCATTTCGATTCGTGGCGGGTTTATTCTGACTGGAGGGTTTGCATTGGGTGAATTGATTGGACGAAGGTATGGTAATCATCAGGCAGGTGAGATGCTCAAATTGGGTTTACCTCAAGACTCTGCGCTTCGGATGATGCTAGAAAGCAGGTAAGCAAGTGCTGGATTCATCATAAATTGACTGTACTGGATATTCAACATTTTTCATGAATATTCAATATTTAGTGATATTGGATTTGACCTGTTTAAGCTGAGCAGATCAGCTACGATCAAGGCAGGTCCATCAGCAGAAATAGAATTTGACTTTGAATCAGCATCGCCTCGACTGATTGAAGAAGCGCTAAAGAAGCGTCGTGAAGCAGTAGTGACAATTCAAAAAGTTGCAGAAGCTACTGGTGCACCTTCTTGGGATAGTATCCGACGCCAACACGATAGTTCGATTGTTACAACATGGGATCGATTGAGGAAACAAAACAATCTCGGACCACAAGAAACCCCTGAATTAGATCATAGCGATTCCAGACAGGATATTGGTATGCGCCACGTCCAAATGCAATCCTATGAGGATTTGGATGACTTTGAACAAGTGACTGTGATTCCGCTATCGTCATCAGCACACGACAAGACTCATGATGATGGTGAGGTAAAATTACTTCCTCGTACTAGAGAGGAAGTGGAAGCAGCACAGGTAGTTTTAAAGAAACGAACCAACAAATACGGAGATTCGACTGAATGAATACAAATCCTGTAAGTTTTTACAAGGATATTTGTAATTTAACTTTGATTAAATGACATTTACTCATGGAAAGCATCGAGTATATATCATGCACTCGAGTACTTGATACACAATCTTTAAAATAGCAAAAACTTGGCAATGCACGGATTGCTGCTATTGAAGAGTACTGTTTCTAATAATGAATATCACAGTACATCAAGACAATTCCAATGGATTCAATAGCCAAAACCTGCTTAGTGGATATTTCTACATTATAGATGAAAAATTCGATAGCGTTCCAAGTAAAATATCCTTATTCTCGAGACGTAGATCTGATGGAAAATAGCAGTAAATGAAAAACATCTAAAGCGGCTAGATTCAAAAAGTTGCACCAATGCAATAATCAACAAGATCAATTAATTAGAATTCAACACTCGACTCGAGTCAAGAAACAAACCAAGAACCTGATGAATGGAAAATATCTCTGCCACGGGAAATGGAATGGTATGCGCAATGCAAAATACAGGCATTCTAAACGGGATTAAACAGGAATTACGAGATTGCTATTCCAACTTGGAAAAACCCAGTTATTAATCTCGATGCTTGGTTGACTGAAACTTTAAAGCAAATTACTGACCCGTTTTTCTAATGACCCTACGGAAAACCCATCACGTTGAATCAAAGAAATTGGTCATTTGAAAGAAATTGATACTTTCAAGGGAGCAGTGTCAGAATCGCTTGTTTTAAAACAATTTTGAATGAAATGAACAGTAGATGTTGACAAGGACAGCTTTGATGATGGTTTAATTGTAGGAATGAGTAACAACATTTTAGTGTAAAAATGATACGACTTTATAAACGTCTGTTTAATTAGTATTGTAAATATCTATAGGCGCCTTGTGGATGAATAGTGCAAAAATACTAATCGTTTGTCTTTAATCATAATTGGAATTGCCAACTTTTATAAAAAAAATGAATGAGTTTACCACATATTCTGGTAAAGAAAGCCGGATTGACTTTTTAAATATCTTGGCAACAAGCCTTGCCTAAAAATCAGTCTCATCCAGTGTCCTATGTATACCACTGTCGTCGAGTCTCGCTATTCATTTAAAAACCAGCGATTCAAACTTGCGGCTCTAAAAGTTTGAATCGCCAACGCCTCCGCCACACCTGAAACATTGGCAATTACAGCCGTATTAGATGAATGCGGTTATTTTAGACATCTTTACCTGTAACTATACTAGCATTTATTTTTATAACTCTGTACTTACTTCAACCGCCTGCACATCATCGATTATTTACCGCAGCAATCAACTATAATGTCGACATCCCCGACTAGACCAGATAAAGGCAAGCGCCTTATGCGATACTCGGGTGACCTTGAACTCCCACTTCCGTTTGATCGAGACCCAGCACAGAGACCGTCACAGGACTTGAGAACACTTGCAGACTCTACCTACGAAATTGCTCGATCGAATGCTGGCGATTCATCACCCGGTACAGTTAATGAGTACGCACATTACAAAAACTCTAACGGTCGCACCTACAGTAACCGAAAAACCAAAGTACCTACCCAGCCAAGCCCATTGCGCTCGTCGTTTTTTGGAGGATTGAGGAACTCGTTTTTGGGAAATAAACCGCAACAACCACAGAACGAGCATCAAGACTATTCTATGCATGATGGTGGCATGGAGCAACGACCATACAATAGCGACGATCCTTCAAAGCAGACTCACCTGCAGTATGACGGGAACGATACTTCCAACGTCCCACCTGTACCTCCTTCCAAAATAGGTACAAGCGGGTCGTATCTTGATTACTATACTGGGGATTTGGCAAGCACTCATATAGACGCAACCAGCAAAGATCCACAACATCCAACTTTTACTACATTTGAAACTAGCAACAACAAAGATCCAACAATGCAGGTACTTGAAACGATGCCTGGATATCACCCAGCAAATTTGGAAGGCAGCAACACTATGTACACCTTCAACACCACGCATCAACGAGACCAGCAGATGCATGCCCATCAGTCCCCCATATACACGCAGTATCGTATTATTCTCCATTCGATAGCTATTGTCGCTTCGGTGATAGCATTCGGTATTATGCTTGGTATTTTTGAAAACAATTACCAGATTCTTCCAAAGGATGTTTTTGCCTCGGTGCAGTTTTTTATTGTGGCTGCAGCCACCACCTGGATTGCATCTATCCTCTACAGTATTTGGTTTTTTATTGGCGATGTTTCTCTTCCCAACCATCCATTACCACTTTTAGCAACTGACAAACCATTTGGGGCCTCTGTCGATATTCTTGCAACATTTATAGTGGTCATCTTTTGGTTGTCTACTACTGCAGATACGACATTGCGCACATACAAACAATGCTACAGCAATGCTGTTATAGAAGTCGGTACACCCAACTTGTGTCTATCTGCTCAAGTTGCCGATGGGTTTGGAATTGCTGCTGGATTGGTGTACCTCGTCATTTTCGGAATCAAAATATACGAGTTTACTTCAAATAGCATGTGGAGTGAGCTGATGAAAGTTGTTGGTGGAATCTCTGGTTCGTCTAGTCCCACTCCTATGGTGCACCACACAGAGGTTTAATTTTTGCTGTAATAGATGCTTCCAATATTTACATTGTTCTCACGGCAGATAAATGATTGATCTTGATCATTCTATAAATGTATTTTATTACGTAGATTCCATTGGCTATTAGCTGATGTATTGTTTTTATTTACCCAATAAAACCAACTATTTTGTTTGCATACATCATTTACCTTGACTCGAATGAGCAGTTTTCTCGGGTGGAGGCTCATTGGAATGCCAACACCGAACTTTCCACTATGCAAAAACCAGCATGATGTAATTTTCTGGAATAAAAGTCGATTAGGATGTACAATATCAATCTATATCCAATAGATAGATGCCATTTGACAATTTGGAGCAAAGCTTATCAATCCATAATGCAATATAGAAATTGACAAGTATAGAAACTAGTACCGTTTTGTCGGGCTTGAACATGTTAAAACCACACCCACATAGGATCCAACTATTCTATTACTCTGCCTCTTGTTAATCTCTTCATTATAATCCCACAGCTGTTAATATCTCACGACCTGAGAACTGCGACTCGAAATCTTCCCAAAGAGACCATTTTTCGCACTATTAAACACTCATGTTAACAATAACAATAAAACTTAACACAATACTCTCTTCTCAGTCTCTCGTTAGCCTCGCTCAACCGTTGGAACTCCTCTCAGCATTCAGCAACACTGCATATTCTTGGCATTTCTTCAATCTCCAAACCAAACACTACAATACTGGATGATCATCATAGAAACAACAGTTGCATTCCTGATACGTGCAATCTTTGGCGTTATTCAAGTAGAGCATGTCTGATATTAGGATACAACAGCACTTGTTCAATGGCATGGTTGTGCCAGATATTTGTTGGTTGTGTGTCAAACCAGCGTTTCCAATAACATATACGGTATCTGATTGTGTGTTGTGTAGTAGGAATCTGTTGGTTGCCGTGCAATCTTTCCAGCATTCCAGACTTCCAACATTCCAGGTTTCAGCAATCCGTAACATGTCAAGACTTTTTAAACAACGACATGCAACATTCCAAAGCACGCATGTTATTCCAAACAGTATTCCATTCCACAAAACAACCGTCTGATTAAACATGGTTTACCAACCATTCAACAAATGGCACGAAGATTGGAACTACACTGGACCGAGTGTCTATCAAAGTCAATTTATGTACGAAAACGACAAATATTCAAACATTGTTTATTCCAACAAGTCGATTGCTGCAAGATAAATGCAAACTACATTTTACGTGAATACAGCAGTGAATAGCTGAAGTAACGTAAACTCGTCGATTTATAGTAATCAACTGTTTCACTACAGAATTCCTCAAAGATTTCAAACTGTTTTGGCTGGTCTTCCCTCAGCTTTAATCAAATAATTACCAACATAATCGTACTGCGAATTATCCATTGTGTCAAAAATAATATCATCCAGTTTTGGTCGGATTACAATGTCAGATGCGATGCCAACATCTTCAACCGGCTGTCCTTTATGATCGCCATTACGGATGAATGCTCGATTACCTACAGCCATTTGGTTGTAAAATTTATCCTTGGTACTAAATGTCAACTCTTTTTTGAATGGCATTGGTTTAAAGTCTGTCGGATCATAAAAGATAAGGTCTGGATCTAGATCCCAAACGATTGCACCAGAACCAGCTGTTGTGGCATCCTCACCAAATACTGTTCCAATGTTATACGACTGCACAGTTCCTGTCATAGCTTCACATGCAGACATGCAATTACCACTGGTAAATACACCCATTGGTTTATCATAAATCTGATTGTAAGTGCCGGAGTCTTCTGGATCCGTAAAATCATGGAATAGTGAGTACTCGCTGTCGTCGGGTGGTGTTTTGAGCCAAGCATTACGAGACGATCTCAAATCTATGGGTGATTCTACAAATATATTGAATGTGACCTTGTTCCTAAGATACTTCACTTTAAATGGCTCAATATCGCTCTTGAATAGCTGTAGAATCTCATGTGCAAAATCCAGACTTCCACCACCACCTTCACGAACATCGATCAAAATAGAATTGGTGTCTTTGAGTACTGTCTTCAATAGTCTTTCCACTTCAAGAACTCCTTCAGAAACCTTTTGTGTGTTTGTTGTGCGGGATGTGCACTCGAACGATGCCAGTTTGATTATTCCCATGTTTTGGCTGTCAGGTTTCCAAATTGTCCAAGATAGTTCGAATATACTCGTTTCATAAAATGTAATCTGTAAACCACGTTTTGACAATCGTCCTGTATCTTGATCTTGACTGTTTTGACTCCGCTTTCGAATATGGCGAGCAGCAACCAATGGCATGGTAGACTGTGAACTTGTGGTATGATCATCGACTGTTGTAGTTGGCAAGGCATGACTATTGGATTTTACAGCAACTGTATTTTGTAAATGTATATCAAGAGTCACGCCTGTCAGCTGTGTGTAAAGTTTGCTCGAGTATTCCCAACAGGTATATTGGTATGCAGACATGTACGGTACATTGACTTCGTATATGGTGCCAACACGAGATTTAAATTTAAGCTTGATAGAGTTTTCATCAGGAAGTGGGGTAAGAGCTGCATATCTGAAGGACAAATATTTTAATGCTAGACGCTGATTATGAGCTTCGGTGGACCCACCAATTACATTTCGATGTTTGTTTTTCCAGTTGTAAAAAGTGAGGCCGTTAATGCTAAGAAGTTGATCTCCAACATTGATTTGGTTATACGCGGTATTACGTAGTAGGTCTAATATTTCACGATCGACGGGTTGGCTGACGACAATTGTTGGGTCTTGGATCATATCGCCTGGACCATCAATGAACTCAAAATAAATGCCTATGGTAATATAAAAGCAACTATACGGACCAGACAATGACATGACAGTATGTGCGTCGCGAGTTTGAGCAAATACATCCAATAACCCGAGTTGAATCTGTTCATCAGTAAGGGTTTCGATATTGTTTTGGATATGCTCGAGAGCAGGATATGGATTTGCCTCTTGACCATGATATTTCAGTTTTGATTCAAAATGGACCCATGCCTGGACATGTTGAATCATTGGAGTTCGATTGTAATTGTTGGTCAGTTAATAATGTGTTGCAATATATTGTGTTGGTTATAGTATCAGATTGTGATGGAAATGACAACTTGCCTCGAATAAATTTTTGGAATTCGACATTAGAATTTTTCGCTGTTCAAGAGTATGTGGGAAAAAGGTAAACAATCCAGCATCACGATCGAGTTTGATGGGTCTATAGTCAGACCAAATATCTTTAACAAAGGTAGATGGTATTGATGTTGATCTTGTAAGAGTTTGAGCATTGATGCAAGATATTGCAGCTAAAACTGCTACCAAAAAAAGAACCATGAGGCAGTATGGAATCTTAAAGATATTGATTATCGTACAAGAAATATATAGAGATAGAGAAAGAAACTGAGTCTTTCAATTAGTATAATATAATTGTAACAGCGTATAATATGCTGCTGTAGAAAAGATTGGCCAGAAGAGATCTTGAATGATAATCAGGAAGTAGTCACGTAAGTCAAAGTCAACAGAATAGAGTTGAACTTGATAAATAGTAACGAAGTTATGTCAGATGATGTTCAGATGATATTCAGATGATAGTTTATTTAATAATAATATATCTTGGTTTTTATAGTAATTGACTGTTTGCGGTCGGTATCACAAACAGCATAATGCTTAATAATAAGTAGTTGTAGCTGTAATTGGTTTGACCAATAGGACTTATTCCTTTTAGTTGGCTATGTAGATATAATGAGGAAAGGATAAATTAGGGAGTGTACAATACAAGTGCTAATGCTTACTTGTTAAGGGTTAAGGCTTAGAGGCATCCTTCTTAGATATTACAGCAGATCCAAGCTAACCATTTGAACGGTTCGTAAACGGTCAATGTCTGATTTCTTCAACATGGAATGCAAGTATGATCAGTCAGTTTGTATAACTCGCAATCGATGATGCAGCCGGTATTAAACTGATGAAAACCTATTGTATAAAGTATGTATTTTCAATATCTTTATAGCCGTTTTCCAATTTATCATCCCTTTTATTCAGGCTGTTTTCAGTCGTCCTTTAACTTGGTTCATCACCCTATTCCAACATCACGTCACAAGCACTTGGTACTGTTTTTGTAGTACTGCACTGACTTGTCAAAATAAATAGACGCACAGACCATTCATACATAGCAGCTGTCCCTTGACAATGATTGTTTGTAACCATATAGTTTTAACGACTTGGTGATAGTCTGTTGTAGGTAGCATGAATAAGGCGATATTCAGGCAAATGGAACATTAAACTGCCAAAATACATGATAAACAGTCTCATGTTGAATGTGTGCTAATATTACGTGAATATAACTTGAAAACCTTCAAGCCAATAACAAGATAAAGAATCGAATCTTCCGTGACAGTCAAGCGTGACTTGACCATGCAGTTGCTTGTCGAATGACGTGGTCGACCCGCAACCAGCAAAGTGTCGAATCTTATAAAAACACATCGTTTTCAACTTTACTCGTACAACAAAAACAGTATGTTAGTCTTGCGTTTTATGTTAATCATATAGTAGTCTACTGTACTCACCCTTTAGCAATGGTCTGTAATTATAAATAAAGAGTGAATCCATCAAGTAATTGTTAGATAATCGTGTGTAACAACGGTCCACTCCAGTCAGGTTCATCTACTTCTCGTGAAGTACTTCCTACCAATGTAAAACCTTCTCATTATTCTTTAAGCATCACTCCCAACTTTGAATCATTTGAATTCGCTGGTCATGTTCAAATCAGGTAAATTCCTTGAGCCAACCATTCGTCTGGGTTTGTACTATGCACTCATAATATCATTGTATTTGCTATATCAGTCTCGATGTCAAGGAAGAAACATCCACAATTGTTGCCAATGCCAATGAGCTCAACATCAAATCTGCTAGTATTGTTGTTGTTCATGTCAAGACCGAAACAACGTAAGTTGCGACTCTATCCTGTTTGGCATACAGATCTGTATCAACCCATCTAAAACGTTTAATAATCCATATTCCAGTCAGACTGCCAAAGCCATCACTCTTGACAAGAAAAAGGAAACTGTTACTTTTGAATTCGAGACTCCACTGCCTGCTGGTGCAAAGGTCGAGCTTACAGTCGATTACACTGGCATTCACAATGATCAGATGGCTGGTTTATACCGCAGCAGTTACACTGGCAAGGACGATGTCAAGAAGCATCTTGTTGTCACCCAATTTGAAGCTACAGACTGTCGTCGTGCCATTCCATGTTGGGATGAACCGAATCTGAAGGCTACTTTTGATGTCAAGCTTATTGTCGATCCCGTATTTTGTGCTCTGTCCAATATGAATCAGACTGAAGAGCGTACTGTTCAGCACGAGAACAAGTCGCTCAAAGAAATCACTTTTGCTCGCACTCCTATTATGAGCACGTATCTGCTTGCTATGGCTGTTGGTGATTTTGAATATATCGAAACTATGGCTCAGCCCAAGTTGCCTGCTAATGCCAAACCCATCACTGTTCGTGTCTATACTCTCAAGGGTCAGTCGCACCTTGGCAAATTCGCACTCGACGTTGGTGCCAGGACGCTTGAATACTTTTCCGAGTATTTTGATCTGGCTTACCCTCTTCCAAAGGTAACAATCCATTTTAGTGTGTTTTTTAGTTTATTGATTGCTAATACGATGGTTTTGGACACAATAGATGGATATGATTGCCATTCCTGATTTTGGTGCAGGTGCCATGGAGAACTGGGGATTGGTAACCTACCGTGAAGTTATGTTGTTGGTGGATGAAAACACTAGCGCTCCTGCCAAGCAGGGTGTTGCATATGGTATGATTTAGTAACTGAACGAATGCATTAAAACTACAGCTCTACCCTGCATACTGACATTTTACCGGTTTTGCTAATTTAGTTGTTGGACACGAACTTGCCCATCAGTGGTTTGGTAACCTTGTTACAATGGGTGCGTTTCTCAATCTTGCATACTTTTTATATTCAACTAAATCTAATCAACATGCATCATCATTTAGACTGGTGGAGTGAGCTCTGGCTTAATGAAGGTTTTGCTACATTTGTTGGATGGTTAGCAACCGACAACATATTCCCCGAATGGAAAGTTTGGACACAGTTTGTCACTGGCGATTACTCTAAGGGTATGGGTCTTGACAGCATGCGTAGCAGTCATCCCATTGAAGTTGATGTCCAAAGCCCTGCTGAGATCAATCAAATTTTTGATGCCATCTCATACTCCAAGGGTGCGTCTGTTATTCGTATGCTTTCATCATTTCTTACCACAGAAATCTTTTCTGCTGGAGTACGTATATATCTCAAGAAATTTGCATACTCTAATGCCACTACTTTGGACCTGTGGGCTGCGCTTTCCGAAGTATCTGGCCACGATGTTGCCAAGCTGATGTACTCGTGGACTCGTACCATGGGATATCCTATACTGAGTGTTACCAATGAAGAATTTGATGAGTCCAAGCAGGAGCTTACTCTGACAGTCCGTCAATCTCGCTTCTTGTCTTCTGGTGATCTCACACCTGATGAAGATGCTTCCAGTCTTTGGACTGTTCCATTGACCATTGTCACTCATGTCAATCCCCACAGTCCAACTCGCCATGTTTTGACTGAAAAGGAAACCAAGATTACATTTCCATATTCGCACGAGAATAATTTCTTTTGGAAGTTCAATTACCGCTCCAATGGTTTCTACCGCACCAATTTGGATACCAAACAGCAGGCCCATCTTGGTGCTGCACTTGCAGCCAATCTCAGTCTGTTTACTACCGAGGATCGTATTGGCATTATCTCTGATGCCTTTGCTACTGCCAAGTCTGGCAATAGTTTGACTGCTGGTGCTCTCGATATTTCCAGGGGATTTGTTGCTGAAGAAGACTTTATTGTACTATCAGAACTCTCGGCTAATGTTGCAAGCGTTTCTGTTATTTTACTCAATGAGTCTGAGGAGGTTCGTAACGGAATCGACATGCTTAAGCGGTATTTGTTTTCACCCAAGGCCAAGGCATCTGGATTTGAATACTCCAAAACAGAAGGACATCTTGCTGCCATGAAGCGTACGCTAGTCATTGCAGCTGCAGCAGATGCTAAAGACCCTGTTGTGATCAAGGAGCTCATAGATCGTTTCCACAAGTTTGTTGGTGGTGATGAATCTGCACTTGATACCAATCTTCGATCCATTGCCTACCGCACTGCTTGCAAAAACACGGACGACGAATCTGTTTTTGAAGCACTTTTGAACATCTACAAGACTTCTACCAATGTTGAAGCTCGTTTGACGGCTCTGAGTACTCTTGGTGCGTCGCCCAACATCAATGTTGTCAATCGTGTTCTGAATGAGGTTTTGATGGATGGCAATCTTGTCCGACTCCAAGATATGATGTATCCTCTCAACTCACTCCGCTCATCCCCAGCACTCAAGGAAGTACTGCCAATTATGTGGAACTTCCTCAAGTCCAACTGGCCAGTTCTGTATGAGCGCCTTAAGCCATCGCTTGGTCTTCTTGGGGCATCTGTTCAATTGTGTGTCAGTGGTCAAATTGGCAATGCGTTTGCTGATGAAGTCGAGGCTTGGTCTCGTGGTGATGAGCTAGCAACCGATGAAGAAAAGGCAACCCGTGTAGAGCAACTCAAGGCTGCTCAGCGTCCTCTAAATCAGTCCATCGAGCGTGTTCGTAGCTCTACCAAATGGCTCGAGCGTGATCGTGAAACCATCCAGAAATGGATCGAATCAAACAAGACAGTCTTGAGCAATAGTTGTTGAATCTTTCTGGCAAACCTATAAAAAATTGGTAATTGCTAGCTTCTGTTTAACAAGAGCATGTAACTGAATTGACAATGAATTTTATTTGAAGGAATGTGATCAAAAAATCGGTTTTTGTAAAAGTAGTCGAATGGCTTTATATTTGTTGATATAGGTTGTGGGTATTAGTATCTTGAGTTGTAGATATTGTCAAAACTTGATTGAATAGCGAGTTTTCAATAGATGAAGCAGCTCAAGAGCGGGATTTAAAGTCATCCAATGCATTGTACATGGATAATTTTCAGCGTTTTAGTATGAACAAACCATTTAAAACCATTTGTATTTCAGGATTTTTACTTTTACGTGGATTAATTATTGTATTCAGATCGACACTATCTCAAATATTGCAGCCTAATCTTACTAATCAAAATGTGCTACGCCGCTCAGCTCATGCTAGAACAGATTTTTTTAGAAAATCCTAAACCAGATGTAAAAAAAGATGACCACCAAGGTAAGCTGATGTTGATGAAATGGATATAACTTTATTGAAAATCACGCAAATCAGTTTCCAGCTGATAAGCATGATGGATATACTTGTTGATATCTACAACATGATTATGCATTTGATGGCTGTGAATCATGTAGAGTTTGTAGCTACTGAGCGACAGTGTTTAAAAAGCATACTACCAAATAGTTGTTCCCAATGTACTGGACATGGCTAATGTTTTTGTATACTTTTAATAGATGCTGTGATTCAGATATACGATTTCCACGCATTTGATCACATTATGGTGACATTGCCAAACGGCGTCTGCATTCCAAAGCTTCTTCAGATTATTGGAGATATTATCTATCATAGTGGTAAGTATATAGATTTGGGCTTGGGAACAATGCCTGTTGGCCTGGTTTGATTTTATATCCACTCTAATGACTGACATGTGCGTTTACAGACATCATGGCATGTGCGAATTCTGATACTGCACATCTTGTATACGGCAATGCCTCTGATTGTTACTCGAGACAGCAGACTGAAAAGAGTCTTGATAAAATTATGAAAAGCTTCATCTCCAATCCCACTGATTTCTCCATGTAAGTAATTTGGAAAGACTAGTTGTAAGAAACTATCAAGAATGGCATGATAATAACATGTGAATTTTATTTTGACGTGTTGTATAGTCTTGATCAAACTTTGGAATGTTCTCACGATGAGCTCTGGAGATTTATCAGTCAATACTTTGGCCATATATCTCAAAGTATGGTTTCACCTGCTATTATTTGTAAACTTCGAAGCTTTTCTGGTAATTCAAATGCTGGTTTTTACATATTATTTATGATTAGATGGAGAATATCATTTGTTACATGGAATGGATGGTCAGATGGCTTACTATTTTTTCATTGAATTCTACAGTAAAACAATGGACTGCTGCAGACCTTAAAAAAGTCCGCAAGATTATTGCGTCTTTTTCTCAGCAGGACCAAGACGTATTCCGGTACACGACACAGTTGCTGTACGACTGCTTCTACTTCAACGAGCTCTACAAGATGAAGTACTACAACATCTTGGATCTAAACAGCGATCAGCTCGAGGAATACATGGAGCACTTGCATGCTCGCACAGTTTACACCCAGCTTGACACACATCACCCAGGATACAGGGGTGTGTCAAGAAACTGTGTCAGCAACTTCCGCAACAACGTCTATCGGGCGGTCGAGCTTGGGCTTTATTCCTTTGAGCCTAAATCAAAGGGTGCGTTGTCATGGAAAACCCTCTGCAACAGAGTGCGTTTTATGATGACCCAGACCAGTCGTAGATCTTCTCGGGTTGATTCTACGACTGCTTCTGGTCCCACCGATGCCTTTGCGCATCATATTCCAAGTCCATTGGAATCAAAAACAGCATACATCTTTAAAAAGATATATGCTGTTTTTGCCAAAATATGGGATTGAATCCCAAATAAACACCAGCTGTGGTAATGTGCTTCAGTATTGTTGGCACAGTACCGCAGTTATTTTATTTATATATCTAGGTCATTTCAACTACACTGGAATGATTCTGGATTGACTATCTATTGTATTGTATTTTAACCACTCTGATATACATAATAACTAATAAGATGTGTGAGTGCATTATTAAAGAATTAAAGATAGTTGAGAAAAAGACGTGTGAAAATAAAATAGTTTAATTAGCTTCAGAGTAAATTTAATTCAAAAGTCCAACTGCTTAGTCGTTCTAACCGATTACCAACAGATCCAAGATTGCAAAACTATTTCTGTGCAGGTATGATTAAATAATAACATATACAGATAGCAACTTTCTTGACGTTGTTGGGACCACACCCACATAGGATCCAATCGCTCTATTACTCTGCCTTTTGTTGACCTTTGTCCCTTATAATCACGAGGCGGGCATGCATACCGGCATAATCCCACAGTTGTTAGTATCTCATGACTCGAGAACCACGACTGAGATCCTTAAGAGACCACTTTTCCCTTTATTTAACACTATCGTGTTGATAGCATTAACAAATAAAGACACCTTAAAACACTCTTCGTCTGTTTCTCGTTAGGTTTTGTCCATTCAATAACAAATCTCTTTGACCCTCAACAAAAACACAAGCGCTAGTGGTTTAGTGGTAAAATTCATCGTTGCCATCGATGAGCCCCCGGTTCAATTCCGGGCTAGCGCATTTTTGTTTTTACAATCGTATTGATGTAAAAGTAAACTCGTCTCTGTTTTGCTTCAGAACAATGGCTAGGCATTTGCTACACTTTTTGATATATCCATACATTGCACGATCATCAAGTTTAAAACCAGACCCATCTGTTTTTATACAGAATAGCGAAACCAGCGTATATCATAATAAAAAATTCATTTGAAATGGGTATTGTATCAAAACTGTATGTTTTGCTTCACTCGATCACCTGTGGTCCAGTCAAGACTTGATCAACAAGTAGATCTGCGTCAAGAAATAAGGCACTGTTACTTTCAGTGCCCATATTTAATGGTAGCCGTTTATATTCTAGTGTCAGATCTTGGTTGGCTGCATTGCACAGGATCTGTATCATCTCCGATTGCCACTCGCTAGCATTGTGTTGCATGACCCATTTGATAGCTTCATCTTCACAAGCTCGAACATCTGCTCCATTTTGAACCAATAGCTTGACTAATTCTACGTGTCCAAACTTGACTGCATTCCGTAGAGGGAAATCCTGAACTGCATGAACATCTGCGCCAGCTGCGAGCAGCAATTGAACCACATCCACCTGGCCGCGTACACAACTCCATCTGAGAGCATAATCGTCATTTGAATGAATGTCTGCACCATACTGTATGAGCAGTTTGACCGTAGAGTCGTGGCCATGCTCGGCTGCCCAGTTGAGTGCACATCCTCTGCGTGCATTGATATCTGCGCCTGCATCAAGGAGCAGTTGCACAATGGGAGTATATCCATGTCGAGATGCCCAACAAAGAGCGTAATTATCATCTCCATTGACAACTGCTCCTGATTCCAACAGTAGTTTAACGCAGTTCAAGTGACCATACTTGCTTGCCATGGACAAGGATGCACCTACATCGAATGCGCTATTGGCTTTCCCCTTGACAAGCAGTAGCGATGCTACTTGTAGGTGGCCAAACAAACAGGATTGAACCAGAGCAGAATCTTTAAGTCGCTGTGATAATCCTAAAAATGGCTGTTTTTGCTGTAAAGGATCTGACAGAGTTGTTGAATGCATTGCCGATACCAACTGCTGCTGATTATCCCTAAAGGCAGTAGAAACAAGTCTGTCTCTCATATCGATCGACCCATTGCTACTGGTTCCAAGGCGACTCTTGTTTGTTGGAGCATTGACAAGCAACCATTCCATAAGTTCCAATCGCCCGTGCATTGCAGCATTCTCTGTCACAATCTCCACCAATGCATCGTCGTCCATATGCATATCAAAAATGCATACTGCAACCTGATGAGTGAATTGTGGATCTTCTACTATAGATATCCATTGCTCTGTAGTTGGGAACTGGATTCGATCTTTTGGGTAGTACCGATCTTTCAAAAGTTGCTGGTATTGCTGAGTGGTAGCTACTACTGGAGCATCTGTACATTGAAAATGATCTGATGACTGTGGAAGTAACAGTCCCCATGGAGACCAAATTTTTTTGGAAAACAGCAGCTGTTTTGCGATAACCACAACTTGCTGCGACATGCGATGGAAGGAGCGGCATGTGAGTGCCAATTGTGGGTTTAATGACCCCACTAGAATCAACTCCTGTAGCTCATAGGGAAGTTTCTGGAATAAACCTAGGGGTGGTTTTGATTCATCTTTACAATAGCTTCTGTCTTTATTCTTGTCCATAATCGCCACATTATGTAATTTTAACCAAAGAAAAGTTTAAATGCTCAAAGTGTGGATCCATCATCACGTGATGTTTAATCCATTGAAAATCTAGCCATGGTATTAAACCTAATCATGATTCTATTGCTCCTGCCTTGTCTAGTTTATCTTGTATACCCCCTACATACCCATTCATCTACAATCAGTCATGGTGTTGTATTTTCTCATAACACACTAGATAACTCACGCATGGCTTCTTGGACATCCTTTGAAATCTTGCGTGATTTTCCATCATGCGCTTTGCTATAGTACAGCAGTGCATTGTTTGCATCGCCCATCTTGTCATATATCTCGCCCATTTTAAAATACACATTCGAGTCTCGTTTGTTCAAAAGAATCGATTCAAGTACTTCCAGTGCCTCCTATAAAGAGTTGAAGTAGAGTTAAAAACATGCTGTGCCAGATATTACTCGGCTTATTTGAAATGTCAAAATACCTGAAATTTTCCAAGCTGAGTCAATACATTTGATTTGGACAACTGGACAGATGTGCGTTGTGGGGCTAGTTTCCCACAATGCGTATAAATCTTCAATGCTACTTCCAATCGCTTTGGATCTTTACTGACAATCTGAAAAGACATTCGTTGTAAGTGGATCTACAAGCATATAAATGGAGGCTCATACACTCAAATTTAACGCATTCATCTTACAGCTCCTGCAAATTCCAGTAACGCCAAATTAAACCGACACAGTTTCATCGCCTTGTTATTATAAAACTCTGCAATGGTGTACTTTTCCTGTTTATATAAAAGAGAGGCTAGTCCATACCTATTGACACCAAAAACATCAGATTTGCAGTGGCAAAAAATATTGGTGTTAACAGATTGTACTCATTTACAAGTATTTTCTAAACCAACACTGCTCTGCATTAAAGTGGTACAGTAAATCAACGCTTACAAAGCACTGTAATGTCTTGGATTAAGTCGTAGCGCAGTGCGGAAATGAATAGCTGCATTTTCTAAATCTTCACTTGTAAGGTACTCGTGGCCAATCAGCGTGTGTGCATTGACAAACTCAGGATCAACCTTGATTGCCCGTTGAAAGGATTGAATAGCTTGATCATGTTCCTGATTAAGTCTTGATCAATTCATATGAGTACATATATAAAATTAACTAAGGAATTTGAAAAAGAAATCCAACTCGAGTAAAGTTTGTAAACTCACGAAAAATAGTTGCCAATAACACACCTAAAACTCACAACGTTAGTGCATATTGACCACACCATTTCAAAACAAACCACTCACCAAGTTTGAGGCGCAAGTCTATTCTCTTGCTCAAGTTCTTTGCCAAGATAGCTCAACTCAATCACTTTGCGCAAATGCCATAAGCAAGTGCCATATGTATCCATCTCATTCATTTGTGCAGGCTGTAATCTCCTAAATTAAGCCAATATATTCAAAATCCGCATATTTTAAACATATAAATGGTAAAGAATATCAAGGATGAATTACCTGGCTTGCTCAAACGCTCTTGCAGCCTAAAGCGCAAACAGTTCATCCAAGTGAGTATTAAATAAACTTTAACAATCTATTCTTTCCAAATACTATATGCCTACCAATTCATAATCTGTAGCCTCAAAGTATGCACGGCCAATCTGAATTCAAGATTGGCTAGTAAATTAGCAAAGCCAACCAAGTTTTTAAAACCCCGCTTCCATATCATTCCTTTTAATTGAGTACATACCATAATGAGAATATCAGGAGAGCGTCGCTGTGAAGCAGAAAGTATTTTAAACCATCTCAAAGCACGAGGGATATTAAACGTACATAAAGCAGCATATCCAGATAAAATATCCTTTAAAGTAGAGGATACCAACTCAGTTGCAGTTTGGTTGGTTTCTTGAGCTTGGTTATCCTTTGACTGAGAAGATACATGAGTTTTTGTTTTACCAGACGACTGCTGAGACAAAGATGGAGCTGTAGTTGTGTGTTCATCTCTTGTGCGTTTTCTATGTGCAGATCCAGCAGTCTAAATTTCCAGAGTATTGGTTCGATTCAGAGATAAAAATCAGACATGAATTCATCTAAACAAGATCCTAATATGTTGATTATAATACAGATATTGTAAACTTGGCTCACAATTTTAGAATCCGTTCTTGCAGCCACTCTTCTGCCAAGTGTTGGTTGAGTGGTTGGTAAATCAACCTTTCGGATCGATCTTAGCCGCGTACTAGTGTATGCTCCACCTTGCTGCAAGGATCTATGCAAATATATACCTTGAGTAAAAAGACCAATTTACAAATGAGATGTTTTAAAGCAGGTCAATTAACTCACGATGCATGTGATTCCAGATCCTGTTTCTGCTCACTAATTGGTTGATGTGATGTGCCAATGTGTTGCATTATGGATTTGAAATGGGCAGACAAGGCCGTGGGTTCAAAAACATGGTCTCTTTGTGGAGGAAATCCTAACAGCATTGATATAAACATGCATAAGAAATGAGATCTCACCACAATGCATGGCAATGACAATATACCCATTTCGCAGAGAGTCTTGACGGCAGTCCAGTTCAACGGATCCAGTTCCAAAGTAGTATGGAGAGACTTGACAGCATCTTCTACCAGACCCATCCGTCTAAGTTTTGAATAATAAAAAGATGCTCATCATTATAGATGTGCTGTACTCGGCAGTAAATGATATTTTTTAAAAACCAACACTACCTCTGAATTAGACCCAATTTGCAATATACGCTAGCCCAGGGAATGACTAGTCCAATGGACAAAAGGACAGAAAAGGATATATCCAATCCAGCAGCAGCATTGCCATAATATTGGTCAGTGTAGTCCGTAACAGGACCAGCAGATCCAGTCTTTGATGTCGAGTTATGCAACCGAACCAGACTGGTAAACGAGGCATTTGCCTGAGACAGTAAGCCCATATTGGAATAGCACAAGGCCTGCAAGTACGTGGTTGGAATGGTGGGAGTCGAACCAACAGTGTCAGTAAGTGTATGGAGAGCAGCTCTGTGGTTTCCCATAAGGTATTGAGCCCGAGCAAGCAGGAAGATGCCATGACTGATTGATGGCAAAGGGAACAAAGACATGATTCGATGGCAGAGGAATACAGCCGTTTCATACTCTCCAGCATGCAGAGCAGAAATAGCAGATGATTGCAACAGCTCAACAGCAGCCGTGGTGTCGAGAGTCGTCATGCACTAACAAGATTGTCTTATTTTCAACAAAGTTTGAACTGAGCTAAACTGCTCTACTAATAATACAAAGCAACACTCGATTGATGGCATTCTTGAGTTGTCATTAGCCAGCTTAATGGATTGTCTTGATGGAAGAGCGGAGTTGAATTTAACTTTTGAACTACTTGGCTATTATGTGCAAGTTCTTTCATACTGCGACTGCCAGACAACGATTCCAATTCTTCCAGCACTTGCTAGTGTTCATTCCTATTATCATCTCATATGTCTTCCTGTTCCGCACTGCTCTGACTCTTCAGCAACAGAACTGGGCTACTCTGGTTCCAAGAGTATTTCGTGCGCTCTGTCTGCCATCCGACTGCAATACTGACCTTCCTGCATCATCACTCACTGCTCCTGATGAGTCTACTGGCAGTTGCGACCTGACTGTCTCACAGTTTATTAGTCTGTTGAATGTCATGGGTGTTGGCTCAAGCATGTCCGATAGTGAGATGACTCTACTTCATACCAACTTGGATGTCACTGGAAACAGCAGGGTTTCATGGGGTGAATTTGTCTATCCTTTTATGGGTGATGGTCGATGGGCTGTTGTGGTATACATTGACAGCTGGAGACAGGCTGCTTCCTCCGACTACAATATTGGGTTTGGACTGCAGAAACGACAATTGATTGCACCTTTTATTCCTAGATCCACAACTTGAGCCTTTTAAAGTTTCTTTGGTTTAGCCATTTCCAGTGGATTCAACTGGAATGCTTTTTTAGATGAACATGTTCAAACTGTTTTGAATAAACTAAATAAATTCTAATTTGAACCCTTTATCATTCTGCAACTGAATATTCTCGACAAGCACTACTCGCCTTGTATGTCACTTTGATCAACTCAAGCACAATAGTTTAATCATCTAGCATCAGACACAACATCATTAACTGTTCACATGGTCATTAGTTGAACAAGTACGATGTAGTTAACATACCGCTTGATCCTGTCTGATTCACATTGCTTTTGTAATAACCACACCCATCCATGTATTCCTTTGGACTAGGCTGAATATACACTCTAAAGACCCATGTGCAGTCAAGATCTATAATAATTCGTTAAATTATTCATGATTCTTAAATGGAAAGAGTTTGGCATTTTGGATCTACCCAGTTTATACCACCAACTCCTGTGCTCTAGAAACCTATACGCTGAATAAACCTACTGTGCTACAAAATTCGCAATGAACAATGTATTTGGGCTTGTAGAATGGTGTCAACACGCCATTGCTTTTTACCAATATTTCTCTAAATCATTCCATTCTTGAGATTGAAATAAAACGAGACTGGAAACAAATGCGCGTATGGCTTAGGCAATATCAGTTCAACTCATCAAAGTTCAAGCAAAGCAATACTCGCTCGCTTTCCTTGAAAATATTAATAATTCGGCCATTGGTCTAACTATTGGTAGACGAAACTATTGAATCCAAGCAAATTCAGTCATGAGCACTGTTAATACTCCTAAAAACACTACTACTCCCATCGCCACCAATGTGCCTGAGCATGTCGAGTTCAATGGGAATGGCTCAAAATTCCAGTTTATAGCCAGTCTACTCTCTCGCTTTGTTGGTGCCAAGGACTTGGTTAGCATGTAAGTTTTAAAAACAAGTGACCAATCAGTCATCACCATTAGTGGCTTTTAAAGCCATCCTCATATATGCTCACTAGACAATATGATTTTATCCATTTGTAGGAGAATATCATTGCCTGCTAATTTGATGGAGCCTCAGTCTAATTTGGAATTCTGGAATTATGTCGACCGTCCAGATATATTTGTAAGGCAAGTCCATCAACTATGAAATGTATATGTTTGAACAGACAATACAGATATGGCTATTGAGCAAAATAATTAACTATACTAATTGTGCTTGTGTGGATTAGCATTCCAGATGGAGTAGATCCACTCGAAAGAATGCTGCGAGTAATTCGATTTTGGTATTCAAAAGACACAAAGTGGAAGGTATTTCTATCAGAATCATCCAGCTATCCTATGAATGTGGAAGAGTTTTTTATAAACAAGTAGACTGACAAATAAGTGTATGCACTATTTACTGACCCTGCAATGATAGGATCACCAACTGCGAAAGCCTTACAATCCCATTTTAGGAGAGCGGTATATTTGTCATTGGAAAGTTCCTTGCGATCCCAACATCGCACACGAAAGTCTGACAAAAGTGTCTTCTGCTGCAGACCTCGATCAGTCGGACAAGGCTCAGCCACCATCTAAAGAAACAACTCTGTTCTGCATCAATGAGCAGGTTTCTCACTATCCTCCAATCTCTGCATTTACCTATACAACTGCCGACGCCCGTATAGTTGCTAGTGGGCTCGATCATGTTGTTGCTCGTTTCACTGGGACCGCTTTTAAAGTTGGACCAGGAGAATACAACTCGGGCGTTTATATCACACTAAAGGACCACGATGAGGTTTATAATATCACTCATGCCTGGGCTACTGTTCATGGGTTGTTGACAAGCTCGCCATATATTGTTGTCAGTGAGCAGACTGTAATCATATGCCCTAAATCCGGTATCAAGGCAATCTTGCAGTACGTGGAAGAGGTGAGATTCATGCACTAAGCAGCTGTAAACCATGTATTTGTTGACTCATACTTTATTGTATAGTCGTATTTTGGTCGTCCCAAATTCGCCATCAATGGAAAGATTTTCAAATACGATTTTCAAAAGAACTCGAATCTGACTCCCAAGCAACGAAAAGATTCAGAGAAACTCTCTCTTGTTCCCAAAGAAGATTTGCTATGCACTTTATCTGGTCAATGGAACGGTCAGATATTTTATCGGCTAGCTGGATCAAATGAAGATATACTCTTGTTTGATATGAAGACATCGGATGTCGAACCAAAAATTGTTCAGGACTTGGCCAATCAACACGAGCTGGAAAGTCAACGGTATGTTAATTTATTTGTACCATGACACATTCAAGTATATAACGTCGCACAATCCTAATATTCTCTTGACATATTGGATATTTGAATATACAGGGTATGGCAAAAAGTCACTGAAGCACTGCTAAAAAAAGATTTCACTACAGCAACAAAAGAAAAGCGTATAGTGGAAGATCGGCAGCGACATGCGATTACCGAGCGGCATAAGCTAGCTTCACCCGCATATACCCCTGTACACTTTGACTTCAATTATGATTTTATGCAGGCTAATGGTGTGGCTGGACCTCCTGTAAATTTTGACAAGGGCCATCCAAGACTAAAACCTGGAGTTTTGGAGCAATTGGTATCGCAAACAAAAACAACAAATATAATCAAAAAGATAAAAACCGAAAATATTGAAGTGAATTCTCAAGAGTCGATAGCTTCACCTGCATCCATCCCGTCGGCTCGGATGCAGACCGAGACTATCCCTTTGTAACACATTTATGGGTTACTTTTAACACGTATTGCATGTTTAATTTCAACTCGGCGATATGTCGAGTTGAAATGCACATGCAGTTGAGCTATCCAAATAAATGGATTCCTGAAATTTGTTTATTCCAATGTGCTTTAAAATCTCGGGGCAATTCATTATAAGATCAAACACCAGAAATATGCTTTCTAGGGAGTACATGATCAAAATTGAGAAACTGCTGAAAACAATCGCGAATTCAAGAGCTATTCGCGCATATGTTGTAAATCATTGGACCATCATGTTCTTTGAACTACCATATCTATAAATCAAGCATGAATTATAAACTATTACCGTTGAAAATATACCAAACAGAAACCCATTTGAATAACAAACACTTGCAAATAAGCACACCAACCAGTATTTGGTATCTTTACTATTGGAATAGTCAGCATTGCTTTATCAAAACACTAACAGTATTACTAGTATGCTTTTAAAAATATTACAGTAGGCTATATAGGACAAAATAATGCTACGTAAACAAAAGGATGCAATAATCATGAAGCAAATACTACTCAGTTCCATAATAATAAGCACGAATGAGTCAAAATGGAATGTTGTATATATTAGCGTGGAATATAGCATGATATGTCTATGGTGAAGGTTTGAATATTAAAAAAGGAAATGGTGTTCAAAAACAAATTATACTCAATAGCACTACAATCTTTATTCAGTCAATAGACGCACACAACATGTTTAACCCATATGCTCTATGCAATCTGATAGGCTTGTGCTGCCAAATTCAACTCATACTCATTCAGTCACTGCAATAATTGATACTACCACACTTTACATGTAGCTTATTAAACAATATATAACCCGATACCATGACAAGCAACCACGATCTGGTGTCTATGCAACTCGAAACAGTGTCAATCAAATCTAATCCATCAACTCTGACAACACTTTAACCCAGTCAAAACACTCAACATTCACTGCTACATCTCAACGTTGATCAAGTGTTGGATGTATGGCCCAGCGATATTGCAATGATCGATACTAACACTCCAACTGAAACCAGCATATAAAAAACACTCGATTGATTAGACATGGAAATATTGTAAATTGTATCTAATGTAGTGAATTCATTTGAAAATTAAAATACTATGATGGACAAATAGACAGTATAGTTGCAACATGCACACTAGAGTCGGTAGACTTCAAGTGATAATGCAGATCTGACATTACAACACATCGGTGACTAGTGAAATAATGGCAGTGGTCAATACAGCCAAAGCAAGATGTGCGTTTATATCACCAAGTATGCTCAATGAACTGGATACTAGTCCTGCACCAGTGTGTGGCATTGGTGCAGTTTCACCATTTGTACCAAGTTGTGATGTGGACAATGGCATGTGTTGAGTCGATGCTGATGCCGACATTGAACTGGAAGACTGTTTAAGAGTCTGCGTTAAAACAGGCGATTGGACTGTTGTTTGATCAGAAGCGTGAGTAAGACTAGAAGAGACTACTGACTGCGACGATGGCAACTCGGCTGGTTGTTGAGGGATCTGTGAGTGTGTTGGCTTGCGAGTGGTGGAATCTGGACTTGATTCAGGTTCAGGTTTAGGTGCTGGCTCAGGTTCAGGTTTGGGTGTTGGTTCAGGCTCTGAGTTGGGAGTTGGAGTTGGATGAGGTTTACCAGAAGACCCAACTGGAGGAAGCAAATATGCAGGCAGCAGATTACGCTGTCCAGGAGTGCATTCTTCTGGAGATCCAAAACATGTGCCGCTGCAGTAACTCTGCGAGGTAATTCTCCACGAACAAGTCTGTGGGTCCAACGCATTGGCACCTGGAAAGGCATTTTGGAAACTAGTGTGCGACACATCCAAACCAGGCGCTCCTTTTTGGTCTACAGCCAACACGAACATTGATGGTCCGCCTGCTGCATTTCGGAATTCAAGACACTGTGCACACATGCTTGAACCAAGTCCATTTACTGCCACGATACGCTGAATGTTGAGTGCCGAGTATCGAATACCGCACCATCCAGGTGCATTATCATATGCTGTTGCACCAAGTCGCGCAAGATCTTCTTCGTATGGATGATATGTACACGGACCAGTAGACCATCCGTCAGACTGAGCAGACACGCTGGAAATCAACAAAACAGTAGCAACAAACGACAGTGCACGATTAATAAAATGCATGAGTAATGGATTATGCTGGTGTAAATGTATAAATGTTCTAGTTGCAGAATATGTATTCGAGTATAATAAATAAATGGGTTTGCTATTTGGCAGTAATTGGGAGTCGGAGTATTTTGTGCCTGAAACGAGGGAAGCAGGCCGTTCTTTTATCACAATTTTGTTACAAATTTGTTACTGATACATAGTGGCACTTGGATTGTTTCGTGGCAGGGATTGCACAATGCCAGAGTAAAACCGACCCTTTGTGTAACAAGCAAGCCATCAATCAGTAATTATTGCATTATTGCGATTTATTTCGGTCTGTTTTGTTGGCAACCCCTGAAATTCGCTGATTAATTACAACTAAAAAAATAAGTGATCTGATTATTTAGGATCAACAATGTGAAATCTTGTCCCAATAAAAAATAAGACAAAACTACAAGCCAGTCCGAGCTTGAACCCCAACAGTCTACAAAATACCCTGCTATATACTGACCCTTCATAACCTAGCGGAGTTGTGCAATAATTGGGGTGTTGCAATTGTCTAGTCATCGCCAGCCAATCATACTCGACAATAGCGACTGCCACCCCAAAATAAAGCGACTGTTCACAATTATATGCACAGCCATCAAATGCATTCGCTATAAAGTGATGTGCAGCTACAAGCTTGGATAGTAATAAGAGTGTCAACCACGGCGTCCATTTAGCCAACCCTTATTTTGATCATATTGTGTAAATAGTGTGATATTGATACAGTCCAAAGTCTGATTGGTTGATCTTTACGCTTTTGTCGCAGTCACCATATTTGCATGGCTTAATTGTATCAGACATTATCCAAACTATTGGTGCTTTGATAAACTAGCAAATCTACAGTGGCATTTTTAGTCAATATATGACAAAGCGTGGCTTGATTCGACTACTCTACTTGATGCCGCTTGTAATATAATGCCAGTATATTTATTTTATATACATTGATCCAGTTAAAATACATACCATTATTTCACTTGTCGCATTAATACTACGACTCGGATAAACCCAACTGTTGGTATTGAAAATGGTCAACAATCAGACATTGGTATTCTTAAATGCATGTGATGGCCAATGTGGGGCCGTTACAGTATTTGGTTTGCCGAATATTACATTATTTGGAAACGACAAATATCGGTTAAAATGCAATTTAGCTCAACTATTCGAGTCTTGAGCTCATGGACACCCAGTCCCCTTGTACCTGCATCATTATTGACCGAGTTGATTGCATATACACTACATTTGTACAAGACTTTATGAAACAGCATCGCTTTTGGACTACTACATGGGTTTTGGTTAATCTGGATGCTTATAACAGTTGATGCGTATGATATGCTTAAAAGTCACTACAGTCAAAGAGATACAGCAATGACCATGCTATTGCATGATAATCGACATTTGTTATGGACGAGACCTGAAAATCGGAAAAAATGCTTATCGACCGTCATTGTAGGGACTATGATGTGCATGTATCAGAGGTGTTGCTGTGTAGCATACTGTATTATAGCACCGAGTTTCGACTACAACGGTGCTTTCGGCTTCAGCCATCTCGGCTTTAAAGCATGCCATTTTGATTCATCCGCTATATTACATGCCTTATTGCTGTTTACTTGCAATAGTATGATGCTGATGTATTGTAATAGAATACATCATTGAGTTATCATTCCCAGTTCAAAGTGTTTGATTTACTGTCAAATGAAATCGGATGATGTTCAGATAGTTGTAGAATAATCACTGTCAGGGCTACACAGTGTTCAAGCCATTTATTTGAATTATTGAGTGGTTTCATTCGATTAAACTCAATCTATGGTTGTATTCATTGGCATAGTCATACATTGTACGATTATCAAGTTTGAAATTAGATTCACGCATTTTAGTTTAAATATTAGATTCGATCTTTGATATTACCAATCAAACTACAAACTATATATTCTAAAATCTCGTACATTTGCGCTCTAGCTCAACAAACCAATATTACACATTCCAGAAATGCAACTGTTGCTTTCATGCTAATTGTCCAAAGAAACCCTACTAGGCTAAAGGGTTTAAAAGACACGTTACCAGTGATTGTCCGAGACCAGTCATTCCATAAGACTGGATGCTTATTATGTGCTTCGACTCCCTTAATGTTTCATTTTACATGAATACGGCAGTGATTAAACGGCTGCTTTTAGATAAAATATGATGGTTGACATGGATTTTAGACTTTTAGGGACGGTCAAGCATGAGTGCTAGGGTAAATGTCAGGACTCGAAAGGGTTTCTCAATGATAATTGATGCGCGCATATTAAGCAAGTTCACAGATTGGATATGGTTACAGCAGCAATGCAAGGAAAGTATAAAGGATGATGTTATATAAGCAAGGGAGTATTGCACAAGTTTAAATGGCATTGAAAGCTTCCTAAATCATACATTAGAACACTAATGGCTCAAGCGCTATTCATGCAAGGCCTCTAAAAGGGAGATTTATCAATGTACAACCTAGCCCTGATAATGCACTAGTTTACTATATAAACCGATCAAGATTCGCATCTAATTTTAAACCATTGACAAAGACAACTAATAGCAGCCTACTTTCTCAACAACCATGCAACTTGTTTCTTTACTATTCACCTTGGCCTGCTCGCAATTGGTAATGGCCGCGCCGTCCCCAGTATTGTCTCAATCTCTACAGGAATTGGAAGAAACCCCCAGCAATACCGGCTGCTGTGGTGGATTTAACCCCTTCAAAAAAATTAAAAAACCAACACCCAAGGATTCACAAGTGCCAGGAACGAGTGATGGCCCTAGCCCACCTCACCACAAAAAGAAACACATTCCAAAGGATTCATTAAAGAAATATAGGAAAAAAGCACAAGCCCAATGATTCTATGCACGCCGATACATTCGCTTACTAGACTTGATTGACTTGTTTCCTGGTTTGAAATTCGGATTTAAATGAAACATGATTTTCCTCTACTCAGTTTTATAAGGGAGTGATTGTATCGATCAGCAAAATATACTTCATTTTGGGTGAATACAACCATAGATTGAGTTTAATCGAATGAAACCACTCAATAATTCAAATAAATGGCTTGAACACTGTGTAGCCCTGACAGTGATTATTCTACAACTATCTGAACATCATCCGATTTCATTTGACAGTAAATCAAACACTTTGAACTGGGAATGATAACTCAATGATGTATTCTATTACAATACATCAGCATCATACTATTGCAAGTAAACAGCAATAAGGCATGTAATATAGCGGATGAATCAAAATGGCATGCTTTAAAGCCGAGATGGCTGAAGCCGAAAGCACCGTTGTAGTCGAAACTCGGTGCTATAATACAGTATGCTACACAGCAACACCTCTGATACATGCACATCATAGTCCCTACAATGACGGTCGATAAGCATTTTTTCCGATTTTCAGGTCTCGTCCATAACAAATGTCGATTATCATGCAATAGCATGGTCATTGCTGTATCTCTTTGACTGTAGTGACTTTTAAGCATATCATACGCATCAACTGTTATAAGCATCCAGATTAACCAAAACCCATGTAGTAGTCCAAAAGCGATGCTGTTTCATAAAGTCTTGTACAAATGTAGTGTATATGCAATCAACTCGGTCAATAATGATGCAGGTACAAGGGGACTGGGTGTCCATGAGCTCAAGACTCGAATAGTTGAGCTAAATTGCATTTTAACCGATATTTGTCGTTTCCAAATAATGTAATATTCGGCAAACCAAATACTGTAACGGCCCCACATTGGCCATCACATGCATTTAAGAATACCAATGTCTGATTGTTGACCATTTTCAATACCAACAGTTGGGTTTATCCGAGTCGTAGTATTAATGCGACAAGTGAAATAATGGTATGTATTTTAACTGGATCAATGTATATAAAATAAATATACTGGCATTATATTACAAGCGGCATCAAGTAGAGTAGTCGAATCAAGCCACGCTTTGTCATATATTGACTAAAAATACCACTGTAGATTTGCTAGTTTATCAAAGCACCAATAGTTTGGATAATGTCTGATACAATTAAGCCATGCAAATATGGTGACTGCGACAAAAGCGTAAAGATCAACCAATCAGACTTTGGACTGTATCAATATCACACTATTTACACAATATGATCAAAATAAGGGTTGGCTAAATGGACGCCGTGGTTGACACTCTTATTACTATCCAAGCTTGTAGCTGCACATCACTTTATAGCGAATGCATTTGATGGCTGTGCATATAATTGTGAACAGTCGCTTTATTTTGGGGTGGCAGTCGCTATTGTCGAGTATGATTGGCTGGCGATGACTAGACAATTGCAACACCCCAATTATTGCACAACTCCGCTAGGTTATGAAGGGTCAGTATATAGCAGGGTATTTTGTAGACTGTTGGGGTTCAAGCTCGGACTGGCTTGTAGTTTTGTCTTATTTTTTATTGGGACAAGATTTCACATTGTTGATCCTAAATAATCAGATCACTTATTTTTTTAGTTGTAATTAATCAGCGAATTTCAGGGGTTGCCAACAAAACAGACCGAAATAAATCGCAATAATGCAATAATTACTGATTGATGGCTTGCTTGTTACACAAAGGGTCGGTTTTACTCTGGCATTGTGCAATCCCTGCCACGAAACAATCCAAGTGCCACTATGTATCAGTAACAAATTTGTAACAAAATTGTGATAAAAGAACGGCCTGCTTCCCTCGTTTCAGGCACAAAATACTCCGACTCCCAATTACTGCCAAATAGCAAACCCATTTATTTATTATACTCGAATACATATTCTGCAACTAGAACATTTATACATTTACACCAGCATAATCCATTACTCATGCATTTTATTAATCGTGCACTGTCGTTTGTTGCTACTGTTTTGTTGATTTCCAGCGTGTCTGCTCAGTCTGACGGATGGTCTACTGGTCCGTGTACATATCATCCATACGAAGAAGATCTTGCGCGACTTGGTGCAACAGCATATGATAATGCACCTGGATGGTGCGGTATTCGATACTCGGCACTCAACATTCAGCGTATCGTGGCAGTAAATGGACTTGGTTCAAGCATGTGTGCACAGTGTCTTGAATTCCGAAATGCAGCAGGCGGACCATCAATGTTCGTGTTGGCTGTAGACCAAAAAGGAGCGCCTGGTTTGGATGTGTCGCACACTAGTTTCCAAAATGCCTTTCCAGGTGCCAATGCGTTGGACCCACAGACTTGTTCGTGGAGAATTACCTCGCAGAGTTACTGCAGCGGCACATGTTTTGGATCTCCAGAAGAATGCACTCCTGGACAGCGTAATCTGCTGCCTGCATATTTGCTTCCTCCAGTTGGGTCTTCTGGTAAACCTCATCCAACTCCAACTCCCAACTCAGATCCTGAACCAACACCCAAACCTGAACCTGAGCCAGCACCTAAACCTGAACCTGAATCAAGTCCAGATTCCACCACTCGCAAGCCAACACACTCACAGATCCCTCAACAACCAGCCGAGTTGCCATCGTCGCAGTCAGTAGTCTCTTCTAGTCTTACTCACGCTTCTGATCAAACAACAGTCCAATCGCCTGTTTTAACGCAGACTCTTAAACAGTCTTCCAGTTCAATGTCGGCATCAGCATCGACTCAACACATGCCATTGTCCACATCACAACTTGGTACAAATGGTGAAACTGCACCAATGCCACACACTGGTGCAGGACTAGTATCCAGTTCATTGAGCATACTTGGTGATATAAACGCACATCTTGCTTTGGCTGTATTGACCACTGCCATTATTTCACTAGTCACCGATGTGTTGTAATGTCAGATCTGCATTATCACTTGAAGTCTACCGACTCTAGTGTGCATGTTGCAACTATACTGTCTATTTGTCCATCATAGTATTTTAATTTTCAAATGAATTCACTACATTAGATACAATTTACAATATTTCCATGTCTAATCAATCGAGTGTTTTTTATATGCTGGTTTCAGTTGGAGTGTTAGTATCGATCATTGCAATACCGCTGGGCCATACATCCAACACTTGATCAACGTTGAGATGTAGCAGTGAATGTTGAGTGTTTTGACTGGGTTAAAGTGTTGTCAGAGTTGATGGATTAGATTTGATTGACACTGTTTCGAGTTGCATAGACACCAGATCGTGGTTGCTTGTCATGGTATCGGGTTATATATTGTTTAATAAGCTACATGTAAAGTGTGGTAGTATCAATTATTGCAGTGACTGAATGAGTATGAGTTGAATTTGGCAGCACAAGCCTATCAGATTGCATAGAGCATATGGGTTAAACATGTTGTGTGCGTCTATTGACTGAATAAAGATTGTAGTGCTATTGAGTATAATTTGTTCCAATGTATATTTCAATCTGCGCAACTCGGCCTTTATTCTTGCCAAGATTGCTTGTGAGCGTCATATAATGGGCGTTGCGTTTATTGGAGCAGTCAATTGGTAGGAAAGCAAACGAGCATTTAAATATTGGTTATTTGGAAGCAAAATAGTGACTGCAAGATAAAGTTCCATTTACGTGAATACACAAGATAAACCATGTCCCTAACAGTCACATTTCAAGGCCGCAAGTTCCAAACATCTTTTGATTCAGAGTACACACGGCTGGGCGATGAATGGGCAGATGCAGTGACTTTAAGACAACTAATTGACCAGCTGTCGCAACAATCCAGAGTGCCTGCAGAAAACATCAAGCTGTTGTCATCTGGTGGTGAGAGATCTCGTCATCCTCCAAGTCGTCGATATCCTCCTACTGATTCAAACCGCCATAGCCCTATAGGGACTCGGTCTTCCCCTTCCAAGTCGTCTGCTGCTGCTTCTAGGACTCCTCATACTCGGACTTCAGCTGAATACTCTAGTACATTCTACTCATCATCACCTTTGCGTAACCAATCGAGCGAGCAGAGTTCGTTCACCATTCCTGACAGAATCAGTTCAGCATCGAAACATTCAAACCATAAACAATCTCAGCATCCATTGCCCAGAAAAAAAAGCAGCGGTGATAGGGATAGCTCCAGCGTTGCAGTTTCTGCATGGGGCAAGTTTATGGATCTTGTTGAGCAGGGGTCGAATGCGGTCACTGGATTTTTAGATCGATTGGATGGATCAGGGAGTGGTGATTCAGGAAGTAGCAATAGTAGAGAAGACGGCAGCAGCAGAACAATAGGGGAAGATTCTGGTTCATGGGGTGCGGATCTTGAGTGATGTTCATTTAATCTATCTATTTATCTTGTATATTCACGTAAAATGGAATACTATCTTGCAATGTCTATTCTGCTTCGGAATAGACAGTGCTTTAATGTTTGCATTTCCTACTGGAAATTGACATGTCAGTTTCTCAAAACACAACGACCATCATAGGATGTTCACAAACTGTAGTTTTGAACTGGGATTATTCTCATTTTGCATAGCCATACATTGTACGATGGCTAGATTCGTGTATTGCAATCCATATATTGGGTTCCACTGTTTTGGTGTTGTCAATAGAATTGTACTTTGTATCCTAACGCCCTCAGATACGTTTGTGCTCTAGTCCAAGAGCAGGGATTGCACATCTCGAAAGTATAACTGTTGTTTCCATGTCAGTTATCAAGAGAAAGATCAGTAAACTTTGTCAAGGAGTTCAGAGGACAGCATGTTTCAGTAAACTGGCTGTTTACTATACACTTTAGCATATCTAGTGTTTCATTTTACGTGAATACAACTGTATCCTATGTCTACTTGATGCATGGGTTATAATAGGTTTATAACAGAGATTAGACTAACTTTTTATCATTATTTTAACTCATCACTACTTTATACTGCTTTTTGAAATATGCCATCAATTTATCAATTGATTTTACAGTCGTGATGTTGGATATGGATGCACCACTCTCATTTTACGGTCTTGGGACTGGATCTAAAGTCATGATGCTTGTTGATAAGCGACCAAAGCAGAATTGGGGCCCATCTACAACAACCACATCTCCAAGGATACCGCCGCCGACTCATCCTGTGCTGCCTAAAGAGCCTGAGCTTCCTCGAGAGGAGCGACTCTTTAAATTGCTTAATGATCAGATTGAGTACACACAGACTATAATCCAGCCCCTTTTTGGTGCTTACAAGAAACATGCAGATGATTTTCTTTTACATGACAAAAGCTCATCCAACACACTCACACCAAAGCAGTTGCACGATGAATATGCGCGTATTAGCGAATCACTCTTGCAGTGCCTACTAAAAATCGACGGAGTAGAATGTGAGTCCAACGAGACTGAATTGCGAGCTAAAAGGCGGGAAGCAGTGCGGCTTATTCAAGGACAATTGGATATTTTGGACGGATTGAAGGAGCAGGTTGTCGCTCATTCGAAAAACCTATCGTCATTATAGTGATACAAAGCGTTGATTTTGACTTCATGGCTGAAGACAAGAGATGAGGAGAAAATAAAATGAGAGATTGCCAGCAACCATCATATTTTGATAGTATTCAGACAGCATCAAGCAAGCTGTTGTTGCAGCATTTTGGAAATAACAGTTTTAAGTTAATATACATACTATACCATGTGAAACTTTGGCGCCTGTCAAAACAGCACCAAGATCAGTAAGCAGTTGCCGCTAAACCAAATGAGCGATGTCGTATATTGAATCGAGAGGAGCGGCAAGCCGGTTAGCAAACTGACCGTGTCGACAAATCAGATTGTCGTCGTGGTAAGGAGATACGAGCAATGTATGCTCGTGCCATTCAAATCAACAGATGAACAATCCACCGATATTTGCAAAAAACACACTGATGGCGCTGACAATTTCTCATTTTCTCTGTTTTCATGCCTTTTGTACCAGATGTGATATAGGTGGCTTGGCAATCCAGAATGCTACAAATTAGCTCAGGGTATTATCAAATTGACCTTGTGCCAATTATCTGAAACCTATTGCAAAGCGCCTGACAGTTAAAACGATGGTTTAGTTTGATAGAGCTTAAATGAGTGTGTATGGATGCTGACAGTCTGAACTAAACCCTTGAATATCCATTTTCAAGGGTTTAACTGGACAAGTTGCATGAAATTGACGGATCGAAACGCGTCGCCAACTATTACAGGCTCTGGCAGCTGCTAATCCCATGTACAAAATTCATATATAACGAGTAGGTTGGACTTGATTGCCCTTCAACTTATCGATATAAACTATGCAGAGTGCTTCTGGTAAGACTGTCTATACGAACAATGAGACTACCCATTCACCCTCATCAATAACTATACTGCCCAGCCCACCCGCAAGTGCAAATGAAAGTGTACCATTATCAAGTATACCGGCGGGTGCACTACAGCAACCAACCATCCACTACCAGCAGTACCATCTCCCTTACTCCACTCATGCCACGGCCCATTCTGCGGCTGCTAATACCACTCCTTTACAACATAGGCAATCATCAGATCTCGCTTTCCACCACATCTCTGGGCCACTTTCTGTTCCTTCTTCTGGCTACATGCCTCCGACAAATTCAACATTTCTGATCAAGCGATCCGTGGTTGGTCTGAAAAAAGGTCTTATCAGCTCGGACAAATACATGGTATTGTGCGCTCCCATCTCTATACAAGACATTCAGTCAGTTTATGAGCTGCTATTTGTGTCTGATCCTGCCAAACCTGTCGATGCTCGCTCTATTCCTTGGCTAGGCAATGTGGCATTTGCTGCCGTCAAAGGTATGAATATATATTCAATTATTGATAAGCCTATAAACCCTATTTATTTCAAGAGCTATATTTTCCTGTATCGACCCTGTATATTCACAATCAATTCTTATTGCTTTAGCAACCCCGCTTCTAGTCATTCTTCCATCCGAGTCCAGAGCAGATTCGCCAGTATTTATTCATTTCGATGAAGTTCGTGCCATCTCTGACGAAGTTGCTCTCAATTCTGCATGCACATTTGTCCTGCATCTGGCTAGAGCTGATCTTCGCTTTGTTTGCAAAACTTCTACTGACTATGTTGATTGGATACGATGCCTTACCATGACATTTGAAATTTCTGCTGCATCGTTTCAATCCAATGCTGATGACTTTAACCGTAGAGCACAAATCCTGTCCATGGTCCAGCAACAACAGTACAGTACACCCAACCAGCAGCAGCATGCACCAGTTAATCAGCATTTTGGGAATGGATCGGGAGTTGCTAGACAGGATTCATATGGGCAGTTGTACACCGCTAATCCCAACAGTAATATAATTTCTTCCTCCCAACAACAGTATGGGTTGCAGGTGTCGAGTAGTGGTGGCAATACACCTTCGAACACGGGTTGGAGTCGTCAGTGACTTGTTTAGAGTTTGATGGTTTTAAAAAAAAAGAAATGCAATTGGTATTTATAGCTGTATTCACGTAAAATAAACTTTTCTATATTTATCTTGCAATGAACAATGCTTCAATGTTTGCACTTTTCTACTGGAAATTGACATGTCAGTTTCTCAAAACACAACGACCATCATAGGATGTTCACAAAGGTCTAATCAAGCCAATACATCCATTTTGAGATATGCTGTTCAAGCACCCTTGAGAACATATTTCTTGTCATTCAACTCGTCAATCTCTGAATGCACACGAACCATTTCCCTTGCAATATATCCCATCACCAAAACGTTGATGACTGGTAATCCCCACAAAACGTATTCTGCCTGGGTCATGATCACTTTCACGTGGGGGCCATGCAGGCTTACCATTGCTGCCAAAGGGATAATGGACACCATGAGATGAATGTAAAACGCCACGGTCCACATAGATACAGGCTGATCCCTTGTGGGAATCACTCCTGGATTAAAAGTTGACGGTGCATAAAGAAACACTGGTGATAAAAGTGTGACCATCAATGATACCCATATGCAGGATTGATACATCCGTGGGAATATAATTTCAGATTCAAAGTAGGATTCTGTAGCAAATGTTGGGCTGTCTGGATTTGCCTTGTTGAATGCAAATACCATGTATCTAGATATGCAAACGCTCATTAGCAACTGGACATAATTGTATGTGTTGATCGAGATGACTAGATACTGCAATATGGGACCTACACTGCTGTAAATGACCAAGCAAGCAGAGTAAACATAATCTAAAACGCATTGAGCAAAGGAATTGGCCTAGTTAGCCAACACTTGGGATGCATGCAATGTGTATTAATACTGTGTCTGCAGACACATCTTTAAATACCTTGAATATGTAGTTTCGTTGGTCATCTTCCTCCTTAAACTTTTCAATGACTGTTTCTTGAGCTATTGATAAAAAGGTGTATCCATACAAGAATCATTCCAGATGAGCTGTTGGCATACGCTGCTCAGTCGAGTGTAAATCACTTATACTGACTTGAAGCCAGTATAGAATAAGTCAAAGCAGTGACACAGCTTACCCTGTTCGTCCAAGATATCTTCTGGTCGCAGAGTGTCCTCATCCTGGATATCTGGCTTGAATCCTCTTCGTTTCTGCATTTCGAGATACAATTTTTGTACAAAAAACTATTTCGACTCAATCTAGTGTTGTCTCGACACTGCATTTCGACTGCATAGATATGGCTCATATTGGATATGCCTTTTAAATAACAAATAACAAATAGCTAATAATAAATAAATCATGATTGCTCCGACAATCATGCGCTCATGATCAAAATGTTTATTTGTTAAACTCTGAATTAACAGCAAGGCATTATTCTGGATGCCTTAAACGCCAAAAGCTACGTAGATCCAGCAGCCTTGAGTCCTTGATTGTATCTGAAATTCAAAGTAGTGTAAAGTTAGCAGCTTTATTAAATGATATTCAACCTTTTTCATAATGTGATGGATCCAACAAAAATACGTACTGCCAGATCCGGAATAATTGATAACATCCAATCGCTCCAACAAAAACATTTACTGAAAACAGATTGTAGTTCTTTGGGATAATAACTAGAGAGTACCTGGACCAGATAATGCCAGTAGCCGCAAGAGCTAAACAATAGCGCAGATACAAAGGTGAAAAATGTTGTTGTTAGCAACTGGTATTTGAAGTGGATGTAATAGCAATGGAGATGATAGCATTACCAGTGGTCTGTGTCAAGCTGAGCTTGTCTGCTGGCCGTTGGAGGTCACCAAGACCTGCAATAACAAGACCCTATGAGATACAACAGATATGCATCAGCAGAGTCAGTAACAGAATAACGTCACGACGCTACAACAGTATACAAATAACAGTCTGTCCATATGATATAACTCATTATCATGGCCAAGATAGGTCAAGCTGTACCCATTTCATAGCAGGAGCCCAAAAGTGAATAGTCTTGGGTCCTAGATTGTCATTCAAGTTTAACCAAAGTTGTCGTTAGCCAAAAATCATAAGAGTGCATTGCTGGATGATGGTCTTCATAGTACCTGCAGGGTGGTTGAGAAACCTGGATGCCCATGATTGGCTTGCTGCTGATGCCATGGTGTTGGGATTAGAGTTCTCAGTGTTGATAGAATTGAGATTGAGTTTGAGTAAAATATTTACAACTTTAATCCAACAAGAATGTCTGATTTCCACTCAGATCTCAAATTGGATTCATCCAAATGCATTGCTATTTACAGTCATATTCGTGTCAAAGTGTATAATAAACAGCCAGTTTCATGACCAATGTCAGTTGAACTTTTTAGTCGATCGGTTTTGTTTGTGGTGTTTGGCATATATAGTTGTATTCCCGAGATTGGTTTCTTGAACTAGATTGCAAATGTATGATTTAAGATGCAACAAGAGTTTATAACATTAGAGCCCAATGCTGTTTTTACACATAAAATACGCTGGATAATATGCAATCAATGTTTTATTTTGATGTATGGTTTCAATTTTCAGATGAATTTTGAACATCAAAACAACATGGTGGTATATCTCGATCAACAGCAGCAAAAAGTGTAGCAGTTCAAGACAAGTTTAATCATAGTAATTTATCTCTTGACCGATACAACGAATCAATGTATCGAGCTGTCCAACAGCAAAGCTAGCAGAGGGTATTGATGGTGAAATTGTTGAATGTTTTGAATCTGACGTGGGAGAATCCTTTGGGCCAAATGCATCAGATAGAGTGGATGAGTGAAGCTTACCAAATGCAACAGAGTCAAACATGTCCTCTTTTTCCTCTTTTTGATGCATACTAAGCACATTGATATGAAGCGGGGATAGGAGGGTGCTTTTGGGAAGCACAAACGTATCGATTTTTGGTGGTGAAGGTAGATAAGTATGATACTGTGGTTGGATTGACGAGTCAGACTTGAAATCGACATGTAAAATGCTGGATATACTAGATTGGGCTGTTACAATCGGCAAATCAGCTGGCGAGGGAAGGGAGATAACAGAGTCAGTAGGTGTATTCCATTCTTGGGGAATATCAAAACTCTGTTCAGAGGTATATATGTCTTGCAATCTGTGATGAACCAATTCCGATTGACGATGGTTAAGTGATGTAGAGAACCGGCTAGTAGTAGCAGTAGGCTGGTGCATAAGCGAATGCAGGCTTGATACTTGCTGCTGGGTTGCAAATGACGATGCGCGCGTCGAATCAGTCAAGTCCATCATGGTTTTACCACGGACATGTTGAAAAGGCATGGATGTTTGTGCTGGATTCCAGGACTGCAGCATGATAGATTCGCTTGCCTTTCTTTCCCTTGATTGCTTGAATGCAAGCATAGTATCGGGTTGCTTGGCAATACTGCGATCGGGAGTGTGAGCAAAAGGTGCATCTTGACGACAAAAGGCGGGAGTGCTCCAAGTAGACGCATTATCCTGCTGAAAAATCGGTGCTGCCATCATGGAAGAATTGAGCTTCTTTGCAGGCGGCAAAGGAGTGGACATGGCAAAATGACTAGATGTGCGAGTAATATCGGATTCGCTTGCACGAGGACGATCAATGGCTTGATGGCCAGAGTTTAGAGTGATGATTGATGCAGAGGAAGATTCATGCGGAGCCGAAAGGGGAGGATCGTGAGAGAGATGTGATATATCTTTTGAACAATTGATCGCGGCAGGCACATTAAGTCTATGCATGGGTAAACTAGCAGACTCTTCATGAGCTGACTGCTTGGACTGGAAGACTGGCAGTTTTTTGAGCCAATACAAGACACGTTTAGACTTGTGCGAGCCTTTGACGAATACTCGGCTGGATTTACTAGGATCGGAATGGGCAGATTCAGAGAGCAGTGGTTTGGGATGTATTTCGCTACTGATAATTGGGTCTTGTCTAGCATTCATTTTAGACAACAGTTGGTCTGGCCCTATGTGCATGGATTGAATTTTAAGTCGATTACCACCCGTACTCGTGGATCGACAAATGATATTGTTAGCTGCGACAACACCTGCTTCTGAATAGGTACTCTGGTTAAACGAAGTGGCAGGATTTACAATATGAACACCGTGACGACAGGGATGGATGGGTGATAGCTGTGTTATCTGCTCTTGATGATTCTCCGAATCATCATCATGTTTTCCGAGCCCATTACGTAGTTTAGATGTCAATCTAGCTTTCCATGATTTTTGCTTGCCATCGTTGATGGTTTTGGGAGACGACTGAGCAGCATAGATATTGCAGCTATTATTTGTACTAATGGACAGGTGTCGTTGGGGTTTGGTCCCAAATCCCATGCCATTGTCATACTTGAGCTGAGTATCTACAGTGCTGCTCCTATAGTGTCCACGATAGCCAAGAGAATTGTTGATGCTGCTGGCTATGCTTGGTCCAAAGTCCTCATCTATTGACAATAGACTGACCTTGTTGCTCTCCTTCAACGACTTGCTTTGCAGATGTTGTTGGTGATCAACGACCGTCGTGTTGAAAGATCGATGGCGTGCAGGATGTACGTCTATTACTGACGGAGCGCCTTCATTCGCAGGTTCATCTTGACCATCGACCAGATCTGATAGATCTGGTTGAGATGGCCAGCTGGGAAGTAATGCCATACTAACTCGACGCATGGCTTTGGTCATGACATTCACATGATCATCATGATCACAGTTGTCGTTGTTCATGATCTGAGAGTCTTGGGTTGAAAATGGATTCCAAGATAGCCTTGAATGTAATATCTGGCCTGACATTCCTAATGGGTGATTATATAACAGATAGAGGATAGCTTATGAAAAGGAGATGGGAATATGAAACGTAGGAGCGGAGTTTCAGCCTCTGATGAACCTCTAACGTTCTGCAACTCGAGCCTTTATCTAACCGCAATGTGCTGTTAGCACATGAGAGTATTACAGTATATCCACACTTGAGATGCCCCATGCTCTGGTTCATTATTGGCTGTTACCATACGGATAATTTCTATGCTAGCGGCTATCAGTTTGTTTTACTCGTTCTTGTTGTCATGCTTGGACATATCCACTCATTATATTCTGCTTTACTGTGCGAATAATACACTCGTCTTCAAAGCAAAGATCATCTACAAGTCCATTGCAATAGCCACCAATCTAGTAAATTCAAAGCAATTTCAAGCCTAAACTCAATTGATTCAGGCTGTAGATCCATTCTAATGTTCAAGCTCCATGTCTCAGAATCTATTCTGAAGCATGTAAATGCTTTGGAACCAAGTTCCTTGTGCCACACCCGGGTTTTCTAGACGAATTCAAGCGAAGATATTGATTTGGATGGCGGATTGCTTCTAAAAAGCTGTATTTGGGTCATCTAGTCTTGGATTATCGCACGTGGCTGCACTGTATAATCTTACAAGTATACACACAGGGAAATTGTTGCAGATGCTGATTCTACCATATTCCTTTTCAGCTATTGACAAAAGAGATGAGAGCGGAAAGATAAATGAAAGATTGTCAACCATTTGCAATGTGTATCATTTAAAAAGTATACCGATTTCATTCAACCACTTTTTTGTATGGTTGGGCTATTTGTTGCCTCTGCAACTCTCACTATCAATTCACAGTGCCCTTTGGAGTCTGGGGAAGGGGCTTCGGGATAGATTCGCGTCTATAGGCTGCAAGTTCGCGTCGCCATCAGAATGAGAGATGGGAGGCTTCGCATACAGTCCAGGCTCGTGCATAATGCAGTGTTGCAACCAAGCGTACACGGCACCCATCAACATCTAAATGCTGATGGTTTTTGCTTGCGCTTGTTGGAGCTCGATCTTTGAGCGAGAAACAGGATGGATTGTTTTTGGGACTATCCACCTCTCTCGATTCACCCAATGAATTGTCTGTTCCACAACTGCATCGTCATCTTTATTAATGGCGTTAAATTTTGATCGTTTTATAGTTACCAGCAGACTCTCGTGTATTGTTAAACCTTGATATCGTCTCAACTCTAATAGAATATGTATTTTATGGTTTTGCCTATCCATAATGTCAATAACGATTCATTAAGCGACAAAGGGAGTGAAAACGCAGAAACTTCCATTTATTTATATTCCAACAACCCAATCTCATCATATTTTGATAGTATTCAGACAGCATCAAGCAAGCTGTTGTTGCAGCATTTTGGAAATAACAGTTTTAAGTTAATATACATACTATACCATGTGAAACTTTGACGCCTGTCAAAACAGCACCAAGATCAGCAAGCAGCTGCCGCTAAACCAAATGAGCGATGTCGTATATTGAATCGAGAGGAGCGGCAAGCCGGTTAGCAAACTGACCGTGACGACAAATCAGATTGTCGTCGTGGTAAGGAGATACGAGCAATGTATGCTCGTGCCATTCAAATCAACAGATGAACAATCCACCGATATTTGCAAAAAACACACTGATGGCGCTGACAATTTCTCATTTTATTTTCCATCTCTCCATTCTCATTTCTTTTGCCACCAGCTATAATACACGTTATTGCTACAAGACATTCTGGATACGGGCTAAATCATCATGTCTCATACACAAGGCAAGTACAAGACTAAGCATGCATCTATTTGGGTTTTTGGCCACACAAGTTATGCTGTATATCTAGTTGAGCAACTTTATATTCCAGTCAAAAAATAATAAGCTAAAGATTGAATACATAATGTAATTTTTATTGTGACTGGAAAAGCGTAGATGGGACTGATGGACCATCCCATATTGAACAAACAGGGATAGCATCCACAACAGAAATATCCACCACATTGACAGATATACCCTCCCCATCCGTCACCAACACAGCCAGCGATGATATCGCGTTGCAATCAAAACTGATTCAATCATCCAAATTGGGTAGTGTATCCGTCCAGGGAACCCCAGGAAACAAAACCACTCTTATATCTCGAGAGTCAAACACTGAAGACCACGAGGAAGACCAGTACTATCTCAGCGGACTGTTTAATATTGAAACTTCTCCCGCCTACAAGTCCTTGGAGGCCCTAAAAGGAAAAAAGGAGGTACAAGAATCCCAGTAAGTCGATTTAGTATTTGCTGACCAATTTTCATCATGCTTGTACTATCACGATCCTGGATGCTTAGTTTTTTGGTTGAATCAATTTACAAAGCCATGGTAGCACATGCTAATATACCCGACCATGTTTAAAATTCAGGATTGAGCATTTCAAGCAGAGTTTCTTGCGCATGCATGGTTTCTTGATCCGATTCAACGAGTATGAAAAGAATATTGCTAAAAAACTCAAAGCAAGTGTAAAGGAAGTCACCATGCAGAAGCTTGAACGGGATCGAGCTGTATCCAAACAGTTTTCCGGCAATGCCGAAATTGGTGAACTCAAGCGTGAGCTTCTTAAAGTAAGTAGAGTCAGAATGACTAAAACCAAGTATTGAAAGCTTTCAGTTCATTGTATAATACTATAACAATGCAATATTGATGATAACAATATGCCAACCATCACTCGAGTAATTAGGCACAGAATGAAGTGGATTTAGCTTTTGAGCGCGAGTCAAAGCTGCAAAAAGAAACGGATGAACTATCCAAACAAAAACAGGATTTAGTTCATGATATAGAAGAAATTCGTCGCCACAAGGCCGACATGCTAGAACCCCAACTTATTACTGCAACAAAAGATTTGAAAATGGATATACATCAACGCCGCCATCAAGTCGAAAACCTCCAAAAAGACATGGAAGAAAAGCAATCCACATATGAAGTAGTTGCAATTGAGCGTGATCGGCTCGAAAAAGAAAGGGAAAAGTTTGTCATTTCATTGGCTAAAGCAACTGAAACACCTTTGAAGATCCAAAAGCAAGTGGATGTGCTGAAAGACGCAATCCAGAGTTTAGGAGGAGAGAATTCAAAGCAATTGACATTGACTTCCCAGTTGGACAAAGAACTGGAACGGCTAGCAAAAAAAAAGCATGATTTAGAAAATATGCGGATGGGCCAAGCTGCTGATTATGAGGAACGCCGAGGGCTGATACATGCAATGGAGCGTCAAGTGGATGATATTTTTAAAGAACATGAGCTGGCAAAAGAGCAGCTAACTTTTCAAAAGGCTGAACGAGTGCGATTGGATTTAAGTGCAAAAAAAACTATCCATGATATCAAACGTGAGCACGATACCGTATTAAGAGTGATTCGAGAAAAAGACACACAGCTTAAACTGCATCGTCGACTCGAAACTACAGTGAATAACATCAAAATGTCGACTCCATCGATACGCAAGCAAGCAGAAGATTACCGACGTCAGCTCGAATTTGCAAAAGCAGACGAGAAATTCTACCATAAGGAAAACACCCGACTACGCAAACTTATTGATGTTGCAACGTATGATTTTCTCATGCAAGAAAAAGTAGAAACAAATGAAATGGAGGAATTACAAGAGCAGGTAGCTGCAAACAAACGACTTGAGAGTGAATTGGAGTCTGCTAGTAACGAGTACTTGGCTGCCGTCCGTGCTGTTGATGAGATTAAGATGGAAAAAGACATTCGCGCACGTGAAGTGGTTCGTATTCAAGCTAAAACCCGGGCTATCAAGGGAGATACAGCTGCTAAAGAAATCAGCATCATGGATGCGTCAAAACGAGCAATTGAAGCTGCTGGCAGGTTAAAAGATTTTGGAGCTCTGTACGAGCTGGTCAAGAATGAGCGCAACAAATATTTGAATCATATCCAGTCGTCAACTCAGCGAGCCGCAGAAATGAAGGAAAAGATTAAAATTTTATCCAACGAGATTGAGATTTTACGACACGAAATTTATAACAAAGATCGTGAGTTGTCGGTAAGTAGTCAGTATTTTTTCTTGGTCTTTGACAGAGGCACCAGTTATTTCTAATATCTATGCAAGTACTTTTGACTGACTATAAAGGTTGTATACTGGTAAAATAACCTATAGAAAAGGAAACAGGAAAACAGTGCAGCATACGCAGGTCGAGATTCACTCAAAAATGAAGCCAATAAACTCATGATGCAATACCGTGATCGCCGTGATCAGATCGATCAGCATCTGGCTTCACTCGAATCTCTCAATACTCATATCAACAGCGCTGAGCAAGAAATGCTTGCCATAAAATTGCGCTACGAACAGCTCATAAAAGAGCGCAATATGGTAGGTGTCCACCTCCTTGACCGCAACGACGAGCTCTGTATCATATATGAGCGTCTGAATGTCCAAGTTGAAATAATGAGTAAAGGCGAGCTGGGTTTGCGCGAGCGAGAGGACGAGATTAGAAAATTGGCATTAATTGCTACTGAGCTGAAACGCAAGATTGATCTGCTAAAAAGGGACGAGCCTCTTGTAGGGGTGTATCAAATTGAGATTGAAAAGCTAGAAAGGGAAAGAGATAAGCTGAGGAAATATGTAATAGATTTGTCTCGGGAAATGGAGAATCCAGATGATCCTAAACGATGTAGAAATTTAAACGGGGCCGATCCAACACCCATAGAACTACTGAAAAAGATTGAGCGGCTAGAAGACATGCTTGCAACCAGAGAGGTATTTGTATTTTTGGAATTTTTTAGATTGATAGGTCAAAATGCACTTGAATTTGCAGTTTGTTAATTTTTTACTGCAAATTGAAATGTCACCATGAATAGGAAAAACTGTTGGAGAAAGACTTGATTATGGAAGAAATAGCAACACTTACTAATCGGCTCAAAAAACAGACTCTCGATGGCAAACAAGAGACTTATCAAGTGACACGCAAGCTCAACGATCTAACCAAGCGCATTAAACATGTTACACGCACTATGATGTCAAAAGTATCCGAGCTGGCCATGTACCAATCCCACGCAATGAATCTGTATCAAGAAAAAAGCGAAAAGGAAGCATTGGTTGAGGAAGCAGTGATGAGACTAGAAAAGGGAGATATTCCTACTGAGCAGATTGAGCGAGATTTTATACGAATGGAAAAGACTCGAATGCGCAAAGAAAGTAAACAAAGAGCGATCAAGGAACGTAATCTACGCGAGCAAGTGGGCCGGCTTGTTGATGTGTAAGTTTAGTATTATAGCGATCATGAGATGACGGTGAAATTTATAAACTCGGATACTAACATGAGAAGACAATTTAGGGACGACGATGATTTTTATATGTATGGCAAAGTGCGAACCATGGCAGAGCCACGACCCAATGCATATATTCCCGATGCAACGGGACTGGGAACATTACCTATTCCTAAACCGTATGGAGCACATGCACCATTCAAGCCGCAGGAGCCAGGAACACAGATACGCCACTATCGCAAACCAGTGGAGAAGCCGATCGAACTGTGAAGAGCCAATCAACAAGATTCAGATAGTATCGAAATCTAATAATAAGCCATGATAATGCTGTACACCTGAAGACACGGTTGCATCGAGTATAAATGATTTTATAAACAGATTGTCCGAATTTAGAAGATTTAGTTATTGTAAGTTTGTCGGACGTTGTAGGTATTACTGCTGTTGGGTGTGGATCCAGTTCCTTGAGCGGGTATCTTGATGAATATCAATATAAGCATATGCACTGCTACTTTTATTGCGATAGTATATTTAAAAGTGGACTGGATAGTAGCATTTGTTGCTGGCTGGTGCTAATATTGCTAGCAATGCGACCCTTTAATGTCGTAGCATTTGCTCATATCCAACTCATTTTATTTCTATTACTTGCATTTATACAGAATGCTGTCTGTACTAGAAGCCCACAAGTCGTCTCTTTCCCGCCCATCATCTTCTGTTTCTCAACAAGTCGGAATGCACTTTGCAGATGGCGCTTCGATTCTGTATGTTCCTACTGCTGCAGGTGCACAGGGCAAGCGAGCCATTGAGGAGTTTGTCAAAAATGTTGGCCGACAGTCTCATATCATCGAGAACGAGCAGATCCTATCCCGTATGGTTGGTGACCAGTCTGTCGTTGAAGAGTCCATTGTGCGGTTGATCCACACGGACCCTATTGACTGGCTGCTTCCTGGTGTTCGCCCAACCAAAAAGCAGATTGTTTTCCCCATGGTAACTATTGGCTGATGAACACTTTGAGAAAAATCCATTATGGTTTCTAATGACTACTGATACGACTCGAACGGGATTATATCAAGGTGACTATTCTCTCCTTTGACGAGACTGGAAAGATTGTCTCCAAGAGAGTTTACTGGGACCAAGCCTCTGTATTGCGCCAGGCTGGTGTCCTGCCCAGATCTCTGTACTGCAAGGCTAATGCATCCGAGGTGCAGCTTCCTGTCCTTGACGGATCTATTGTTAACAGTCTTCAAGACTCTATTCTTGACTCCAATGTTCTTTTGAGAGTTGAAACTTCTGCTGGACTTTCTAACGCTCAGCGTGGTAACTAATCATGAGATGCATATTGCAATTTATGGATGTGAAATCTGTCTGGTTTCTAATTTAGTCTGAACATGTTTATACTATTTATGTTTGAATTGGTGGTTGAAAGATGCCATGGAGAACAAGCCTGCCACTCCCGTCAAGGGACGTACGGCTGCTCAAGGCATGTATCCTCAAGGTGAAGAACTGCCCATCCGCGCTAGCAACAATCGCCAAAAATCGGATGTCTTTGGCTTGGAGCCAGACACTGCTGCGTCGTCTTATGCTGCTTCTCGTCGCTCATCGGCCATGTCGTCTGTTTTCCCTGAAGAAACCAAGAACGTAGCACGTCCCTCTACTCGCGTTTTGCAACCGTCTGGTGGTCATTCTAGCAATATTTTTGGAGATGATCAGCCCATTCGTTCAGCCTATTCCTCCCAAGCTACTGCCCAGGCTAATGCAGACATGGTTCGCCAATTTGCAGAGTCCTCTCTTGACGATGTTGCTGAAGAGACCTCCAGTAACGCATCTAGTCAGACTACCCACTCCATTGGTGGCCGTCGTGCCTATGCTGGAAAGACCAATGAATCGCAGTTTTCCTTTGGAGATGACTCCTCCACTGTTGGTCAACGTCATGCCACCAATTCTACTCATGGCATGGGTCGTCGTGTTTATGGTGATACCAACAAGTCTCAATTCTCGTTTGGATCGGATGTCAATGCTTTGCCCGACTCGCCTAACCACCACCATAACACTCTGCATACTGGCCGAAAGATCAACTCTGCCTCTAACCAGTCTCAGTTTTCGTTTGGATCTGAGACTCCTGAGACTGTCAAGCACGCTGCTGCTCAATCTGCTCGCTCTTCTGTCGCCTCTATTCCTCGCTCAACCAACCCCTTTGAAGATCAGCCTTTGCCCAATGCTGCTTTCCGTAGCGGCCGTCGTGATCCCAACGCTATGAGTAATGAGCATTTGAATGGTACTCGTCCTTCCAGCCGTGTTCTTAAGGCTCCTGGAGGTGGTTCTAGTATTACTTTTGGCTAATACTGTTTACTGGTGTAACTTGGGATGTTTAGCTTTCAATTTTTATTTTCCTTTATGGTTTTGCTTGTTGTTTTTGAAAATAAACTTTTAAAATATGATGTTATCTATTTAGATTTCTTAATAATGAGTGATTATATGCAAACCACTTTGATACTTTTATAATTGTATAGTTTCAAATTGGCCCCAATATATCTAGCTTGCGATAGTTTATCCAATTAGCGTCTTTGTTTCGTGAAGCAAATGTTTGAGAAGATAAGAGCTGATCATATAGCCTGACTACTTGACCCTTTGCAAGTAGCATACCAGCGATATCAGTCCCAACTGACAGTAAAATCAAAATCGTATCACAAAGGTCGGTAGGTCATGTCAGCTCCTGCATTCAAGTTTATTTTAACATAAATTCATCTAAATAATCATTTTCACTTGGATGAATATCAGTTGCTTTTCAATTTGATCCAAACGTTTATTTGAGATTAGCAAACCAACTTTTTCAGAAATAAATGGGGCTACTAGAAAAAATCATTTTAGACACCAAGTTGCTGAAATATACAATCAACACTGATGGCTTGATATTTACCCAAAATCATACCATGATGATATGGCGGAGATATTTACTGCCAAAACGACGCGACTTTTTCTTCCAAGCCAAATCTATATCAAAAAACAAGTCTGTAAGCCTGCCAGGTCAAACACGGCTTTGCAAATACATAGCTATAGCATGACCACACTTGCAGACCAGGAGATGCAGGATTCCTTGATGGAACTACAACAGAACCAGGAAAAGTCTCTGTCAGAAACCTCGCTTAGTTTTAATAGCAACGAACTATTATCTGCAAAGCCCATGGATAGTACTGCAATGTCTGACATGTTGGGTGTCAGCCTAGACGACCCAATGGCATTGGAGCGCGCCGTGTTTACTGCTGTCAATGAAGGCGATACAGACCATCTCAAGAATGTGTTTAGTCTTTATTCGTCCTCTACTGCCGTATTGCAGATGCTGCTGACCACTTCCTATCCAAATCGAGACAACTTTTATAAGCATGATCCAGAGGTTATGCAAGACGCTCATGAGCTTCTAGGTCCAAGGTACATGTTCATTGTCTATCTTGCTTTGCCATATCCTTTTATTTCTACTTTTCTGGTATGTAACTGCATTGGAGTATGCATGCTGGTAAATAGAATTCAGTATTCTATATAGGTGTGTTTTGGCATGCTTGGAGTTTGTGAATGCCATGATATTCTCGTTGTATCTACAATCTTCAAGTATATGAGATTACAGCCCATCCTACACCACTGCCCATTCTATTTTTATTGCATCATTTGGAGCTGGCAATGAATTTATCCTAACGTCTTATATTATCATTGCTCATCGACTAACCTTGTGTAATACTGGTTATGACTGTCCCCTGGCATGCCAATACAAACGTGATTATCCACGATCTACTTGAATTCTAATACACTCAGCATGGAACACCTCAATGCCATTCAAATAGCATGTATCTTGGGAGACGAAGAAATAGCCATGGTGATTTTAGACTTTGTAGTTCATGTAACAGATGAAATAGATGCACGAAAGGTTCTTTACGAGTTTATGGGTCGGATCTGGGGAAATGGCAATACTGTGCTGCATTTGGCATCATTTTTAGGAATGAGCGAGTTAGTCAAGAGGCTTTTAGAATTGGGTGCTGCGCCAGGAAAATTCAATGAAAGAAAGTATCGACCGGTGGACTGTGCTGACGATGATTGCACCAGAAAGATGTTTGAGACGGTTACTGAAAGTATGTATTTGAACTACGTGAATCAGGAAGCATCAGTTTTATAGCATGGGTACATTATGATAAGATTGAATTTACTCTGCTTTAATCATGCTGTATGCAATTTGGAAAGCGGTGATATATAAAAGTCCATATTTAAATCTATTCAACCACGATCTGGATTGCTAACTCTATGTTTGACTATTTATCAACATTTGATCTATACAATCCTGTGCCATTCTAAAATATAGTCGATCAAGCTAAACATCACGGTGCAGCAAAGGAAATTTCTGACAAAAGAAATGACATACTAGACTTGAGGCTGCAGGCAGTGCCAAATGCATCACCCAGAGTCATTTCCGAACCTTCTGGATCTCATTCCAAAAGCAGTTCTTGGGATAGTTCCAGTCGCCAACGAGCCGATTCTGCATCATCATCTATTGAGCCGGGCTCACCGCGGGACAGTCGTTTACGAAAACTAACTAAATCTGGCACAGTCAATGGCGATTTTCGTATTGGTGAATTATCCCGCAATCAAGATGCATCTAAAAGTTTGGCACAGTCATTTAAACAGCCACCACCTTTGAAACCTAAATCCAAAAAAACAGTTGGATTTGACCCCTCCACAATGATTCTGCACCTTTGTCAGCACAACGATGATCCGACTGTAAATCGATGTGATTTGGTGCGATCGTTACTGGGACTCGATTTACCAGTAGATTCATCTAAGCGTATTGATGTAAATAGTTTGTTTTCGCCGCAACAAGGACTTACACCACTACACCTTGCTTGTAGTCATGCTGCATATGATATTGCATTGATGTTGCTACAGGAGGCACATGTAGCAGTGAATGTTCGTGACTGTGAAGGCTGGACACCATTACATTGCGCATCGGCAGAGGGAAACATTCCAATCATTGAGTTGCTTGGGAGATGTCAAGGCGTCTATGGCACGGAAGCCGAAAATATATCCAAGCCAGAATGCGCAGATTGGCTTTATCCTATTGATGGACCAATTGATTTGATTCCATTGAATGAGGACGATGAGATTCCCGAGGATATTGCGTTTGATGGCAAGCAAGACCAAATCGCAGCATTGTTTCAAACTTTAAAAACTAAATATCCGCCTCCACCGCAAAATGTCTATGAAGTAGATAATAATTATATAGATGAAGGCGATTTGGACGATTTGGAAGAGAGCGACGATGATGAAATCGATGAGATTGCTGGACAAAAAAAGCATCGATCAAAGGAACATAAATCTATGCCGTTTGGGTTTAGTCATGCACCATCAATGATGAAGTCTGCACTAAGACGTAAAGATCCCGAAGATGCTGATAAATCACTCATGGGAGATTTGGTAGCCAATTCTCGAAGTGTAGATCCGTCGGCACGTAAGTGATTTGCACATTCCAACATTGATTTAAATATACAACAGCTTCATATGGATTATTTAAATTAGCATCACTTAATGTGCTAGTAACTGTCTTGTTTTTACTGATACCAAAGCATCTATGCATTGAGTAGAGATGGCACTGCTGTTGCTATTGTACTATGAAATGAAGGCTAAAGATGTATTTTTTGATTTGAACTCCAATTGACTAGTGCTCGCTGAGGGCAATGTAATCACATCTCCAGTTCTTTGCTCAAATTCTGATGAGCTAAACTCTGTATCTTCATCAACACCGCAGATATCAGGGTCTATATCAACACATTTATCACAAAAAGAATCAACTACATACACTGAACCCAGTAAAAATATTATAGATTTAGAAAAAGTAAGTTCAACTCTACAGCAATCAGAGAAAGCCTTTTCAGGGTTGGCTCAAGAACATCAATCTGAAAGTTTCAAGAGATCAACTGAAATCAATCAACCAGCTGCCTGCTACTCAAGCAATACAGTTGTATCTGCTATACTCGATCCAGTACCTGGGGCTCTGAGAATCAGTAATGGAAATTCGAATCAATTTGTTGAAAGTAATATAACATTAAGCAAAGGTGACTCGAGCGATGCGTCGATTCATCAAAACAAGGCAGATGTATTGACTGAAACAGAATCAACTCAAAACAAAGCATCCAATGCATTAAAATTAATAGACACCTTGTCCACACCTCGATCCAATTTAGAGACTAGATTATCTATAGAATCAAAGCGACAACAAACAACGCCAGCCCAAAACACTCTGCATGCAACTGAGGAATCCCAAACTATTGAATCAGAAAAAATAACCACTGTTGCTTCTACAAATGTTTTAACAGACCAATGTAATGGCAAGAGTGGTATCCCACAAAAGAATTTGACAGAAACGACCAGCTCACAAAGCGTGGCTTCTAATACACCTTCCACGCTTGGTTTGATTTCAAGAATACCCGTTCCTACTTCACCCAAATCTAGAATGACTGCTGCGATTCAATCTAGTACTTTGACTTGTTCAAGTTCGCCATCACTAGCAAAAAAATTATCTGCATCACACAAAGTTACGGAACAACACCAATCAACAATCAAAGACGCTGAAACGAATGCTAAAATAGCGTCAAAACCAGCTAAAGTTTCAAGGGGAATCTATGGATTTTTGGATGGCATGAAATCCACTCAATCTATCGAGGATTTAGAGACTCAATTGCACAATCCAACATCGCTTGGATTCGTTTCATGCACACCTGATTTATTGACGGCATCACATTTGAACACTGATTTTTCAAATACAAAACTCGAAACTGTTGGATCTGACAATACGAGCAAAGATTTGCCACGTATTCAGGAATCGCAAAAGAAAGCGCCAGAAGCACCAACATCTGCAGTACTACACAATACCAAACCTGAAGCTTCAACAAGTATGTCATTGTTTGGTCGACTCAAAGAAAAGTTTAATAAGCCAGGAACTGTACCACCCGATCCTCCTAATCTTAGCAGATCCAGCAGTAAAAGCAGCATGGAGTCACTTTACAAACGTAAAACAGACGCTTTGCCAACATCAGAAGTACAGGATACCTTATCAAAGCATAAAACTAATACAGTCAACTTTATGGCTGGATCAAGTAAAGAGTCGGAAACGATTACGGAGGCGGTAAAATCACAGTCGAATACTCTGGTAGCAGTTTCTACAAAACATCGAGATGCCAAGAAAGTTCAAAATGAGTCGTCCCCACTTAAGGAATCCCAAACATTACAAGTTCCTGATGAAAGCCACGTATCCAATTTGGAAGTTTCAGCAAATTCACAAGACCCACTTTCTTCATCGGCTGGACTGGACACGTTTGCGTCCAGAAAGACTCGACTTAGGAATGGGTCACAAACAAGAACACATGATCAAATCACTAGTGATTTTCCATGGATGAGACCAGCCAATGGGCCAGAAGTGAGTGGATTGGTGAAGTCGGGCGAAGTGTTGCGACGACCATCTGAACTGTCTCGTCGTGCATCCAAGCTTGTGCGAGATCCAGAATCTCCATCCAGAACCGGAATAATACCATCTTTAATATCGCACTCATCTAAAAAGGGAGAGTTTAAAGAAATGAGGTCATCCGAGTCTTCATTTGAGATGAAACCCAAATATGTTGGTGCCCAGCCGCCGCAAGATGAAGTGGTTGCAACTGGAACTGTTGATTCGATCAGGCAGGCATTTAACCGACCTGGTATTGTTGAAGCAAATATGCCTCAGACCAAGCAATCTCCACTGCGACGACTTGGCGGGTTTACTGGACAGGCCAATTCGGCTGCTCCACGAAGAGCATTGAATTCTCAAACTGCTGTGGATACAAAGCCAGGCATATCGAGCACGACAACATCACCAGACAAACCCATGTCTACACCATCGCAGCAAAAACCACACTACTCGTCCAAAATCATTCCAAAACCAAACGAAGCAATTGCCGAAGAACCATTGTCTACTCCTCAACCTCAAGCAAACAGTAGTTTTATTTTACGAGCAGATTTAGAATTTTCAAATAATATATCTGGGGCAATGTCAAAAACAGCAAGCGTGAGAGATCGCATCAAGCGGTTTGAGACATCTGGATAAGATTACCAACTTAGTACACTTACAGCCGTATTCACTTAAAATGAAACACTTTTCTGTATTTATCTTGCAGTTGGAGCCTTTATTTTGCTCCGGAATAAACAATCGTTACATATTCGTTATTATTGTAAATTGATTTTTTATTGAAACTCTGTTGTATCCTAATATCAGATACGTTTTAGTTCAACATATCTCAGGAATGTAACATACATGCCAGTCACGCAATGTTTACTTCAAATGTTTGTTTTGGAGGAGAGGAAAGTTGGAGGTTGAAAAGGTATGGAATGTGATGTGAACATTCGCTCTGTATTTCTGTACAAGAATGAGCATGAAGATTAGTAAACCAAGAGCTTAAAAACAATATTGTCCAGTAAGATTGGCACCAAATATGAGACTGTTTATCATGTATTTTGACATTTATTTAGTGTTTCATTTTACATGAATACGATTGTAGTAAGCGTATATATACATAGTTTAAATTGATCTTTATTTCGATAGTCTGGGTTTTTGCTGGCTTGTGCAACTGGAAAGTATTGTAGATTTTTTTAAACCACCGCATTGATTCATACTGCCATGCATCTAGAAGATTTGAGATACTCGAGTTTATTTCGAGTGGTTTAAAAGTTGCCAATTGAAAATGGTCAGATATATGCATGGTTTTGATTGATAGCATACAGATCCACATCAAAAAGCCATAAAACATATGGGAAAATAAAGATGAATATGTAAAAGTATAAGCTGGATTGAACTAGAATGTGAGCGTATCCAAGACTAAAATACAACAAGAATGAGTCTATAGAGCTTGATTGTGAGTATAATATGACGGACGCTGTCTATTAAAAAATCAATTTGCATTAGGAAAGCACAATGCATATTTAAGCATTGATTATCTAAAAGTCGATGCAAGATGCAGAAAAGTTTCATTTTGCGTGAATGCGGCTGTAAAACAATCTTGAACATAAATCTTGAAGGTTCCCTAAGCAGCATTCAACCTTTTTAAACGGATAAGCAGGGCTAGTGCCAACAATGCTGGTGAATTCGCTTTCCTTACTATGGCTGTTGCTACTTTCGTATCATCAACTGTCTGCATCTGTCAGTGCAACTTCTACAGCTTCCGAGCATATGGACAATGCCAAGAAACTCATGAGTTCAGGGGACTTTTTTAAAGCTTTGGATCAATTCGAGGCTGCTATCGGTAAGCCAAGTCTGTCAGAATTATTCTTTACTGTTTTGTTGGACTGGAAAGTGACTGCTAGTCTATTCCTTTTTCGTTTCCATTGCATTCCATCAACCAGTTTGGTGTTTATTGCACGCTTCAAAGCCTTTCAATACCATATCTGTGGACTATCTGTTACAGTCATGAATGCTAATATACAATGTGCGTCTTTAGCATTGGAGCCAAATGAGTATATATACTATTTTAAGAGAGCCGCTGCCTATTTGACATTGAACCGCTATCCAAACGCCCTGGCAGACTTTAGCAAAGTTTTAGAACTCAGGCCCGACCACACTGCGGTAACGAGTGATTGAATAACATGCCATGAATTGAATTTCTACTAATCTAGACTCATGTTTGGATTGATTGAAATTTCTCTCAACGTTCCAACTATCTGAATCTATGTGGTGCATAGTCTCGTGTGCAAAAGGCAAAGATTTTGCTACTGGAAGGATCTATTGACGAGGCATCAAAAGAATCGTCGTGGTTTGATCCGGATTCCTCCAAGCAGGATGTTATATCGTTGGTATGCAAATACTGTATTTTTGTTGACTCCTATTAAGCCATATCCAGTTTTTATCAGTGTTCTGGTTCAGGTCTAAAGTCGGTTGGATTTAACCAAAATATTGATTGTATATATTAGATTAATGATATCTCTTATGCAAAAGAGGCCTCCCTTCAAGCAGATGAGCACCTTCAGGCCAAAAATTGTGAAGCAGCAGTAGAGCACCTTAACAATCTTATAGCCCTGACCACATTCAATTACAACTCGCGAATTTCTCGTGCCGAATGCTTTCTCTTGCTTAATGATCGTGCATCTGCCATTAATGACTACAAAATCTGTGCCAAGATCAAGCCCGATTCTACCTCTCTGTATCTAAAACTTTCATTGCTGCATCTCGAGCTTGGCGAAACTGCTGAATCTATAGCCAACTCTAAAGAGTGCTTAAGGCTGGATCCTGATCATCGAGAATGCATCAAGCAATTCAAAAGAGTAAAGAAACTGGATAAGGAGCTCAAGAACATGGCTGCTTTTGTCGAAAAAAGAAAATGGAGGAGTGTTATTGACATTTTGTTTGGTCAAAATGGTGTTATAAAAGATTTTGAGGGCATTGGTGCAAATAGCTTGAATATTCAAGTTTATTCCTATGCTTGTCGTGGTTATGGTGCTGTAAGTTCAACCACTGGTATGTTTGAAACCAAGGCTGGCTTTAACATTATATTATTTTGTGCAATGCTTTTGTCTGTAGCTTCGCAAAGATATTGATGCCATTGATTGGTGCTCGAGGACGCTTTCGTTGGATGCCGAAAATGTGGAGGCTCTAATTACACGAGCCAACGCTTTGCTAGAAAAAGAGGATTATCGTGAAGCCATTTCGGATTTCCAAAAAGCACATGAATACGACAAGAATGACCCAAGAGTATGAAATATTTGCTATAATCACTATACACTTTGATTTTTGCACGGCCCTAACTTTGTTGATTTTGCAATATGGCAGATTTCGGAAGGATATAACAGGGCTCAGAAGCTTCAAAAACAGGCAGGCATGCGAAACTATTACAAAACTCTCGGTGTTCAACGATCAGCTACTAAAAAGGAAATCAAAAAAGCATTCCGTAAATTGGCACAGCAATGGCATCCAGATAAATATTCTGGCACTTTATCTAGAGATCAAGTTCAGCGAAAAATGAGCGAAATCAATCAAGCTTATGAAGTTTTGGGCAATGACGAGCTAAGGGAGCAGTATGATAATGGCGATGATCCGAACGTGAGTATACTTTTATTATCTGGTAGTGTGTGTTGATTTAGTAGTTGACCGATTTATTGCATACTAAATTGTTGTAGGATCCAAACAATTCATCTGGAGGTGGAAATCAATTCCGTGGTAACAACTTTTTCCATCAGGATGGATTCCATCAACACGGATTTCCATTTGGTGGACAGGGCGGTGGTCAATTCAAATTTCACTTTGGCTAACCAAGCATCATGTATCACGAATAGACTTGATTATGAGCTGAACTTTTACGCTATCTTTTAAAGTGGAGTGGCAAGGGTGTTATTTAGAAAACAAAATTTGTTGATGGCAGAGGATTTGCATTGTGTAGCCCTCTAACTCGACCCACTATGACTGGTGATAATGAGGATGAATAGATAAACGATAAATTATTGGCAATCATCAGTCTGTTGCAACAACGGCCTGCTTGATGCTATTAGAATATTTCCAAAACATGATGGGAGCAAAGTTTTATAACCAAAAAAATGTTTTATCTTGTCGAGTAGTAAAAACAAAAACATGCGCTAGCCCGGAATTGAACCGGGGGCTCATCGATGGCAACGATGAATTTTACCACTAAACCACTAGCGCTTGTTGTAAACTTTTCAGGGTCTACATATATATACCAATTATTAATTCATAGTACTAAACTGCAGCAGTTGTATTTATGGAATGAAACACTTGCTTTGGAATAAGCAGATTAAATATTTGTTGCGCTTTTCTACCAGATTGACATTATCAATTCAATAAATACAAATCCCATCATATGATACACATATAATTAAACTCTACAAACTCATCTTTGTTGCATCCTAATCTTGGATATATTTGCATTCTAGTTTTTAAAAAAAAGATTCGCACCAGTTTTTGCTAGATTTACTGAATAGCAATTGCCCTCTGAGCTCTTTAGTTGATTGGTCTGATCCGTACTCATTCTTGTACAAGAATGCAGAGCAAATGCTCACATTACATATCTGTTTCATACATCCCATATCTTTGACGCTTGTCCAATCTGCAACTTTCCTGAAACGTACAATCATTGTTTTTAAGATAAATACAGAAACATTTCATTTTACGTGAATAAGGTTGTAATTTTGAATCTGATTCAGTCCATATAACTTGCAGACATTTTGACCATATTAACCGTAATAATAACTGTCGACGCAATAGTATTTTCATCTAACAGAGACTTTATCATTCCAATTATCAAAGCGTGGTTTCGGTGGAGACTGAAGCGAATTCAAGGATATACTAAAGAACATTGTGCAAAAAATGTATAATACTCAAGTAGTGGATTGGCTTGTAGAAAACAAACCATATTGAGACCTAAAAAACCAAAAAAGTGAAAGAAATATGAAATGACCAAACAAAAAAGTGAGTAAAAAGACAAAATGGAAAGAAATTTGATAAAAAAATAACTCGAGCTGAAGGGAAAGATTTCAGATTTACTACCATATTGAGAAAAAACATTTTTCATTTGATTAGTTTTGTTCAAAACGAACCTAGATGTAAATGTACAAGATATATGTGCAAGTTACAGTACACTATCAACAGCTGGAATATGGTATATTGGTGCAAGTATTGTGACTTTTATATGGTGGTTCAGTTATCCATACACATGATTGTCATGCAAACACATTTATCAACAATGTAATATTATAGTTGACATTGTATACTCAATATTCAACATGTGATACTTGACACACAACAAAGTTGATACTACAACTGATGTGTGTGATCAGTCAGGCTATTGATGCAACCATTGACACCACAATCAACGAGTCAAACCAGTCAAATTGGTCGGATCTGATATCAACACACATGACTGTTGTTGGTATTGGTGTTGCATGTGCCAATACGACATGTCAAACAATATCATATCGACACAATACACACATGCATGTCAGTATCATCAATGTGTACAATTATGCAATATACAATCAACTGTATTGTATTGTATTGGAAATACAAGTGTTGATGTACAGTATGATATCATGCCAACCAAAACTGTGAAATGATCAGATATAATGCATGTACATACAATATCCAATATCCAATGACAATTGTATTTTATTACAAGCAAAAATACAGCAGACTCAGTTGAAACCAGTCCAGATTAGCATTCAAATTAATCGGATGAATCGGATGAGTCGTTGTTTTCGAGTCGACTCCAGCGTGATCAAAACACACTCATAGTTTTGAAAGAAACTTTCTGTGTACTGGAGGTTGTTTGAGTGGGTTGAACTGTAGACATTTCATTCAATGACGACGTTGAGCTTTCACGATGTCGTGGTGAACTTCGAGTTCCACTAGTAGAGGCTTGCTGAGATTTTGGCTGTTGTTTGTTTGTAGTACTTACTTTGTTGGTGATTTTTATTGTGGTGGTTTTTGATTGAGAGATTAGTTTTAGATTAACTGATAAAGTATTCGGATATTTTTTAACAAAAAATGATATGATTTTTTTTGCTTGCAGTTCCAGGTCCAAAACTAAAGCTTTAATCTCAAGCTCAAGTTTATGCATTTTTTTTTGAAGTTTTTGAAGTTTGCCAGATTGTTTTTCAAGACTAGATTTAAGTTTGGAGAGCTTCCTTTCATAATTTGTATCACTCTCACCTTCCTGGTGATCATGCATCAACTGCTGAAGCTTTTTTTCTAGTTTAATCAACTGTTTTTCTTGAAGAATCACCTTACCCTTTAATAAGTTGAGTGATTTCTTTTTTTTTGTATGGTCACAAGTCCGTTTTGTATAGTCTTTGATCAAATTTTCATGGTCAAGTGTAAATGTACGTTCGTCAACTTGTCTCACACCATCTGCATAACATAATTCTACAGATATAAATCCAGGACTCGTAGCCATACCAAAGCGGATTGGAGTAGCGATAGTAACTGAGCAAGCAACCAAGATTGATGACAATACGGCAATTAAAAGTTTCATTCTACTGGTTTGATTAAGCAAGTTGTAATGCCATTCAACAGGTCTGATTTGAATTGTATTTATACATCATCAAGCAGACAGTGTTAAAAGCATGTTTTCATATGACCGTCCTAAAAAACCAGTGTTGTTGTCAGGGTTGGTAGCAGTTTGTTGCTATCAATGTTAAACTTTAAAGGGATCTTCCTTTATGATAACCTTCAATCTTGGTTGAACAACTGCTTGTGTATTCAAGTGTCGTATGGTTGATTCTGCAGTTTTCCACCCTCGTCCACCCTAAAAGGGTCAGTACATCACAATATAGTCAAGCACAGACCAAGTAGGACTATACGCAACTGGATGACATTCAGTTATTAGTTGGCCATCAACATGTGTTGTGATATTGTATGTTGTGTGCTACTATATCAACATCGATTGTCACTATATAACTGTATCAACCACACATTATGATCATATGTCATGGTTGACTCGTATTCTGGATTGATGCACTCATTTCATTACTCGAGCAACTCGTTGTACGACTCATTGTATGACTCGTATATACACTGCAATTTGATCCAGTCACTCATCATCATAACATTGTTGAGCATAGATCAACAACTGCGATAAATGTTACACTGCCGTGCACAATCGATTGCAGTCCATACCAGTTATAGTTGATCACAAATGACACGGTGTATATTGATAGTGTTGCATTTGAATACATGTCATGATGATCAATATCAATCACACACAGCTGGTACATGCATGAGTAATGACGACATTTGATGACTACAACAATCGATACCAATCGTGTTGAGTGAGTTGATACATTGCAATGACATCGAATGCGCGATATCAACAGCTGGAATATGGTATACTGGTGCAAGTATCGTGACTTTTACATGGTGGTTCAGTTATCCATACACATCATTGTCATGCAAACACATTTATCAACAATGTAATATTATAGTTGACATTGTATACTCAATATTCAACATGTGATACTTGACACACAACAAAGTTGATACTGCGATTGATGTGTGTGATCAGTCAGGCTATTGATGCAACCCTTGACACCACAATCAACGAGTCAAATCAGTCAAATTGGTCGGATCTGATATCAACACACATGACTATTGTTGGTATTGGTGTTGCATGTGTCAATACGACATGTCAAACAATATCATATCGACACAATACACACATGCATGTCAGTATCGTCAATGTGTACAACTATGCAATATACAATCAACTGTATTGTATTGTATTGGAAATACAAGTGTTGATGTACAGTATGATATCATGCCAACCAAAACTGTGAAATGATCAGATATAATGCATGTACATACAATATCCAATATCCAATGACAATTGTATTTTATTACAAGCAAAAATACAGCAGACTCAGTTGAAACCAGTCCAGATTAGCATTCAAATTAATCGGATGAATCGGATGAATCGTTGTTTTCGAGTTGGCTCCAGCGTGATCCAAACCTACTCATAGTTTTGAAAGAAACTTTCTGTGTACTGGAGGTTGTTTGAGTGGGTTGAACTGTAGACATTTCATTCAATGACGACGTTGAGCTTTCACGATGTCGTGGTGAACTTCGAGTTCCACTAGTAGAGGCTTGCTGAGATTTTGGCTGTTGTTTGTTTGTAGTACTTACTTTGTTGGTGATTTTTATTGTGGTGGTTTTTGATTGAGAGATTAGTTTTAGATTAACTGATAAAGTATTCGGATATTTTTTAACAAAAAATGATATGATTTTTTTTGCTTGCAGTTCCAGGTCCAAAACTAAAGCTTTAATCTCAAGCTCAAGTTTATGCATTTTTTTTTGAAGTTTTTGAAGTTTCTTTCTTTTGAAATTCAAGACCTTGTTTGATTTTCTTGACCTTTTTCTCGCACTCTGAATTACTCTTTCTATCCGGAAATTTATATTTCAAAAGCGCAAGCTGTTCACCTAGCCGGTTTATCAATTCTCTTTGAGCGGAATTTATAGATTCATCCGAACCATATACTTCCATTGCGCTGCTACGATCTGCTTTTCGTTGTACGTATTCTCTGATCAAATTCATATCACTATTTGAAAGTTTACTAGGATCAACTAAATTTGTAGCCTGTGAGCTAGAAACTGCCAAAGAGCTAGCATAAGTGGTTGTAGCCACACTGGGATAACATGTTGAAGCGCTGGATTCAGTACTTGTACGTTCACTGGGATCAATTGGATTGGCAGTAGTAACTGAGCAAGCAACCAAGATTGATGACAATACGGCAATTAAAAGTTTCATTCTACTGGTTTGATTAAGCAAGTTGTAATGTCATTCAACAGGTCTGATTTGAATTGTATTTATACATCATCAAGCAGACAGTGTTAAAAGCATGTTTTCATATGACCGTCCTAAAAAACCAGTGTTGTTGTCAGGGTTGGTAGCAGTTTGTTGCTATCAATGTTAAACTTTAAAGGGATCTTCCTTTATGATAACCTTCAATCTTGGTTGAACAACTGCTTGTGTATTCAAGTGTCGTATGGTTGATTCTGCAGTTTTCCACCCTCGTCCACCCTAAAAGGGTCAGTACATCACAATATAGTCAAGCACAGACCAAGTAGGACTATACGCAACTGGATGACATTCAGTTATTAGTTGGCCATCAACATGTGTTGTGATATTGTATGTTGTGTGCTACTATATCAACATCGATTGTCACTATATAACTGTATCAACCACACATTATGATCATATGTCATGGTTGACTCGTATTCTGGATTGATGCACTCATTTCATCACTCGAGCAACTCGCTGTACGACTCATTGTATGACTCGTATATACACTGCAATTTGATCCAGTCACTCATCATCATAACATTGTTGAGCATAGATCAACAACTGCGATAAATGTTACACTGCCGTGCACAATCGATTGCAGTCCATACCAGTTATAGTTGATCACAAATGACACGGTGTATATTGATAGTGTTGCATTTGAATACATGTCATGATGATCAATATCAATCACACACAGCTGGTACATGCATGAGTAATGACGACATTTGATGACTACAACAATCGATACCAATCGTGTTGAGTGAGTTGATACATTGCAATGACATCGAATGCGCGATATCAACAGCTGGAATATGGTATACTGGTGCAAGTATACCATGCCGTGTATGTGGTGGTTCAGTTATCCATACACATCATTGTCATGCAAGCACATTTATCAACAATGCAATATTATAGTTGACATGATCGTATTGCACCAATCAGCTACTATACGATCACTGAATACATCAATATGTGTATATTAAACACAGTGGCAGTATTTGATTGTAATTGTTCATTTTTTTGAATGGATTTATTTAAAATAAACTCGGGTATTGAGATATGAAATGATCTCATGTGAACAAGTTGTAATCGTACAAGCATATACTGTTGGTGTTACAAATTTGCTAGTCAACTGTTGTATGACAGTCCCAGTGATGGTGCCAGAGTTGTGTTTGTTACCACCGGTACGCTACCAGCACAAACTCAACTGATTCAACAGCCATGTATACACATTGTTGTCAGTTACATCGAGTGATTGTCCAAATAGGTCGATTCAAATGGGTTGCATATAACCGACTAATCCAGCATTCATACATTGTCAAACAACCATAATGCACAATACCACCAAGTGTGCAATCACACCCGCACTGATCAGTCATTGCACAGTATGCATCAGTCAATGTCCAACATATGTGTGTATGCAACTAAATTGCAGTCCATGACACATCCACACAATCCAACATGACAAATCATGTATCGTGAGTCCAAGATTGATAAAAAACCTGATCATGGTAAACACAGCATGTTGTTGCATATCAGACTCGATATATCAAGTGACAGTTGCACACTTGCTGATGGTGTACAGCGCATCAGTCACAATACATGCACGGTATTGCATTGCAGTCATTGGATGATAACTGGTTGCAATGTGATAGCGATCGACATACATTGACATGGTGTGATGTGACCATAATCATGGTGGAATGTGTTGGAGTTGACAATCGATACACCATGCACATGACTGGAACATATATATTCGAGTGTGGTTTGATTGGTGTCAGGTTGATCATGCAATCACATCGGCGCAACGAGTGAGTGAGCTGATGGTGATCTGAACCCATTTCAACAACAAGGGAACAACAGTCATGGAGTTGCATGCATTCAATGTGTGTTACACACCGTTGTTGACTGTGTATGCAGGTCAAGTTACCACCAATCACTAACCAGATCCAGTGCATACATGATCATTACTAGAATGACTGCCAAGAATATTCGTGTCTGAAAGTTGATTGTGAGTTGGTGGTTTGCAAGAACCAGACACAACCAACATGCTATTGAACACAGCAACCTGATTATAGTTCAGTCGCATGGTGTGATACAGTGGTTCATGCAATACAACATCCAGATATTTGTAGTGTTGAACACGACGAATCTGTTGTTCGTGTAGCATCATATCAATTAGTAATTTGGGATCAAAGTGTTGTGACCACGGAAACCGAGTATGTTGCATTTGACTACACCAAAACTTGTTTGACATTGTTCCATTTATTGTGCAAGTACACCAGATGCCAATTGGAGTGACTGATCAGAGTCAACAAATATCACGATATTGTCGGCATACATGAACCCTCACATTGGTGGTGATCGTATAATGTATGATTACTAATAGTGCAAAGTGTAGATTCAACACTATAGTCTGATTGTGTGTCATATGATGGTTGTTGTATATCAAACACGCAATGTGTAGTAGCAACCAACCGAATATGTAACCATTGTATATTGCAATTCAGAATACAGTCATTTCAGGATGAATACAAGTGATCCATTTTACATGAATACGGTTGTAAAACAAAGCGTTGTGGCTGCACAACACTCTTGAAGGGTGCTTTTCAATATACCTGATAAAAGGGTCGTAAAAGCATCATACAATTGACATGGACATTAAATTGATCAATATGATATTATGATTATGGAGCATCATACTGTCTAATTTGATATTGGCTCACTACAAACAATCAAGTAACCCTGTGTCGTTGGTTAACCTAAAAGGGTTGGTTTAATATACAAAACATACAAATACAATTAAGTTTAATTTTATAATTAACAATCTGCCCATCTAACCATCTTTTAAGCCTATCCACCAATCTAATGAAGTTCATTGACATTTTATTCGTACTGAGCGCGGCAGCAACCGCTAATGCAATACTGGTTTCAGATAACGGCAATGACTCAGTTCAGGCATCAAGCACTTCGAGTCAATTGTCTGGTCCAACCAATGAACCTGAACCAGGCACTTCCGGACAAGGCCAGCAATACTTGCATCGAACTGGTCCAAGTGCTCCAAAACGAAGTCGAAAACGTCCAACGAATCAACCCGGTCCAAGTGCTCCAAAACGAAGTCGGAAACAATCAATGGATCAACCCGGTCCAAGCACTTCCAATCAAGACCAGCAACAACCAGTGAGCGAAGAAGGTATGTCTGAGCCAAGTCACAGCCCAGAAGCTGAAGAACCATTGGAAGAAGATAGTATCAAACAAAAAGCGAAAAAGTTTATTGAAGAGTATGGTTTTGAATATGAAGAGCCGGATTCAGATTCAGAAGAGTCGAGTTCAGATTCTGAAGAGCCGGATTCAGATTCTGAAGAGGTCGAGCTCAAATTCACATTGACATTTACCAATCAATTTGATTTTGAATAAATTTAAACTTTCTGGTGTGTTGATATTTACCGAGTATTGTGGATGGGTCAACAACCATATCATTGATTGCATACTGCATGTTTGTGTATACTGTGTTGGGTATTACATCAACAGTTACTGGATTGTTGATTGATACATTGGCATGGTTTGTTACATATACATTAATGACCTGATAACAACCAGTGTTGATTGTACATGTAACCACCAGTCATACTTGCAATCACTTGTCAGTTGCATGGCTGTATGATACCACCAACCGACCATGTCGTGTATTGTACAACAAACGGAGCAATACATTTATTCAAAGTCGGATGTAGATTGCGTCATCAACTACTTTGATATTGGTCAATTAGTGTTGTGTCAGTTTGCAATGTAACATATGTGGTGTGGTATTACGACCATGGTATTGCCAGATTTTTGTGAGCTTCGGGTTTGTAGTGTAGATATAATCTGTAACTGTTTGTAGTTATCAGAAGAAACCAAACCAAAAGTGTAATGGGAAGCTGCACAATAGTTTAAGATTAACAGATTTTATCTTTTCAGGAATAGTGAAAAAATGCAATAAAGTAATTACAAGATTGAAATAGTTTGAAGAGTTGTTTATTAATGAGATAGTTATGGGCTCTTTTATAGTAATTGTTTGTTCGTGTCTTGTGGCATGACCATGTGAATTGTTTGATAATAAAGGAGGGTTAATTAGGAGGCGTAAAGTGGAAACTACTAGGACTGTTTTCTGGAGTTCGTTAGTTTAATAATAACATCGTCTACCCGTTATTGGGGACTCGAATCCTAGAGATGAGTGTAATGGAGTTTGAAGCACATGGATTTTTGGTGATGAAAGGGTTTAACTTGGAGTTTAAAATGGATGTTGCAAGAATTAGTCTTGCCACAGGTTACCGCTTAAGAGTATCCGTCTGGATATTCCAACATATAGTATATACAAATACATGCTTGATTACAATTTAAATGGCAGTACTGTGTTTAAATTGAATTCAAAGTAACAGAAACAAGATTATTCGAGTAAAAATCCGAGTGCTGGAACTTCAAAAGCTTATCGAAATACACAACACGCTTGATATGGAAAAAACAGTACTATTGTCCGTATTGCTACAAGTATATTGGAATCGACACTGATACAAACACTGGTGATAGCTGTGAATCGACTGCAAGTTGGAAACAAACAGTGATGTTGAACATGATTAGTAAATCTAGTTGTATCGGCTGCTGTTACACAAGATCAGCTGTTTCATCAGTGTATTTTGAATGTCACAATGTTGATCAACCACAAATATATGTTTTTGATGAGTCCATCTGACCAATTCAATGTGTGGTAGTGATTGATGTAATATTATCAAACCATTAGTATAATACATTGTTGTTTGGTAATGAAAGATGTTTATTGAATGAACGAGATTGAACGCAAGACAAACAGCAGAGTAAACCAACATATAATACGGCTGTATTGTAGTATGTTGTAGATAATGCTGTCGATAGTTGATGTCCAGATTCAGAAATGCGACGAGTCTATGGTTGAAGAGTTTGTTGTTCAGCACCAGAATCTTGAGCAACTGCACCATGCTCAGATTGCTGAAATAAATCTGGTGAGCCGCTGTAGAATTTAACAAAGCATTGCATAAATTCGGGAATTGATTTCAGGAGTGGGGTATCACCAGCCATTTCTCCAGTCGAATCATGTTTTTCGAGGTAATCATAAACCGCCATTCGTAGTTTACGCCATCCCTTATTCCATTCAAGATACTCATGATATAATTTCATCAACTCATCTTTGATTGCTTTAAGAATTGCACGGTAAGCTCTAATTTGATATTTAACTTGAGAAATCTTTGCAGTATAATCTACAGCGCCATTGCTTTCTTGAGCTTTTTGTTCCAGGAGTTCGAGTTTTTTCATTTTCTTATTAATCAGCTTTGTATATTCTTCAATATCGGATTCTTTTTGGCTGTATTTTTTATGTTCATTGTCGAGCACCATTTTAATGTTTGCATATGCTTTGATCAGATCGATTCCTTCCTGATCAAATGAATCACAGCCAGCGTTGTTTGAGCTAAAAACTGAAGAAGTGGGTCCACCAGTTGAAGTTGCGCTTGTAGAGGCTGTTGGAGTGCTAGTTGCAGAACTCATGGTAGAACTGGGATCAACTGGATTGGCAATCGTGACTGAGCATACAGCAATGATTGATGACAGTACGGCAATTGAGAATTTCATTGTATTGGTTTGATTGAGCAAGTTGTAGATGAATGTTATTCAACACGATAGTTTGGTGTCGTATTTATACTCATTATTAGATTGATAATATCAAAAGCATATTCCTTGAATGACCGTCCTAAGGGATTTGTGTTGTCGGGGTTAGCATTGATTTACTGCTATGAATGGCAATGTAACTTTAAAAGACCTCCCTTTACACAATTGTTTGTGGAGTGACTTAAACCCTGATATCAAGATCAACGACCAGAGTACACTTGCCGCACTATGATGTCACTACATAGCACATTCCAGGTGATATCATTACATGACGGTACACAATAAATGTTGTACATCCACACCAGCTATATTGCAAACACTCGAAATCTCATCTGTTCAACATCACATTGTCACCAATACAATAGTATGTGACATGATCATATTGCACCAATCGACCAGTATACGATCACTGGATACATCACACGTTGTTATTTACCACTGTATATGTGTGGTGTATATTGGTTATAGTCCATGATATCAACGAGTTTATGCATACTGCTTACACCACGTACATCAAACTGGTTTAGTGATATACGAGTATTGCGGTTTGACCAAATCACAATCACCCATATTATCGACTGTCCAACTCGTTGACATTCAAACCGTGCCATCACTAGTCACAATATAATGGTTGACTGGTTCGTTTGATTGACCTGACATTGACACTTTGCAAACCTCGACTTGATTCATCAACTTGGATATTCATATAATATTGGGTTTGTATCATCACGTTGGACTCGTTATCAAACACCTTGATGTGTCCATGCAACTCAAACTCGATATACACACATTAGTTACTGTTTGACATGACTGGGTCGATCATACATACCAGACAATGCAACTGTATTAGTTGTATGATACAATCAATCATGGTTGGTTCATCACCATCAAATATCAAATGTTGATCACGTATACATTGATTTGTAATTGCATGGTTCGTTGGCAATACACACTATGATATGATTGACAAGTTGTTGATTTGCAGTAATCAGATGTGCATCAACTGTAACATTGGATACAATTGACGAATTGTAACCGCCAATCAACAATCATCGATATGTTGGTGATTGTATTGACTACATGATTGGTATTGGTTAGCTGTCATGATCGATTGGTGGACAATACAATCCACATTGATTATGACGTATCACAACTAGTTGATATATGCAGACTCGACTGATAATCGAGTATATGTTGATGAGTAACTCTGTCACTGTTTGGTTTGGATTGGTCATTGCTACCGCATATATACAGTGTATACATGTGTGATGTATTGGATATCGGTGTTGTGTATGTTGGTCAATATTCAAATATCGACAGTCAAACATTGGTTAACCAACAGTTGTGCGATTATACAACTGGTCCATGTATTGACAAGTGATCAACCTCGATCCGGTCATGATTGAAACGGTGTATCACAGGACTCGAAAGTTGACAGTATTGTTGGCAATGTTGATCTCGATACTGTCAATGTATTACAGTGTATTGGTCAACAGTGACTGCGATCAATGACAATGTTGCAGTCAATCCAATCCAACTGTTGACTGGAACAATCACCATCCACTTGTCAGATTCAGCATTTAAATGCATGTTTGTGGCACATTTACCAATCCAACAATTGACTGATCAGCACTGATTGGCATTGTAATGATAGTTTGCAACTCGGCAACAATCGAGTTGTACTGACCAACAATCCAAATGGAATCTGAGCATGTGTGTATACACGATGTGACAGTGTTTATTTAGTGGTTATGTAATCAGGTCAGTCGTGTATACACAGTCTGATATGGTCGTGTCAAGTCGAGATAATGGTTGCATTACAATCAAGCTCAATTTGAATATTTAATATTGAACATTACAATGTTGAGTAAAAGACTTGATCCGAGTCACTGTATCATCAACATAATGTATTAAAATGATAATATTGACCAGTTGGATTGATACCAAAATGGATTGTTTAATCGTGGTTGTTTGATTTGTACATGTTTGTGATTGAATGATATGGCTGCAACTATCTGTCCATTTCAATATATGAGTGAAACCTTGAATGTATATTGTAATACAGACTCTATATCACAGATATTGTTTAAATTGACTCTTGAAATTGTCAGTCCAGTAACATGCCATTAAACGATCACCCGTCGAGTTGAGTGGTGATATTGGCTGTATTGGTTAGATAAACACTGCGATCATTCAACCAATACAACGATCATCATATGACACACAGTCAAACTATAATGTTAAATCTACACTTTGTGCACTTTTAGTAATCATACGCTGTACAATCACCAAGTTTGAACTCACATTCATGTATTGTGTTTGATTGTCAATGTTGTCAATACAACTCTGTACACACATTTGTTGTGTTCTGAATCACGGATACGATCACGATCTAGTTCAACAGCAACGATGTCACATGTCAGTAATGTAACCATGTATGTCAATCACCACCAGCAACACCACTGAATTGTCGATCATTTCATGACACTGACTGTTTATTATACACCGACACTGTTATTTGGTGGTATATTTACGTCAATATGGTTGTAATACCATGAAGTCTCTTAAAATCCTTCAACTTTTTCTTTGCTTCTTTTTTGTTTCGACTCGCTTCCTCGCATTCGGTTAGCAATTGATCTTCAGTAACCATTTGGGCTTTACGCTCCGATTGATTGTGTGGCTTTGCATGACTAGTTCCCATCAAAAGTTGACTAACCAGTTTTAATGCAGATGACTTGAATCCCATATTATTCATCTCAGACAAATAAGCTTGATGCTTCCTGCACTTTTTCTTCTTTTCACGTTTATGTTGTCTGTAATCTTCCATTAAAGCCTTGTATTCTTCCTCTTCTTCTTGGCTTAGTTCGTCGCTTGAATTGTTTTTTCCCAATAGCTGTATACCTTTTCCGGGACTGCGTTTTGATAGATGGTGTGATTGAGTGATTGATTTGGATGAAATCACTAATGCATTGGCAGTTACAGACAAGGTCAGCACAAGTAGAATGTCAGTAAACCTCATATCGACGAGTTTATAGTTGAATGGTTAAAAATGATAGAAAGTAGAAACCAGTGTTCAATTGGGTGACTCTTGATAAGAACAGAAAGCATATTATTTTCATCAGCTTTTTAGTTGTAACAAGCCAGCCCTTTGCAACGTGTTAAAAGCATAGGGCTACCTAAATGTGGTTTACTACGATGCCAATTCTTTAACCAGAGGTGTTTTCAATCTTGTGTATAGGACACTGGGTTGTATATCCCTTGAACTATTATACTAGTGTTTTATTCTAAAAATAGTCAAGAAGCAATCCCCTTCCTAAATAGTATGCATTAAACAGTTGCTAAACTATACAGCTATTTACTTCTAAAACTTTAATTCAAATACCAAAATAATATCCAAACCAAATCTTTATAAACAAGTAAAACTAAAGTGTCCACCCAATGCCGATTGTAATTAAAAAATATGATAGTGCTATATAAACAAAATATTATTATAGTTACTCAACATTCCACTTTCCCTTGGCAGCACTCTTGCTAGATGCATCTGGGCGAGACTTGTTGCGATTACGATTCTTGACATTTGCCGTATCGTAAAAATTGGAACCAACCTTTTTCTTATTGGTAGTCATACGAGGTTCCTTTTTGCTATGTCGGCGATCCACCTCTTCATCAGAAAATGCAGCTGGTGCATTCTTGACTTTGGTAGATTTTGCTGCACGATTGGTAGTAGATACCAATCGCTTCAAAGGAGATGTGACGGCAGAATTTTTAGAAATAGGACTGGACGACGTACTGTCGTCTTTGAGTACTTCGTCGTCGGACAATTCATCGCGCCATTGGCTTGATTTAGTGCCTGCAGTCACGGTAGACACTTCAGTTACATCGTCATCACCGCTGTCGTAGTCCAGTTCATCATCAATAGAGGATTTATCATTGGCAGCAGCAGCAAGAGCAGCCTCATGCTCGAGTTCTTCTTTGGAAACTCCAGCATGTTCCATTTCGTCTGGCAAATAGTTTTGCAACACACGAATATGGCTCATTTTCTGTTCTACACGTGAAACAGTTTTGAATTTGATATCGTGGGGAGTATCCAGTTCTACCTCGGTAGAAACACTTTCAGCAATAGCTGTGGCAGATGTAGACTCTGCTTCAGGTAGGATAGCAAGAGGTTTTTTAGGAAGTGTATAGTATGGAATCTTGCCACGAATAAAATCATTCAATACCATTTTAGCAACAGTGTTGATATCGGGGTCTCCACCCTTGAGCAATTTGCCTGATCGTGTTGCAATCTGCGAGAGAAAGTCGACATAATCGGTCCATGAGGTGAGACTGTATGTACGAGCAAGATACTCTTGGCGTACCCGTTCAATGATGGCAGGAATATACTGCTCAGGAAGCGAAATGTTTTCAATACGAACAACGCCCTTGAGAACGATATCTGTTTCAGTGTCTTCAGAAGAGCCATACACGACACCAGGACAATCAATCAGATAGATACGCTTCATAAGGGTAATGTATTGCCACACCTAAACTCGTGAGAATAGCAAGTCAGCATCATATCAAGGGTTAATAGTCGTTTAATACAGTATAGCTTACCTTGGTTTCACCAGGAATGGGTGCAACACAGCAAACTTTTTTTGCTTTGAGAGTGTTGATGATGGAGCTTTTTCCAGTATTTGGATATCCAACAAATCCAACAGAGATTTGTTTTTTGTCGGAATGAAGTTTGCTAAATTGACGAAGTAAATTGATCAAAGCAGATTTACCAAACGAGTTGTTGATGTTGGCATGGAATGCAACCGTGGGATATTCAGCTTCCAACGTGCGCTTCCATTTCTCCTGCAAACAATAGTGGAAATAAAAATCAGTTTCGTCAAAAATAGAATCAAGATACAAGATGTATTCAGGTATAGAATAAAAATGTGTGTCCAAGAATACTAAGGAAAAAGTTTAGATAATTGACTTTTTCCTACTCTCGCGGACGTCCGTGTACATTCAAGATCTTCAGAACGAAAATCTATGAGAATGAATAGGCTACTGTTCCACCGTTGTAACTGACAAAGAATGTAGATGGTTGTGTTCAAGACACAATACATGTCATGACTTAACGGTGGGGTGGGGTGTTTAACTAAAAGAAATAGAGTGAGCAACATACCGTAACCCAGCTAGGAACCAAATCACATTTGTTCAAGACAAAAATGAGTTGTTTATGTCGTGCTTCCTTTTTAAGATGGCGCTCGACATTGGGACATCGAGTACCTTCAGGGTTACGAGCATCCAAAACATGGATGATCACGTCAGAACTATCAATAACCTTGTACAACTCGTTCCAGATACGCTTGGACTGGCCCTTTTTAAAAATAGGATCACGTGCTTCGGGAATAGTTCCGTCTACATTCACTTTGAGAATCTCGTCTTTATCAACATCGTATCCACCAATTTTTGTATCGACATGAGTGGCAAGATCCTCCATAGAAGCAGCATTTAGCTTGGGCTTTTTACGCTGAGCCTTTGGACCAAATGTGCTTCCAAAAGTCTCTGTATCAAGCAAATGCATGCGAGATTGCTAACAATGGAAATATGATGCAGCAAATAAAAACCCTAGATCAGTTCTAGTTCAAGAAAAAAAAGAAAAAACAAAGACATACCTTTTGATACTCGGAAACAAGCCCAAGAGGAAGTTGCTTAGTGCGCAAAACAAAGCTATATGGATCATTGAGTTTTGAATTGATTGCATCTCTAAACGAATCCAATTCCTTTTGGCCAACCACACGAGTGTTTTCTAAATACAGAAAATTGTGAGTACAAAAAAAAGAAATCCCCAAAAAACAAAAAAATTACCAAACCATCGTCTATCTGATTGCACTCTTGCTTGAGTTCCAGGAGCTAGACGAGTCTGAAAGACTGCAGCCTTGGTGATCTTTCCAGAAGCATCTCGAGTGGGTTTTCCACCTTTGATCATATTCAACTGTCGCACCTGCTTGGCATTTCTATAAAAATTGACACCTTTAACGTGAGTGACATTTGTGAGTGAATGACCGCCTTCAGCAGAAGCAGCACTCTTTCCAGCACCACTGCGCTCCTTCTTGAATGTTCCCATGTCGATGCTATGAATCAATGCAATAAAAACTGAAGAATTCAAAAAGAAAACTGAAAATGCAACCCGTCATCCACGTGACTCTGTGATGGAACGAAGATTGCTCAAGCGTGCAGACCAAAGCCAATGGACAGAGCTGCGTGCTGCATTCAGCGCTTCTGGAGAGGTTATTTGCTTCGGTCTCGTCTTGGCAGAGCACTTTTGATGAGCTGCTCAGAGTATGTCTTTGTGTCTACACATCTGAACTCGATTCAAGACACAACTGTTAGTCTTGTATCCGATACCAGTATCGAATGTTCAGTTCATTCTGTCTCGACTCATGAAAGCAACTGCAAAAGACTAGAGACAAACAGTCGAAAAGAACGGCTCGACACTCTTATTAGACAACGGACTGCTTTAGTCGATCAGCTGAACAGCCTCTCGCAGTCACTCCAGAACAGGCGGGATCACTTGTGTATGTTGATATTTTAACCATCTCAATGTTTATTCTCTTTCAAACTGACTGTATCTTTGTCATCCGGAATATTAATTACTTGCTGCTCTTGTTCAATTCTATCCCTAGTAACCTGTGTTGAAACATCTTCTGCAGTTTGCCATTGATGTCCAGATCCATCCAATGGTTTGATGCTGGTGTCATCTATGTTGGCATTTGCAGTAGATGGTGCTACCTTTGCATTATGGACTGCTCGTCTGGCCTTGAGCCTCTCTTGCATTTCTACAGAAATAATATCCATATCGCCTAGTGTTTGATCAGTGTTCAATGCCTTGATCCAGTCAATCTCCACAGAAAAATCTCCAGGCTGGCGAAGAATCGAAAGTCCTACTGTTTTGATGGCTGATCGATCCATTGCAATCTGGTGTGGTTGGACAAAGCCATGACTTGTAAGAATAAAATCTCGGAATGGAATCTACATTGCATTGTGAAATAGTGTTAGATCTATGCCACTACTACAAAGATTCAATAAATAATAGCGTGAATAGACTGGAAATACAATAAAAATTCAAGCCTACCATGATGGTTTCCCATTCTCCAGGACGCTGAAAATATAAACGATGCTGCCAGACATATGTCGGATAAATGGATGTTGTTCTTAGATTAATAAACCACTGATTCTTGTCACCTTTTGCCCTAATGGCCAGGTATCTGAACATGGACGCATCAATCTTTGGTTTGTGAAATATAATCGGCTGCAACTCTTTAGATCTCACTCCTGCATACCCACTGCGATTGAATGTGGCTTTTGGAGGCAGTTCGGTTGATAATGTTCCCCAAAACAGTCCTACAGTGATGCTTTGTCAGTACAGAATAAATCAAGTTTAAATTCAGTGATGATTTCAGAGATCACTTCAATAATTCAAAGCTCACCAGTATTTTGTGGAGTCAATCCCCAATATGCTTCAGAAAGACCACCAATGTCTGCATCAGATCCAACAACCCATTTCTCAAGGTCTTGAACAGAGTTTAGTCGAAACAAAGTTTGTTCCTTTTTGAATGCAATATCAAAATTAAGAGCTAAATACCATTTATTTCCATCATCATGGAGAAATTGGCAGATCACGAGAGTAGAATAACAAAAAAGTGTTAGCAGATACATAGATTGCCTAGTATTAAAGACAAGGCAATGATCAAGAAAAAAGCCAGACTTGCCAGCTTTGGTTTCGTTCTGGATGTGTGCAAATGAACGCTTGACGTATCCCACAGCGATTCGTAATCCCTGCGACAAAGTGCTTGAAGATCCACCTCCCGTCATTTACTAGGCAATAAATCCAGATGTATCAATGCAAGACTTGGCTGTTGGACAAACTGCATTCTGCAACAATTCTGCAACAATTCTGCAGCCGCATAAAGTGAAATTCGTGTCACGTGAATATTCTGGTTCTCTCAAATTTCTCCAATTTTAATGGTTAACTGCATCATGGACGACATCGACCGCCAATTCAATGCCGATTTAAAAGAGCTTAAGGATGAAATGTGCAACTCGGACAGCAGTATTTACGAAAGTTTGAATGATAATCTGGAAAGTGGCGAGGTTGTTTCTGACGACTTGAGTATAAAAGGGTCCGTATTGGATTAATGCCAAGTATTAATTTATAGATTCTTTCAGTAATTACCATGTCATTGGGCTTGTATGGTAGATGTATCCACAATTTCCGGTAATTTACTGATTTTCATGGAATTGTCAATAGCTTGGAAATACTGCCAGATGGGACTGTTTCTAGTAAGTTCAATCCGTAGCAGCATATAGTTGCGATGTTGCATATTTCAAGGTTTGAGCTAACCATTGGTTCTATTGACAATATTTTTACTCATCAAATGTATAGCAATGGTTGCGCCTGAAACTGCTCTTGAATCATCATCCAATAACTCGGAAACTGCGCCTATATTGACAGATAGAGTAAGCAGAATATCAGACGGTCTCGATATTAATATTGTGGCTTATAGTATATCTGAATCCTGCGTATTTAGGGAATTGGAAGTAGATATTTTGTCGATATGTCCACCATAGTTTGTCGGTTTTGCAGACGCCAAGGACATATGTTTAAAGATTGCAAAGAAAAGGTAAGGTATATTTGATTTTTATATCTAATTGGTTCAAAGTCGGTCTATTTGCACAAATGGATGATTTTTTTGTAGGAGATTTTAAGAGTGTGCTTGAATGTATTGCAACTGGTTATAGGAAACTAGATGTCATTTATGTCGAGAAGATCACGATCCACTCAAGTGTCCACTTGCAGATCTTTGCTACATATGCTTTCAACGAGGCCATCAACGAGGAGTATGTGTATGCCGTTTTTAGACTACAGTTATTATTTTGTCTGATGGCTGATGACATACTTTTTTCTGATCAACCGCGGGACGCTTGCTGTTTAAGCAATGCCCAACTTCTGGTATTCGCAAATACTGCGTATGTTGCACATCATCAGGACATTCTACACGGGTAAGTTTATTCAATAGTTACACGAATGGAGTTTTATTGTCACGCTATGAATAATTGCAACTAACGCTGGTGGTGCACATGGGCATGATATAGGAATGTACTAGAGTTTGGCGTCAATACAAATACACACGGGTAATTATTTTGAATAGGGTTTCAAACTCTCAAGGTTTCAATGACTCATAATCATTACTTTCTTGCTCAATCATGTTTAGGATACACATCGTCGTACACGTGAAATCAAAGCGTTTTGCTACATGTGTGGAGAAGAGGTAATGGTTTTCAAATACCAGGCTTGATTTTTGGATGAAGCGTGCGACTCTATCTTGTATATTTTAATTTAACTGGTAGATTGCTTATCTTGCTTGACTGAATACATTTAGGGGCACTTTGGAGACAACTGTACGTATGGTAGATCTACATTCCGATCATCAGCATTTCATAAAAGTGCACCACGAGAATATGTACGGCAAGGGCGATCTCGATCGCCTCTATCACGGACTTCACCTTCATATCGAGCCACTGGTTTAAGCAATGAAGATGACGGATATGAAAAATCTCATCGAACACACGGCAGCACTGGACAACAGAGCCCACGTGGAAATCAAGAATCGCATAATAGAGGGCGTAATACTGGGAATCGTTACAATAGCGGAAGCAGTAGTAATAGAAATGGAAATGGCGATAGAGGCTTTTATGATAGTGGTTCGAGTGGTAACCATAACCGATTTAATGTGCGTGATCGGCGTCCTTACAACACCCCGTCTTGATATGAGTTGAAAAACGACGGTTTTTATTATTTCACCAGCATTATAATGAAAAAGTCTGAATGTTTTACACAGCAGAGCTTGATAGACGCTATTTAATGCGCATCAGTTGTATCTACAGCTGTATTCATGTAAAATGAAACACTTGTATTTATCTTGCAGTCAATACTTTGCTTGGAAATGGACAATGTTGAATATTCGTTGCACCTTTCTATTAGAAATTGACTGTTTTTTTCAATACACAACGCTCATCATATGATGCACACAATCAGACTATAGCCTTGTACTGAGATTATCCTTTTTTGATGTTGTCGATCCAACTCATTCTTGTTGTATCCTAAAAACCTGGATGCAATCTAGTTCAAGAGAACATGATTGCATATCTCGAAAATGCAACCATTATTTCCATGCCAACTACTACGAGAAAATCAGAAAGAGTTTAAAAAATATTATAATATCGGCAGTTTATCATGTATTTTGGCACTTATTTGGTGTTTCATTGCACATGAATACGGTTGTAATAAAAGCGCGTTCAAGTCAAACTTGTCCAACCTTTATACATTCCAAACCCAATACTTGCAGCAACAAAAGATGATGACCGAAGATGCAACCTCACAAAGCTATAATATTCGACCTAATTACAAACAAAAGTACATAATACCACACTGTTATTTACCATTGCATGCCAAACACATTCCGCTTTGTTCGACTTGGTTAAACTTTATTGCTATAAAGCGATATTCATGTTTTTCCTTTTTCCTCCGCTCAATCCTCATTCAAACCAGTATAGTGCTGACCTATCATGACTTTGTATCTAGGTTTCGTCCTGCTGTAGTGAGTAAGGAAATTCACCAGATATTGGCCGATAGATTAACTGGAGTAGCGTACCATCCAGACACTTGTTCGCAATGGACACGAGAGATTGCTGACGAAATCAAAAACAAACTCAAAGGTATTTCCAAATATCAACTAGAGCATTTATGATACGTTGCTTGTTATGTATCAATGATTTAGCCATTTGATCAAGACTAATTTCAAATTAGAACTCGATTTGCCTCGATACAAATATGTAGTGCATGTAACCATGGGTGAAATGCGTGGCGAAGGTGTAAGGTAAATTCGTATCTACAGCCATGCCTAGTGTTTGGAACCAATCTGATTCATTCAACTGTTTTAAATAGAATGGGAGCACGATGTTTCTGGGATGCAGACACGGATAATATTGCTCAAGATTCCTTTATAAATGCAAGTGTGAATACCACCACTTTGATTTGACTGAATTTGCCTACTCCTACTAACGTCTTGTCACGGATTTCAATATACAGGATTCATTGTTTTGTGTTGCAGTTGCATACGGAGTTTATTACTATTAATAAAAGAAATCAGGTAATAGACTCTCAATCAGACTACATGTCTTCCCCTTGAATCGTGAACGACTCATCAATTGTTTTGATCATCGAGTCGCCACACAGAATACATTCCTGCGATATAAGATCATTCAGTTCATCCTAACAAAACAATCCAATTAAAACTAAATGAGCTGCTGGATTCTCTTGGATTTAGTCAATATTCTACACATGCAGAAAAAATGTACCTTGAGTGTAGCTTTGCGCTCTTCAGTCAAGAACGATACAGGGGTTTTGGCATCCTTTTCCAGTTGCGACCGAATATACAAAATCCTTTTGCCACGAGCCGTATCTTTTATAATCTATTTGAATTTAACCATCATTCAATTGAGTTTGTGTTGATCAAGCTCAGTTCGTAATGTACAGAAATCAAGAAAGTGACCTACAGAGCTAATGATGCAATCTGAATGGAACGAGTGTTGACAAGGGAATGCCAAAAACTGTCGCGTCATGAGTGGTTGATTGCAACTTCTGCATGTCTCTGTCACTGGCACAATAATATATCTAATCCATTCAAATTAAAATACTACTACTTGATCTCATTACAACAATACATAGTACAGCAATCAATACTACCTGTTTTTTAATCCGCGAATGTCATTTCGGATATTTTCTGATGCTTTGGTTGCATCGTCCAAATCAGCTTTCAGTGTAGTAATATACTCGTTGTATTCTTCAAGAGCAGTGCAGAGCTCATCCTTGAAGTCGTCAATCAAAACGAAATCGGGAAAAAAGGGAAGAATTTCCTCAATGTTTAAATTACCAATCTTCAAATACTCCAATGCACTAGGAGTGAAATCCGTGTACATATTTCATCAAAAATTGGTTCATGTGTTAGAGTATAGTTTTCAGTTAAATCAATACTGCTTAAAAATCTATAAAAATGATACTCGGTTTTAGTTTACCTGCTAACACTTTCAGCACTGCTAATCACATGACGAGCTATTTTAAGCCATAGTTTCTTGCGAACTTCATCAGACTCGTCAGGCTTATCTGCAATAATACGTGCCAAGTCAAGGTCATTTCTCTAAAAACACATCAGCACGATTATTAGCACTGGCTCATCCAAATGAAACTCGGTTTTCCAAAACCAAATAAAAACGCTGCATCGTGACATGTAACACTTGCATTTAGTGCCAATTCAATGGCTTCTTCATATAAACTCATCATGGCGTACAGCTGCACAGAGCTTTGAATTAGTCCACGCTCAGTACAAATACGAAGTGCATGTGGCAAATCCAGCAACGGCGATTCTTTCTATATGTCAAAACAAGATAATTCAATAAACACTGATATGATTAAACAGCAGTACAGTACAGTACCGCTCAAAATAACCCATGCATTACCTGCGATTGAATATATGCTAAAACTGGTGATTCATTTTCTGGTGACGACTCGGATACATAAAGACGCATAAGGTAGTTGTGAATGACGCGATCATGGTTTCCATTGGCCACTAAATATTCAAGATAGCTTGCCAAGTTTGTCTAATATTTCAAGATATAGATATATTAAAATACTGGAGCAATATATGGAACACCTTTCAAATATAATCTCAAATACCTGATTGGCTGAACCAAAAATATTCAAATTGAGCATCGATGGCATCAGAAACCTAGGATTGAGGTTAGGAACTTTCATCCACAACCCAATGACTTCTTTTGGAATATGTTGGATCAAAATTGACGAGTGTTTATAATAGAAATCAATCGAATCCTATAAAATTGTAAAATGGCAGCCAACGTTATCGATCGGATTAGAACAAGTAAAGTATGTAAAACAAAATGTACCTGTCGACTAATTATATTCAATGCTTTAGACCACTCGCGACGCTCAATGAAAAATACAACAAGCTTTTCCCAGTCGCCAATGAGTTCAGCAAAATATACCAAATCAGCATGACGTCCATGAGATCCAAGAAGTGTATACACTGTTGGGTGGTGAAGTCGATCCTAAAAAGTCGACATGATTAGTAAAAGATTGATAAACATCAACATCAAAGCATTTGTAAATTAAAACTATTATGATCAACCTTGTACTCTTTTAAAAGCAATCGAAGCTCCAAAGTCAAATCAGCATGCTCCTTTTCATATTCAGCTGCTTTAGATTTATCTGCATCAAGCGTATTTGTACTCATTATCATGCGCTGCTTCAACGAAGTCAATCTTTGCTCAGTAGCACACAGTTTGCCAGAAATCAACTCCAAAAGCCATGTCCCGATCAGTGTTGTTTGTGTGATATCTTGTTTCCGAAGCAATGAAAGTTTTTTACGAAGGTAAACACATAAAGCAGGCTGTTCCTTGAAATTCATAAATCGAAGACATATCGTTTCAAATGAGATATTGGTTTCAACGTAGCATATGGCAGATTGTATGTATTTCTTTTGAGAAAACAAGGATTCTGCTTGCATTTCTTTGATTAAGCTCTTATGCTCAGGTGTCTAATTATCAATATAAAATTTAATAAAATATATTCAGCAATCAATGAATATAGTCAATCGTTACAAAAATCCAACTATTTTAATTCAAGACAATTATTTTACCTTTGCAAATGTTGCAGCTTGCTCAAACAACTTTTTGTCCAGCATGATTTTCCAAATATCTCGGTCTTCATCTGTAATAATAATTTCATAAAGGGAGAGGTTTGTATATACCCAATGTGTACGTCGATTCATGTCTGACGACATGCCAAGAACCATCTCATTTGGCGCCTAAATATTATAATCCATTTTCAATCAGCCAGACAATACATAATAAATCCTGTTTAAATCATTTCATAACACCACTATTTACCAAAACAAAAGACTCGTGGCTAACAATGTGATTATTAAGTTGAGAAATTGCAACAATCTCATTGTTAAACAAAAGAACATAATGATAGTTGGTTAAAACAAACGAGATTAGACCAGTGTTGATGTTGGCTTGCTGTTTTGGATCAGAAACTGAATATCTAATGATCGACAAGTACAATCAAGTAACAAACGGTAAATTCAGTGCGATTTACTGGCAATGCCTTTTGAAATGATAAACCTTGCAAATATAGTAACTTACGGAAGAATTTGTGGAGAATCAATAACCGTATCCCCAAAAGACTGCTCTTTGGCACTAATTTCCCCCAGATACAATCCCGCACCTATAATGCATTTATATCGTGTATATGCAAGGGTGAACATAAATTTGACAAATGCTTTGGTAGTACTGTTAACATACCAGTTAACCATGCCAAATTGGTTGTGCAACTTGCATTCGGCAATGTAGTTTCAATAGTTCGCATAACAGGATTCAAGAGTGCTCCTGGAAGCTCCTGATATTCTGCAGGTTTGATTACACAAATAAAAAGTATGAGTACAACAAGTGCGATTAGATATAGTTTAGTAAACTTTTGCAGGATCTATATACCTGGATTTTCGTCGTATCTGGAGAATATATTGGCAAAAAAGGATGAATCAGCCGATCTCGCTTGTCCAATAAACTGATATATACGACAGTCTGTCACGGCAATGATGTAATATTTGAATTTGCTTTGAGGAAAAAGACAAAAATGCACTCCAATTACTGGAGAATCTTGATGCAAAGAAAAAACCTAAAATGTAATGCATTGAGTAATGCATATTAAATGTCTAGCACCCAATGCATTATGTAGCAATTACATATACCTGAGAATAGTAACGCTCCTCCTTTTTAAAAAAATCCTCGTTTGGAATAAGCTCGGTTTCAAAAATACGGCCTTGACTACAGCCGATAATCATGGGGCCGGTACTTTCTACTTTTTCGCTTATATCCCATGCAATAGATCGAATGCGCACTCCCTGGATATCAAGGATATAACATTAGTCTTGGATTCTGCAATGAATTTAAATAAAAACAAACCTTGATTTTTGAAAGCAGATGCGGCTTGTTCCATCGTGCGTGTAGATAGTAATTATCTCCAGATCGACAAGAGATAATCAGATGGTGTGCCAGTGGACTCAAAAACACATTTAAAATCAGATCGGATTTCTGCTTAATGGTGAATACAATATCTGGATATGCAGTCAATGCACATTAAAGAGTTTCCAAATTTGATATTAATTCATAAAAACCATGTCAATCAGCTAAATAGTTTGATATCAGATCAAGCATGATTCCAATAAACAATCAACCTTCAATAGCATCTGGCTTATCCAGATCGATACGCAACACCCGCAATCTAGCAGAGTCTTTTGGTGGAGTATAAGTACGGAGAGCAACGCAGAGCATATTGTTGGACACATCGACTGCAAGAATGTCATCTGGAAATGCGAATTGAACCTTGTCGAGCATAAACTGAGCAACAGTGCGATGGTCATCTTTATTAGCAAATCGGTTGATTCCTGAACTTCCTGCAATCAAAGACAATGGAGTTCCAGCAGTGGTTGAGCCAGTAAACGGATCTCCAGTTTCCTACATATCAAGCAGTGTTAATCCTGGTTAAACCATCCAACTATCTCGACCACTGCAGTGGATATGCCAACTACAACAACAGGAATAAGCTCAAAACTGCAGTTGAATTGCATGAGCATTTACCAAGCCAATGGACGAGGTTCCCATGTAAGGGCTAACAGAAGAAACCGGATAAGCTCGTTGCTGCTGGTCTTCAAAATGGTCTAACAATGACATGGATCGTTGTTGCAAGTTAAAGTTCAAACTCGTCGCTATCGCAGCTTTAGATCGATGTCTAGTTGGAATCGTTGTGAATTTATTGTCATGCTCGCCATTCAACTCATGAATTCATAACTTTATTATAGAATTCTTGCATTCAAGCCGAGTCTTGTTTATTAATGTTGCATTCCATTTACGTGAACACGATTTGATAGTCTTCAAGAGCGACTGTTGAATGAACAGTCCAGATTTATAGTATTTGATTTTAATCCAAAATAGATTTGACAATCTTCACTGTAAAGATGTCGATAAAAGTGTTATTGAAAACTATTAATATTCATTTCCTGCAAACCATTATCCGTGACCATCTTGGTCATCTATTCACGCCAGACATCGCATACATAGTTTCAAAAATCCTTCTCCTTGATCACTACCTGGGATTTTAACTCCAATAAGTTTCTCAAGTACTGGTATAGCAGAAGATGCTGCTGCTGCAGTGGATTTCCCTTTAGATCCATCTATGAGACCAACAAGAAATAGCGAGGCCATTTCCACCACATCTAATTTAAAAATCAAACCCAGTCAGTCTTGGCTACAGTGCATCACAAATATATACACTATACTTACAATACAGTCGCTTGATATCGTTACCAGCAAGCCGCTCTGCATTTTGCAAATCACGCAAAGCAAGCATCTGACGTTGTGAGGGCGACAGCTCTTCAAATGCAGCTCGATTGAACGACTGGGCAATCTCATTGACCTCATCTACAGGCACTTGTGATATATCTCCTGCCTTCATCTGAATTATTTTACGGCGTGAAATAGCCTGAATGAGTTTCTCTGCATAATCTTGGAGTAGAGTAACAGCTCGTGATGTCATGGCATTCCGTTGATCGGATGAAGTAAATATAGCACTGGCTTGGATAAATTCAGCTTGGTTGTTTGATGTAGCTAAATTAAAATTGTATTGAACCAAAATCCATCCACAACAATCAATACACAAGTTTGGTAAACATTGACAAAGTTGATCCGGCTTACGTGGGAATATCTTTTCAATCCAATAAGAAAGCAAGTTTTCGGCAATCTGCTCGCCAAGCGTTTCGACCTCGATTGCAAACACCGACATGGCTGATACAGGAGCAAGGACTTTGTAAATAGCCAAGTAGAATCATGGCAGTGTAAGAATAACCCTGTTATATTATAATATATACAATACATTCATGCTCAGATATATTGATAAACTCACCCTTGGCAGGAACAGTTCGCGACTTTTCTTCTTCAACATCGTTAACAGCAATAACATGGTTGCGCCAATCGCTCGACAATACATATTTGTGCAATAGATTAAGCATGAGATCCTCAATCGAACTTTGTCCAGGACCAGGTAGCTGCACATGCCAGATCCAAAATTAAAACATATCAGCCTTGATAATTAATCCAAAATCCAAACTCCAAATTGTAAAAGCAAAGGACAGGATGCATAGTTTTTACCTTTTTGCAAAGAAATTCGTCCTTGCTTTGCAACCAAACAACAATCCCTGTCATAAGTCGAATCTGCATCATTGAAGATAAAGTGATTTTTAACGTTTTGTCACGAAGTATTGCTGCAACAACATCACGATGCGAATCAATAAATCGAGAAATCTAAATTATCATACATGATACGTTAAAACATCAGTACAAATAAAACTATAACATCAAATGATGAATTATATATCAAAATAGTCTATTTACCTTGGCTCGCAGCACAGCATGGGTTGAGGGATAGTGACTCTGAATCAGCAAAATCAATTGTAAAACTGGCACAACCACATCATGGTATCGTTCCTGTTCGAGATCTATCCAACCATAACCAAACATTAATCTCGGTCCTCACATGGATATCCTTCAAGCACTGAAAGCAAGCATCGTTCTTACCGTGATCATAACTGCCATAGTCGGATCGCTCATCAATAAACAAGGACTCGGATAAAGCTTCAAAAACACCCGCTTGAATAAGTCGCTCCGCGCCTGCCTTTGTCTCGGCAATCTTTAAAAACAATGACATTTTGAGATCATAGACATATTTGGCATTCAAAGCACCTAATAATTTAAAAATAAATTCAATTCATGATCTCCACTCAGAAAAACCGCAGGTTTAAAAATAAACACAACTCACCTTCACGATTGCTTGCAGCAGACCCAAGAATCGTTCGAATACAGGCATCATCGACAGACTTTAAACTTTGAACAAAATATCCCAAAAAGTTTCTACGAGCTAAAAACTCTAATACAGGCTGATGACTTCGGCCACCTATACCAGAATTTAGATTGGATAAACCACTTAGACTTGCCAACGTGGCATATGCAACTGTCTGCCATACTAAATCGCCATCAGCCGCATCGCGACATATTGTTTCAATAAGTTTATCTCCATAGCTAGTGATTATAGACAAGGAAGTAACAAATCGAGTTGTGGCTGAATAGTTACTACCAGCCCTTATAGCATTTGTAGCCGTAGAAATACCATTACTTGACTGAGTTGAAGCATACCCCGACATTTCTTCACCTGCAGAATGAAAGCTACCATTTGCAGGAGAAATATACTGGATATAAGTCACCAACGCAGAGTAGTAATTGCCACGCATAGGTAATGAAGTGCCAGAAGATACAATGCCATCCAGGACGCCACGAAGAATTGTATGTTGCCAAGAGTCGAGCTTGTTAGCTTCCATAGCATAAGGAACCTGAAGCAGCACAGAATTGGAGCGATCGTCTTGTTGTAAGCGTGCCATAAGACCTGTTACAACCTCGGAGAGAGTTTTTCCAATAGACATGGAAACACCATTGCCGCTTATAGCAGGAGCGGTAGATGCAGACATGGTCAAACCTGCTGAAGTAGAAACCGTGCTAGATTCCTTTGATAATTTTTGCAACAGCCCTGCAAGCAGTTCGAATATTCTCAACTCGCGTATTTCGCCAGGAATCATATCGATACAGTCAAGAATAGATACACGAACCAGCTGACCCCACGACATGGCAATTTGGTATCGCGCATTCGCAAGACGATACACTTCATTCACAGCAAATATACTTGCAACAAGCTGCTTGACACTTTCACGATCAAGCGATGGTACACCGCCAATATTATTTTGTAAAAGAGAACTCGTATTGGTTAGGTTGGACACAATTCCTGTCGATCGCTCAGTGGATCGTACAGCACCCATCAGTGCCAAGTAGATTGCTCTCACGTCATACTGATCAACGCCTCGCTCATTCACTCGAATGAAACAATCCAAATCAATCCCAACAGCAGCGGATTTGCACTCTAATGGCGGTCGATCTGGCTCGCTAAACTCCATGGATTTTAATATATCAACTAGCTTTGCCAGAGGTTGGTCGTAGTCAACATCTTGGCCTTCAGATTCGTCTTCAAACCCTGTGGGATCAAAGTGTGAGCGCAAGGGTTTGGCCGTGGTTGAATCTGGATTGATTAGACCGACAAGATGGTTGAGCAAGCGAGCCATATGAGTACGCTGTCCTGCCATGGATGTCTTGTGAAGCTCAAGAGTGATAAGTCGCATTATCCAGGCCTGCTGATGCAAGCGAGCAATAACAGGAGCAGACAATACATTTTCAATGCCTGCATCAGATCGAACATCAGCAGGACTCATTGCAATAAGTTGACGTACAAAAAAATCCTCGCGAGTTCGCAGATATCGCATTGTAGGTGGTCCTGTTGTTCGACTGGAACATAGCAAATACACTAAATGAAAGCATTTTTCACTGAGAAGTGGATGTGTAGTGGACAGTTTCATTTCATCCAACGCGTGGCCAGTAGGATCTATAGCATCGCTCCCGTCACTTTCATTGTCGTTGATGTAATCTATTTGTCCATTCTGTGCAAGTTTACGAGTGCGCGTTTGGCGAGAAACACCACTAGAAAGTAAATCAAGGATGGTGTGCAAACAATTGACTCGTCCTTTTGGTGAACTAGGATCAATGAGATCTGTTGTAGCCAAATTGCGCTGACAGTCATACCCAAGCAAAAAATGTGCCAGGTTTGGAGAACAAGACCGATCCAGATTTGCCAATAGCATATCCAGAATAGCACATCGGATTGAACGCAAGGGTGGAGCAGAAAATGGTTTAAAGCCCATTGAATCGGTAGTAAACGACGTATCAGTTGCATATTGTTGTCGTGCTCCCATGAGTGTAGACATATTTCCGTTGGTTAATGTATGCTCTTCAGGCTCATCCAGTGCAAGCCGATCAACAAATCCTTGCAAAATCCGATCACTTTCTGCAGAAGCCATCAGTACACTCAAAAGACGATTAGGACAAGTAGAACTGCTAAAAGAGTCAAATATGCTAAATACGGGAGAGAGTGACAAGGTGGACATGATGCTGATAGAAGACAGACATACGCCTACATCATCAGAGTTGATGAGTACAGCAATATCTACAATGGCAGACTTGCTATACGCCAAGAGTTGATCAAGTCCAACCATAGATACTGGCAAATTAAATATTGACCCGTCGCCAGATTCTATCAAGGCTGGTGCAAGAATTTCAAGAAATACACGCTGGTGTGCAAGAGTAGTAACAATAATGGAAAGAACAGAAGATATAGACTTGATTGGAAGCTTTTCTGGATCGCTGTACGTGTCTGAATCGAGTTGTTGAACGCCAATGTTAAGAATCTCAAAGAGTCCAGAAGTAAGAGATGAGCCTTGAAGAATACGACAATAAACTTCAAATCCAGGTTGGGCTGCAAGAGAACGAATAGGCGCACGGGTGTAAAAAACTGCACCACCCGCAGTACCCATCATACCCATTGTGGACAATGCGGAACTATCTACACCACCAGATGGCTGTGAGTCTGGATCTCGTGGTAGCTGAATCTCTGACATGTCCAACATAGATACAGCCAGATCAATGATTTTAAGAACAGACTCGGTAATGATCCATTTCTCAGCAGGATCTGCATAAGGTCGTTCTCCCGCCCTCAACAGCACATCGTCAATGGCAAAGCGCATGTAAGGTTGAATTCCACCAACGCGATCAGGTGAACCAAGATTTTCATAGACTTGTGTAAGCTGTAAACTGCGAGGATTAGATAGCAGCGTGTCCAGTAAGCCTAGAAATGCTCGAGTTTCTGGGTAGGTTTGAAGACAGGTTTCGACTTCAAACATATCATATGCGATACCTTCGTATCCACCTGTAGGAGCATCACCCGGCTTTCCCATTCTTCGATCCGTAGGATTAGATATAGAGTGAGCGCCAGAAACATTGGTAGAGGCTGGAACAATTTGCGACTGCTCAAGCAATAACCAGACTTGCTGAACAATCTCAACTCCTTCTTCGGATGGATGACAAAAGGCACTGATGGCATCAAATAACGAAGCCTTCATCTCAACGTGAATACGACTTACAAGGAGTTGAAACAAGGTATGAAGAGCCCGGAAATGCTGATTTTCGCACAGCATACGTCTTGCAGTAAATGAAAATGTGACAACTTTACCAAGAAGACGCAAAAAAGCAGTAATAAGCATTGTTTCTGCAGGCTGGAGTTCAATAGAAGGAACAGGCTGTTGTAGTCGCTCAATGTAGCTATTGAGTGTACGGAAAAAAGTAATCCACAAAATCTGTCCAAATTCGGCACCTTGGTCTCCGTTAAGGATTTCGTGGACTTGAAGAGCACACTGTGGACCAGTGGAAATAGCACAAAGAAAATCGAGAAACGATACAATAAAACGGGATGTCCAAACCTCGGCACCCATTTTAAGGAATCCAAACAGGTCATTGTGATGAAACCAATCAAGCGCGGCATCAGAGCGTCCATCATACAGATTAGTAAGAAGCATCAAGAGAGATTCCCAGCTAGTAATGGTTTGTTTTTCTGGCATAAGCCCAGCGCGAGTATTGAACCCACTGGAATTCTGGTTAGAAAATTGAGCCTCAAAAGATTCTTGAGAAGCAGCAATATCTTGGTCGGTAGCAATTGACTGACGCAGATATCTACGCATGCGCACAACAAAACACCTTGCTAGACGCTCAATAATGACCAATGCATAGTCTGATACGTCTTTACGGATATCATCAACAGCATTTTTCAGTCCATATTTTTCTGTAGGAGCGTCAGAATTTGAAGGCATGGCTGATGCAGTAAAAGAACTGTTTATATTGGATCCACTGTTTGCAAATGTCCCGTTTTTGCTAGATTTACCCAAACCAGCATGACGGAATAAAGACCAAGAAGTATTGTATTTTTCAGAATCCAGCAACAGACATTTGTTGATCAAATGAAAAATGTCTGCATCATCACCGAATTTAGAAAACCAAGTACGACGAGACATTTCAAGTTCTTGAGTAACAAGCGTCCTAACTTGTGAGTCGAGAACAGAGTCTGATTTGGCATGAAGATCCAAAAAAACAACCCATGAAAGCCAAGATACGCCCATGGCTTTAGAATTAGACCATTGACTGGAAGTGAGCAGTTCGCGCAGAGATTGGTAAACAGATTCGTCCAACACAAACCGAGAAGTAGAATTTTGGAAAGCGTAGCTAGAATGATCCAGCTGAGCCATCACGACATTCAAAAGGTAAGGAAGAGTAGGATCAGTGAAAGTGGTGGACTGTAGTAGATTGATCAATTTAACAAACTCTGTGGCAGATAGACCATGTCGATGGGCACAAACCACCAGTAAATAAATAAAATAATGCTGTTCTCTGATAAGATGCTTTAGTCTGATGGTAGCAAGTTTAATATGAGATGAATGCATTAGATCTTGATTCTGCATTTGTTTCTGTTGGTTGTGCGATTCGCAAGTGGTTGATTTCAAAGTTGAATCGTCTTCGAGAGCAGATTGAATTTTGCAGATTTCAGCAGTAACTAGACGATACAAGTCAGTTAGACGAACAGGAAGAGTGACGGTACTGGCATGTGTTGCATTGGAGTGTGGCAGAAACTCGGCCATGAACAAGTGGACAATACGACGAGACTCTGGAGGAGCCGTAGCTGAGGACAAGAACTCGGTCAGCATGGTGTCGATGCAGTTAAGAAGACACTCTCGCTCGCTGTAGTAGAGATGCAGACAAGCCTCCATATCAGAAGCATCTCCAAACCTTGCCTTTGTAGCTACAGCAACATTATAAAGAGCAGCAGCTCTTCCTTCATGGATATGAAGAAGATCGCACAGTTGCGACACTCCATCACAAAAGGCAGTGTTTGCCAGAGTCTGGTTGCCATGAATAGAAACTAAACCTATACAACGAATTAATGAGAGATTCACCACTATGTAAGCACACTATTACTTGCCTTTGGATAGATCTGATTTCAAACGAGGATCTCTAGGAGGTTCTTGCAATGCACATGAAAAGTCGGCACGACGATGAATAAGAAGAGTATGCAGACGAGCCAAAGTGGCAGGCGAAGTGTCTGAAAGTGAGCGTAATAGTAACTCATGCAGAGAATGGAATGCATTATCTTCCCATCCAACAGCAGCCATACTAGTCATGTATGTTGTCAAGTATTGAATTTAAATCCCATTAAAATTTCATTAAAACTTCAATCCGATTATTCGCAAATTCCAAGATGATTCCAGTGTTCAAGAGCCAGACTGCATACATTCATAATATTCATTGATTTTCATAATATTCATTGCGTTTGGATTTCATACATCCATTAGTAATAGTCCAGCCATTTGGAAGTGTGTTGTGGTTCAACAGCATCAGTGAAATCAATAGAAACGATTGATATAGATAACAATGGTAAGCACAGCAAAGAGTGACGGAATCAAGCGCTTAAGTATATACAGGATGGTATTTGAAAACGCAGTTTGGAAACTACTAGTGGTCAACATTCATCAAGAGGCGGTTGGCAGCAGACTCAAGATATATTACAAACGCTGTCTTTGCTACCGCCATGTGAACGAGCTGTCATGACATATGGGTTTTGGAAACCCATCTGCTGCACATCATGGGCACTGTGAGAGCCTGATCGGTTGTTGTTCTTTTTGGAAACCGGTAGCATGGGATCAGGGGTCATGGCAGTGTAGTAGAGAAGCGACCTGCATGCCTCGGACGTCCTCACTCGAGGCAATCCTTCAGTATATCTCAGAGCCTCTACATATGCTGGTATACGAATAGTAAAGTGGGTTTAAGCAATGGTCGTGATCAAGCATATGGGTCCAGCAGTTAGTTTGTGCAAGTGGTTCATGTACGCATAAGCAATAGTCGAGAATTAGAACAGTTGAACATTTGAAATAGACTATCAGACAAAAAGTTACCGTAGAGTCTGGCTAAACGAAGATCAGACATGTCTGTAATAAACAGCAAATATTATACTGATAGCAAGCGAATCCAACTAGACTTGAGACTTTACAGCTAGCAACAAAAGTGATGAAAACGCAGAAAAGACTTTATTTATATTTCAAGCCAATTTCGCCATGTTTTGAAAACATTCTAATAGCATCAAGCAGACTGTTGCATCTCAACATGAATTCTCCGTAAAATTGCACAACTGTTTCAGATTAGTGTGCTAAGTTATAAGCGGAACAAGTCCAAATGAGTGTTCTATATTGAATCAAGAACAGCAGATTACTCGAGAGTTCAGATTGTCGCCGCGGTACACGAGACACGGCCGATAAATGTTGTTGCTATTCAAATCGATAGTCTACCAATATGAGAACATCACCAAGAGCAATCATTGCCAACAATCTCTTTTTTTATCTCTGTTCTCATGCTCTTTAGCAGTTATGAGGATGAATACTGGCAGTGTAGCTGTGCATGAATCTTGTGGCTGAAAATGTAGCGCCTCATATTTATAGTTGAAACCAACACTGAATTGGTTGTTAGGGGTTGACTCAAATCCGTTTATTATTGTATTGTAGTGGCTGGTCTTGTCCCATCAATCTCTACTATAAACCTCGGCATCTCAATCACTGTCTTGTCTTGTAGCACTTGCCTCAAAGTCAAGTTCGTGTCTAGTCCAGATCCTTGCATTCGCTCATTCACCTAAATGGAATAGATTCATCCAACTGTTTAGCATCTACAAGACATTCATGCTTTCACAAGTTCATTCTTACCGGAATATCCTCTTGCAAAAGCTTAACCGACACACTGTGATCTCCACTATCACTGCAAAACTTTTTTAGATTGTGACGTTGTATTGTATTCCCTGGTCGGTCTGCCAGCAGTCTTTCCAAAGCAGCCTTGAGAGTACAAGTTTCGTCCACTCTGCACATACTCGATATCAGACATGCTGCTAATAGGTGGCTTCGATACAATTCAATATAAGCTTACCTTGCATCTAAAACGCGAATCTGTGGAGCAGATTCTCCCATAACAAACGTCCACTCTACAGTCCAACAAATAGTTTGATCTCTGCCAAAATTTCAATATAGAGTCATGGTTTAATCCTGCCACAATAAAACATACTTTTTCCTATACATGGATTGGTTGGCATCGTGCCGTTTCATGCCAGCAGACATAAACTTGACAGTTGTTCCACGACTGCGGCATTCTTTTGTGAGTAAATGCTGCATGTACGACAAAGGTCGAGCTGGCTTATGCAATGTATTTGCATGAACGAGAGATGGACTGTTTGCATTGTCTCGGGTTGCATTATCCGCTGCCCGAGATACATCTTCCAAAAAGCAATAGTCTATCATTTCAATCAACACTCGAGTTATTTGATATGCTTGCAATTCATGTCTAATCAACACCAATGCTTTACCACTTGTAAGACATGCCATGTCGTACTTTTTTTTAGCAATATAGCCGGCCTTGTCTCTTTTTCCATCACAGCTTTGCAGTTTCTTGTGGGATTGAACACATGGTAGCGAGCAAGTCTTTACTCTGCATTTTGGGCATGTATACTGACAAAAACAGCAATGGTGTTTAGAAAATAAGTACCAATCGATCAGCCATGACATTCTATCCTTGAATTACCTTTGCTGCTTGTGACAGACATATTTGACAATCTTCTCTCATTGTATTCTGGATTGGCAATTCAATAAAAAGTTGAACAGGTTTTAGGCAAACGATTTGAATGCAGCCAAATTCTTGTAAATTGGATTTTCTTGCTTTTAATTTTCTCTCTTATAGTCATCATGGCCAAGGTCGGTTTTTTCTAAACTGTATGCTATCATTCTTCGTGATCACTGCTATCAAATATGTCTTCAAACAATCCATTCATGTATGTGTTAATATCTAATGGGTATGCTTATACTATCAACTATTTGGAAATTAGAACCAGCAACTCTTTCAAGATATTTTTGAAATCACCGACATTGATCCACATGGCAAGAAATTCGACAGAGGTAAGAGTCTGTTGATATACCATACATCCATGGATTCCTGCACATTAACACTAAATATCAACCTGATCTAGTTTCTCGTATAGTGGCAACATCTGAAAACATTGATATGGGTGTCACTCTTGATATCAATACAGAGATTTATCCATTGCGTCCATCTGATAAATTCACTTTGGCACTGGCTTCAACACTCGCTCTGGATGGCAATCCTGTTGATACGTCCAAAAAACAACCTTGGAGAGATCCCAGTTTTGCCACGCCTTCATCTGGAACAACTGGAAAAAAGTCTTTGGCGGATGACTACGATTATGTCATGTACGGTAAAGTTTACAAGTATGAAGACGAGGGAGGTGCAAAAGTGTAAGCCTATCCTGTTTTTCGAATAGATATGCAGTGTGTTTAAAGCTTCAGACTAAACGAATTTCCCATCTTATAGATCTGTGTATGCTTCGTTTGGCGGCTTGCTAATGTGCCTTGCTGGGGATTTTAGACAATTGCAAAATCTAAATGTCGGTCAATACATTTATCTGCTCATGCGAAAATAAATTACAGCTGTATTCACATAAAATGGAACACTAATAAGAAATGAACGGATGTTTACACCCATATCTCTCAACGTGCTCAATCTTTAGCTATTCAAACCAAATATTACGACATGAGTGATTGGATCGGAAACCGTTACATTTGTGATTGTACAATGTATGATCATGCCAAAAGGGGAAACCAACTCGAAACTATAGTCTGACTGTGACATCATAATGGTTGTTGTGTTGATTGAATTGTGAGTACAATTGAAGCAGTCAATCTCTGCAGAAAAAAACGAATATTTGATTATTGTTTATTATGAAGCAAAATAGAGCCACTGCAAGATAAATACAAAGTGCTCCATTTATGTGAATACAAATGTAATTATTTTCAAAAAAACAAACCAAGGTTTGCACAGAATAAACATACGACGTTTGTACCAACTATTGTATAGACATGACAATATATAATAATAACTTTCCAAAAAACCGAATATACAATGATCAAAAAAGATATGGTCTTGGCAATCTTATCACTAGAGTAATGATAATAAAGCCTTGTATAATACAGTCCATCAAAACTACTTGAATAAATATAAAACTAGGTAGATAGTAGTAAAAGGATGGTCACAGTAAACTAACACATCCAAATCATCCATCGCTGGCCAATTTAGATTTCAACGTAGTAATCTCTGCTCTCAAAACATGCTCAACATGTTCGCGATTATCCAAATCCTCCAACAACTGTGCCCGCGAAGTCTTGAGCTCCATCAACATGATCTGCAATCGGTCCACCTCCTCACTTTGTGCGTCCTTGTCGCCAGCGATTTGAGCACGACGACGCATCTCTGCTTTAAAGTCATCAATCTCACGCTCCTTGAGCTCTACTTTGTGCTTGAGAAGAGCAATCTCTGTTGAAGCTGCTCGAGTATCCTTGCGAAGCGCATCAATGTCTCGATCCTTTTGCTCAAGTAAGTTACGAACAACAGAGTCGGCAGCACTCGTACTGCCAGGCGATGCAGCAGAACCACCCGATATACTACTAGAAATCTCTTTTTCCTTTTGTCGTAAAAGTTTCTTGAGTGAAAGAACCTCTTCGTCCTTTTCTTCTGCCAACTTTCTGTACCGATCAACATCACGCTCTGCTTCACGACGAAGACGCTCAAAGCGATGCAGTTGATCATCTGCGTCGGCTTGTGCTTCTTGAGATTGCTCAATAGCACTGATTGCACGACGCTTTTCCTCAGCCACCACAGCAGCCAATCTTTCCAGTTCAACTTCTTTAGCCTGGAGCTGCTGGTTTGTTGACTTTTCAATTTGAGCAAGTTCAGCCTGCAAAGATTGATACTCTTCCAAACTAGCCTGAAGCTCCGACACTTTTTTGTCGTTTGCTTCGCGTATGGATTCAATTTCCTTGACATGGCGATCATTTGCTTCTGCAATTTTCTTGTTGGTGTCTTCCAATTCTTTCAAAGTCTGGTCCAGTTGTTTAGATAGAGCATCTCGCTCACCAGCTACTTTGGCTGCAGCTTCATCCAACTCACGCTTCTTGGCTATCCATTCATTAGACCTTTCTGTAGCCATTGCACGCAATGTCCTAGACTCTTCTTGTGCCTGATCCAACCGTTCTTGCAGTCGCTCGCGCTCGACAAAAAATTGCTGCTTTGAAGTAACCAGTCCATCTTCTGCAGTCTCTAGTCGCCTTCTAATCTCCAAATTATCTTCAATGGTTTTGGCTTCAAGTGTGGTTTTCACCAATGCATGCTGTCGATTCAAGTCCTCCAATTCATACTGGTGCTTTCTCGTTACACTGGACAACTCAATCTCAATAGCTTCTTGAATTCGTTGATCAGTAGAGGCTTTAATTTGTTCTATTTCACGCTCAAGCCGCTTGGTGACTTGTTTTGTTTCTTCAAGTGCATAACTCTGCACTTCATTCAACTCGAGCTGATGATTGTCTTTGATGCGCTTCATATCGCTGTCCCATTTATCCTGTTGTCGAGCTGACATGTCCAACAACTCTCGATCAGCAGAAGCAATCTTGTTTTTCAATTCTGTAGACACACGTTCCAGCTCAAGTTCAGCAACTTCCAATTTCCGACTAGTTTCTTCCATTTTGAGTTTGAAACCTTGGAGCTCAGTAGCTGTACGCTCTGAATCATGCAAACGGGTGGTGAGTGTTGCGAGCTGGTCTTGAAGAGTACCGTACTCCCGTCGCAAGTCAGAAAACTTTGAATCTGAATCCATATTGGTTGTGTGTAGATTACCCTGCACGGCTTCCAAACTCTGCTCCATCGATTTCTTTTGCGCCATCAACTCCTGTATGCGCTGTGTGGAGTATTTATCATGATCAAGGAGACTTCTAAAGCGGGTTATCATAATTGTCATGCTCGGTAAGCCTGTAGCAGTTCTTCCTGTTGGACTAAACGCATCTTTGTTGCGGCTAAGTGTTGGTATTGATCGAGGCGAAGTTGCACCAACCCACACCTCAAGCTCGCTATTGATCTCACAAAGTAGCTTTTCGTCCATTTCAGTAAATCCATTTCCACGACTTTTAAGCTGTTGAATCAGATCAGCTTGCTCATCATTCTTGCGTTGAACGTCTTTAAACTCAGACTCACTAAACATGGGTGATCGCGCAGATTTAGAAGACTGTATTATCCCGCGTGGACGACCATATCGACTATTAAGACCCTCTTCAGTATCAGTTTCTGATTCAGACACGGGACCAGCAGTTGAAGACCCATTTCCTCGTCGAGTACGTCTGGATGATGTAGATCGAGCAGTGCGTAGCTTGGTTTGTAGCTCAGCTATATGCTCTCGATCCTGCACCTGTTGTAGTTTAAGCTTCTCCTGTTCTAAAACAGCTTGCTTGAGCTGTTCGCCTAACGCACGATTCATGCCGTTGTTTGATGCCGAACTGTCTTTAGCGCGCAAAAGCACACTCGTACGGCGGTGATCGTTAGACACATTACCACCAGCATGAACCATTTCTAATTGAGTATTGGCTTCCTCTAGTTCTCCCAAAAGATTAGAAATCATGCGATCCTTGGATTCAATCAAGGACTGGTCATCTTCAAGCTGAAGCTGTAGATTAGCAAGCAGATCCTTTTTGGAAGAAAGTTCCTCCTTTGCATCTGTAAGATCAGCTCTGCATGTAGCCAAATCAAGTTTAAGACGATTAAGTTCAAATTGTGAGGGCTGATCGTCCTTGAACTGCATAGATGCCTCCAAAATAGACCGCTCTTCTCTGGCGTGTCTTAGACTTCGCTGTGCATCGGCGGCTACACGACGCAACGGCTCTTGCTCACTTTCTAATCTCGATACTGTGAGTTTCAAAACATCTACATGTTGTTCCATTTCACGAACACGGCTTTCAGCTGATGCAAGTTTTTTTCTGGCAACTAGCTCTTCGGCAGCACGCTTTGCACTTCCATCAGGATAGGCATTGGTAGCTTGCTGCTGTTCTAGCATCTGCCACCGCAACACTGCAGAAATATGCATAAAGACAATGCGCTCAGTCTCGACAAGATTGAATACAGTCTTCCATGTATCTGCAGCAATATCCTCCATTTTTCTCGTGGTGTCAATAAGCTGTTGTCGAGCAGTGTTGATTTGATTGGGGTCGGTCACCCCGCTTCGCATGAATGATTCTGCAGCCTCGCGAATGCGTGATTCTAACGCAATCTTGTTTTGAAGCGACCCTACTTGAGAAGTGTAGGAGATGATTTGACGTCGCTTATCTTCGAGTTTGTCAAGCTGCATCATCTGAAATCCGTCACAATCTGCCAATGCAGTATTTACCAACTGTTGAATAACTTTGGGATCAAATAGATCTATGGTGGCTGAAGCACTGCTGGAAGTGGTCTTTTGACTATTGCGTCGAAATAAGCCTATATCACCAGATCCTGAATGCGTCTGTCGATTCAGAAAAGGAGACGAAAGACGTGTAGACGCAATCATTTGCATTAGTGGAGTGCGAAATCCTGATTGCCCAGTTGCCGACACATCATTGTATTTAAAAAATGGCATAGAGCCGTTGGGCAAAGACAATGGACTGTCTGGAGGGTTAGCAAGTGTTTGTTGAGTAGAAAGCTGACTCTCAGGAATGATGGCTGTAAGATTGTGTGGTGATGATGAAATAGGTGATGTATCCACTGCTGGTCGTCGTATACCATCTTTATTTCCTGGAATAGATACATTTGTATCAAGGGATTCCTGTAGAGGAGATTCTTTTCGTGTAGAAAATTCACGGGCACTGATATTAGTCTGGCTCGCTAAAGCTGTTGCTGCTGATCGTAATCCATTTGATCTCTAAAATCAAAAGAAATTGGGTTAGAATGATTACACATGAATTGGGCTTTGGACAAAAAGTTTGGTACTGAGCAGACATACAGAAGTATAAGCGCTACGACCAGATCGTTCAGAAGCTACAGACCGGCCACTTGCAGACGCGCCATCTTTTGCCTTGCTTCGACTTTTGCTCAATAAATCAGCAAGTGCACCAGCACCTGCCGCATCGCCCAAAAGCCAATTATCGTCATCTTCGTTTGTATTATTCGGCTTTCTATCATTATTTTTTGTAGAGACAGCAATTGGAGCTCGTTTGGGATTAGAGCTTGGTGCAGTGGGTCTGCTGCCACCTCGGTCGCTGCGACTTGCGCCTGGTGACCGTTCACGAATCGACATTCCACCAACTCTGGTACTGCTCAAGGGTACTCGTTCAGATGCTGATCGCTGAAAAGAGTCGGGTGCTCTACGACTGTCAGTGTTACTCCGTTCGTATCGGCCATTTGCTGATGAAGGAGGACTTGGTGCAGCAGACCGATCATAACGACGACCAGGTAGAAAAGCAGTCAACGGACCTTCTGGACGAGGAGCAGTAGGAGAAGGTGGAGAACGAAACGAGGAAGATTGCTGCTGTTTTTGTTTTTGTGATGAGCCAGTGTCTTGCTCTTCATCCAGATTAAAATCTGCAAGTTGGTCAAGAAGGCTCGAAAGTGGGCGTGAGTTGACACCAGGAACAGCAGGCACAGGACGCCTCTAAACTCGAGCCCAGACAAGACAGATTAAGCATCGAGATGAATTCACATGTTAGTAGTTAGTATATGCTCAACAGGTAACTGGAGTATAGAATATTAGTCATTCCATTACAATTGGTCATGGCTGTAGTCTAACATTGCAGTGGCGATATGCCATTCAACAAGTGGCAGTATGGCATTGATGCTCCTGTATGCTTATTGACTACTGCCATGACCAATTCATTGGTACAAATGATACTTGAATGAATATAGTAGTTACCCTGCTTGACGAGCTCATGCTTTGCTGAGTATTAGCAGTAGTACTTTTATTGGGATCCTGTGATGTTGCTGACGGAGACAGGAAATCACCGCCTATAACAGTTCTTTTCCTGCGAGACCCTGCTAATGACATTTAAATAGACTATCAATACGAATGGTCGGCAGTTGTGAAATGCAGCGGCAGACTATCCAGTTATCAAGAATCGTAGGCTTCGTTGTCAAAAATTCAATGAAACGCGAAAATCCAATTCCATTGGCACTTGATTCGAGTTACTCGGTTACGAGGCTTTACTAGGCAAACCATTTATTCTATTCTTCAGTTTCTATTGCTCGTTCTATATCGTGTATACACTGAAAACAGTGTATATTTACATCATCACAACTGGTTGTATATCTGTCTGCTTCAATTTCAATTAGACAGACGCAACTCGAGTCTTTTCCAAGCATGTTTTTGAAACTGCATATATTCACGTGATTTGTATTCTTGATCACGTGTTATATTCTCAAATCAGCAGTGACAAACTACAGGTCAAATCTGCACTTGTCTTCCTGTCACGAAACCCATAAGCCATCAACTATGTCTGTAGGTTGCAATTATGCCATGCATCCATCCCAGTCTATATACATCTTAATTGACTGTCCAAGCATTCCATCTATATATGCATCCGTCATTTTGTTTAGTATCTTGAACTAATCCCACTCACTCATGATATTAGAAACGCACAAAGAAGGTTGGAATTACCGGCAAGTATGGCACCCGTTACGGTGCTTCACTCCGTAAGCAAGTCAAGAAGATGGAAATCACACAGCACGCCAAGTACACTTGCACTTTCTGCGGAAAGGTACGATATGTTTTGAACTCAATCGCTGACTGATCTCCAACCATATTTTCAAGTCAGTTTTGCAAGGGAGTGTGTTGACAAGATTCAACTCAGCATTGGATCAGAAAGCAGTTTATTGATGCAATCAAATCGACTCTTTGATTTGATTGCTGTTGGATTCTAATATCCAGTTGAGCCATTCTGTACAAGACTGATCATAAGCCATCAACTTGGCACACTGCCTACAAAACTGATTTGCGAATTTTAATTGCAATATATCCTGTAATCTAACCCATTGTTTTGATTCATGCAAATCTTACAGGATGCTGTCAAGCGCGAGTCTGTTGGTATCTGGAAGTGCAAGGGCTGCAGAAAGGTTCTTGCCGGTGGTGCATGGACTGTTGGCACCACTGCCGCAGCCACTGTTCGCTCCACCATCCGTCGTCTTCGTGAAATCACCGAGGCATAAACGACTGGTCTTGTGAACTAAACATTGTGTTGTGATTTTCGGCGACTACTAAATAGAAAATCTACTTCCAAATAACAAAACCTTTATGCTTTGATGGCTACTTTAGACTTTGATTGGACTAGTGTGATGGGTGGAGTTTAAATCATGACAATGCATGAAAATTGCAGTAGTGGAATTCGAATGTGGAGAATTGACAACTTGACTCGACAAGCAGCAACCATCTTACAAATCAAGTTTGTTACATCATGTCACCTTTTAGCTCTCTACTTACTATTCGATCCAAGGTAATCCAACCAGATTTTATATCCACCATGCTAGACAATCTCAAAATGGAAATCACCAACTATTAGTCAACCCTGCATGTCTGGTTTTAGATCAATACAAGAACACTGGCTAGTATGAACAACAGTATAGTGAATCGATTTCATCAAGCACCGATACTACTGGCATCACTCATGCCATCTATGCAAGCTAAAGCATATCAAAACATGGCAATTCTACCATCACCGTGTCATGCAGCATCACGCATCCAAACCAGAGGCTTGTCTTCCACCACCAAAGTAATATCACTCTTGGTCTACTCAGTATACCCAATTTGCAATGAATTGCTTAACATTCCTATTATTACACTGTATCTAGTCTGATCTCACCCATTCGTCAGTATCTCCAACTGCATCCATATCTGACACTGATTCCACCACTCGAATTACATTTGCAGATGGATCCTCTACATCATTGTAAGTTTTAAATGCTTGAAACTTTTCCAATAGCATTACATATGTAATTGTGTATGCATTAGAATTGAAATGTAATACTAATGACAATTGTGCTCCTGGGAAATAGCCATGGAATATGGCTGAGAGATCATTGTCGATGCAAAGCTTGTTTCCATCAGGTTACTCGACAAAGACTAGTAGATACCAGCCAAGTATGCTTAAATTAAGAACCATGTATTGCATTACAATAGAACTCGTAGTAATTGGCATAATTCTAGATCCCGCTGGACATCAAACCACAGTCAGTCTCTATAAGAGATGGCACAGTTACCATCGAATGCAAGTACATCTTTATTTTTTCAAATCAAGTCACCACCAGCTATGATCTGATATATTTATATATTATAGGGCATAAACCATCGCATACAACAGAGTTTACGCTTGATTGGCTACAGCAGCATTCATATGCTCCAAAAGTATCCATCAAGATTGATAAGCCATCTACAAAGTAAGATGAAACTACTTGTATAACTGAGCTATATGTTTTGCATATATCAAGCAAGCAGTGTATCCACGAATCTAACTATTCAGGCGTTTCTAGAAAGTTTTGGGATGCTTCAATCGTGTCTAATCTGCCCACAACCCCATACAAAGATGTATGTGCATAAACTCTGATGTGAACTGCCAATACTGTAGTACAACTAGCATTTTGAATTCTTGGCTGATTTGGTTATTACTGTAGATTATGGGAGGCAATGATGGCTTGCAACATTGGCTTACCAACATTGATACATATGGGTTTGGATTTGTTTCTGGAGTTCCTGTGGATCCTAAAGTGGGTTGAATGTACAACTATATATCTTGATTATGTGAATCATTAAAATTGTGTTTTGGACTGCAGGCAACAGAAGAGCTTGGTCGACGCATCTCGTTTATCCGTGAAACTCATTATGGTAAAAAATCGAGCATTTTGCATTTCATCTGTCAACATTGAATTCATTAGTAGTATGACTCTGTTAATGTAGGATCGTTTTGGGATTTTACTCCTAACATGGAACATGGAGATACAGCATACACGACACTTGGCCTTGGGGCACATACGGATACTACATATTTTACTGATCCCATTGGGTATATTATAGCATATCTTGTTTTCATGGGCTTTTGTTGAACTATATTATCCTTGCTCATGTACGCTAGTATCTGCATGTGTACCGATTTAATCTAGGCTCCAGCTCTTTCATTTGCTAGAACATACTGGCACTGGTGGGGAATCTCTATATGTGGACGCATTCCATGTTGCCAATTTACTAAAACAAGAAAGTCCATGGGCATTTGATGCACTCACTCAAATCCAAATCACTGCACACTCGGCAGGCGATGAGCATACGTTCATGCAACCCACTCCAAAGCAATTCCCTCTTATCAAGCTTGACAATTTTGGAAATGTGCTGCAAGTCCGATACAACAACAATGATCGATCGGTGCTGGATTCGCTAAGCAAGACTGATGTAGAGCAATTTTATGCAGCATTAAGAGTATGGATGACAATGGTCAAGGATCGCAGAAATGAGGCATGGGTGAAACTGGTGCCTGGAATGGCTGTGATGGTGGATAACTGGCGAGTACTGCATGGAAGATCGGCATTTACTGGGTTTAGGAGACTAGTTGGATCGTATCATGGATGGGATGATTATCGATCCAAGGTTATGATGATTTGTGGTCAGGGTAAAGCAAAAGACGATCTATGAACAATAGTTTGATTCAATATAGTTGATGGAGCCAATAACTACAATGGAATGATTTCTGGCGTTCACTATAGTCATGGCAGTTTTTATTGTTTGTCATCGATAAACTTGAGAGAGATGGAGTTGACACAATGACGCTCATCAGTTGGGGTTTTGAATCCCTCACCTTTGAAGACATGGCCCAAATGGCCTCCACATGCAGTGCAAACAATCTCTATGCGCAGCATTCCGCCAGATCTGTCTTCATGGCGAGTGATAGCTCCTGGAATAGCATCTTGGTAAAAGTAATAGTATATTAGCCTACACTTCAAATTTTGGTATTGCGTAAACCGCTGCGAATATCATTTACCATAGAATGCAGGCCATCCACAGCCAGAATTGAACTTTGTAGTGGAGCTATACAGGGGAGTATTGCATCCAGAACAGGTATAGGTTCCATTGGCCGAGTGTTTGTTGAACTCTCCAGTGTTGGGAGCCTCAGTGTCCTTTTCTCTCAGCACTTTGAACTGTTGGGGAGACAGCACTGCTCTCCACTGAACACTGATTAGCTAGATCTAAAAGTATCTTAATATAGCACTACTGACAGCACGTACTTGTTGTTCGGTCTTTTGTGTCATTCTCCTGACTGTTCTTTGAAAATATTGTGTGTTGGTTAAACTAAACCTTGATATCGTCGACCATGCGAAGAATCTCGTATGCATCTCTGTTTAAACCTTTCAACTCGTGAAAATGCGAGTATGGATGCCTTTTGTGCTTGATGTTCTTTGATTTACCAACGCAGCATCATGCCAATAGCAACGGGATCAGCTACACGGTAATACTTCACATGCTATTGGTTCAACCCCACTGGCTTTAGCACAACTATCTTGATTCAGATTGTAAATTCAGACTTGCTTTCAAGCACAAGTGAATTAATTTCACGTGATGATATGCATGCGCACATTCAGCATTTTTGAATTCAATCCGACTCTAAAACACTTGGTTCGTTGGTCGTTTCAAACATGTGTGAGTAAAGTATTATCCAACTGCCACTAGCCGCGTATATTATACTATGAATGTTCTTTTTGTCTGTTGTAGTCAGTCTATGAATTCTAGTGCTTGAATGCAGGGCCATAAACTAACTTAAATTTGTGGCTTGTATATGCATAATTCATCAGCGTCTGGAAATAAAAACGAGGCAGTTGCATGCTGCACCTCGATTGTGGGACTACTGGCATCGTTGTTTTTTGGAAAGTCGAATACAAATGATCAAAGCACTGAATTACAACCTCAGCAACCTGTAGTTGTTCAACAACCACCAGCTACAACATGGCAGAAACCTCCACAGCACCAATATGACCAGCAGCTTCCTTCGCAACCTCATTATGATCAGCAAGTACCGGTAAAGCCAAATCATCCTGTTTCTGTGCCCCACTCTCCACCATCTCAGCAGCATCATGTCGACGATGCTGCACTAATACAAGAAGCTGAATCGCTGCGTGACCAAGCTCACAAAATGGCCAATGATCGTGCCAAGTTTTATGATGCCTCTCAAGCTGCATGGAATTCAGGAAACAAGGCAGATGCTAAGGAACAATCTGACAAGGCAAAGCAGTACGGTGCTAAAGTGGATCAGCTGAATGCACAGGCATCCGCTCTGTTTTTTAAAGCCAAAAACGCCGGTCGTGGTCTTGGGGAGATTGACCTCCATGGCCAGTTTGTTCGTGAAGCAGTACGACTAACAGACGAACGTATTCTTCAATGCAGACAGCAGGCTAATGGACAGGAGAGAGTGACGGATCTGGTGGTGATTGTTGGCAAAGGACTGCATTCCGTTGGAGGTGTTGCCAAGATTAAACCTGCTATTGTCGAGTTGATGCAGAAACATGGCATTAGTGCCACTATGGATACTCCTAATGCTGGATGCATTACAGTCCATTTGGAAAATAACGATGGTCAGCGTGGCCTTCCTGGTCAAAGCAATGATGATCCAACTCAGGTTGTTGATAAGTGTAAAATCCAATAGTTTTTTCAAAACGTGCGCATTCTTGTCTAGTATTTTATTTTTGTGAGTATACATATTTATTTGATACTTTCTGTAGTTGAAACATCTTGCCATTCATTTGCTTCATTGTATCTTCATAGTATTTTGGAATTCTTGAATCAGAGTGACCAATAATACAGTTTTATTTGAAGATATATATCAAGTGTTTAGTTTAGGGGATATTTATGCAATGACATCGAGTAAAAACATGATTGAGCGCTTTAAACTTTTTGGAAACTCCCAGTCTAGCCTTTATAAACTTGCGCAATATTGAAGATGACTAGGATCACAGCACATTGTAAACTATAGAAGTGGAAAGGGGATATCAACATAATAATTTACTGATGGAGGAATTTGAATGCAATCGTAGTCAGAGATTTGACTGCATAAGAAACGAGGTTTACTGATGCTTTTGAATCGATGGTAGATAATGTAGACCCAAAAGGTTTGTATTTCCAGAGACAAATGTATTGAAACTATTGCCACGCTTTCTTGATTGCTGTTCTAGTAGTTTGGGAACGAGTCGTATTCATAGATGTAAGCTGTGAATTCAAGGCTTAGTAGATGCTGGTATAGTATCCACATGCAATTCGCAACTGGCGACTTTCTGAAAATACAAGCCTTTGAACACGATTTGATATTTTGTGAATAGAACTGTTTGTAGGTATTGGTTTCAGATCGCAAGAAACGTCGCTCAATATCAAGCTGCACGGCTTATATATCTGCTACACGGTTTTGCCAAACTTTATATCGATAAAACCCATCTTTTGGTATTCCATTTGGAAAGAGTCGAGTTTCACTTTTGAATGGCGGCCAACTACAGATTCAACATTGACATTGAATACTAATGGCTCTTGATTACACATACAGACCACCCATTGCTGAATGGGTTTGAAATACAGACTGCTTTCATAACAAAGTGTACTGACTTGGCAGCCAAGCAGGGCAACTTTTGAAAAATCCATCACATTCGCCATCCCGCGATGCATCCGGATCAAACGGCACCAATACTGCATTAAGCAATAATGCAAACTATTCACATGCTATCAACATCATAAATATCAGTGATATAGAAAGAGCATTGAACAGTGCCGCTTTTCTTGAATGAAACCATTCTCCTTTTGGTGATTGGCATGAAAACAATCGCCGCATTCCCGAGACATGCAATCCTTGTTCTCTTCAACTAGAGTGCAAACATATCTGAGATTTAGGATACAACAAAAAGCTTGTAGTGCTATTGACGACACCAAAACAGCCAAATCTAATATTTGAATTACAATGGATAAATACGATTTCAAACTTGGTAATCGTAGAGTGTATGGCTATGTCAATCAAAAAAAGGCGGGTTCAAAAAGGAGAATTTCAGGCCAAGACTAGTTTAATTTTATGTGCAACATATGACGGATGTTGTGTTTTAAAGAATTGGGAATGTCTATTCAAGCTGATTTTTAATAGGAAACTAATCGAATATTCAACGATTGTATATTCCAAAGCAAGAGGCAGTGACTGCAAGCTAAAATACAAGTGTTTCATTTTACGTGAATAACGGCTATATTAACTGAAATTTTGCGGATTTCATCTTGGTCTGATTATCGAGTATTGCAAGGTATAAACAGGCTACTTTCTTGTCACTCACTGTGGTAGAGTATTTCTCTATTGTGTTTGCCTGTAAATCATTGGCTTTCTCTTTGGAAATATACTGGCATAACTCTGATTGCTGGAGAGTGCACTAGCAATCCTTTGAAATTAATCTATTCTGGCATGACAATAAGATAAAGTATAGTCTGCTACTTTCTCTACTGCTATTATGATGATGAGCACTATGAATACACTTTCAAGTTGAATTGAATGGCTGCTTGTATCTTCTATTGGCCATTTGATGCCATAGTTGTCCACTATTTCGCCATATAAGCGATATATGTCATGACAGCCATGCATTGATGAGGTTCGATTGTTGATGCAGATAAATATACTAGTGTGCCCATCCTAGCTTATGCCCGTCTTTCTCTACGTGGATAATATATTTCTTGTAGCTGTACCTTTCTCATTTTCCATATTATTCTCCAACCTACCTGTGTGACCAGTACTATGATATTGGTCATGTGCTGTTGGAAAACATTCCATCATGCTTATGATGGAATGCACAATCCTTCTATTCCCACCACTATACATGCCTAACCCTGACATTGCATCTAATACAAGACAATGTAATTTCTGTTTTATTTTAGATTCAGCACAATTTACCCTTCATCTGTAAAGAGCTTAAATTTCATCAAGCTTTCTTGGCTCAACAAATTCAACTTGCTTTCCGCTTTGACATCCAACCCTTGATCATAATGGGCGTCATTTTTAAACAATTCCTTGACTCAGCCTCCTGCAATACTAACAGCAAGGTGTACTGCTGCATCATATGCAATACCCATTTATCCACAACTGACGACATCATCTCAAAGGTATGCATCTGCATTTTTATTGTAAAGTCAAAGGTTCATCGTGCGACTTGCTTTCTCCTGCTAATCTATGCATCTACACCCCAATTTGCTAAACCAATGCAATGCAATTCCATTCAATTCACCCTTGCTGCCATTGTCGTGGCCGATTGGGTTATTTGATATTTAAATACTATAGGCCTTTCAAGGTCAACATGGCAAAGCATATCTTTTCAATGCAGTGTAGGTCGTTTATTTTTCCGTTCGACTCTGTCATGGCGCTGTTTGCATAGGAGAAAAACAAACCAGTTGTATTCACTGGCTGTACCCTCATTCCAATCGGTAATCACAAACTAACCATAAGTGTGCGATTTTTTTCTATAAGCGTGAACATATTCCAGGGGCCGGCAGAAGAAAGAAGCATGACGACAGGGCTGCATACTGTCCGTGATATCCATTGCACATACTGTCAAACCGTTGTAGGTTGGAGATATGTAAGCGATGGGTTTTTAACTGTGTTGATGCATCTTGTGATTTCAGTGCAGTTTTTTGAATCATGTTGACAATCATGCACTGTTTATGGTGTCATCTGCAAATCACGTCGCTGTTGCGGGTTATTAGGACAAGGCATATGAAGAATCACAAAAATACAAGGAAGGTCGATATATTCTTGAACATGCACTCATTTCATGCATATAGTTTCATGGCCAGGTAGCATGCTTTGCATTCCAGTGATAAAAATGTATTTACGCCTTACTGATTATGTCAACATTTAATGATTCAACGATAGCAACAACTATTCTGTACCATAGCGTCTGTATAATTCAGCTGCCCAAGAAACATCGTACTATAATTGGCTATTTTTGTGCCCCTGATGCGTGTTTGATATCTCATAATAGACAGCTTCAACTAATGTTGCAGCCCTAATGCGATTGGACTCCTTTTATCTGCAACTTGACAAGTCTTGAATACAGCAGCCTTTAGTTTGTTCTAGCTACACTGGATCCTGATGGGTTCAATCCAAAGGACAAAGCTTATTTTCATCTATTCATTTTATTGTTATTCATAGCTCCATATTTTTAGCCGCGTGGCTTATAAAGAACAATGCCAAAAAAATTTGGACAGTTTTAATTTTCATGCTTGCACGCTGATTTGAGCAAGATTGCTTTTTGCTTGTATATGACTATCGAGTGACAGGTTCATTACCCAACTTGATGCTATTGGTGTTTTTATTTCTGTGGTGCATTCCATCACATAACACGTATGAATGGTTAATATCATGAAGCCAAAGAGTGAACCAATGCACATTTATTTTTGTTCATGCTGCAGGCCGAGTATTGGCGGTGTCATTTTGTACATGTAGATTAAATCATAGGATGCATGCGAATAAAGCATGGTTGTGCAAGAATAAAAATCATTCAATCGTAAAATTCACTGTAATGCGGTAGATTCAAATTGTTTGCTATTGTACTTGATTTGAATATCAAGACACTAATTCAAACAATTGGATCTAGTGCAAGCAAGTATCAGTGTCCACGTATGGGATGCATTGCCATTCACCCCACTCGTATCAAGACTGAATTTTCTCTAGGGCCAGAAAACGCGAAGGGCATATTAACGCCTATTTATCGAACAATCAACTTGACTGGATCTGTAGTTCAAGTAGAACATCAACCAACTTTTCACATCATTAGAATCTTGTTCAGCGTACAGTATATTCAGAGACAACATGCTTTCTGCCGGTTCATTATCCCAGGGTTCTGGCCCAGTTAATAAACTGTTCAAACGAAAAACAAACAAGGCTAAAAAAGGCATCAATGCTGTATGTATTTGTCTTGTGGGTTGTATGATTGGGCATGCAGTTGTGCAAGTGTACGTCTTTGATGTGGTCCATATCACGAGTTTTAGATACTTTAATAAACCAGACATGCACTAGGTTGGATATATCTTATCAACTTCTTGGTCTTGCACATAGACTTGACAGCTCATTCATACCACCAATGATGCTTTTATCATTGACATGTACGTTAATTCTGGATACGTACTAACACATTGGTTACATTTTTGTATGCACATTCATCATGGGTATTGTCAATGAAATATAGCTCGTCTTGGCATCTGGAGCCATGTCTGCAACAGCGTTTCCTTCCTTTTTCTCCTTCTTACCCTTTCAAACGGTCGACGTTACAAAAGTAACTCCAGTGAGCATGCATACCGCGGCTCCACATCCAAAACTTCCATCCAAGCCAAACATCCGACGCGTAGCAAGTCTTTCAGCCATCCCACTTCAAACTCGGCCAGTATCTACTCGACCTTCAAAATCTCAGTCCGCTGTTATCAATGGCACGCTGAAGCATTTGGATGATGACGAAGATTTTGAGGCGTTTGTTGCAGAGTGTGATGAGTTTGCCAAGATAACTGATGCCACAAAAGGGTTGTATGTTGCACCTGCTGCAGAAGCACTTGAAGCCGTTTTACATTCATCTGTTCTTGATTCACCGGTATGTATGCCAGTAGAACTGCAGTCAAACAGCGGAAACAATGGGTTCCAGAGCATAGCGAGAAGAGTTCAATCTACACCTGGAGCGATAGATGCTCGTCATCGTCCTCTTGCATTACAGATTCCTCATACTGGTGAATCTACCGAGTACGAAAGTCATTGTGCAACAGCAAGAAAAAAGTCCATTTCAAAGATTTCAACTTCGTTTTTCCATGCTTCCATTCAGGCGCGAGCACAAGCTAAACTTGATCGAGAGCGAGAAATGCAAGTACCATCTAGTCGGAGTCAGCCTCCTCCCCTGCTTGAATCATGGGATGACGATTTTGAACAAAGTGGTGGTGTAGAAAGTGATCATGAAGATGGCTATGAGGAATTTTGGGATAATGAAATGTTGGTTGTGCCTCAGCATATTAACCAGCATCAAATGCGTTTGCAGCGTGATCGATTTACTATTCGTGACTTTGCGCTTCATGTTCAGGGTATGTATCAAAGAAATAGCAAAGCTGTTATATTTAATTAGATGGTCAATCCAACAATGCCTATGTATTTAGATGCCAAATTCAATCTATTGGTTTGATGAAACTAACTTTTAACTCAATCATGTGCTGTTTATAGATCTAAGATTGATATATCAGGAAGTAGCGGATGCGGTGAAGCAAGGAGCAAAAAAGAATCCCATGATGTTTGCTCAACATACGCAAAAATTCCAAAAGGTGCTTGATATTGCTCAAGTCATATTGGATATTGCTGAGCACGTTGACGAATCTACCAACGACCCATCCAATACACCTCCAGTTACACCCCTGACATCTACATTTCCATCTACTACCTATTCTCATGCGCAAAGGGAAATTACTCCAAGACATATTGAGGTACTGATCGATTTAATTGCAAAAGGCGTGCCAATGGAAGTTGTTGACTCGGATGGAAAGAAAATCAGCACAGGTGTTATTGTTGGAGTAGATGAGCGTGCAGCACTCGAATGTGTAAACAAACTTGTCAGAGACCAAGTTTTGGCGTTTGAAAGCAGCCTGATTGGAGTTTTGAATGCTCGTATGGTGCCATTGAAAACTTGCTTAAAAATGTACGAGAAGCTTGTGTGTTGAAGTTGATTGTTTTAGTTTGCAACACATCGTAGATTTACACTTATTATGTTTCATTTTTGTTGATATGTCGGCAAATGAGACCAGATATCCCCACTACTGATTATTGGGGTGTGTATTCCCAATTTTGGAATAAACACTCTGTTTGTTCCACCCTATTTTAATTGATTCGCTTCGTTTTTAAATAAACTTAATTTCCCAGAAATTGTAAAGTCGATAGTATTTGAATGCATCAATAAAATTATGCAGTGGTTTGTTCAATAACTACTTTATGGGCATCTAAGTCAAAGTCTCGACAGCCTTGATCAATTCCTCATATTGAAAACTTTCAGGTTGTTCATGGAACGTCTCAACAAGCTTTTGCTGATTCTCGTTTCCCGTGATATAAAATAGTTGAGTTTGGTATACGAGATTCTGAGCTTCAGTGAGAGTGAGATTACTGCTCTGAGACTCTCCCAGTTCACCCACCATCAGCACGATCGACTTTGAAGCTGCTAGATCATCATAGTGTGTTACTACAAAACTAGGACGAGAAAGTGCGCCGTGTGTTTTGTATTCAAGGAGTGGTGTGTAGTAGGTTTGGTGGCCACTGAATTGTATAAAATACAGCTCGTATCCATCATTGCGTGGTAATGGCAGAATAAACTAAATAATAGGCAGAGTCAAAATATAATATAAACGGTAAAGCAACCGAGCCAAATCCATCCCAATAGAAATAGATACGTACAAGTGGGTACTTGCGGCCGCGCTGATGGAGCTTTTTATATGTCGCACTGTCTATACTGGCACTCAAACAGTTTTTATCCGAATGATACTTGTTCCAAATGATTGACACCATTTCAGGGGTTTCTTTCATCAGCAACTCCAGTTTAACAATTTGATCCAGTTTCTAAATCATTATCCACAATAGCCAATCCAGTTACTAATCTTGATGGCATGGCACAATTCATAGACATGTAATAAATAGAGTGCAAACCTTTTCGTATGATGGAAGTTTTTCGGATTTTCTATCCAGATTCTTTTTTGTGGGGTCATTTTCACCAGATGGTGGAGATGGTTTTTGTTCAGCAAGTTTCCTTTGGCGCTCTTTAACATCAAGTTCGTCTTGTTTCCGTTTTGCAATCATCTGCTCGACCGACTCGAATCCAGCTCTAATTTATATTTGCCAATGTGAAATAAATGGAAATATGCAGCCATTATCATTGCAATTGTAAGCTTGATCCATTCATGTCTCAATCTGTATATACAGCAGTAGAAATGATCGGTACCCATGATTTACACCTACTCTTTCGCCTTGCGCTCCAGCTTTGCCTCATACTTTTCACGATATCGACGCTGGACTTCAGTTTCGGATTGCAAAAGCTGTTGGTCAAGCGAAATTGCAGAATCAGGAGTAGACTTTAGGGACATGCTGGATAAGATTGACCCAAGAACATCTCCTCGAGATGCTTCAGGAGAAACTCTTAGCCAGTCTAATTACATCAGATCAAATGAATAACAATTCACTAGTGAGTTGAATGTACAAAGTAATATGGATCATTGTAACCAAGTCATTTGAGAAATTGTAATGCACCTGCGCTGCTCAATGTCGCAAACTGCTTAACGGTCGCTCTTTGAGCATCCGATAGTTTGCTAGAAGAGACTGCTTTTGTGTCAGTGATTGAAGCTGAAATCGCAGAAGACACCTGCTTTCCTTTAGCTGTCTTGCGTAGCTGTTTCGACATGGCTCGAATTAGCATGCGTTCAAGTAGAATTGCAAAAATAAAAAAACACTGAGTTTCCTTTTTTGACAAGAATTTGGCTTGTGTTCAAGAATGATGTTTTCAAACAGAATCTTGATTGTATTCACACATTTGGCCTAAGACTGCTTTACACTAAAGTAGTCGATGATTCAGTATGATGACAACAACTCTAAAATCATTTGAAAACAAGCTTCTTGTTTAACTGGGTGCTCTGATACTGAATCAAGTAGATGCTAGTTGAAACAGCTGTCTTGTACAAACACCAAATATATGCTTCAAATAGCAATCAAATAAACCACGACATTGATACTTTTCAAGTTATTTTAACCAATTTTATTCAAACTGACCAATACCAATGCATAAAAACATAACTGAGAATTAATAATTTGGACATCCACAATCCTGATGGGTTTATAAACCATTTGATCCGTAGATATACGCATTAGTAGTGCACCACTTCAATCACTAACACCACTAGATTGTTGCAGAAATTTGCCGAGACCACCAGCCATACTTCTACCAACAACTCCCATGGCTTTCCTAAGTTTCTTGAGGAATCTTTTCGTCCTTGATTTTTTGGGAGGGTTTGGACCACCTTTGGTAAACGGTGACTCTGTTTTTGTCGATTGTTGATGAGGTCCTTCAGGCATAGGAGAACGCTTTTCTAAAGTTATAGAAGCATCTAGGCTGGCTTTGGATGGAATTTTAACACTGTTGACAGTGGTTACAGCAAGAGCAAGGGCAAAAAACAGTGAGAGATTCATAGTGTATAGAGTAGTTCAATCTATTGTAGTAGTAGGTTGAGAATGAGAGGATGCATTTTAAAGTTCATTATATCGAGCCTTTTATATTCATATTGGGCCAAGGCATACTGACAGATCTGTGTGACACTACACAGCTAATAGTCGCTGTTCTACACATGTATTGTGGATTGTCAGGGATGGGAACAGGGTCACTCCCTATTTGCATGGATTGTGTATAGAAATGCCAATATATGCTTTGCTGACTATCTTGGTTATTGAGTCTTGGTTACACAGTGTCCTCCCTTTTGATGATTTAGTAGACCACCAAATACAAGGGACGTTAGACTTGCACAGGAAATATTTGGTGAAAGCAATGGATAGACTGGGCTACTATAGATTGGCTGGTATGATGAATGAGGGCTCAAGCTACTGACCTGCCAATGATCAAGGGATGTAGCTTAAACCAATCCAAATATAGTATTCTCAAACAATAATGCATCAGACATGCAGAATATCTTTAAATGATTGAACTAGTATGCGTAATGCTTTATGTATCAAATACACTTCAGACAGCATTGAACAGATTGTTGCTCAGCTCCTTGACTTGTGATATCAGACATCAAAATAGCTGTTGTAATCAAAGTTTTGCAATCACTCCATTGGTTTGAATGTGATAATAAACAACCAATCATCAAGACAAACAATATGTAAATATAACCAGAAATAAGTTGGTTGGGTGTTTCATTTAAAGCTACTTTGATATATATAATCGAATCATTCAAGTTGTATCTGCCAGTACAACCTGAATGCATGTTTCCGTGCTTTGGTTCCACTCTATGACTTCAAGCCTAGTAGATGTAAACTGGTGCTTTGGACAATCCAGCAATACATTTTTCTGTAGCTGCTCAAAACAACATTTGTTGTCTCCTTACTGTTTATGTATCTCTGCATGATTGAGCTTCCAATGTTGCAAAAGTAATCTTTAAACTATTTAGAGTATACTCGAGTATAAAAGTAAACGACCAATCTAATTCAGACTGACAACTCTGTATTCATACTCAAGCTATATTATCTACTGATCCAAGACTTTCCTAGCAAAATAGTACCAACAGGCTTGATTATAAAATAGCATAATTGTTTTATTTCAAATTAGAAATATCAAGATTGTCAAAATTCTGCACATCATAAACTAAACTAGTAGATTGACGACAATCACTAAATATCTTTGACGCTGGTGATTTCAAATGCTGATTTCTTAACGGGCTCTTCAGGAATACTCGAAAGTGCAGGGCTGCTTGGAGGAGTTGCATGATTGCCTTTTGAAACTGCATTTTTTGCTTCCAAAGCCTTTGATTGAACTTCCCTTGCATAGTCCAACTTCTGTTTTGCATCGATCATCTTTTCAAGATCAGATCTCAATCGAATTTCCTGTACTGAAGGAGTTTCGTCATGCTTTACCATTCTTTCAGTCTCACTCAAACCACCAAATCGCTCTATCTTTTCCTGTTGGGCGAGAAACAGTTTAATGGATTCCTGAAGTGTTCGGGCGCTTATTTTAAATTTGGACATGGCTAGCGTGGTTTCTTGGGCTGCTTGGTTCCACAATCTATACGCCTGCAATCTCGGTGGTTGTGGGGATCTGCGCTGAATGTGTGATAGTGACAGGGAATCCGACAAAGGACTGCTACTTTGCGATACTGGGTTGAGAGCACTGGCACTAACCAAAAAGATTGACACGACGTATAGCAGAGTTGGATTCATTTGTGGATGCAAGAGTGTCTAGATGAAGCTGCTCAAATAAAGCAAGGTAGCCATGCAAGTATTTATAATGAAAGGGTATGTTAGTGATGTTATGGATGTAAGAGCGACTTGAGGGCGAGGTACACGAAGCAAGGGTTACTCTGTGTCATTAAAGTTTAAAATGATCCACAAACCATGTACTGCAGAGTATTTTTCCGGATTTGTACACTACAAGCCATGCTGATATTGGTAGCAAAGCTTCAACTGATTACATGTGCACTTGGCAGGGTGGATGTGGTTCATAGCGCAATGGATTGGCAGTGGTTGCATCATGCACAACTACTCTGACTTTAACAGGGTTGAGTGGTAGACTCCATCTACTCCTTGGCCAACTGCTTCGAGTATCACTCAACATTGTACAATTATATATGCAGTTGATAGTTCAATATATTAAATATTTCATTATTACTGATAGTAGATGCATGACCAAGTATCCTTCAATCATGTATTTATTGTCTATTCAAGCCAACTCGGATATTCAATCAAGAGTGATTAGAGTATGTATGATGCATCTACATCACAGCTCAATACCATCGCAGATTCCAATAGCATGCTTCAAGATTGTTTTTTCTTGAATACGCACAATCAGTGCAAACTTGATGTGCATGGAATCTTGAGTAGATATATTGGACTGCTCAAGTAGTTGAAGTTGCTGACGATCAGTTTGAAGATTGGTCGGGTAACGTTTTAGTTGGTATGCACAAAGTTGGCTAATAAACTGGAAGACTGCAATTTTAGTTGGGGAGCAGCCATCAGATACATTGGTTGTGGGTGTTTTAGCTTTTTGCGTCACGACAAAAGAGTTTGATTTAGAACTGGCTCTGCTATGCTTCCTACTGTTTTTTTTGCTGACAGGCACAACGATAGTATCTTTCCAAACGCCATTGTGAATGCGCATAAAGTATTCTAAAGCAGAGGATAAGTCTTGATTCCAGAAACTAAAAAGTGCGTTGTCAGCAACAAGAACTGCAACAGTACACAATGTGACGAGTGAAGGATGTCCATCGTAGCCAATATGCATGTAATCAAGATCGACTTCAACCTCCTCGTCATCCATTTCACTGTGGTGGTCGTGATTGTCTTCATCACAACACCCAAGCTCTGTTTGATCCGGCTGATGATCGTGTGCTGGTGTATCGAGTTTTTGATTCCTAGATATGGTTCCAAGCAGATCATGCATGAGATCTGGAAACTTTTCATTCAAGAAAACAAGACGGGCTTCAATGGCTGATTTTGAAGAATAAAGTTTGGCTGCTTGCTTGACAACATCTGATGATAAAATTACTGCTGTTGAATATGGGTTATTTGATTCTGCAAATCCGTATCGACTCAGTAGATCGGCGTTGGAGTGAGTACCGTAGGTATTGAAAATCTCCTCGCCACGTTTTGCAGACAATACCACTGACATTTCAATCATGTCAGCAGCCAGGATGCCATCGTCAATCAACTCATCTTCGCTTTCATCTTCCGAGTCTGTGCAATACAGGTCGGAAGGACAGCTGCATACAGATTCAGTGTCACTTTCCTTACTACCCTTTTCTGCCCATTCTTTACGATCAGAAACGATCTCGTTCTCGCTATCCGATTCGCTATCATGATCAATCTCGAGCTCGTTATCCGCAGCAAGATCTTCCCAATCCTCATCGCTTGAACCTTCAGAACTCGACACCATGTCACATTCGCAAACTCCGCTTGCACCGCAGTAATAACACACCTGCGCATTGGTTTCAAAATGAACATGTTCGCCGTCTGTTCTATGATTAAACAGATCTGCCAATGGAACCATTGCTTCTTCATGATACACATCCACTCTGAATGCTCTCGAGGTTACCAACGAAGTAGCGGCAGTAAAATCATCAAATGTCATTTTGGCAGCATTGAATACTTTGCTGTTTTCTTTAACAAGAGGTACAACGTGCTCTTTGTAATCAGCTTTGAGATCTTTAGGCATGGGTTCAAGCAAATGTGCTACTGCCGTTCCATCTAAACATGCTTGTTGGTCTTTTTCCCAAAATAAAGGAATGTTTTCTCGAAGAGGCAGAGACTGAATGTATCCGTACCAAGGCGACTTTTCACCCAACGATCGCTCAAACATTAGTGCAATGACAAGTCCAAGTTGACCGCCCAAACCTTGTTCCTCTAGCACCGTCGAAAAACTGTCAGCATTCAAAAACAACCCAAGAATTCATTTACATGCAAACATGTTCAATGCAGTACCTAAAACATCGGCCACACCACAATTTTTGATGGAGAGAATGGCTTCTTTAGGAATAGCACAGAGGATATCGCCAACCTCTAGTGTTTGTTTTGCAAAAACTCTAAATCCATTGTTGGTGTCATGTTCAATCCTGATTTTTTCTTCATCGTATGCAATCTTGTTTTCACCAAACCATTGCTTGAGAATATTCAACCGTGACATGATGATGCAGTTGATAATAAAATTGTTTGATAAAACTGTTTTCATCAACCACGTGATTCTGGCATGGCATTTCCTGTGTGCAAGATATTGCTCGGCAAGAGTCCAAATTGGTATTTAGTATACAGTTTAAAGATTTGGTGTATTTAAAATACGGAATAAACTGATGATACATACGCTGGCATATTTACAATGATTTACACTCAATCTTGGAGGAGCCGAATGGCTGTATGAGTTGTTTTTGAAACAGCCGCCATGATCGAATCTAGCCTCAAGTCGCATGTAAATAGTATCTGCCAGCCATACATATCTGTAGACTCATGCGCATGTCCGACTCCAATCAAGTACCTGTCAAGCCAATCTATCAATGCCACACCTAAAAATGAATTGTGCATTGACCTATATTGGTATTTTGTTTTATTTGACAACGATTGACTACATGGATATCACTGATTCACCATCAAACCGAGTCAAGATTCGAGTAATTTCGTTCTCGTAAAAATCGGAGGTTTGTCCAGCAACTAATATATATGATCACAGCCTCTATCTGTAGCCCAATTACCCCCAATGCATCTTCTGCGGCCATGACTGCTTCCAAGAAAGGTAAATATTGTACTGTTGGCATATATCTAGAGCTCGACATGCCCACTTCAACCTTACACCAATATAAAAACATATTTCTACCATAAACTACAAAATACGGCCATTGATTAATTTATGGTGGATATGCAATACATGGATGATTGCCATGATGGTTTTCTACTTAAAGCATCCAGGCCAATCATGCATGTTCCTGACAGGGTTGAAGCGCCTTTCCATCGTCGCTGCGCTTCATCCAACTCAGCCGTAGTTTCTAATTCAGCAGTATCAGCGCAAAGTCTGGCCGCGGAGCTGTCCGAAGTAAAAAGTATTCTTTCTACACGAGAGCGAGGCAAGTGTACTATTCTCCATATCTAGCATTGCTGTACATATTATGCATTGTCTCGTCTGAAGGCATGGTTGGATATTTAAATATGGCATGCTTGAATGCTTAGCGTAATAGACCATCTCTGGAAAATATAGACTAATCTGAATATCCTGGGATACCATTTAATTCAAAACCTTGTTCGACTGATGGTCAGAGCTAACCCTCTCCGCCGAAATTGGACAGCAGCTACTACTTGCTAATAATGTTCTACAGGCATCATATGAAGACCTTTTGCTTGAACAGCAACAACAAGGACACGCATCCACGACAACTGCTTATACTAGCCCGAGAATCCTTAATCTCCGACCACATTCTAAAACCCCAGTAAAGCCAGCCCAGACTCAAGAGTCTGATTTTCATACAACATCAGATGAACCCTTTCAAGATCAACCATTACCATCATGGACACCTAGACGCTTATCCAAATCAGTTCAAGATCCAGACACGTATGTGCTGCAGCTCGAGAAAACCAATATGGATATTCAAAATGAGTTGACCGCAGCAGATATAAAGTACAAAGCGCTCAATGCATCATATCAAAAACAGATACAGCATTTGGAGAGCACAATTGCCGTGCTTCAAGATGAATTCACATCTGTGCAAGAAAAATACAATGTAATCCAGCTTGACAGAAAAAAATCGATACAGGTCAAAAGGGAAGCTCAACGCAATAAGATGTCAACTGTCGGTATGGACAATGATATCATGGAATCCCTCGTGACTGAAAAAGAAGTGTTGCAGGCTAAGCTGTCCAAAAAGCTTGCACAGTTGAGCCTGACGGAATCTAGATTGACTAGTGCTTTAGCTGAAAACGAGTGTCTTCGGACTGATTTACTACAACTAATTGATACAAATGCCGAAAACATTCACTTGCGAAATATTAATAATCAACAAGAATCCCAAACAGCTCATTTACAGTTGCAGCTAGAATCTTATCAACTTGAAATTACTCGTCTGCATGAACTGGTTCAACTACGCGATGCCTATAATTCATTGGAAGTAGAGCAGTCAAAAAACTCTTTTGGACTGACACATATGCTACAAAAGAGCAAGTCATCGCTATCGCTTAAACTAGAAGGACAATCTACTCTTGTTGATGCTGAACAGACGCATGACTCTGATGCTATATGTAGCTTTGACCAAAATACTACAATTACGGATCCAACTGTAGTTGCTGACCATCAATTCAAAAACGAATCGCTTAACACCGCTTGTTCATCTTCTAGGTTGTGTAAATCTCCTTCGCTCGATACCCTTTCCGAGGATCAAAACGACACTTTGGTAGCGTTGACTGACAATCCTGCTGAAACTGATTCAGATCTATTTTATACAAAATGCAAAACCATTGCAACAGAGTCTGAGGCAGAATCAGATGATGCGTACTACACTCCTGCTCGTACTACCTCACCAACCCATGCTTTGTCCAAGAATGAACCCGAGCTTTATAATGCAAGCCCAACCGCACCAAAAGCAACTTCGTTGGCCGACAGTCTTTTACTTCTTCAGCCACCTCGTCACTATCACCCGCATTCTTTTCATGCACCATACCCGACATTATATCCTCATAGTCAACTGTATCGTAGTTTTCACTTGAGGCAGGCTAGTGGGAATATCAAGCAGCAAAATGCTGGCGATCCATTGCATCGTATTCATCAAATTGTCAGTACAGCCTCGTTGGAGATTGGTCTGGCTTCAATAGACTCTGGATATCTTGAGAGTTCAGGGTACAATAGTAATCACTCAACGGACTCGCACAATGCTATGAGTGGGAGTGACATGCTTGGAGAGCTTCTTCATTCATGTCTGCATTTGGTCAAGCGTGTTTTAGGTCTTCCGATTCCATCTGGCAATGCTGATTATGTTGCACGTAAACAACGATCTATAGATAGACTAAACCGGATGGTATAAGAGCATTACTTATGATCATACTTATCAACTATACAGATTTACATTTGATAGGAAAGAAATAAAGCATAAAACGCAATATTTCTCCATTACACTATAAGTATTTTAAAAGTTGCTGATCTACATAGCTGCAATACTTTTATTCATTATAGCCTACAGATCCATTCCAACAACAAAATGATGGAGTTGGGTTGGTCAGGCGACTGTTTATTGGCATGGTATTACAAATCCAAACTGGTAGTTACACATGTAGCCCATTATGTCTTATACTTGTCCAACAGGTCATCAACTAAACCCTGATTGCTTTCAAAAGATCAACCAACCAAAATAACCAATTTAAAACAGCAGATTTGAAGTTTACATGTCAAACTTTGTAATCAATAAAACCACATGCATCTTGGAATAAGATGACCATTGAGATTGAATAGTTGACTATCACGATTTATTAGATTGAAAATAGGCAAAAACATGATACAAGACCAACTTAAACGAGACCCATGTAGATCAAGCTCATTCCAATCACACCCAAGACTGCAAATCGATTGAGGGTTGTAGCAGAAGATGATGCAGCGGCAGACATGACAGGTTGTTCGGTTGAGTGAGTGTGTTCACTTTCATTAGGATGCACATGGGTTGCGGTTGAAGATGCAGATCCAGAGGGTTTAGAAGATGTTGGAGAAGAATCAGTAGACGCGGCAGCGGATTGAGATGTTGGTGCTGGGGCAGGTGCCGGGGCAGAAGGTGCTGGTGCTGGTGCGGAAGCAGGCCGGTTAACAACAACATCACCGCACTGGTACAAGGTCTAATATTCAAAAATGCATTTAAATTAAACTACACTCATATCATAATGATTGTGTTTTAATAAAATCGCAAATACAGATCAACTTACACCGTGACCTCCAGACAATACAACTTGAACAGTGGCTTGAGTCTTGTCAGAAACAGTGTCGGGGAGCTTGGAAAAATCGACACTCATATCATAAACACCAATCTTGGTGAAGGATTGGCGACCTAATTCGTGAGGGAACGAAGTAGGGTTATCGCCAACACCAAGATAGATGACAGCTTCGGCAACCGAATCAGCCATGCGAATAGAAACCTTGGAATCTTAGTTTACATAAACCAATACAAAGTAGACAATTCGGTCTTGTCAGTTTAAAATAGCTGGAGTCAAGTCGTAGCAACCATCAGTATTAGCATAGAATCAAGTACAACCAAATGCAACTTACCACCACCAAAAGTAGCACGACTACTAGAGGGAGTGCCAAAACCACCACATGGGCCTTGATCCTGAACCAACTCATCAGTACCACGAGCAGGTGGAGAAGTCATGGTGAAGTGTGCAGCTGCAGGAGAGATGGCAGCAAAGGCAAAAAGACAAGCAACAAGCATTTTCAACAGTTAGGTTATCTGACAGACTTAATGGCAAATGGTGAATAAGAATTCACTGGTAGGTTTGATATAGAAGATGAAGATATCAGCTAGTAGGTGAGTTAATAAAAAGTAGAAACGCCTTATCATCCAGTCGCATTTATAGCTCAGATTATTTGTTTACAGCGCAGTTTTAAAGTTGTGGGAATATTGCCACTTGCCCCTCACACTGATTGGTATGTTTGTGATGACAATAAAGAAAATAAAATCACGCAATCTTTTTTAGTCCGCAGCAAAAATGCCTTGGCATATGAATGTGAAACGGGGCCATCGAATCAAGCTTGACATTTGTGGCAAAGAAATCGAAAAAGACAGATGGAGCGAGCAAAATAATAGCGCAGCTATTCACTGCCGTATTCACGTAAAACGAAATACTAAATAAGAGTACCAAAATACATGATCAACAACCAGTCTCATGTTTGATTGGTTCTGATTTCTACCAAATTTACTGGACAATAGTGTACCCTCTAAACTGCTTGATAAAGTCACATTGGTCTCATCCATGCTTATTTTGTATACAAGACTAAAATGTTTCAAGCAGTATTTACATTACAGTTCCAGCCAATTTCACATGTTTGATCTTCAACTTCCTTGTATCCAAACAAATACTATACGATCGACACGGAAACAATACTTGCATTTCCGAGATGTGCAATCATTGGTTTCTTGAACTAGAGTGCAAATGTATCTGTGAATGTTTAGAATACAAAATAGTTGGATTACAACAGTCGAATCCGATATTTGGATTGTAATGGATGGATCTGGTGATTGTGCAATGTAGGGTCATGTCAATCAGGACAGTCTTGGTTCTAAACTATAGGTTGTGTATCATATGATGAATGTCGTGTATTAAAGTAACCGACTTTTAATAAAAATGCAATAAAGATTTAACCATTGTTTATTTCAAAGTAAAATAGAGGCAGTAACTGCAAGGTGGATGCAGAAGTGTTCTATTTTGCGTGAATATGACAGTAAAATAACATGTCAAGCCGGGCTTAACGAACAACCTTGACATCGGCACACTGGTAAAGAGTCTAGAAACAATATCAAAATCAGTATCTATGGTTTGATCTCAACACATTATATACAACTTACACCGTGATCGCCCTTGAGGATAATTTGAACAGTGGCGACAGAGCCAGTCTTGACCGAAGCAGGAAGCTTGGAAAAATCGACACTCATGTCATAAACACCTATCTTGGTAAAGGATTGGTGGCCTATTTGGTAAGGGAACGAAGTGGGGTTACCACCTGTACCAAGATACACGGTAGCTTCAGCAGTTTTATCAGCCATGCGAATAGAAACCTTGGAATCTTGAAAGTTCAAATAGTATCAAATTGTCAACAGGATTGTATATGAATGGAGATGAATTAACGCACAAATCACCTTTTTTAAAATCAGGACGACTGGTTTGGGGAGTATTATATCCACCACAAGGACCTTGATCTTGAGTCAACTCATCAGATCCACGAGCAGGTGGGTTGGTAAGTTTAAAATGGGCAAAAACAGGAGAAGCAACTAGAGCGGTGAGAGCAAGTAGAGAAGAAAACAGCATTTTAAACAGGTAGGTAATAAAGACGCGGGTTATTGATAGATACTAGGATGTTGAGTGATTTAACAAGAATTGCGGGATTTATTGTCTATATTTATAGCTCATTGAAGGATTCGGCAGCCAATGAATCTGCAGATGCATAGCAGATAGCCGGATCCCCAGCAAAAATCGCGCATTTTCCAGCGAATCAGCTTTCTGTCAGGTGGCACGTTTAAAGGGTGGTGAAAAGCCGTAGAAATACAATACACAAATCGGAAGCATCAATGTTAAAATCAGCAGTCTGTAACATTGCTGTAGATTAAAATAAATAACGCAAACATAAAAGCAATATGTCCAAGCATCTGCATTTAATACTTTGAAACATGCTTTGTGGACATACATATGGTTCAAAAGCAAACATTAATCTATATGTGGGCATGCGTGAGGCGCTATGGCTGCTCAACTAAAGCAATTGTTTATAGCCTGATATTCATGGATGCGAAACTAATATCCGAGTAGTTGAAACCCGAAATCCAGCATCATTCAATAAAAGTATACAATATTTTAAAAGCAAGTGATATGTTGAAACTGATCTTTACTCAATCTTTGATTTAGCATATGCAGAATGATTTAAACCGCCAAGTCTTGTTTCCCTTCTGGCAGCATACGAAAAGATACTAGCACCAGGTCCAAACACTATTCCACCTACAACCATTCGAAGTGAAGTGCATATTCCGTCTTCCACTCCAGACCACAAGATCATTGCAAGCCATACAACAAGTAGATCCACGCCCAAAAAGAACCCAACTAGTTCTTTACCGGTAGGATGAATGGCAGTTCTCACAATATCGTCAAAAATGCTCATGAGCTCTGTAGATTGAACCTGTTCTATTGACATGAAGGCCGCGGAAATGGATTCAATAGACCAGGATGATTGTAGTAGCGATGTAAATTGAGAAAGAGTGGTGGGCAATATAGCAGAAGGAAGTATATTTAGTGGAAATACAAGAGCCCAAAGAGAATAGAGCCAATACACGGCAGATGCAACACTAAGGACTTCGTACAAAACATGTGCAACACGACTTCCAGTGCGCATGGCATTGGGAATTGTATGCACTGGACCATATATAATGTAGAGTAGCAGACCGACAGGAATCCACACCAATGGCATAACAATCGGCGCATAAGTGAATACAAATACTGTAAATGCAAGCGTGTCTATATTCGAAGGTCCCTCTATCATAATGAGAACCGCAATGGTAGGAATAAGCTGAAGTATGGCAATCGTCCATACTATGCCAGATCTAAGTGCTCCATGTTTGTTTTTTCCCGAATAACCCATCATAAGTGACGGAAGCCAAAGCAACGTAGATGCAACACACATGCCAAAACCTTGTGCGATGACGGCAACGGCGAGATACCAACGAGCAAATAAGCGGGACGTAGTGCGGGTACTTTCAATGGCGGCAATAATGAAAAAGGCCATGGCTGAACTGGCAACCGAACGAAGTATAAATATATTTAGATCGGAAGATTTGGCGTCATTAAACTAGAGCATTTATTGAATAGATTGGCTCACATGGTCAGATTGAATCATATTTCAGTAATAGCATGCAATAAATTAAATATTGGCACTTACAAAAGTCTACCGTATCGATTTAGATTGGCAAATAGGGATATAAGGCGTATAATATTAGCTTATTCAGTGCCATTCATATACACAAAATGTCCGGACCATCTTTTGTCCAGTCAACTGAATCAAAACATTCAAATAAAGCAAGATATCCACATACAGTCAAGAAGCATCCAATATTGTCAACGACAGGCAGACCAGTGCGATAAAAAGGAGGCAACTCATTAGGGTCCCTCTGCAGCAGATCTGACACAGAGCATTGGTTTATCAATGGCCTGTTGTAGGGTTCACAGCCCATCTGAAGTACCATTAAAGTACCAACTCCAATAAAAACACTACCAGGTTGAATTAAAAGCAAGTTAGATGTCAAGCCTACAAGAAAGTGAATGCAGTCCAAGTCTACACTATGTATCTTATGCTCAGCATGATAATAGCGATTTGAGCAATGCATCTACACTTGCAGAACATGCAATGTCTAGACTAAAAAGTATCCAAAATAATGAACAAAACAAAGTACCTGGCAATAGCAAGAGTACCTTTGCCCATGGTGAATAGTCAGCAGTGTGTATGCAATAATGGTTGGATAATTGCGAATACATTTCAATAAATTCAATCCACAGTATTTATATCGGGATTCCGACTATTCCACCAACTTTCGTTCCGAAACTGTTGATTCGAGTGTTTTACGCTGCATTCAAAGTCTATCATCTGATCTCTTATAAAACGATCATTCACTTACTGAGCATGTAATCTACATTTATTTTTCTAGATTCGTGCTAATTTGGACATTGCATTTAAAACTTTTTGCATTATTAGCCTGAATATTTCATATTGTTCCTGTTGTCCAATTGCCTTTCACTGCTCGATCTGCATCTGACACTCCGTCATTCAAGACCCGCTTCTGTTCTTACCCTCAATTTTATGTTTCAAACTGAGCAGCAACTGTACTCTGCGGTCATTCTTTATCAGTGCGTCATTACATTGATTGTTTTTGTTAATCTGCTCTATATTTCAGCTCCATATGGTAAACACAGTCGACTAGATCAGAATGCTATCTTTTGTAAAATGCAATGCCATTCACCGCTCATTCTCTTGTGCTGTCCTTGGTATCTCAATATATAGGAAAGTTTGGTAGGCCTGGATTCGGACGGATGATTCAAGGAAAGCTTGCCTGGCCAATCTTTGAATCTGTACCACTTTATGCCTTTACAGTACCTTGTTTGTGGAATGGACTTGAGCTTTCAAGTGTACAGTGGGTGCTTATAACCATGTGGATAGTACATTATATAAACAGGTAATCAATCATTTCATTAGACTTTTTGCTCAATCGATCAAATGCTGCAGCAAACTAACCATATTCATTACAATACTCGTACTACTATGTAGATCCATTATTTTTCCATTAAGAGCTCCATCCATCTCACCCATATCCATCTACGTCATTTTTTCTGGAATTGCTTACAATCTCACCAACGGCTATCTCAACGGTCGATGGATAGGCCACTTTGGTGCAGAATCCCTCTCCCATACCCAAATCACTGACATCCGATTCTGTATTGGTGTTGCAATGTTCATATTCGGCATGTACGTCAACATCACATGTGACAATATTCTTTTCGATTTACGTCGAAGCAACAGTCGACGCGAGGCTGATCATAACATAACTGGTGGTGAAGAGGGAACAGACATACAGTCAAGAGGGTATTATGCGATTCCGCTGCGTGGATGGTTTGCATTTGTATCATCTCCTCATTATCTCGGTGAGATTATTGAATGGACTGGGTTCGCTATTGCCGCACCAAGTCCAGCAAGTATCTTGATGTTGGTGTTCAGCTGTGTAAATATGGTAACGAGGGCTTTAAAATGTCATCAATGGTATAAAAATAAGTTTGGCGATCGGTATCCTCGGAATCGAATGGCTATTATTCCTGGAATTCTGTGACTGAGCATGTTCAAGTACAGATGGTTGAATAAAAGCAAATTTGTGCTGCTTTACTAGAAACTGCACCTGAAACTATCCGAGAATCATTGCTTGCCAACACTATATTGTAACAAATAGCGCTAGTGATCTTATATTTGGTATCAAAAAACCCAATCTATTACAGACATGATGGCTACACCAGACAAAAATCCGCCAACATGAGCACTATGCCCAATCTGCGGTACCATGTCGCTAAATACTGATCGATCTGCACCCATTCCAAATAAATCCAACAACGCTGCCATTTGTACACCTACACCCAGTGCACGCTGAAAAAGCATCGCAATCAGATTTGCTAATCTTTTATGTCTTGCATCCCGCTTGAATTTATCTCGATTAGTGAGTATACGCCATATTTCTGCATAGATTAAATAGAATTCTGCACCAGTGAGAGCAAACGCTCCACCGCTAGCACCACAGATTGCATATGTGGGGAAAAATAGGCGAGAAAAGTATCCCACTATTGGCTGGTCTTGTGATGGACGGCGAAGAATCCAGTCCGTTGTGGTGCACCAAAGGGTAGTAATGGTGTCGCAGATTGGCTGAAGAGAAAAGTTTCCTTGAGCATCTCTGAAAAGTAGTCGTTCAAGAGCCTGTGAAAGTGCTCCAGCAATGCCTCCACCAAAAAATACAATCGATGTTGCAATAAGCCCTAGATCCAGCGAGAATGCAGATATGGTAATAGCAAACATGTTATTCATCCAGTGCCTGTTGTACAAGGTAAAATGGTCTGAGAATCAAGCTAACAGAATACAAAAAGAGTTGTAAACACACAACTTGCATTATATCAACATGGTGGAACATGTGAGTAACTAGAGATGTTGATGGTCCAGATATGGCAAATGAAGGTCTCGATTGAAAAGTAAAAAACCCATGCTGACGGATATATGCAGGAGAGAATAGAGGTGAGGACAGACCCAGATTTAGATAGTAAGTGGACATGAGAGATGGAAGTGTCAGAGCAGTAGTGCCCACTACAAATAGCAAAGTTCCAGACTGCACCACCATGCTCGATCGTCAAATAAGTGTCTGCAGCACGACAAAAGGATAAAAACGAGATTTCTGGATTTTAAACTCCAACGCTCAAATATGCTCAAATCTGGTGCGCATTCTTCTACTGATGTCAAGACGAATACACAACTTCAAACGATTCCATCGACACTTAAACCAACACGGACAGCCATAGTTCAAGGTGGCTACAAACGTATTCACTCGACCTATTCCGACTTTCGCGAATGTGTTGAAGACTACGACCTCAAGTCCGATGACCTTGTTGTCCGTAAATGGCGACACAAGACAACTCTGGGTGCATGGAGTCCGTGGGAGTACGAAGTAGGCGAATCGAACCGAACAGTTGTTGGAACCAAGGGCAGTGCCTTGGCCGAGTCTGGTGCTGGATCTAGCCAGTTACTGGCCATGGGAGATGCTCTCATGGCGGAGAGTGCGTCCAATCCTTATTTAGTGAGGAAAGACACTCGAACGCAGTTTGTATGGCGTATCCGGAATCTACCCTGGCCAAAAGATGTCTACCAAGTGCATGTAGATACCACTCTACGCAAGATGGTTGTCCGTACCACCAACAAAAAGTATGACAGCTGATTGAACTAGAGTTTAAATTTATAACTAACTATCCGTGTAGGTATTTTGCTCGAATTCCAATTCCAGACATGGACAGAGCGGGCATTCCATTGCAGCAATCCAGTCTTACTACAGATTGGGGAAGCAACACACTGGTGATTATTTACAATAAACCGGCAGCAATCTTGGAGCTGGAGCAAAAGGATCGACTGGAGCGACGTGAGTTAACGGGAGTTGCACCCGCATCTAAAGAAGATGTGCAATGTAATCCTTCTTAATAATATATGGTTGATTTTATCGAGTTTTTATGACATGAGTGTAGTGGTTTGAAGAGTTCGTTGTCTTGAACTCGAGTGGTTAGGGCCAGCTTGACTTTACACAAACATGTCGCCGTTTCCACATCCCAAGCCATTGCCTTCATCCTACTGGCTCAAAAGCATCAAGGGCAGGATTCCTACAATATCTGCTTTGCCTTCAGCAGCAGATATTGTGGTTATTGGCACTGGCATTTCAGGTGCAAGTACAGTCTTTCACCTGGCTGAGCGATTCCAGTCTCTACCCAAACCAACTCCACTGAGGATTCTGCTTTTGGATGCAAGGGATATATCCGGTGGTGCAACAGGAAGAAACGGTGGTCTCATGTGGCCTGGTCTGTTGGACTCATGGCCTGCATTGGCTGGTAAGTATGGTCGGTCCACTGCTGCCCACCTCATCCGCTTTGATCTCGACAACTGCCATGCAACCGCCAAGACTGCATTGGCCCTTAACAAAGCGTGCACCGCTGGCGATCCTGCTGATCCTTGTCTCTATTTTTATCCAAAAGGTGGTGTTAACCTTCTCTATACAGAAGATGAAGTGCGCTCCTGGAAAGAAAATATTGCTGCAATGCAGGCAGAGGGATGTCCTGAATGGGGAGTGACGATGTGGTCTGAGCAGCAAACTCGCCAGCTGGTACCCAATGTCTGTGGTGTTATTGGTGCAGTGCACAACAAGTATGTTTGGCGTATGCGATCCGGTAGATTGGTAGCAAGCTTGCTGAATCAAGCAAAGCGTATTGCTGCCGACTCGAATGGTTTGCTCCAGCTGGATGTTTCGACTTATACCCGCGTTGATCGTGTAGAAGCCATGCAATCTACTCCTGCATCCAAGTATGCGTTGAACGTGATGACCGAAAAAGGAAACGTGAGTGCTGGCAAAGTTGTGTACTGCACCAATGCCTACTCTTCTGCATTGCTTCCCACTGTAGACATTACTCCTGTCAAAAACCAAGTGGTGGTTACAAACGAGTTGAAGGTACTGCCATGGGACTGTGCCATCAAGGCCCATTCGGGTTATGATTATCTGTCATCGCGAGAGGATAATCGTGTGGTACTAGGTGGTATGCGATACCTTGCTCCAGGCTTTGAAGTCGGCAACTCAAACGATGGCGTACTTGACCCAGTTGTGTCCAATGCACTCAAAACGTTCATGTCAACCGAATGTCCCGAGGTCAAATCAGGCGATTCCGATGGAACTGTCAAGGTTCAAGAAGAATGGGCAGGAATCATGGGATTTACAAGTGATCATATGCCGCTTGTGGGTCCTATTCCCAATCGCAAAAATGAATTGATTTGTGCTGGATTTTCAGGTCATGGCATTGCCAGAGCCTTCTTGTGTGGAAAGGCTGTTGCAGATATGACTCTGGGTGTAGATGCTACAAATGCTTCAAATGTTGTAGATCTACCTGCTGTATTTCTGCCACGTGGCCGATTTGATAAGCCTAAGGATGCAGATCCGTCCAAGTTGGTGTCCAAGATGTGAAGGAAATCCTATTTCTATACTCAATAAACTCTTGAGATCCAAACAACGAATTGTCATCGGCTTTTAAACATAATTCACTGCCGTATTCACGTAAAACGAAATACTAAATAAGAGTACCAAAATACATGATCAACAACCAGTCTCATGTTTGATTGGTTCTGATTTCTACCAAATTTACTGGACAATAGTGTACCCTCTAAACTGCTTGATAAAGTCACATTGGTCTCATCCATGCTTATTTTGTATACAAGACTAAAATGTTTCAAGCAGTATTTACATTACAGTTCCAGCCAATTTCACATGTTTGATCTTCAACTTCCTTGTATCCAAACAAATACTATACGATCGACACGGAAACAATACTTGCATTTCCGAGATGTGCAATCATTGGTTTCTTGAACTAGAGTGCAAATGTATCTGTGAATGTTTAGAATACAAAATAGTTGGATTACAACAGTCGAATCCGATATTTGGATTGTAATGGATGGATCTGGTGATTGTGCAATGTAGGGTCATGTCAATCAGGACAGTCTTGGTTCTAAACTATAGGTTGTGTATCATATGATGAATGTCGTGTATTAAAGTAACCGACTTTTAATAAAAATGCAATAAAGATTTAACCATTGTTTATTTCAAAGTAAAATAGAGGCAGTAACTGCAAGGTGGATGCAGAAGTGTTCTATTTTGCGTGAATAGGATTGTAATTCGATGTTGTGGGAACACCAGCATCGAGAAAACTTTCAATATCTGCCGTGATAGACAAAACCTCGAGAACATGGGCAAGAGCCTCTAAATTCTGGATCATAATATCTTCATTGACAAGACCGGCAAGCCGATCGCAGTCTTGGTGGTAGCATGCTATAGATACAGCGGTGCAAGTTTTATGGTTAGTTGACATGAAATATAGAACAGACAGGTGTCAAGCATGTAAATAGCAGCCAACTTACGATCAAGGACAATGCCTGGTAGCCCGCCAAAAAGAGCTGCACCCTCAATGGTTTTGATTTCATCTTCTCCCTACACATACATATTAGTATAAAAATCCCCAACATCTAAAACTTGATTAAAAGACTTACAGTAATGACACCTCCAGCAGGAATGCCAGCTTGAAGGAATGGCTCAAAATCACTGCGACCATTAAAGGGAAATGGCACAGTAGGCAGACCTTTCGTGCCAAACCAAGTAGCAAACAAATCATGAAGGGTTTTACATCTACGACGAACTACACTATCTACAATTGCGCCTCCATCCCATATACCACGAACAAAGTTGGGGGATGCAATCATATCCGAGTCAATATTGGCTTTGTGATGGCTCAATAGAGTTTTGTTGGTATCAGCCATTTTTTTAACATAAGCTGTAGATCCCAGCAGTCCGATTTCTTTGGTCAAGAATTGTTGAATGTGTATCATGGCAGTTGAAATCAATATTAGCTTTACATCCCTTTTACCGACACCTTGGTTCAAACCCAATTACCTTCTCCAGTCCACCAAGCAAATCGCAGTTTTTGCACAGTCGAAGCGGCCAAGGCAGATTCATGGAATGCCGTAGCAAGCTCCAGAGTGGCCATGGCTCCTGATCCATCATCGTTGATTCCTGGTCCAGCAGGGACAGAGTCTAGATGCGATCCAAAAATTACAATACGTTCGTCATTGCCAGCGTGCGTTTCTGCCAAAACATTTTTCGATACAATTTCCGTGTAGCTGCTCTGAACATCAATGTCCACTCTCAAATCTGTCACTACTTTACGCTTTTTCGATAAATCATGTTTACCGCCAAACACAAAAGTGGATGAAGCAAAGGCACTCATACGCTCCAAAAGTGTAAATGCAGCCGAGTCGGACAGAGATACAATTGCAATCTTGCTTAGCAACTCCTCGGCAATACCGTATCTGACACAGGAGAGCGGAGTTGGTGCGAGTGATCGAGCATATCCTTTTTGACCACCTGGGGTAGAATACACGATTGCTGCTTTGGCTCCCAAACGCACTGCAGCTGCTAGACGACCGCATGGAGAGCAGCTGGTTGACTTGTAAGGCCCAATGACTGCAACCCAGTCCTGGCTCTTTTTCTTGTGCTTCGTGGCCATATCTTCACTTTGGTCATCAAACACATCGCAAGAATCAACTACTCGCAAAATACCATCCAGAACAGTAGCAGATCCACTGCCAGGAACAACCGCTACATCGGAGTGAGGCTTGAACACGGTTTCTTTGCCATGTTTACCCCTGTGACGCAGTAGCGAGATACCAGGACTGAGGTTTGAAAGTAAAGTTGATTGAGTATAATCAAAAATACTGACTGCTGGTGGCCGACGATCTACTTGCGTCTTGATAAGGACATCTTCTGTCCATACATTGAATGTTGAATTCATAGCATACAGATGAGATAAAACATAATCTACAGAGGCTGGATGACCAGTAGCTACAGAACGGGAACCTCCATGTTGATCAGCAATAGATTCAAGATTAGCCAGATGCGAAAAGACTCTATCTGGCAGAGCCTGGATTACAGGACTGCTATGAGCTGAATGTAGCCATGGGATGGATGGAATAGTCAACCCCAGCTGCATGCTCAGATGGGCAATACACATGGCAACAGCACTCACGGCCACTAGGGCCAAAACAGTAGTAGAGACCACTCTAGACAAGGGTTTTTGAGGTTTGCTATAAACAATGGTAGTGGTAGCAGTGTCCAAACATGTTTTCAACCCTCCCTGAACCCCTGGATCAGCAAGATCCTTGACATCAACATCACAAACGTGGCTGCTTTTTGACTGAAAACTGTTGTAACCAGGAATAGGTTCAACAGGAGATTGGTAGACAGGAAGAGGTTCCTGAGATGGAACCGTAATAAACATATCCATCTCAGTCGACTGCTCCTCAGCATCTGTATAAGACGGAGTAGCAGTCGGATACGAAATATCCATTCCTTCTGAAAAATTGCACATATTCCAACCCAATTTGAATCAAGTGAGAAAAACTAGATTTTATTACTTTTGATTTCATCAAAAACTGGATGGTATAAACTATTGCACTGTTTTGGGTGTTAGCCTGAGTTTCAGTCCATGTTTTAGTCCAGTCGTCACACTAGTAACGAGCGTCAAGTCTTGGTCTGGAATAAGCTCCATATCAAACTTGGACAGCACATGTGAAAGTACAATCTAAACCGATGCACAAGACATTAGTATTTGTTGAATGGCTCATGTCGACAATCAGCTTACCTTGATTTCAATTAAAGCCATCTTTTGTCCAATGCATGCCATAGGACCATCACCAAATGGAACATAAGATCCTGGAATGGGAACAAACCCATCTGCCCATCGCTCTGGATCAAACTTTTCTGGCTTGTCCCAGTATGCTGGATCCTTTTGAGCACCGCCAGTATTCAAAATTAGAGTGGTCTGAAATGGCATGTCCAGAATCTCGGATTAGTGTCGAGTATCATACAGATCTTTAACATTGTCACCAGCAAGGAGTCGGATGAACTTACATTGGCTGGAATCGTGTATCCATTGTGCTGAATAGTGCACAGGGTATTGCGTCCCATATTGCTCACAACTGGGTGGAATCGCTGGCTTTCCTTGACAACCATGTCTAAATACCTAATTCAAAATGTTACAAAATAGACATGTTAATCAATACCAAAAATGCGTTTGCTCAAGCTAAAAGACACAAGATTAAATAGATACATACTTGAGAGAGGGAACAGACTCGATATTAATTGGGCATCCCTGCGATTTCTCGACTTGAGCAACTTCCTTGGCCAATCGTTGCTCTATTTCAGGGTGTCGGCAAATCTCTAGAGCGGTAAGTACCAAGGTGTTGGCCGTAGTTCTACAAACATAGATTGGTTAAAATGCATACTTGCCAGATTCCAAATCACGACTTCAACGTATAAAACTTACTCATGGCCGGCAACAAAAAAGCCAATCACTTCACCGACAACCTCTTCATTAGTAAAATTCTCGGCAGCTACTTGGTGAACCTTCAACAGTCGATCAAGAACATCCATCTGATCATTACTCGGGATATTTCCAAGCTTCATCTGTTCCTTTCTTTTGTCAATTACATCTTGGATAACTGCGTGGATGCAACCATTAACTTTCTTGACTCTTGAAGAGTAAGAGCTAAGATTGTTGAATGCCCACAACAATGGTGGTACAGAAAATCTCTAAAGCATTGCAAGAAATGATACAATCAGTCCAATGTATACGAGTATCAGGCTGAAAGGTATGCCAAAACAATGGTCATAATCATACCTCTTGAACAAGTCGTACAAGTTCCTCAACCATGCCTTGACTGACTTGGTCTCTTTTTTTGTGTAAATCATCCGATGCATGGAAATCATACGAGAAAATAGCGCTTCCACTATATGGTTTCAATAAATATTAGAAACCAGATATTTTTAAAAACTGCATGTTGCAACAATTCCTACATGATATCCAAAGTCAGTGCAGTAAACTCGTGGAAAATGTCAACAATTATGCTTCCGCCATTATTGACAGCCTCTTGTTGCCAGTAATCACCAAGAGTCTCTATACGCTCCCGAGTAATTTTGGCAGCTTGTCGCAAATGTGACGGCGCAAAGGCTGGCTGCAGATTTTTACGATGTCGTTTCCAGACATCACCCGTGGGAAGCGTAAACAGACCATTATCCAATAGTGAACTATAAGTAATCAAGTTATTAGCAAGGTTAAACATTAGATCCAACAAGTGTGCTTGACAAAATACATCAACTCAACTGGGCAATCTTGGAAAATGCCGGATCTCGCCAAAACTCGGTCGAGGAAGTAGTAGCTCTTTTGATCAGAGCAGCATCTGTAGTTACCACAACATTTCTATTGCAATCAAACGATCAATAATTTGTACTCGAGTTTCAATTGCATACATCCACTACGAGTTTAAATGGGCATCACATACTTCATAAAAATATTGATTCTTGTAATTGGACCAAAGGTTCTCATCCAAGCAAGAAATAAATGGTAGTTTCCTTCTTTGGAATACTTGGCAACCTCCAATCCACTTCCGATAATAGGATATGCGTAAGGACCTGGTATCCGAACATAGTAATTCTGTAGATAGGATACAATAGCGAGACCAGCAGCCAAAGTCACAATGCTAGCGGATGCAACAGTAGTATCCATTTGTCGAGTTGTAGGATTTAGTAGAAAGTATAAATGCTGAATTTGAATGCGATTTGAATCTGGTATTTATATTAAAGACACGTCTTGTGCCACTGCCACGAATCTCGGAACTCCGTGGAGTTGGAGAGGTTAGTATTGCTTAGTTTCATACTCAAATTGTAATGAAAGAATGATCTATTTCTTACGGACCTCTAACAAAAGTCAATTGTGCAGTATATTAAAGAGTGGAGTTTTGTGATAATGTTTGAGGCTGGAATAAAGATTAACCATTGAGCATTGATTGGTCTATTTTGTATGAAATGTAGACTTGGCAAGCCATAGCCATAGCTATACAATTTTTGAACTGCGCTGCTTTTATACAGCCTTTTGTTAATGATTTCATTTGTCTGATCTTTAAACCTGTCATGTATTCCCGGATTGTATTCCCGAGTTGTATTCCCGAATTGTTTTACCCAAGTTACTGACATCATAACTACCAACAATCCTTGATACACGTGCTATATACTTTGCATGTGTTTGTTGACAGCTGCATGCTTTCAAACAGCAATTGGATAACCCAAATAATTAAAACTGGCTTTATTCCAGGTTGCAGCCTTGTAGCCGTAAGAATTAAACGGAAGCAGCAGATCTAGGAGTCAGCTTTACTTTAAGACCATGCTTAAGCCCAGTAGTGATACTTGTCACAAACACAATATCTTGGTTGGGAACCAATTCCATATCGAATGAACTCAAAAGAGCACAGAGTGCCAGCTGTAAAATGATATGGAGTAGGGGTCAGTATACATGGCATTGTAGTACGCCTGATGCGTAAATTTAAAATCAATCCATCCTACCTTGATTTCAATCATGGCCATCTTTTGTCCAATACATGCCATAGGACCATCACCAAATGGAAGGTAAGATCCTGGAATGGGAACAAACCCATCTGCCCATCGATCAGGATCAAACTTTTCTGGTTTATCCCAGTATACTGGCTCATGGTGCACTCCACCAATATTCACTATAAACTTGGTCTATAAAGTCGGACAAATTGTAAATTGGTCAACGATGAAAAATAACATTTCATATTTTTTGAAACGTACATTGGATGGAATAACATTTCCTTCGTGCTCTATACGACAGAGAGTGGTGCGATAGGTACTTGCAACAACTGCGTACATTCTCAGACTTTCTTTGATTACCATCTCCAGGTATCTACAAGTCAGTCAAGCTTCTATTAAAATTCTATTTTTTAAATAAATTCAATGTCAATTAAAAGGCATGTATGAAATTTAAACTCGATTTACTTGAGAGATGAAAGCGACTCGGTATTGATTGGGTGACCAAGAGTAGATTCCACTTGATGAATCTCGGCAAGTATTTTGCGCGTGATTTCAGGATTGCGACAGAGCTCAAGAGTAGTGTTTACCAGAGTATTCGCAGTAGTTCTTTGTTTAGCCCAGTTTCAACACACATGATATTAGAAACATTGCACTCTTATGTATGGTACCGTGATTGTAACTTACTCATGACCAGCGATAAAAAAGCCAACAACTTCACCAACAACTTCCTCGTCAGTAAAATTTTCCGATTCACTTGGACCAACTTTCAAAAGTCTGTCCAAAACATCCATGCACTTGGGGTCCTTTTCATCGTTTTGCTTCAGTTCCGACTTTTTCTTATCGATTACATTCTGAATAAGCTTTTTCATATAAGTGCTGGCGAGTTTGACTCGCGTCGAGTTTGAACTCAGGCCCGCCATACCCCAGAGGATTGATGGCAGAGTGAACCTCTAATTCAAAACATTTCATCAAAAATTGGTACAAATCAAAAACTAGCATCTAGTAGCCAACTTGAAACCAATAGTACAACACCAATTCAACACAACACAAACTATCTACCTGATGAATAAACATAACCAGCTCTTCAATATATCCTTGGCCCACCTGAACTTTGTGAGCATGAAGATCATTACAAGCATGAAAATCATAAGAGAAAATCACTTGACCACTACAAAAACGATTTGTAACAATGTCTATTAGATACTGGTCAATATGGATCGTTACGATAGAAACTCACATAATGTCTAGACTCAGAGCAGTAAACTCGTGGTATATGTCTACAGTGATACTTCCATCGTTTTTCAATGATTCCGAATTATAATAACGAACAAGTTTATCTGCTTGATTTTGAGTGATATTCCCTGCTTGACGGAGATGCGTTGGGGCAAATGCAGGCTGAAGATTCTTTCTATGGCGTTTCCAGACATCTCCAGACGGAATAGTGAAAAGAGAGAGATCAAGCAATGAACTAGAGAAACGTGATGATTTTCAACATCATTACATTATAAATTATGTCAGAATGAAAGGATCTAATGCATGTGGTATGCTATTTTCTGGTCCACAGCACAAGCTTCAAAAAGTACTCAACTGGGATATATTTGCAAAGGTTGGGTCTCTCCAAAACTCTGTTCCAGATGTCAATACACGCTTGATTAAAGCAGCATCCGTGGTGCAGATATAGTTTCTACACAAATGATTCAAATAACAGATTGCTGCTTGAGTATACAAAAGTTGGTTGCTAGCAATTATACCAACCATAGTGTTTGTAGCAATAAAGGGATTCCTTCATACCAATACAAATATGATTCTACCTACGCTCCAAAAACATTGATACGGACCACACGACCATAGCTTTGTAAGCTGCAAATATAATCTTGATATTTTCCTTTGTTGGTTTGATGAACAAAATCCAAGCCATTTCCAACTATTGGATAGGCAAATGGACCAGGAAACCCAAGATAGTTGTTTTGTAAATATGTCATGGCTGCTATTGCAGCAACTAGGGTTCCAGCAATGACCGAATTGTTGGACATTTCGCGTTAGTCGAGGTTGTTCAAGAGTTGAGAAAGGGGTGAGAATAACAGGAATATTCATATTTCAATAACCCGATGTGACTGTTTTAGGTTAGTGTAGATTATAGATGAAGCACCAAAGCTTTCGCGTCGGAACAAGACCAAATGACATTCTTTAATTGCGAGGATCAATAGGTCGTGTCAACAAATCGGATTGCTGCCACGAGATACGATCAATAGATGCTCCTACCATTCAAATCAACAATCTACAAATATCTGTAAAAGGGCACTATGGTTGCTGACAACTCTCCACTTTATCCATCTCTCAATTCTCGTAGTCATTGTCACCAGCTGTAAACAGTATAGTAAATTGATGTATTTTAAAATGATAAGAGTTTCATAAAAGATTGCAAGGTATCAAAACAATCCTTGATTAGTCGACAAAACTCCAGCCAGTACACTCAGTTGCAAGACATGCCGGCTGAATAGCGCATTTGGGCACACTTTGTGCATTTTCTAGAAATCTTTTAATAACAAAATCAATAGAATGGTATCGGATGCTACTTTGTGTGTGAACTTGGCCACTTTCCGAGTTGGATGACTCAGACACGGAGGTGTTTGGCGAGAGCTCTTTCTGGGCTTCATTAAAAGAATACACACCTAGTAGATTATCAAGCCGTTTAAAGCAACCACTGTAAATATCTTGCAAGTAAACATGAAATGGCACTCGAGTCATCTTACATTGCTTTCCAATATGACACTTGGTTTCAAGTGCGTAGCCGAGCCAGTAGCAACTGGATGTGACTCCAGCGCATTGTCCAAGGAAAATCGGATCACCATCGTTGCCGTAATGAAATATAGGAACGGAGTTTAAAAAATCGGTCAAATCAGGCAAGTTAGGAAGTAGTCCTAAGCGAGATGCATACAACAGATCACCCGGTGCTTCGTATGCAAACGCAGGAAGGTCATTAGTGAGAGCAACCAAAGCAGCCAATGCACCACCTAGGGAATGGCCGGTCATCCAAATGTTGGTATGATTTGGAAACCACTCTTTTACTGCAAGATAGATGGTTTGTGCTAAATTGTAATAGGAACCCTCAAAGCTTGATTCTTTGAGCAAGCAGCTGTTACTGCATTGTGTTGACGAGATTGGACAACTGCATATCGGAGTCCATCCCCAGCCACCTTTGGCACAACAACAAGAAAACATCAGATTGTCCTAAGCAGTCCATATTCAAATTACGCAAGCATATAGATTGGATGAGAATCGCGACGAATAGTCAAAGCAGTAAAGTGTAATCTAGTGTATGACTGGCTTACGTTTAACTTGTCCAGCTGAGCAGTCGGTCCGCTTCCAATGGGAGTTGACAAGGAAGTACCTTTGATGACAATAACTAAAAAGTGTTCGGTATCATCAACAAACACATATCCTCGAATGCCACTTGTTTGCCATCCGAATCTACCAGACTTGAATGATAAAAACAGATTAAAAAGTTAAAATCTAGCCCTAAATGAAAACATGCATATGGTTATAATCGAATCGAACAAGACCAACGTAAACATACTACATTCCAGCCAGGCACTGGAATCCATGCCTTGTCTTCAGGCTCGTAATACGCATCGTAAGTCATACGAGCAAAGCTCAGGACTGTTTCAGGATCAGTCGGGTCAGGAATCAGCATATTTTTATATTTAGGTGACATGGGTTTCGGGATCGACTAGATAATTCAAACATGAGCACTTGATTCAGTCCATTGTTGTTTGGCAAACCAGCTACTGATGAAGCGGTCAAACATGATTTAACAGTATAGCTACATGGATACCAGACACTTACAAATGCATCGTCCATATTGTTCTGAGATTGATAGTACAATCCATTGAGCCCGGCATGTGCTGTATGGGATGCTGTGGAAGGATTTTTTAGATTAAGCTTGGGATTCTTGGACTTTGGTAGATTCTGTTTGGAAAGAGTTTTTCGATTAGAAAGAAGAGACCATTCAGGAGTATGTGTTTTTTTAGAAAGCTTAAAAGTAGAAGAGGCAGAAGCCATGTTCAGAGAGCCAGGAGAGTGTTGATACATTGTCGGTTCGTTTTTGTCGGTTAGTCCAGAATGAATAACCTTTACCAAACGAAAGTTTCCAGCCGACTGAGGTGGATTGTTGCTGTTTTGTGAAGCAGCATGTGTGGATGATCGAGGAAAAGCAATAACCAGCCCAGTTGGAAAGGAAGAAAGAGTAGCAAACAGTAGTAATAGTGGTTGCAGGAAGAGAAGCATTTGCTGGTTGGGTCGAGTTGCTAGCGGAGATTTTGAGCATTTTCAGTGGTTGAAATTCATGGCTTGAATTGCTGTCCAGTTGCAGTCTTGGCGTGCTTCGACACGCAAGCCATGGATAATTATCGACTCAGTCCAGCAGTCGACCGATAGGCTCATGTCGATCCATCACGTGGGCATGACATCCTTCATCAACCAACTGTTTGCACTTGTCTTGCAACCCAGATGAGTCCTATATCGAACGACCGGAAGCCAGGTGTCGCTGTTATTAAACCTAGGAAACCCGCCTATGGTTCTGTCATGAATGAGCTGGGTTTCCCTGTTTTTTCTGCTGATGTCCTGTCCAAGATTACTGTCAAAGCTGTACCTGTTGTTGCTCCAACTGATCCACACAATGAAACTGGTGTGTTCCTATTATACTAGTCCATTTATGGATAATGAGTTGTGTACTGTTGATGTTCAAACAGACCATCTTCAAGATCCATACACTGGATCTGATGGTTCAACCCTTCTAGCAGTGAATTGAGCTTACTTTTGCTGCTATTACATGCTCTTGAAAAATCTTGAACCTGTTCAGAATGGATAGAACTCAGAGGACATGATATATCCATAATGTTTTTGATCAAGCTTGAATTGGATGTGGTTGCATTCGTATGTAGCTAATTTAGATTTGATGTTGCAGCAATTTACAGATCTGTCTTATCGCCCAATGAGCTCTTGGTTACCATTCCAAACATGCGTACTATGCATGAAGTCTTTGAAGAGAGTGTCAAAAGACATCCAAACCTTCCTGCATTGGGCACTCGTTATGCTTCTGTACATCCGTCCACTGGTGCTGTTACTTGGGGACCGTATGTGTTTGAAACTTATGCACAGGTGGTTTCTAAAGACTGTTGTTGACTTGTCCAAATCGAGTACTTTTGAATACTCATCCATGATCAATATATTTGTCCATGCAAACTTTAGGTTGCCAAGAAGCGTGATCATTTGGCTTACGGTATCCAACACATTTACACTAATGTAATCAAGGAATCTGCTGAAAAGTGGAATCTGGGTATTTTCTCGGTAAGATTTATCATTGCGTGCATTTATGCTATGCATATAACAAGCTGTATCTAATGATCCGTCTGTTTTGTATGACATGCCTACTGGCTGAATAGTCCAACCGTGCCGAATGGGTTATTGCTGATCTGGCTGCCCAAGCCTTCAGCGTTGCAGTTGTTGCCCTCTACGACACTCTTGGCGCAGATACTTCAGAATACATTCTTAATCATGCTGATGTCTCTGTTGTGGTTGCATCCATTGACAAGGTGCCTCTACTTTTGTCACTAGCACACAAAACCAAACTCAAGGCAATTATTGCGTTGGATTCAATTCCTTCCGTGTCTACTTTGGGATCCGTTACAAACCCATTTCAATTTGCAAAAATTTGGGCCAAAGAAAAGGGAATCGAGTTGTATTCATTCAATGAAGTAATGGATCTTGGCATTAAGCATCCCATACCATTTCGCTTACCTTCAGAAGAAGATGTATTCTGTCTGTGCTACACTTCAGGTAATGACGTAGTGCCGATTTATTGATTTGCATATTTGATGGGTAGCCATTTTACTCATAAATCTGATTAGGAACTACTGGAAATCCAAAGGGTGCTGTTCTGTCGCATAAAAATATGATTGCTGTATTGCGTGGCAACTTTACTCAATTTTCCATTGATGCGACCGATGTTCATATTTCATACCTTCCACTGGCACATATCTTTGAACGATGTGTGGTTTCCACCATGCTAGCTGGTGCTGGATCTATTGGGTTTTACCGTGGCGATGGTAAGCATTTTATTTTAGCGCTTGAAAATATATAAACCACTGATGAATATTGTATTGATGCATACATTGTATCGACCTTGAATAGTGACTCTGCTTATGGAGGATATTGGTGTGCTCCACCCGACTATTTTCCCATCTGTACCACGTCTTCTTAATCGGATTTATGATCGCATAACCGACCAGGCACTGCATTCTGGATCTGCACTCAAAACGGCTCTTTTTCAGCGTGCACTTGATGCCAAACTTGAAAATATCCGAAATGATAAAGTCTTGACTCACTTTTTCTGGGATTCGGTTGTGTTTAGCAAACTCAAGGCATTACTTGGCGGCCGTGTTCGGCTAATTGTATCTGCCAGTGCACCCATAAACGGTGATGTGCTCGAGTTTCTTCGAGTTGCATTCAGCTGTCAGGTTTTGGAAGCTTATGGACAGACCGAATGCACTGGTTTATTCACCACAACATGGCCCAATGACTTTAGCAAAGACAATGTTGGTCCAGTCGCTGTAACGTAAGTCTGCGTGTATATCTACAACTATGAATTTAAAAATACGTTTGGTAGTTTTTAATAACGGATTACTATATTTAGTTCCGAGTTGAAGCTCGTGTCTGTTCCAGAGATGAACTATCATGCTAAAGATCTCAAGGGTGAGATCTGGATTCGTGGTCCAAGTGTATTCAAAGGTTATCACAAGGATGTTGCCAAGACCAAGGAAGCTCTGACAGATGATGGATGGCTGCTGACGGGTGATATTGGCATGCTTGATTCCAAAGGACGCTTGTCAATTGTTGACAGAAAAAAAAACATTTTTAAGCTTTCTCAGGGAGAATATATTGCTCCAGAAAAGGTATTGCTTTGGTATTACTACTTGGTTGGAATTTAGGAAGCCAAACTGTCTCTAAAAGCCTGTTTTGATGTTGCGCTGAAATTCAGCTCGAGAGTACTTTTCTCAAGAGCAGCTTTGTTGCACAGATATATGTTCACGGTGATTCACTGCAAAACGAGCTGGTTGCCATAGTTGTTCCGAATCCTGAAACTGCAGTCAAGTGGGGAATTTCCAATGGTGTACTTCCTACAGACACATCAACTGATGTTGCTCGTCAACCAGGACAGCCTTCTCATCCAGCTACAATCCAAGTATGCAAATCTTTGGCATTACGTAACGTTATTTTGGAAGACTTGATTGCTGTTGGAAAACTTGACAAGCTTCGCGGATTTGAATTTGTTCGAGCCATTTATATCGAGCCAGATATGTTTTCAGCCGAATCTGGACTGTTGACACCCACATTTAAACTCAAGCGCAACGAAGCAGCGGTAAGACAATCAGTGATGACTGTTCTTGTTGATTCATTAATGTACAGCAATTTTGGGACAAATTGACTATTTTGCAAATGCTAATTAAACCCGATATTCTTGATTTTGTACAAATATGCATTGTCTGATTTGCAAAATTCGATCGAGTAATCAGATCAAATACCGCCCCGAGTTGGATCAGCTTTATCAAGAGCGAGCTACTGCTACCAAGTCCACACAAGCAAAGCTTTAGTTCATTTGAATAAAATACGATTTCGGCTGCTGAATCTTTGGTTTATCAATCACTATTGCAAGTCAAAATGACAGATTTACATTCGATATTTGTTGAATTGGGTTTATTGGCTGACCAAGCATAGTCTTGAAATAGTAGGCTATATTGCTTTGAATAGATTTTGAGCATCTCAGGTCGGATGATTTGGTCAACAACATTGAGCGCACATATGGGGTATACCCCTCATAGAAAAAGCAATACCGTTTTAAAGCACTTTTAAAATGGCTTGTTTCATCAGTACTAACCCTTGTTACAATCAAGTGCGTTGTTGGCTTATGATCATAACAGTGGGCTTTGATGACTGGAGTGCCAATACTTGCAAGTCTACATCACCGCCATATTCGCGTAAAATAGAATATTTGTATCTATAACTGTCGTTTTGAAAAATATGGAATCTGCTTGGCATCAAGGATCTGCCAGTCTAGATTCCATCCTTTCAAATTCTATTAAACTTTACTCTTCAACTCTTATTTTCAAGATCAAACTTTTTGGACCTTGTCTGTTTATATTTGTTCTGACTGTAACATTCACTCTGCTGGAGACTATTAAGAATTCCAGTCCATTGCTAAAATGTACGGCTCTGTGTTTCTATCTAGTTATTTTGCTGCAGAAAACTAATTGGCTCTTATTCTAGTCATTCCCCAACCATGACCAATGTTCAATTCGTTCCATTCACAGCTGTAGAAAATCGCCCATCCTCGCGCTCGTCTTTCCAAGATATTTTTGATTGCTATGCCAGAACTGAAAGTAGCAGTGGTATTTACAACCACACTTGCTCAACTATACAGCCTGAACTAAAAAGCATGTCATCAGCTCTTACTCTGGTCGACGAGTGTTCTATTTCAAATGTTCGGTGTGTTGCAAACTCCACGAGCCGTGAGAGGTTCAATCAGCTTCTTTGTGCGAGTTCCAAAGGTTTGTTGTTTGGTCTGCATTGGAGCTTATCTGATAATTCAAAATAGAAGCCTTTTAAGCCGTATTCACGTAAAATGGAACACGCTTATCTATCTTGCAGTCATTGCTTCTATTTTGCTTTGGAATAAGCAATGCTTAATATTTTGTGCTTTCCTACTACAAATTGACTCGCTGCTTCAATTGGCACTCTCATTTTTTCAAACACAATGTTCATCATATGATGCTCAAACTACAGTTTATAAGATTGCCCTCATTTGGCATGGCCATGCATTGTACACTCACCAAATATTGGTTCGATGCTTTCAAACTTCTAATCACAAGTTTGTTCGCGCTCTAGTTCAAGTGAACAGAGATTGCATATCTTGAGAGTGCTGTTGTTTCCATGGCAATCGCCACAAGAAACCCCAGCCAACTAGAGTTCAGGACACAATGTTGTCCAGTAAATTGGCACCAGTCATTTCATGAAACTGGCGGTTTATTATACACCAACACTCTCAGTGCTTCATTTACGTGAATATAGCTGTGATAGTAGCCCTATTCCATTCCTTGCTTTCCGTCATCATCACCCTTTAGCTCGTCCAATTGTGAATTGTTGAGCGCACCACTCAAATATATTCAACATTTCCAGCAACAGTGCTTTTAACCGCAAACTTTTACTTGTTAATCTATTCACATCTCAAGGTGCATATCGTCCAGCAAAGCACTACGGTCGCAGAACTGCTAATTCGTTCAACAAAGTCCTGGGCCATACATCAAACAGCGTTGAAACAACTGCGGAAAATTTGCTCAATAAGCATCTGAGCAATATCATATCCAAACCCGATACCGCATCTATTGGTAAGCAGTTGTTTTCTCAATTAGTATGCATGGGGATAAAGGCTATATCTATTCATTCCACCCTAGATTCGAGCACATTTTCTTTTTATTGCTGCTGTGAACAGAATCTAGGGCTACACAGCCAGCCAATGCTTTGTAGTTTGAATACTTTTGCAACACTATTCCAACTCGTCTGAATCTTAATTCTTCTTGATGGCAAATTGTGTGGCCTCTAATACTATAGACGAGCACGAGCTAGACAACAGTCAGATAATGCTGGCCAAACAAGCATTCTACTTTTTAGAGCAATCAGCGCACGCTTCAAAAAACAAGCAGCTTACGCAATCGCAGTCTAGTATCATCACGATGACTAGCGCTGAGCCTACATACTCGGCAGGAGACAAGAAGATGGATGAGCTTCTTGCTTCATATATTTCTCTGCGGCTGCATGTTCCTCGAAATGATCAAACAGCCTTTTCAAAAACTCCGACAAGTGTTGCTGGTGATGCAGTTGTGCCTGAGCCTGGACATATGCGGCGTCAATCGTCGTTATCGCCTACATCTTATCACGCACATAACCAATATGCCACTACCGATCAAAAAAAATCTCTAAAGCCCAGCACGATTGCGTTGCAAGCACCAACAAGGATGATTTCTAAGCAATACGACTGCTCATTGGCAACTTTAGATGAACACGGCTCAATCCAAGGAGAAATGCTTGTAGACAGAAATCTGTATACCTTGAATCAACACAGTAGCCCTACTTGTAATAATCAAGGATCTAGTGAAATGCCTGCGAGCAGGCACTTGCGACGAATGGAAAGTGACAGCACCATATCCACTGCCATCTCTAAGCATGATTATTCTTTCAAGTTAGCCAACAAGGCCAACAGATATGCTCCCATTACGACTTACTCGAACCAACCCACTCAATTTAGAAATGAGCAGGCATTATGGGATAGCAAGGAAGATGACGATACAGCATCGAACATATCGTTTCAAGAGCGTGATTATTATGGTCCTCAAATGACACCCCAGTTAAAGAATGAGATAACGCACTTTGATGCACAGGTATTGCTGGCTGAAGTGCTATTGGTTATTTATACATTTCTTGATGTCTCTGGTTCATATGCACGGGGTATGCGACCCACCGGATTTATGAGTTTTTCCAGCAAGAGCAGTAGAATATATTCTCAGCTTGCTTTGAAATCAAAAGAATCTGTTGCATCTTTAAAGTCTGAACAAGGCTCGACAGTGTACAACAAGGATAGATGCACCAAGATGTTTACTGACTATGAAGCAACATCGTGTGCAAATTCCGAGATTTTACAAAAGCCTCAAAAGAGATCATCGGCGATGAAAAGATTTTCTGGTGTTGCCAACCAGATCAAATCACAAGTGTCGTCTTTTTTCTACAACAGGCCTTTATCAATTCATCCTCATTTCGATTTTTCAAATGCGGCGTATCATCCAATTAGATCGAGTTCTGCTGCAAGTACAAATGCCGACAGTCCAGTTGATGGTGCAAACCGTACAACCCAAAGTCTCAAAATCTTGTCAAATGCAGAATCTACTGACCCAGCTTTGCTTACAGAGCTGTATCAAGAAGCCTCTATTAGGTATAGCCATCTCAAGGCGACATTGGGGACAGTGAGATTTGCTACCGTACAGCAATTGAAGACTCGAGATGATTTAGGCTATTTCAGCGAGAGAGGTACTCATTTGTGCAACCCGATGCTCCTCCAGCATCTCTCCTCTAATGATATTTCGTGGATGAATAATACTATCCAGTCCCTCTCGTCAGATGCGTTCGTGGATCTATTTTTTGATGTTGTGGTTGCCGACTTTAGTTTCCCAGATGCATTGGAAAAGTACTGCACTAAACGATAAATGGCAGATATGTCAAACACCATGATTGGGTTGCACCTTGGCTTTGTGCTAGCTCATTTAGGAATAATTAATTGGCTTGCTTTAATGATTAATGTGGTTTGCGTTGAATTTCCATGTCAGCTCTTGGTTCATTTGAGGTGCACATTTTTTGAATAAAGCGTAGTTGTAAACACTCGGCAATTCGTTTTATGTGAATACGACGGCAAGTTGTGAGCCAAACAAGCCATCTACTATTCTGTGATTAAATCACTCGTCTTGTCTACTTGCAACGAGTCTTCAACCACGTGTGTTAGCGGTCAATGCCAGCCGCAATGATTTTGACTCCGCTTGTCTGGAATCCAAATCGCAACTCCGACTTGCTATCTGAACAAAACCTCGTTTCGATTTCTTTCGAGTTTCATTCAAGATGTTGGGCCATGCTAGTACTGCTAACCAGGATCTAAACTCGAATCAACTACAGATAGCTTTAGCATCTCAGTTACATGATAAAACCACCTACACATTGCCCATTCATCAACATGACTTGTCTTCATTATCCTGTCACCATACCGTAAAACGCATTCAAAATGCATCTTTAACCCCTCATATACAGCCCTCTGCTATACCTCAAGATTCGCTGTTCCCAAATGTGCCCAACTACCGTATTGTGGCTGCTCTTGGAAGGTAAAGCTTAATCAAGACCTATCATGGTGTTTATTACCAAATTAAAATGGTATCTTGAACATCAAGTATACTGCATCTATAATAGACTTGTGTGTACTAGTTGAATACTATTTTTGACTTTACACACTTGTTCAGCCATAATCTCCATTCTGGCTTGAATCAATGCTGAATCTATTGATATCATTATTTCAAGTATTTGGCCCAACTGTATTTAAACTCATCATGATTTTATCGGTTCTTCATAAAATCTTAATAGAGGTGCATTCAGTACCGTATACAAGGCTAACAACATCACAAATGGTCATACTGTGGCACTCAAGTTGATCAATAAAGCTCCCTTGTCTCCTACACAGGTACAATTGATGGCATGTTTTTGATCAATGATTTGGATATATTTTCATAATCACCTTGGCGTATCATGCCACCACCATTACTACCGTGTTGATTTGTTGTTGATTACAGCCGTGTTCACGTAATATGGAACGCTTGTATTTATCTTGCATTATCTCTTGCTCTGAAATAAGCAGTGATTGACTGTTCGTTGTGCATTCTTGGTGGAGATTGCCTTTTAATCGTCATTCTCAATTATTTTTCAAAACATAACGCCTATCATGATGCACACAAACTATAGGTTTGATCCTGCCTTTTCTTCTCTTTTGGTGTAGCCATACATTGTGCAATTACCAAATTCATTGAAATTCAGATACTGGATTTGACTGTTCTGATGTGTGATTGACTGAAGCTGTGGTGCAAACATTTCAGTTTTCTATACAAAATGTGCACAAAGGTCAGTGAACTAAAAGTTCAGGACAGTGCTGCCCAGTATAGAGTATAACAACCAATCTTGTGAAATAATTGGTGCCATCAAATTATTTAATGTCGCACTTTACGTGGATATGGCTGTAATGCATGGAAACCATTGTTTTATTTGCAAGTGCCATGAATGTGATGTCTTAAATTCTGCAATTCGGTGGCTTGATATCTTCAATTGGATGAATACTTTGCGCAATTCTATTGTAATTAATATTTGAATATTTGAATAGGAAACGGCCATTCATAGAGAAACCCTGCTACTTGGAAGCCTGTCGCATCCCAATCTTATCCGACTTCTTGACTACCATGACTCTCCGCAATACCTAACGATTGTTACAGAACTCATTGAAGGAGGCGAGCTTTTTCACAAACTTGTTGCGATGGGATCTATGCCCGAGCACTCGACACGATTTATTATGAAGCAGGTCGCTTTGGGCATCAAGTACTTGCATCTTGAACGAGGCATTGTTCATCGTGATATCAAGCTTGAAAATCTACTGTATGTGCCATATGATCCACAGAGTGGTGTTGAGGATTTATCTGGTTGTGGTATCACTCATGTCAAGATTGCCGATTTTGGACTGGTATGTGATTTTCATGGCTTTAACTCGAGGTTATCTCCATAATGTCTGCTTTTTGATAGTTTAGAATATCCAAATCGGGAATACAGTAGTGAGGCTGATGTTTGCCGATTTGCATCCGTGCAAGGAAACAATGCAGCTTTAATTGATTAGCCAATTTAGTACTACTAAAAATGCTATACAAAATAGCATCAATCAATCAGCTTGGTTGATTGATGGCTAAGCAAACCAAGGAATGTGTTTGGATACTCCGTCTAATTCTGCAAACCATAGGTTTGCTATGAGATAGACTTGCTTGATACTTGACCCCTTTGTAAAAACTATGGGATATACAGATTCTACCAGTTTAAACCAAATATGTACTGTTACAAACAAGTAATAATACGGGTGCTTTTATGGTGGATAATCAAGGGACCTCGCATGTCTTTATTCCAAATACTTGATCTTTGGATACAACCTCCGCTGTAGTTGCGCTCTTTATTTCCTTTCTTGAATAACTATGGCATCATTGCTTGTTTATGTCAAATTTTCACATGGTTTTGCTGTTTGGCTAGACAAGATGTTGAAATATGCCTTTATATATCCATTGGTGCTGGATCTACTCAACCATTGCATGCCTTTTGACAAGGACATTGCCTTGATTTCAACCGATGCTATACCCTACAAAACAGCCGTAATTCCGCTTTCATTTGTAAAGGTGTGCACTCAGTTGAGCTTGCTTCCCTGCAGTGTCATTCAACCCTTTTTACTCAGTAGCAAACGCGATAGAATGACACTGGAAGTAGCACATTCCCTTGTTGTATAATCTGGGCTTAGCATGACTTGTGTTGGGAGTATTATGGAAAACATCAAATCATTCATTTACAGTGTAATTTGATGCTCAAGAATGTTTTGGATCAGACCATACAATAATAGTCTGCAGTTTTTGCTATTTTGCATTTATTTAAATTCCCTCCTTCCCCACTACCTTTTAGATTACTAATCTATCTTGCTACTCTTCCGACCCCTTTATTTCCCTCGACCTCTATCAGCTTAAACCTATTCATCCGGCGGTTTTCATTTAAGCTGAATATTTACTTGTATACTATTATAATAGGCTAAAGTAGTCTTCGATACTACTACTCAGACTCCTTGTGGCACATTTGAATATTCCGCTCCAGAAATTTTCAGGGACGAGTACTACTCCAAAAGCGTTGATTTGTGGGCTTTAGGCTGCGTTCTTTATACTTTACTTTGTGGATATCCGCCATTCTACGGTGAGAATCTCCAAGTATTAGCTAATAGAGTTCGCTACGGTAGGTTTCAATTTCAAAGCCCTTGGTGGGATTCAATTTCGTTCGAGGCCAAAAATTTGGTGTGCGGACTGCTGGAGGTTAATCCCAAAAAACGATTAGATATCCGTGCCTTTCTCCGCCATCCGTGGATGTTGGGCTACCATCAGCAGCAAAACCCCTATATTTCATCGGCATCTACTGGCCCACTTTCCTCTGCCAAAAGTGCTACTCTAGTGCCATCCACATACAATATATCTACTGCTAACGACATGTCTGTCGTTTCTGCTCCGGCCGATACTGCCATTTTAACTACTTTGCCCATCAGTGACATTACCGTTTCTGCACAAGGCATGACCAATACCGTGGCGCTTACCAGACCACGAGATACTACTGTATCAATGAGTGGTCTGTCTAATTTATTAAACATACCAAAACAGCAATATCACCCCGAGTGTGAAGTTGGTCGCACTGAGCCTGAAATCTTGGGTGGACAATCGTCGACTATAACTCCCTGGAACCCCCAAGCAGTTGATCGAGTGCATGACACATTTCTACCAATCGAAAATTCATCTGCAGTCAGTTCTGCTTCTTGCCATCATCTTCAACGTCCATTTGCCGTTGCACCGCTTCATGAATCTCAGCCAAGTTCATGTGTGGCTCCACTTCCCTCTCCATTACCCATGCCTGTTCCCTATACTATTCCCATATGTGAGCAGTCCGAGTCTCTAGCAGAAAGCAATGGATATTGGCCAGATCTGGATGGACAAATTTTATCCACTCCGATTGTGGCTTCTCCCGCGTTTACTTTTGCAAATCTTACGTCAGTACCATCCGCATATGCTACACAGTATGCAGAGTCAAAAGAAGCTTTATCTAGTACACCGGTGGTACCAACATTGCCACCACTGCATTTACCATTGGATTTATTACAGGCTGCAGCAGATGCATTGGCTACAGAGGTGCATCTACAAACCAAATCTACATCTTCGCATGCGTGCACTTGCACTGCTGCGTCTGATGTACAACAACATTGTATACATCATACTTATAATCATGCTAGTAATCTCTACGAAAATGGTTACTTTTGCACCCGTCAGCTTGGTACTTTAAAAGATCATGCTTCAGAATGTGCCTCTCCTACTCATGTCCTTGTAGATTCGCTCCACCAATGTTCCATCGATATGCCTCTAGCCACTCCCTTGACACCGGCTGCTCCAAACAATACTCCAGCATCTAGCATACATGGATTTCCACTAGAAATAGCTAATTCGATTCTTCAAAAGCAACATCAAAACACATCAACAGAACCATCATACTATTCATCTACTATTTTATCTGCGGCAGCTGCAATCTTATCACTTGCTGGGTCTCGACCCTCTGGTATCTTATCTTTGCGACCAACGTCCTCTGCGTCTACCATTGGTTCGTGCTCAGCCATGGATACTGCTCAAGATACATCGACTCTAGCTCCGTGCGAGTCTGCTTCTACAACAACAGCTTCAATTATATCAAGCAATGCAGAAATCTCGACACCACCGCCAGTCTTGACACGACAGGCAGCTAATGCACCCATGAAAATGTATCAGGAAATGTTTGAGATGGATGATGTGCAGTATGCTCATCAACACCATGATTCTCTTGATGCACACTCAGCCAATCCTATATTACAACCACTTAGTTCTCCATGTGTTCCAGGGATTTTGGCTGAATTAAAGTCCCCCGCTTTGTCTTGCCCGCCTATATCACCTTATATGAATCTATATAGTCCTGGTTCTTATCGCGATCCTGCGGTCTCTATCAGTCCGTCGGTCAAGCAGTCTGGTGCTGTATCAAGTATTTACGATACTCGGCTTTCTGCTGCAGTTTCATCAAAGCTGTCTGGTACAAAACGACAACCCGAATTTGGCTTGCGCCACAACCATGCCAATGGGTCTTTGTCTGGATCATGCTCTCCTGGATCTAACAACATTGGATTGGGCACTCGTCTTCCGCGTATATCTCGCCGTCAGGGAGGAAATCTTCTTTCTCCTGTAAGTGGTATGTCGGGACACCATAATGGCCAGTATCATTATTATTTGCAACCCCAACAGAATTCTGTGGTAAATCTTGGATTTAATCTAGACATGTCTGAAAGCTCTCTTTTGCTTCGAAGAAGACGTAAAAAGAGTGAGTCTGGCATTCGTGTAAATGACAATTTGAATACTACACCGGCTTCCTCTACTAGAATGCAGTTGGTTTCTCCAAAACCTACTGCTCAAGCGGCTTCTCATCAGGAGATACTGGATTCTGAGCTGGATGGAACCGGAAAGGTTGCTTGTGCAAGTACAGTCAAGGAGACTATTTCTAATCATAGCTATAGTCGATAGATTAATTGTGTTTTAACCTTGATATCTTTGAAAATACACTGTATATTCAGCCTTTTCAGCCCTCTTCATACCTTTATCTAGTTGTTTTTAGTCACTATTATTACCTTGTCTTTGGCTTTAAATCATCATTGCCTCTATATTATTTTAAACCCATATTGTTGTCTCAAATCGAGCTACTCATTTCAAATATGTTGTGAATCTTTGAAAACATCCCAAATGAATCTAATTTTGTTGATCTTCATTTATTAAAGTGATTGTGTATGTATAAGTATTTACAAAAAGTAAAAGTAATCATAAAATCTCGCTACCACCATTTGAATGAACAAACATATCCAAAGCACCTGGAGTAACATTCACTACCCGTTCCTCTTCTGTAATTTCATCAAGATGATTTGGTACACAACGTTTGATTCGCATAGCAAAAGGCTCACCCACTCTTAGTCCAACCAGCTTTAACAGTTCCTGCGATGACCTGATTCCAACTCCATCAACAGCAACAATCACGTCTCCATCTTTTAACCCACCGTCAGATGCTGGAGATTTGGCTTCTACGCTAGCTACCAGCACGCCAGAGGTGACATGAGGAAGAATCATGTTGGGTGTGTTTTGAAATGACGAGGTATAGTGGCTGTCTGGGTTGAGCTGAGATCGAACGTGTGGGGTTAAAGTGATCATTCTAATTCCAAGCCACGGTCGGGTGACTCGTCCGTCTACAACAAGCTGGTGAATCATATCCATGGCATTATCTACCCTAATAGCAAAACTGATTCCTTCGCTCTCTGCTCGTGTTGTGTTGATTCCTAATCGAATTGGTTAGTTTAAAACAGTCAGTATTGATCCAACACGGATACCTATAGTGTAGTATGATGGCATAGTATCAACTTACCAACCACTTGCCCATCAAGATTCACCAAGGGACCACCAGAACTACCAGAATGAACCACGCAATCGGTCTGAATATACTCCACTCGCGTATCCTTTGTGCCGATTTCTATGCTTCTGCGACTGCGCGAAGAAACTACACCCGCTGTGACAGTATTCTGTAATCCAAAAGGGCTGCCAATGGCAATCACCCAATCGCCAGGTCGCAGATGATGGTTTGTGCCTAATGGTATTAAATCCAATGGGTTAGAATTGATTCATGTTACACTAGGCAGAATAAGTATGACTTACCAAATTGAACGGGTTGCCATTTATGAGGAGATGAACGTGGTTGAATCCGAACGATTGCTAGGTCACTAAGTGTATCTAAACTATGTACCTTTGCTGGATATCGCAGACCATCAGCAGCAGTAACCCAGAGCTACCCATTCAAACTCAATCAGATCTTTAATCCATTCCAAACTCCATAAACTCCAATACTTACCTTGCTGTCTTCGTTCATATCAGCAACGACATGAGCGTTGGTCAATATCTTGCCATCTGTCGTTACAAAAAAACCAGAACCGGATGATACCAATGTTTTGTTTCCAAAAAACGACGTGACTTCAGTTTCAACTGAAAGGTTTACCACCGACTCGATCACTTTTTCGACTGCATCTGCAATAAATGCACCTCCAGATGTTGAAGACTTTCTGGAATGGGGCTGTGGGTTATGGTTAGGCTGCAATACCTGGTCGGAATGAACTGGTTCATGTATTGATGACGTATTGTACGCATTGACCTGTGATGGTGTCAATAATCTAGGCATTGTTTTAATAAAGGGTAAAGTCCATGAAGATGACAATGGCTCAGTGGATGTATTGGATATAGAATAAAGGTCTAGTTCAGTTTCTGGCTCAACAGCATTTTGATGTGATAAAGATAATCGTGCGATTGTTGGAGCAACAGGTGTGTTTTTTAATGAGTAGCTGTAGCCTGCCCATGCACCCAAACATAACCCAGCAACGAATGCACCAGAAACAATCCATATAGAAGTGAATGGCTTGAGCCTGCTATTAGAATAAAAACGCTTGTGGTGATGGGCTGAAGTTTGCAAGCCTCGCCAGCATAGAATAAACTCTGTTGACGACTGCCTAGTAATGGCCCATCGAGTCTGCAACAAAGGAGTAGTGATTGGTGGCAAAAGTAAAAAACTCTTGCGTAGAATATTCCTAGTAAAAGCCATGACCAAACTGCCGTAGCTGATGGTTAGTGGATTCAAGGTCAAATTATGATCCATGGTTTCAAGAATGCAAATTCTCGAATTGCAATATTCAATCTTGAAATGCTCAATCGTGCAGAATCCAGAATAATGGATGCTATTGTGAATTCTAATAAAAATTATCCAACAAGACTGTCTTGCAATGTTGAATCCAGATTAGAAATTCAGGTTGGTAACTTACAGCACAATCCATGGCTTTGTCAACATTGTGGTCAAGGCAATCTCGCATGGATTACAACCAAAATTTGGAATATGAAAAAGTTTCCATTGGCATGTTTCATGTACAAATACAATTTGAAAAAGACCACTAATGCTATATTTAAAAACTTTTTATGTGATTATAATAGATCGTATTATCTATGCGAGGCTTATAGTCATTGTTTCTATTTTGCTTTGGAATAGATAATGTTTGATATTCGTTGCGCTCTTTTACTAGAAATTTACAACTCTCGATCATCTTCAGATACAACGCACATCATATAATACAAACTATACACACTCATTTAATGTATCCTAAAAACAGATACATTCGCGTTCTAGTTTAAACAATAATTGTATATCCCAAAAGCATAACCATTGTCTCCATGCCAATCACATAATATCTGGCTTGACTAGAACTGTGATGTGAACATTGTTCAATTTGGTTATTCAAAAATGAACAAAAATCAATGAACTTTGTCAGAGTTTAGGTTACAATGTTGCTTAGTAAATTTGTGGTTGATTCATTGACTCGGAATGTTGCTCGTTTAACTGTTCCTGCATATGGACCTTATTCTAGTCAGCGTAGGTATTATTCATGGCATATTATTACCAGAGTACTGCTTTCTGATGACTCAATCTTTTAAATTGGATTGGTTGGAACTTGATCAACTCGCTAGCATCAAATGTATATCTCGTTGGAAGTGGATCGGACAGATTGCTGATTGATGCTGGAAATGGTCATCCTGGTTTAGCTGGTGCTCTCGAAGCTCATCTACAGATACAAAAAGCAAGGCTATCAGCCATTTTATTGACCCATTCACACAGCGGCCATATGGGTGGGATTTCTGACATCATGTCGCTATATAGCAGCCAACCACCCATTATTCATAAAATCAAACTTGATGGTTTTGACTCGGATGCTTTGACCATTTCAATGCGAAATATACAGAGTAAAGAATGCATTTCTACTCTTGATAAAAGCGTTCAAATTAGTGCTATATGTACTCCAGGCCACACTGCTGATCATGCCAGTTTTTGGCTTGCATCTGAAGGCATACTTTTTTCAGGGGATGCTATTGAAAACCGATCAACTGTTGTGATGGACAATGCACACGCAGTGTTCCAAGACCTGACTTCATACAGTAGATCCCTATCACATATTCAACGACTAGCACCCAGTCTAATCTTTCCTTCTCATGGAGACGTTGTTCAAAATCCTTTCAACCACATTGAAAATGCCATTGACCGACAGTCGCGAATCTCGAACCAAATTGAGCATATTGTTCGCAGTGCGCCAGGCGAAGCTGCCATTACAACTAAAGATATTATTACTGCATTCTCCGCCTCATACAGAAATGGTTTAGATATGAGCTCATCAAATCTAACCAAATTTGCCACTGATGAGTTCTGTATTGCTGGCACAATCCGACAGCATATTTTGGCACTCGAGTGTCGTGGTATTTTAAAAAGACAACCCACTATATTTGATCCGACAAAACGGACCAAAAATGGTATGGATCCTACAAAAATTAAAGGGCCTGGAGGACTGACTATGGATCGTATTTTTGGACATGTCCAAGCAAGTCGTCGCATGGACTGGGAAGCAGACAAATCAAACAGAAACAAGACTACCGATTATATGCACGATAGGATTCAAAACAGAGTTTCTACACATCCAATTCATGCCAATGTGGATTTAAGTTACGATGTATTCTGGAAATGTAAATAAAGTATTGTAGTCTAAACCTTTATTTGTGCTGGTTCAGTTGTGGCTTGAAACCCAATGGTAGTTGGCCAGATCTGTCTAGACTAGCACTTACTTGAAAGTTGTCTTGATACACGAACCTATCCAATGTCGAATGACAGATGAATGACGACATTTTATTTTCGCTTTGATTTTATCTCCGGTATCACTCTTTCACTAGCTGCAAAGCAGACCAGAAACAAATATGCCACTGGTAGTTTGTGAATCCATTTTACTCGAGTCAATACATCTTACACAATAGTTGTATTTAAAACAACCGTTGCTATCCAAACACACTGCTCACAACAGTAAATCGATCGTATGATAAGCTTGACCGAACAGAGTTTGTAGTGATTGGCACTAATCAACCCGAAACAACAGATCCGGTCAAGCAAACGGTTGAAAAATAAAAGTCAAGCTGCGGAGCCTGAGTATGACACCTGACACCTGACGGCTCTATTGAAGGGTAATTATGATAATTAACAATATATAGTTAAATACAGTATATTTGGTGCTTTCAATTATCCGAAATAGCTGACATGAACCCATACACAGCCATGATGATATGCAAGCAATCTATTAGCATACGAGCCGTGCAATTGTAATAATTAATAGGCTGTTAAACGGGCTTATGCAAGCATCACATGTCTGACCCTGAGATTAAATGAACAAAAAATTGTTAGCAATGTCTTGGTCAACAAACGATTGTCTAGTGTCAAACCAATACATTCTGTATACTTGATATATGAACTGGCATAGTTTACAAATATCAATATATTATCAATCGTATCATATTGAGTTAAACTGGGTTTACAAGAGTTGGACTAGATGTTGCGTTGAATAATGAAATAAATTGGCATGGCTTGTGTGGCAATGGAGAAGCTAGTAAATCTACAAATCCTCCGCTTTATCTACCCTGAACATATGCCTCGATCCAGTTAATCTTGCACAATATCAAGCATTTTAGTAAGAGTAATGCAAAGCATCCAAATACGACAATTCCAAGCATTAGCAGTGCCAATTAGGATTAGAAACCACAAACAGTATAAAGATGAGTTGTCAGTCGCCACCGAATATCATCAAACTGATATAAATCAACAACCCAATCTATACAGCATTGATACATTTCCAAATACATTTGAATAGTGCATTGCAATCACGATGAAATTTTCATTATTAGCCATTGTTTCTGCTGGTTTCGCTCTTGTCGATGCTCAAAGGAATAAGCTTGGTATGCAAATGTGCTGATCAAATTTGTTTTTATGTTGGGTTTGCCAGTGTTTGAATTATGTGGCCATTTAAAATTGTACTAATTGACAAATATTACAGAACCTATACCTGAATGGCTTCCGATCAGAGAGCACCGTGATGTTGGCAGATTTTTTTTCATGCCATACACTAGCAAGCAACAAAGCGATTTGCTGGACAGTGTTGAAAATGGGTTGAAAATGTGGGTTAACTATGAATCTAAAATCAAGAATTATGGTGAACGCGCTGATCCCTTCCCAATCATCAAGAAACTGCGTGAAAAGTTGAATGCATCTGTAATCAGTGATACTGAGATACAGACTGAGCTCATGAATGCTTTTAACCGTATGCGTGATTTAAACACTCGGTTCCAATCTTCTGGTCCTCACACTTGTTTCTTTGCCACGACTGGTCTCTTTTTCAAATTTATCGAGGGTGATGCAGATATGCTCAAAAAACCAACTGTTGTTTTTCAGCGTCATACAAGTAGTAAAAGTCTGCGCGCCTTTTTCGGAAAAACTTATGACCAGATAAATGTTGGCGATGAGTTGCTTTTTGTTGATGATCTACCATTTGTTGATTATTGGGCCTTGAACCAGGATAAAACAGGTGGTTCGAACGACTATGCTGGCCAGCGCGGTGCTCTTAATTACATGTCCTATCGTAGCGGCGATTTTCAACCTATGCCAAAATTCAACAGTGTCAGATATCAGCTCAAGTCGGCAAAAAGTGGAAAAAAGTACAGGATCTATGCGCCATGGGCAGTTGGATTTGACCCAAAATGCTGGAATATAACTAGTACATTGTATGCCACTATCACTAAAGAAGTTCTACCCGGAACTGCCAACTATAACGCTCCAAAAGGAGAGCCATTTGACACTGAATCGAATGTCAAAGTAAAACGTCATGTGGATATTTCCAAACCGATCGAAATTCCTTTAGCGCTACCTGGAAACTATCGTGAAAAGCAAAACTTTGCCCGTATTATGGATGAAAGCAGTTTAATTAACTCTGCTCTCGAGTACCACAATACCAGCGTGTCGGGTGTCACTTGGGCTATCTGGAAACCCGAATCCAAAAACCTTGGCGTCATTAAATTGAGCCACTTTTTGCCATTCCACTTTGAATTCGGTAGACTAGGAGTTGAGGAAGCCATTTTCGAAATCCATAACCTTCTTAGTACTGTGCTCAAAGATACCAATGCTATTGTGTTTGATGTCCGCGGAAATACAGGTGGCATGTCCGAGTTTGCTAATGGTATCCTACAATTTTTCAAGCCTGACTTTCAGCCAATGCAATCAAGGTTTCTGATGAACAAGCTCACGTACAGCACTCTGGTTAATGGTACGCGTTCTTTTGACACTGCTATTGATGCATGGAACAAGACGCCTCCTGGCAGCAAGTATTCTATTCCTTACAACATAAGTTCGTTCGATAAAGCAAATCTATACGGCCAAGCCTACCTCAAACCCGTTGCTGCACTCACCGATGCTACATGCCGCTCTGAATGCGATTTGTTTGTCGCATCCCTTCAATCATCTGAAACTGGGTATGTTTTTGGCGAAGATGGAACTACTGGTGGAGCTGGTGCCGACGTATTCAAGCTTGATCCGCTTCTGATGTTTTTCGATCCAACTGATTTCAAAAAAATGCCCTACTTTGACTATCTATCCACTGGAAATGGCGTTGATTATTATACCAACACCTTTTCAATTGGAGTTCGGCAAGTTGTGCGTAACGGCAAGCATCAAGGACAGCAGATTGAAGATGTTGGTGTCATATCCGACTATATTGTACGTCCCCGTTTAGCAGATATACTGCCTGGATCCACTGAAAACTCTCAATTGGATCGTATTGCCGATCAGCTTAAAACACTGGGCGAAAAAACCGGACAGAATAACCTCCATTTTGCTTCAGAGCTCATATATTATGACATTACTGGCAGTGATGTAGATATAGATGTAGAGGTTCAAGGGATTGATGAGCTGTCGGCCATTGATGATAGCACTGGCAAAGTGCTATCAGTTGCCAAGTTTAAAAGCGACATAAAAAGTCAGCACAAATTTGAACTCAAGTCTGTGATCAATGACCTTGGCAACAATCGGATCAGTATCATTGGCAAAGCCAAGGGTAAACAGGTTCTTAAAGCCTACAAGCAGATTCGTCGCGAGCCAAAGCCAGAAGAATATTTCAAGCTTGAGCGCGGTGTCAAATGGAGTATTAACAGTACTTCCAAATCTGTTGGCGTATACAACTCATTGTCTACGGATAAATCAAAGGGATGGAACTCGATGAACGGTACATGGGTTATTGGTGACGGGGTAAAGTACAGTCCTGGAATATTCACTGAGCTCACGGCATATTTTTCTGCACCAGTCGACTCTGATGTCGATGCCGAGTTTAACTTTACACTTCAAACTCAACAATATGGTGACTATCTGAGTCTAAATGTCAAGACCGGCGAAAAAACTCTTTCATCGTATTTTAATACGATATTTCCTTCCAATACGGAATTGTTTCCAAATGGCATCTCTGGGGTTGACGGAGGAAAGTCTATAGTTCCATTTACAGTCGCAATAGAAAAGGCTTCTATCAGTTTCTTGTTTCGATCGGATCTTGCTGTCGAGATGAAAGGAGCAACAGTCGGTTCTTTTACTCTTACTCTTATTTAAGATGGCCTTTTGTACGCATTTTATTGTTCAAGTATTGAATAAATTGACACTGTTACCGAATATTTGATTACTGGGTTGCAAGGCTGAATAATGTTTATTTTTAATGTCTGACGTGAGTGATAATAACTCTAGAACAAGCACATTTAATGCTATTCCGTTCTGCAAGTTTTTTTTTCAAACGGACATTATAGCATTGGGTAATCATCATAGAAACAATGGTTACATCTCTGAGACGTCTGCTCCTTGTTCTCTTGAACTAGAGCGCAAGCATATTTGATATTAGGATACAATGGAGTTTCTTCAATGGCAAGATAAATACAACTGTAAAATGTTCAGTTCCAAAAATATTTCTATTTATTGACGAGTCTATTTTTCAAAATGGCAATGCCAGCGAGTAATTCAAGTTCAATCGGCTGCTAGACCATATAGGATGTGCCAATAAGTGTGGATTTAGCTAAACTAATATTTCAGAACTCTGCAAGACAGAAACAATCCATGTGCACATGTCTCGATATCAGCGCAGCATGTGCCAACTAAAAGGATACAATCTGTAGCTTGTCAGCACTACACTTTTGTGTAATGTCGAGGTGATCATGCAACCACGTCATGCCAGCTATATTTCCACTAGTCGTAATCCGCTCGATCATCGGCAGACATGGAGTAGCACATCCAGACTCGAATAACACATCTGCAATTTCCACTTGACCACTTTCCAAAGCAGCTTCCAATAAGGCATTTACTGGTGCAATGGCAATTGATTTTGTGTAATATTCTATCAGCCATCTGTGGCCATGTCTTGCTGCCATGAGCATGTCCTCTTCATGCGGTTTCAACGCGGTGTTTTCGCAGAGCCAAATGAATATTTCTAAATGGCCATGCTCGGCTGAAAACTCTAGTGCTTGTTGAGATCCGGTAGCATTCGAATTGGCATAAATCCACTGAATACAACGCAAAAATCCATGTTTAGCCGCGCCATCCACTCCATCAAAAGTCAATGGACCGCCAATGTCGTGTTCAACTGCATACTGTAAAAGATCCAAATCTCCCATTGACGCACTGATATTCTTGATGTCATCAAATGCAGTGTGTGTCCAGTATGTTTGGTCTTTCAACAGCCACCAAACAGCTGCGGTTTTACCGCATCCAAGCGCAAACTGAATAGCACTTTCCGATATAATATGCTCGGATCCAAGATCGTTGATATGTTTTACAATCTCGACATGTCCTCCAGCAACTGCACCATATGCAGTCAAGCAGTGGCCTGTTCCATAATCACACAGCATCTGCAGAATCTCCATATGACCATGAAGACCTGCAAACAAAAACGCATGCCACGATGGTTTGACTTGGTGGGAAAGCATTTTCTTTACCAGATCGACTCGCCCTAATCCAGTAGCGCATTCCAGCACTTTGGTAGACACTCCTGAATCTTGAGTTGAATTCGCCATAAACAAGTCCAAAGCTTCATTGAGCAAGCGTAACGTCACTGGATCAATAGTAGGCATACAAAGTTTAGCTATGATTCCTCGAACCGAATGAGTATCTATCGTCCAGTCAACGTCATTTAAGCATTGGCTAGTGTTTGCAATGAGTTCGTATCCAGGAACTCGAGAAAGTTGGTTTGCTGCATCCCACATTTCTTTTGATGTTACAAACATGGTTTCAAACGACATTTCCAAATTGAATAGCTGATTTGAAAGAATATCGATACTGTTGGATTGGAAGCATTCAATGAGGATTTGAGTTGCAATAGGTCTAGAAATAGGCAGTGGAAGCTCGTGGTGGAGATATTTTGTCAGCAGGTTTGACCAGTCGTAGATGAGCATACGTATCTCGGTAGGAAGCTGTCTAATCATATCCATGAGGTCATGAGCACCTACGAATCGACCTGAGCCATTGGATTGCATCTATATGCAACTGCGATACTAGACTCGAGTTCAAAAAGCTTGAAAAAAAGTTGAATATTTATTTTTACTGTGGCTGAGAACACCGCGTGTCAAGCACGTGTTTTATGTTGGTCAAAGCATATTTTGCCACCAGACTCGATCTGAAGGCTCGACTGGATGACGAGCAGGTTACGTAAATCTTGTGTCGAGTGTTTTGAATCTAAAAACGGCCAGTTGAAATTTCTGACTCTAACCAACCACTCGGATCTAGCCAGATATTCCAACTTATGTTTCATATGCAATGACAAATCCAACTGCTTATTGCTCTTGAAATTTCAGCATGGATATTTAGTCGCATTCTAAAACACCAAGACAGGGTATTTGGTCGCATCCTCATTAGATTGACAGTCTAGGCCGGCTAAATCAAAGTATTGGTTGCAACTCAAAGTCTCAGTTTTTACACCACTGTGGATGTTGGAATCCGAATCAGTCGGACTGCAGTTGTATAAACTTGGTTCATCACACGACTTTAACCAAAACAGGGCTCAGTCAGTAAGATCTACTCATGTTTAGCTATAAACTATCCATTTAAACAACAATGTATGCGCAGTACTATTTAGTTTATTGAATCCAAAATTCATACAGACATATCCATGGCAATCTTGTTATGGGGAGTATATCCAACCACATCTATATGCTCATATTCAAAAGTCTCCATTTCTCGTACCAAGCGAGCAACTTTTTGTGCTGTAGATTCAACAGTATCAGATGACTGAGTTCCTGTATCGTTTCTTTTGATGAATATTTTGGGAAAAGGTCGAGGAGTGCGTTCCAGTTGTGTTTGTAGTGCATCAATGTGGTTGCAATAAACGTGCGTATCTCCGAGGCAGTGAATAAACTCGCCAGGTTCAAACCCACATACATGAGCTAGCATGATTGTCAGTAAAGAATAGCTAGCTATGTTGAATGGTACTCCCAAGCCCATATCACACGATCGCTGGTAGAGCTGACACGAAAGTCGAGGTACTGGGTGAGTTTCTGACGGAGTTGATACATATAACTGAGCCAATATATGACATGGAGGAAGAGCCATATCAGGAATTGCTAGAGCATCAGTAATGTGAAAGGTTGCAGTTGATGTTCATCGATTATTGTATCGGACATAAAATATAGCGAGTAAATTGTACAAGAGTAAACAGCATGGTTTAGGGTAATGGAAAGAGTGCAGATACAAACACTTGGAAAAGCAGACCAATAACCAAATACCAGCAATGCACTCACCAAGAGGGTTCCATGCACTGAGAATAATACGACGGTCTGTAGGGTTAGAAACAAGTTGCTCAATAACCTTCTCAAGTTGATCGATCCCTTTACCAGTGTAGTCGGTATCAGCATTCTCATAGCTAGCACCAAAATGTCTCCACTGAAACCCATAGATCGGACCAAGATCACCTTCCTGACGATGTCCAAGACCAGCTCGATCCAGCGCTTCCCGAGACCCATTGGCATCCCAAATATGTACTCCTTTACCAGCAAGAATTTTACTATCTGTCTGGCCTCGAATAAACCACATCAGTTCCTCAAACACTGGACGCAAGAAGGTACGCTTGGTTGTCAGCAAGGGAAGAGTGTTGTCTGCCAGTGAGAATCGGAGTTGTGGAGGAGCAAACAGCGACAGAGTGCCTGTGCCAGTACGATCCTTGCGCAGGTCACCCGTACCAATAATCTGCCGTACTAAATCCAGATACTGCAGTTCTGGATGAGGATTAGTGGTATTGGCTTTCGTAGTAGAATTGGATTCTGCATTGGCATACATGGACTGAAGCATTGTGCACAAATGACAAGAAATTAAGACAATATTTCAATTGTATTCACGTAAAATGGTCACTTTTTTGTAATCACTTTTGGAGTAAAAATAGCCAAATATCCAGTTTTACTATACAGATTGACTTGAATAGACATTCTGTGTCTGAAATTGCAATCTGTACAATTCATTTATATTCAATCTTGATAGGATTCAAGCATGGACACTACAAGGCTCTACCTCATGAATTGTTAATGAGCAGTTGGAAGATCATGTCGAATCTGCAGTTGCAAAATCCAGCACAATTTTCAATCAAATTGGCGTGGATTATCATTTTACGAGACTAACTGTTTATTATACTTTGACTCACTTTAGTATTCTATTCTGCGTGAATACAATTGCAATACCCTTTGTTTCAATATCTTGGACACTATGTCGTTTACCGCTGATACTTCGTTTCCACAGTGCAAAACTCTTGTTTCCATACCATCTGATTCTATTTTGTCTGAGCCATCTTCAACTCTTGAGCCTGCTCAGCAATCATCGTCAACTGACCTGTCCTGTAGAATTACCAATGGCAATCCTTCTACTCCGCCCTCTGCTGTTAATGCTGTGATAGCTGCACTTGCCATTGCCATTATTTCTTACAGACTGACCCGCCAGAAACACCACATTCATTCACTAGCTAGTATAATGAAGCAGCTTTTCCCTATAAACTCCATCACATTATTAGCCAGACGTCGTCGTTCATTGATAGTTGTTGGCATTGTAATTTGTATATCGGCTGTCTGGATTCGCTCTCGATTGCGTTCGTCTTCCATACATCATTTTCATCAACCTCCAGAATCACATGCCAAAACTTTCAACTGGAAATCGTGGTGTTTTTCCCTGCTACAAAAACGAATTATAGACTACATTCCTCGTTCCAAGCGCTTTTTATCTACTAATACCAACACTGAATCGACACAACCATGCGCTACCATATCTACCGTAAACACTAGTGAAACTACTCGCCATCACTCTACTTTTAATCGCATATCGCGCCTATCTTCTAAAAAGCTGCTTACCATCTCCACTCGAAATGTAGGTCAATCCTGTATCCAAATCTTGATGTGGTCAAGTTACATTCCTAATTAGTGTGCTGACAACGTAATGATTAAATTGAAATGCTTTAGTTGCTTTTTTGGAATCCATCCCCCGATGCATGTGCTCCCAACTTTGCATTCAAGGAATCCATGCTTCCAGTGATGATTGAACTTCTCAAAACCCGAAAATATGAGATTACTTTGATCACATTGGTTAAATCTGATGCAGAAGAAGAGCAGGTGCGTCAATTGCTGCTAGATGAACGGCATGAACTTGTTAAATCGGGACTTGATTCTCGACGAGTTCTGTTTTGCTCTTCCCTGCAAGGTGTCGTACACATGGTAAAGCATATTGGTCCTGATGTACATGTGGACAGCAGAAGCTTATGCTTACGAGATCTATCCGCATGGGTGCCTCGTCTCGTTCACGTGCGTCCTGCCTGTCATGGTCAAGAAGTTGGAGGCCATCTCAGTGCAGATGGCATCGATACCAATAGCAGCAACTCTATGTCTGATAGTCAAACTGTTAGTCGGTATGACTCTTCTGGTGCTCAAGTCCAGTTGGCATGTCCATCCATTGTATATCAATCACAGTACGGCACTGCCCTGGATAAATCCCAGCAGTCTGCAGTAGATACCAGTACATTAAAACGTTCATCTTCTTATACAATGCGATATAGCCATGCCAATCCAACATCAAGCAATACTCATCCGGATCAATTCTTGTCCATCTCTTTGGCAGACAGACACAATGATGGTGTAAAGGAACAACGCGCTTTCTCACCGCCACTACTAGATGGTTCTAAACTAATGAAATCCCACAACAGATTTATATCGACCGGGACAGTAGATACAGCATCTATCGTGTCGGAAGAAGAGAGTGAAGATCTAGGGGCTTTTAAAAACGTGAGCGTGATTGAGTCATTTGCAGCATTTAAATAAACCAATATCCTTGCAATCGATGGAGAACGAGTGTTATTATCAACAGATCTGATTATAGTCGCATTCATGTGAAATGAAGCAGTTGTATTTATCTTGTGGCTGTCTTTACTCTGGAATAAAAAAACATTTAAATATCCGCTGTGCTTTCCCATTACAAACTGGCTTTAATGAGCATTTCCAATGTCTGAAATTGTACACTGTACAAATCATTTTTATTAACCACTTGACACGGCTTGGTCAATGCAATCAACAAGTTGCGTCAAGTGCTGAGGAAAGGAATACGATCAAAGTGGTCATATGAAAAGAATACCGAAAAGTGGCATTGATGTGATACTATTGAAAACAATGTATATTGTTCTGTAACACTGTATCTTTCAATCGACCTTGCTAAAAGAGTTGCCATACTTTCTCGTCGTAATCGACAGTCAAATCCGAGTCATTTTTATGATTTTCTTGCCAAGCGCCAAATCCACCACGCAATACCTTGACTGACTGCATGGAACCTTCCCCACATGCTGTCAGAGCATCCATATACCGGGTTGCACACTTGGGTCCTCGTACTGACATACAAAATTCGAAATCAGCATTTTAAACTTTTACACAATCAATTGACAAGCGAATAGATGTAGGGTGTAATGAATCAAAATAAAACAATCAGCTCTTGATTTTGGCATATGTATATACACCAAGAATGGCTGCATCCAAGTAATGGAAAGAAATAAACAGTAGAGAAGCAAGCGATCACGTAGAATACAGCCAATAATGGGTAGCAACGGAAATAAAAATAGAAGTGTCTCGAACAGATTCGATTTCCATTGGCATCAACAAGACGGTATGACAATGTAATTAATCTGTGAATAAAGCTGATTACCTTGGGAAAGTGCACAATGGAAATACAGTTTGGGAATATGCTTGAGCTGTGCGACCTGCAGTGGAAGGTTTTCTAGAAACTGGTGCGACGGAATGTTCTTTGCACCTGGAATATGTCCACCCTATTGGAATGAACAAGATTTCCAGTCATTGTAGACGAAGCATAATTCAATCGTCATTCCCGATAAATAAAAATTCATGCATGCGTTGATGGATGTGAAATGAAATTAGTCGAGATAATAGTTTAAAAATACAGATAAAGCCAGAGTATGGAAGAATCTAAATGGATAGTAGTTGTAGCATGGATCAATACAGATATACTGCAAATTGAATGACTGCCAAGCGATGATGACTAGAATGGATTGGGTATAAAAACATGGTTTGTGGAGTGAATGGTGCTACCAGTATATAAAATACAGCCCGACTCAAGTATAACAAACTAGTGAGCTGCAATCAATAGTAAATCCAACTTGTGAAACCAGCCTACGCAGTCGTTTATTGCAAGGCAATACTTACAGCAAAGTCATCACTGCGTACATCAATAACCATATAGTCCTGGCCAGGTTTCATTGAAGAATCTTTCAACAGACAGACTAGCTCATTCTGTTCTGCATACAAAAACGACATGGTATAGATTCAGACTATTTATTGTGGGAATGGCAACTGTCAAAATGCAACAGAATGGGAAAACACTCATAATCACGAAACACTCGAGTCAAAGTATAGCAGTCATTTGTAGTCTGAATTCAAGATATGAATTGGTTATAAATTATAAAAGTAGGCTTTATAGAATTCAACAGTTTATAACGTATGTGGAGCTACCACAAAGCAATTACAAGAGAGATGAGCGAGGCGACAGAAACGATCCATAATGACATGGTAGAAAATAGACCTGAAGCTCGATTGGCAATTCGATCGTTGGCCATACTTATCTGCATATTTCTAAACAGCACCCATGTACTTACTGGTGCAGCCCAATCTCCCGTATGTCCACCATAAAATGTCGAAAACATTATGGATTGAATCAAGAGACTTTTGTCGGTGGTCGATTTGGCACGATAAACAACATTGCCTCGGCTAATGGCACGGTTTTGGCCCTTATCGGTGTAGACGACAATGGAACCATCGCTTAAGCCTGGTGTGTTGAGTTGAACAAATATGGAAAGCGAGATCCATTTTCCTGTAGTAAACTGGAATGCTCCCCTGTTGATGGATGAGCCATAGATGCTGGAGCAAATGATATTTTTGGATCCACACATTTGATTGTTTTCTGCAACTGGGAGATATGCATATGCCTATTGTATTTAAACATGCATTCATAAGGGTTGGTTTAGTCGGATCGAGATTGTTAGCCTATAAACCCAAATGCAACCAAATCCCAATTGATTCATACCTCGCCGTTTCCTCCAGCCCTCCACATTAGACGCATAGACCAACAGGTAGTACCGTCAGATACCTCACCACCATTGCACATGTTTCCGACTCGTCCATCCGACCCAAACAAACCGGGCAGCTTGCCGCCTTGATTAAACTCAAAGTTTGGTGATATGTAGATCTCATATTCAAGCAGCGCTCTCGATGCAGTTACTGAATGTGGATGAAAATAAAACTGAGCACCTCCTGGTGCGCTACCCATAACAGTTGAGTTATCCTTTGTATCAAGTGGAGACTGGTATGAGCCTGCGGGGTAATTGACTTTTAATACTGGCGTCTGATTTCCACTACTAGTTGGATCATTCACCATTTGCATGTTGGCGCCTGATACAAGGTCTACAATACCCCATGCTGGATTATGAGCCAGTGTCTCATTTTCAGTTTTGGACTGTGCTAGGGTGGTCATGTTAAGTAGCCAGGTGCTGTTGAAGGACAATGACTGGGCGAATGTAGCTGACATGTTTAATGACCAGGCACCTGCTGCTGTGGATACATTTGACATATGTGAATAAAAGAGAACCGATTTAAAAATACTTTCAGAAATAGAATGATACAGCTATAGAAGAGTATATGATGATGTAAGCACAACTGGCTTTGGATATGTTTGAGATATTGACAAGTCAGATATACTCCAAGTTTATTCGGAATTAGTTGTAAATTACAGCCACACTCGTATAAAGTGGAATACTTTTCTGCAGTCACTGCCTCGTTTGCTTCGGAATACAAGTCAAGTGTCCGTTGCGTATTTTTGGTAGAAACTGACCGCATAGCTTCAATAAACATTGAAATTACACGCTGTACAACCCATTCTTATTCAAGAGTGGACAGGAGTCAAGAGTGGAGTGTCGAGTTATATCTCGCGACATTGCTGTTTGTTGAATGGTTGACAAACCATGTTTAATTGGTAACCCTGTCGTCTTGTGAAATGGTATGTTGTTTGAAATAAGATGGGCGTTTGATGTCCTTTCAATGTTATTTTGAAAAATTAAAGCAATTCGCATCTCCCTTAATTAACCTCGAATACAATACACAAATTAAACTAGGCTTGATCTGACATCATATCCTTTTTTGGCATAACCTGACATTGTACGATCACCGAGTTCAAGAGAACAGTGATTGCATTCTCAGGAATACAACTATACATGACAATTGTCAGAAAATCATTCAACTGTCAAGGAGTTTAAAGCTCGACATTATCCAATAAATTAATATCAATCATGTCATGACTGTTTATAATGTACTTTAGCATCCCATTTTATCAATACAGTCGTAATGCATTCACACCAAGAACAATATCATTTTATTCTTGTATACATTGCGCATGCCGCAGTCTACCACATTCATAAAATACACCGCATAAAGTCCAATTGCCACATGAAATGAATTACTACTACAGCTCCTTGCTTATAGAGCTAGTCTGGTCCTTTTCTTCCTTCTGAATCACTACACCGTCAAAGGTATCAGACTCCAGCTGTATGGGAGGGATCAGCGCAAAGTGAGCAGGCTCTTGGTTCTCAAGAGCTTCCCGTCGTCGCTGGTCTGCAAGTTGGGCCTGTTGAAGCTTTTGAACTTGGATTTGGGTAGCTATATCAATAGCACCAATAACACCGGGATCTCGCTCTTCATCAGTAAAAGGAGGGAGTTTTCTGCCTCGATGAGCATTCGGGTTTTGCGAGGACATGACGAGAATAGATTGATGTATGGATGAGTTGTCAAGTCTGTTTTTCATTGGCTGGATTCAAATTTCAATTGGACAGTTTTTGATTGAATTCAACTTTGCATTATTATGAACTCTGTAAGTTGTTGTATGGAGGGATTGCTGCTGGTAGACTTTCACTAATCCATCAATGCACATCTGTGTTTAAAACTGCTACAGAGCTTTTCAATCATGCTCGAGTCTATCAGTGGTGTTGAGATTGCTGTTATTGGTGGTTCTGGTCTTTACAATCTCGACAACCTCAAAGTTGTTGGTGAGATCAACCCTCTTACTCCATGGGGATATCCTTCTGACCATATTGTCATTTCAGAGACTCCCAATGGTACAAAGATTGCCTTTCTTGCCCGCCATGGCAGAGGCCACTATCTCACTCCCTCGGATGTACCCAGCAGAGCCAACATTGCAGCCCTCAAGCACATTGGGGCAAGGGTTATTATTGCCTTTTCTGCTGTTGGCTCTCTTCGTCAAGAGATCCCTCCAAGAGACTTTGTTCTCCCTGATCAGATTATTGATCGCACAAAGGGCATTCGTCCATCATCGTTCTTTGAAAAGGGTGCTGTTGGCCACGTTTCCTTTGGTGACCCATTCTCTAACGATCTTGGCGATCTGATTTATAGTCAACGTGCTGCGTGTCCTGCTGGCGTTACTGTCCATCACAAAAAAACACTGGTTTGTATGGAAGGTCCCGCCTTTTCTACTCGTGCCGAGTCGCATATGTACCGATCGTGGGGTGGTGATGTAATCAACATGTCGGTTCTTCCTGAAGCCAAGCTTGCTCGTGAGGCTGAGATGGCATATCAAATGATCTGCATGTCGACCGACTATGACTGCTGGAGGGTTGAAGAGCAAGTTGTGACTGTTGAAACTGTCATGGGTAACTTGAATGCCAATGCTCAGACTGCCAAACAACTGCTTCTTGCTGTTATCCCCGTACTTGAGGAGGCTTTAAAAAATAAGACACTCGAGAGTGTCAAAGCCTTGGAGAATTCATCTGCATTTGCTGTCATGACTGCTAAACCCAAACGGTGTCCTGAGGCCATGAAGAAACTAGCTTATATTCTTCCCAATATTAACAATTAGTCTCGTTTTTATGAAATAAATCTACGTTTATGTTGGCCAATCGAGAATACCGTGATTTGCATTGCCACTGTAGATCCGGCAGTTCAAACAAATACAAGCTTTGTATTTCAACCAGAAATCTGAGATTTAGATTGCTTGTGCAGACCTTGAGAGCCTTGCTTCGACCACTTGGCTTGTTACTGATTGCAAAGACCAGCTTAGCACCAACTATACTCTTCACCTGACCCGTTTTTCACGAGTTATTTTGGTAATAGCAAGCAATCAAAAACAAGACTTACTTTATCCTATAAATTGTTTCTGGTTGTGCATTCGGGTTAAGCATTGTTTAACTGATATTCATCCCAATCTACTTCTACCATCACAAATTACATCTTGTCAAAAATAGACCAAATATCTAGTATTGCAACTTTAAAAGCCCAATCATCTGGCTCCTTAATAGCTCACCATTGAATGAACATTTTGAAAGCTTTTACTCCTGTTACCGCTGCCTTCTCTTACGAATAACATTAGTGGTATATTGCACCTACTGAGTTGCATAAATCTGTTTCCTGTAAGTGTATTGTCCAACTCGCAAGTGATTGATGATGAATTAGACTACTTTCCACTGTAATGGCATGTTTCTGTGAATCTCTTGCTTGCTTGGCCGTGTTGTTTCTCGACAGTTTTGTCATATCCATCTTTATCATCGTTCTAAAAGCAAGTACTTTCAAACACCACATTAATTGCAATTATCTCAACTCTCTTGACATGTATTTCAAATTGTTAGATCCTCTACTGTTTTCTGCAAAGGGTTTCTAGTACTGCACATTTAAATTCAATTTACCGTACTCCAAGTTAAACTAGTCCATAATGGCTGATACGCTCAACTCCCATTTTAATCAGACTGCAAACGATACTTCATGGATGGAACTGATCTCTCGAGATCCTGGACTGCGAGTAGCACATCTAACTTATCTGCTACTGGGTAAGACTATTGAAATGTCGTAGTTTACTCTTCAACGCATTGATTCAATCTAATATACATCGATTTGCCTCGAAAACTTGGAATTACTGATTTTAGGCGTATTCGTCACATGCTTTGGATTCGTTTCACTGATCGTCAAGGACAGGCTTTACATGTCTGAGGCCATGGTCGCAACCTTGTTTGGTATTATTATTGGTCCAGTAGTAGCAAACATATTCAATCCAGATTCGCTGTTTCCGGGCCAAGTTGATCACGTCACTCTAGAGTTTTCTCGCTTAATTATTGCCATCCAATGTCTTGTTGCTGGCATCACTCTTCCAGGAAACTACCTTTGGAAAGAAAGAAAAAGTATTGCAATGCTTCTGGGACCTGTCATGCTCTACATGTGGTTAATGTCGGCTCTAGCTATTTGGGCAGTGTTTAGCGTACCGTGGCAACTTGCACTTGTGATTGCTGGGTGTATAACACCTACTGATCCGGTTTTGGCCAATTCAATCGTAAAAGGAAAGTTTGCTGAAAAGCATATTCCGTATCATGTCCGTCTACTGATTTCAGCAGAGAGGTATGCTATATTATTGATTTGTAATTTAATCTTGGATCTGATTGCCTTTCCATTATAATATATGCTAATCAAGGCAAAACTTAATGTATAGTGCTATCAATGATGGATTAGGTGTTCCGCTTGTATTTCTTCCCGTTTACTTGTGGAGAATCTCCAACACTGGCGAGGCTATTGGATGGTGGATTCTCAACGTGATTATCTACCAAATTACTCTTTGCGTTATTTTTGGTATACTCATTGGATATGCTTCACTTAGAACGCTTAAATATGCCGAGTTGAAGGGATGGATTGACAAGGAATCTATTTTTGGATTTTTCATTGCCATTGCGTTGTTTACCACTGGCTCACTTTCGGCCCTTGGGGTAGACGACATTCTAGGATGCTTTTTTGTTGGTACAGTGCTCTCCTGGGATCAATGGTTTAACCAACAGATTGAGGAAACACATATCCAAGAAGTATTGGACGTGTTAATCAATATTGCCTTTTTCATATACTTTGGAACTCTGATTCCATGGAGTGATTACACGACAATGATTGGTACATTGTCGATTTGGAAATTGTTTCTTGTGGCCATTTGGCTGTTGTTGCTGCGTCGACTTCCAGTTGTCATGCTACTTCGACACTGGATTCCAGCACTTGGGAGCAGAAAAGAGGCATTTTTTTGTGGATGGTTTGGGCCCATTGGCGCTGGAGCAATCTTTTACTGCATGACCGCAGTCGTATATCTAGAAATTGATTTGAAACCCATGTTTCCAATCATTTCATTTATCGTTCTGAGCTCTATCTTGTTACATGGTGCAAGTGTTGGTCTGTTTGAGTTTGGTATTACAAGGCATTCCACTTGGCAGAATAATCGGTTGTCTCGACAAATCTCTACTGCAATGAGAAATAGACAGCCAGTGGTTTTAGGCGAGGAACAAACAGAGTCGGACCATGGCAATAATGATGAGCGTGGAGGTGATAGATCGGGTAGTGGAGGATTTCAGCCCATTTTGGCAGTCTCGGAATTGAACGTGTCTAAATCTGCTACTGAAAGTGATGCGGTTGCTACCAAGACTAATCAGTTTAACCCAGGCAGTAATCAGACTAAACCTACTCGAGAATATTCCATCTATCTTGGAGCAAGTACTGCAGAAATGGATTTGGAGACTGGAGTTGGCGCTCCTGTTCATTCTTTAGCTTCATCAAGCATACCTTCAGTTGAAAATAATATCAGTACTTCAAGGAAACTCTTCCACCAATCCAATACGACTTCTGCCGAGTCCGATTCTCCGCCGCCTGCTTCTTTGCATCGGTCTGACGCGAGCGATGCGATATTAAATGGTGACCATAGTCGCGATGAGTCGACTGATCCTGTGTACTCTATTGTAATTCCAATGACAAAGCTCACTACCCAATAGTTTCTTTTCTATATTTCAATTGTGGCAATCTTGAAAGTGAATGGTGGGCCGCAACAGTGATATTTAATAAACTATAGCTGTTTACTTTGTCAAACTTGTACTTTGTGTAAATTATCTCATCCGCAATGTATCAGCTCCAAATCATGTTCAAAATAAGATCCTTGATAGCAAAAAGTAAAAGAACTGCTTTAATCAACTAAAAAGCGCGAGACTGACAGGTCTCCAATCAGCAAGACAAAACGGTGCACAATCAAACTCGGCGGTTGCAACTTATTCAGCAGCGACAGTTTCTTTTTCAGCAGTCTCTTTTTCAGCAGTAGCAGTCTCTTTTTCAGAAACTTCATTATCAACAGTCTCTTTCTTTTCGACAGTTTCAGATGCCTTGGTGTCGGACTTTTTCTCTGCATCGCCAGCATTGGACTTTTTAGCATCTTCAAATGTGTCCTTGAACTTGTTGGCATCTAAACAGGTATGTCGTTATGTTAATAGCCAAACTACACATATGGACACCGTTGCAACAAACATGCCGACAGCCATGATCCATCACATACTTTCGCTATTGGCAAAACGAATAGCAAAAAGCTCCGAGGTAGGCGCGCCTTCTGAAAAATCAGCAGCTACGCTATACACCCATGACCGGTCAGATCCAACGTTAACAGTAAGTGTCATTTCAGACGAGACTGGTGAAAAAATGAACCAAGCCAATATTACAAGAGTGCAACGTGTTGGATACAGTAGATTGGGTCAGTATACATTCAATTCAAAACTGCTACATCGGCTGATTTTTAAAAGAATCATTTATCCCATACTTACCAATATGATTGGCACAAATTTTGTGAGTCTTGTCACGACGCATCAAAAGACGGATCTTGCCAGTCTCCTTGTGCTTGAGAAACTTGACGTCACCTGTACCACGCTCTTTCCATTCAACAAGATCCTTGTCAAATCGGAACAACTTGGCACGCCTGGAAACCAGAGTAATTGCATAAAAAATCGAGTTTAAATAGGTCAGTGCCAGCTACAAACATCACGGATTCACCAACAAATTCAATTCCTCGTGATGTGCAACGGGATGAACATCCATAGTCAATACAGTCAGATCTATCAATACGAGAACGGTGAATTTTAGAAACAAAGTATCAAAATACATTTTAAAAATGGCATCCTCGTCCTCCTCAAACGTTTTAATATCATCGAGCTGCTCAAGCTTCATAACAGGCTCGAAATGAACATCGGGAGAAGCTTCGACCTCGTCTTCACCGGCAGCTTCGGCCTTGACCTCCTCTACTGCCGTGGGCTTGTTGATAAAATGATGTGAATATAAAATAAATCAGTATCAGCAGGCATGTAAGCCACATGGATAAATGATTCAATGATGAGGATCATCTAGATCGAATAGGTAAAGATATCTGGTGAAAGTAGGATGTCAGGACCTTTCATATGTCCTCACTGAGCTGATTCATCCAAAGTTGACGAGATTGCTATAAAAAAGTCCAACTCTGGAGTCCCACTAACAGCACTGTCTTTTGATCCCTATGCATCCAACTCTTGGAAAAAGACATGAAAATGCCAGTTAATGAAGTAGACCAGTGTAGACAGATGCTGATATCTTGGATACAGGCCATGTCAGCACATGGAGCGGTTTTAAATTGCAAAACTAGGTTCCCAATACAACGACTGGAAGGAGAAAGAATGTCTAAGAGTTGAAAGAGAGTTGCCATGATATCTACAAGAATAGCAATCAAACAACTAATACAAGGCATAGAAACAGTACTTTGTCATGGGTAGTGTCTGTCATTGAAAATTGCTACAGCTGTGATAATGGGATGAGAACGAGATGAAAATATTTATTTATATTTCAACAATCCATTTTGATGGTTTGAAACCATTCTGATGGCATCAAACAGGCTGTTGCAGAATTTTAAAAACATAAGTTTTTGATTTGTAATACTGCACACTTGTTTAGGTTGGAATGTACTATACAGTTGCAACGCTGTGCTCTCGTGTCAGATCAAGATCAGCCAATGTTGGGTCAAATGAGCAACATTTCATATTCAATTGAGAAGAGCAACAAGTTCAGCAAACTGATTGTATCAACAAGTCAGATTATTGTCGTGGTACACAAAACACGATCGATATTCCTGCCATTCAATTCAGCACTCCTTTTCTATAAACCGAATATTGCAATATTAGCGATTGCATGAAAACAGTCGTTACATTCCTAAAACATGTAATACTTGTTTTCTTGAACTAGAACATAAATCTATCCAAGTTTTTAAGATACAATAGAGTGTGATTTTTCAAGTTTAACATTATCAAACAAACTCAATATCTGGATTGCAATGAATGAATCTGGCGATCGTACAATGTATGGTTGTGCCAAATAAGAACAATCTCAATTCAAACCTATAGTTTAATGACATGTGTCATGATGAACGTTGTGTTTTGAAGAAGCAGTGTAGCCAATTTGTAGCAAGGCAAAAAGAATATTCAACCATTGCATATTCCAAAGCAAAATAGGCATTGCAAGATACAAAAAATCACATTTTACGTGAATACGGTTGTAATTGCATCTGTTGATAAATGACAGATGGTTGTTGAATTTATAATACTAAAATATACACTTGTTTAGCAGTTATACAGATCCAAACGGATATGGGATTGCGTATATACACAAGGTATGCAAGACTTGAACTTTATGATTGAGGTTTTGGATACAAACGTGCTCATCTAGCTCTGCACAAAAACTTTTAGCAAAACAGACATGTACGTAATGGTTTGTCTGTTTTTTGAAGCAGATGTTTGGAAACCCAAAGATTACTCAGTTTCTGACTTCCTGCAAGTAACGTATCAATGGCATCAATCATATTTTATCAGTATCACTAAAAACGACATGTATCCCTGCCATAATGTCTAATCGAGTAACACATGTTTTCATGGAGTTGACCTGTGTTTTGGCACTTGAATACATTCTAACAAACAGTTTATTGAAACACTGAGCACAATGAGTCGCGTCTATACTTTTTTGGAATAAAAATAACCTGGCCCTGCTAGATCCAATGCGTTCAACCAAAACGCTGAAACGGCCGTAATAGCTATGACACAACCTGTACAAATACAACCAAGTAATACATGTATTTTTACGAATTCAAAGCGCTTACACAAGGAAATTCATCATTACCAAATATCTAGCTACTAATTGGACACAACAACCTAAGCGTTCGATGGCTAACATTGCAAACCACTTGAAAAGTCGATAAAATAACAAATGTTACGGAACGAGTCGTTCCAGTTGTTGATATAGATAGAGCCCAAGAGTAATAGTCATGGATTGTGCGATTTAATTCAAATCTATTTTGAAGTGTCAATCAAATCTTGATATTTTTAGCCTAGCTCAGTCCTGTATTACACGTTGATTATTTTAAAAACTGATATGCTTGCCAAAATCTATAGGGTCATTCTTGTTCTAATGGCTACCTACCATTTCGTGGTAGCTACGCCCTATTTTTCAGAAGAGATGTTTGATAGCCATGCTTGCGGTGACAGTAAACCTTGCAGCAATCTATATCGTAGAAACGAGGACGTTAATTCATTTGGGAAATACCCAGCGCTGTTGCCTAAATTCGTCAGCTATCTTTCCAAGTTTCTCCTCGGATCATCTGATCCCGTCCTCCAGCACCCGAGTGTTACTCAATACAAAACAACCCAAGCGTATACTACAAGCACTACGCAAACTATTGAACCTGAAGATTCTTGCTATCCTGAAGGCTATCCGATAAATTCAAATGACAGCTGCGCCGAATCCAAAACTATGCCTTATGGTACAATGACAGGAACGATGACAGCTACTAAAACTATGACATATCCCGTTTATCCAACGTACAAAAGTACTACTGATGAAGAAGAATCGACAACTGATGCTTTTTATCCAACGAAATCTGTCACATATCCTGTTCCAACACGCACTATCAGGACTACTACAACCACGTCTGTTTACAAGCATCAATCCACTGCCAAAACTCGTCTGGCAACTATATCCCAACCAAAAAAAGCAAGTACAACCAATTCCAATAAACGATCAGCCAGTTCCAATCTGCCATCTATAACTCCAACCCCAAATTGAACATAATCGATCGTTATGCAGTGTGTTTAGTTGGTTAAATTAAACTTGTCTGGATGTTTATTGAGCCAAAGTTTTTTGTTTCCCAAACCTACGTTTTAATTGCTATTTATCCATATAGTATTCTTCATTGCTGATGCTTATTTACAGCAAATCAGACCAACTCAATCTCTTGAATATTCTCCAATTTTAATTCAAATAAAAATCAAAGAAATTCAATTTATTTATGCAGTCAAGTGGAAACGAGTCAACTTTTTAAACCTCGACGTTTCTTTGCATACTCAGCATCACCCGACGCGCTGTTTGGCTTCGCTCAGTATTTTATAGCTGCACTTCAAAGTGGTAACACAAGTACAACCATGCAAAACAGTCCTTCTGAGGCGGTATGTTGCATTCGAGTTGTGTGCGTTGATACTGATATGAATGGCTTATAATCATTGCCATTACGGATAACTTGTTCGAGTTGAATTGACGGTGTTCATGTATTCATTCAACCTACTAGTTACCGCAGGATTCATATGGTTTGTATCGACAGTTTACTACTCAAGGCGAACAGTCTCTGAGTCAAGTTATATCCTATTTTGTCGAAAGGTTTGTTTCACCAAATGTCATACTCGATTCAAGTGTTGGTGCTCGCTATACCCTTGCAGAAATAGGCAGGATTATACGAATGTTCATTATACGGTCTATTCAACCATCTAATTCTTTGGGTCATGTCGTAAATGGGTATTCTGTATGACAGGCATCGAATTGAGACGATATACAGCGATTCATTAGAAAAACTTTCCAAGAAAACCACCATAGACTTGGGATCCTTGTAAGGTTTTTATTATAGGACTGCCAAGAATTACTGCAAGAGATGGCTTGTAGATGTTCGAAACTGATTGTATTTCTGACTACCATTCAAACAGTCAACCTGGAACAACAAAAACAATCTCGGAAGCATGGCGTCGCATAGGAGATTGCACTGGTGTGCTCATGACTGAACATCAAAAGCTTACCCACATGCTTGACGGCATTGTGGATGAGCTTTCCAAAGAACAGGTAATAGTTTTTGTTGATTGCAAAGTATAGCTTTACAAACTATTGACGAGACCTGATTGTAACTGGATCAATTTGAAATCTACAGCATGCACAGGAAAAGGCGCTAAAGTTGCTTCGTGCAGATGTCAAGGCCACTCACAGGGAATACAGTGATTTGAGATACCATACAGTGCCAAAGGTATATTGGCATTTTAAAAAATATACCAATCGATGTTTGACTTTGGTTTTATTGATGACTGGCTGTTATCTAGGCCAAATCCAGCTACTACAAAAAATGCGAGGCAGCTGAAAAAGAGCCAAAAGAGACTGTCCCTGGCGGGGGAACATCTCAAAAATATCTCAAGTTGATCAAGGAAGCAACTTTGGCAGGTATATATTATCAGATTTTTTATTCATGATATTACAGTTGAAGAATCAATCATATATTGGCCAAAGATTTGCCTCTAATACAATCTGGATGGTCTAATTGCGAATTCAGACCAAGTATATCGATCTTCCATTCACTATATTGAAGAGGCAAGGGAGAAGCTACATATTGCTCGTCAAAAAGCAAAGATTGTAAGTTGATGTTTGAAAGTAGACTCGCTTGTAGTTTGACGTGAATCAATACAAGTGTGATGTTTGTCTTGTCTAGCCAACTCACTACCATGTACTTTGAATAGGAAGGAGAGCGGATTGAAAAAAAAAGAATCGTGACTACAAAACGTGTTTTAGGCACGTATTGTGATGCTGAATACTCCATCTGTCATCAGCGTACAAAGGTGATTTATTGCATGCTGCGTTCATGTCTTTGTAGCATGATTGTATTGGCTACATTTATCTAATCGAGTCGGCATAAATCTCTAAATTTAAACCAATGTAGGAAATTGAGTCGCTAAAGCTGTACGTTGAATGTGTCAAGGAAGATATTGACGTATCATTGCATAAGCAAGACTTTCAACGGGCTTGGCCAGAACCAGATCCTGTCTATTACGAAAATTTCAAGACTCGTATGCCAGCTAAAAGTATGGTAAAATCAAATTTGCAAGCTTTTAAACTCGACATTAACGACACCCAAGCGAATTGGTTTAAATATTTGTTACTTACTGTTTGGTTTTTACTTGACAGATTTAATTTTTGGAGTACCACTTGAAATTACCATTAAGCAATGTCCTGAAAGTGGAATTCCTATTGTACTGTCAAAATGTATCAGTGCAGTAGAGCAGAGGGGTTTGGATCGTGAAGGCATTTACCGCATGTCTGGAAAGCTTACCGAGACAAACGAACTACGACTTTTGTTGGAGACGGATGCGCTTACAGTAGATCTTTTGGACGAGGAGCGCGATGTACATGCTATTGCCAGTTTGGTCAAACAGTTTTTTCGTGAGCTACCACAGCCTATTTTTTACTTTCCAGCCAAGGAAAGAGCAGAGTATTCTCAAGTATCCGATGTGAATCAGCGTATACTCAAACTGCGTGCTCGTGTTAAATCACTTCCTAGAGCCAACCAAGTTTTACTCAAAGCTCTTGTTGTTCATTTGAAAAAGTGAGTAGTGAAGAGTCTAATTGAAGTTGTTGTCTTTGTAGAATGGCATGGTTGATGATCAATCTATTTGTCTTGTAATTATTAAAATATCTACAGGGTCGTTGACAATGTGGACAAGAATAAGATGACATCCTCGAACCTGTCGCTTCTGTTTGGTACTGTGATTTTCCAAGGACACCAAGACGGTCAATCAGCGGACCCATCTCACAATGGTGCAGGATCAGTGACAGCTGCAGGAGTGACTATTCCAGCCAACTGGCTGAAGCCGTTTACAAATCTAACTTCAAACGCCGACCACAAATCCTCATTGCCCGACTTTTCACAATTTGAAATCTTCAAGTCAGATTTGGTTCTTGAAGACATGATTACACAAACCGAATTCATTTTTTCAGCAAACATTCCACGACCAAGGCGTGTAGATGATGATAGCAATTCGCCTTCGATTACGGCGCGGTTATCATCCGACTCGGTGCAGGGATCGAACACTTCCCTTTCAGGCTCGAAACCGGCGTCATTACACCAGTCCGACACCTCGCTACCAGGTCCTGTGAGTACTTTAGGCGAGCGAAATAGTACTTTATCCCGTTCAGATCCTGCGACTCACAAAACTCTTGCAGGAGTGTTTGTGGACTCGTCGCTTAGTGATGACTCTGAAATAGATACAACAGATATACGTTTTTCAGCAGAGACAGGTTCTAAACAAAGCATGGTGACGGGTGTTACTGTTAAAGGTACACATGACAGTTCCAACGCTGAAAGCAGTCAGGGAGCGAATTCTTCTATTCATTCCGTAGTTGATGGCTCGATTGAGATTCCAAAACCAGCTGTTTCAACTGTTTCAAATTTAGATTCAGTTTCAACTGTGATGGATGAGCCTGCATTGGTTGCTGGTACAGATTCAGTTCGAGTAGCAGCCATATCTCCATCAGATTCTACTCACACCACTTCACCTGCGCGTACAACTACTGCTGCACCTTCATCTCCAGCTCGTTCCATAACAGCCTTTCCTTCGTCTCCTCGACGACCTTTACCTAGACCATCTCAAAAGCCAGCGTATGAACCAGTTGTTTTACCAGAGATCCACCGTGTCGGTCATGATTTTGAAGGGGCAAGCAAGGAGATTTGGGAGAATGCTGAGCGTGCTGTTCAAGCTCCTGAATCATCCTCATCAACTGTGCCGGCGACCCCCAATCAACCCGGACACACCGTAGTACCACATGACTAAGGAACGCCCCTTGGTTATTTTTAATCATCTTAGGCTCTTGACAATGAAAACAGTTGGAAATCAACTAAATTTACTATTGAATTATTCATGGGCAATGTTTCTGGAATCACAGTTGGTGACAATGGAGAGATAAATGAAAGAATGCCAGCAACCATCATCTTTGGTGTTCTTTTGAAAATAGCGATAGATTGCTGATTTGAGTGGCTGGATCATTTATTACCTGTACTTTCTGTACAACTACAATATGATTTGCTGACACGGCCAGTTGAACAACTTACTGCTCTCAACTCAGTATAGGACAATATTACAAATGAAACGCTTTTGCTTTCAAAATGCTGCAACAATAGCTTGCTTGGTACTATCTGAATGGTTCCAAAATATAAAAGTGGAGTTTTGTATGTAACCAAGAGTATTTTCCCCGTGTCGCTGCTGTAACATTTGGTTGGATTGCTACAATGTTTATCAAGAGTGGACAAGAGGCACATTTGATAATGTCATGCTTGGTAAAGCAATTCGGTTCTATTGACCGGCTTGCAAGTTGAATATTTTATATTTTGGGATGCATGGAGATGCTATGCCAGCATGTCAGGCAGGACCCGATCAAGGAAGCCCGGGCGTACTATGCTTGACATGTTCCAGGTTTCAGTAGCTTGATAATGGATGAAAGGTGTTTTTGGCATGGAACAAGTCCAGAGTGGCTGTGCTAGAGTAGTTATGACTGGCAGATGAATGGGAAAAGATGCCTTTATAGCACCATACATTTTTGAAAGCAAGACATGGAGGCAAAGGAGTATAAGACTGCCCCTATAATGACCAAGACTAAGCCCTTGATCATATCCATGACGTATCAGTTTATTCTATTGTGGAGTGCTAGATAAGGATAACCTAAGCGGAGAACAAAGCCAAATAAGAGTTGCTCGGCACAATTCTCCTGTAATTTCAATCTTGTGACCATAATAAAACAATTCCAGTACTCCGATACAAGCAGGTGTTGTAATCACAGCTTCCATCTAACTGGCTCAATTTGATACTCTTATTGTTTTGATTCAATAAGGTTTGAAGTGTCTTGTGACTAGGGTAGTCGAAGCTGTCTGAAATGTATATTTAGTTTTGATCACATTACCAACTCTGCCATGGAGTGAACACATGCTTTGAAGGCACAGAGCCATTGAATTTCAATAGTAGACTAGACGGGATCACAGTTATTAATAATACCTTGAAAATAAAGACTCGATGCAGAGTGGATTGCTGTCACAGGCAAAGCGGACTAACAAGCCCAAATTTGGTTTGAAGCGAGTTTCAACTAATATGGAGCATTTACAGCAATTTAAAATGGGATGGACAGGTGTTGATAAGCAATTGATGATGTCAAGATCTGTTATAAGCATTGCCATGTATAATAATCGCGTTGATGGCGCCAGATGGATGGCGTACTGGATCGGATACATTTATGGCTTGTGTTGGGCCACCTATGCTATTTTTAAATATTAGTTTGAAAAGCTCATCTTTCCCGCATTCCGCACTCCATATTTATTTGTAAATTTACTCTGGTCTGGTGGTCGTTCATTTGAGTTTTAAAGTCTTACAATTTACCAAACTCTTTGTTTTGCTGACAATTCAATATCTATAAAACCTTTATATTTATCCAAACTTATTCACTAGTAATAATTTTATTCAAGTACAACGTTTGCATTTTTCCGGGTGCCTCGATATTAAATAAATCTGAGCTTGTCGGTTGATTTTTGGCATACTAGATATCTCTGACTCTGCCATGATGGAGTCTTCCACTGTTGGAATAGCTCTGACAATGAATGAATCCGTAGCTCCAACTGCTCCAATTGATATTACTTTTACTACTTCCAACTCCAGGGAGTCGTCGTCTCCACAAACACCTCCGCAAACACCTCCTTTGGATCTGACTCAATCACAATCATGGCCATCCATGCCACTGATTCATCAGGGTATGCATTTACCAGAACCGAGGAATAGTTATTGGCCTTTTCCTCAGCCCAGATCATATTCAGAATGCGTACCTCCGATGCTCCATCAATTATCACTTGACGAACATTGTAAACAGATTCATCTCAAAAGTGCAAATGACATGTCTGCCTTTAAAGATGCTTCTGCTCCAGTAGCCCAACAAAATATATTGCTTGCACCGGCATCATCAATGCCATATGCAAGATCTCCATCTTTTTCAACACACCGGCCTTTGCCCAGACTGGAATCTCCGCGACTGACGTTAATTTCCGTTGGGGATCCGTCCATGGCCTCTCTTGATGAATGGGGACAGCTGCTACTGCAGTTATTTAACGAACCATCTGTGACGGCATCTGCATTTGTGCTGTTTCAAGCACAGCAGCTTACCAATAAAAGTCTTTGTGGCGATTGTCTTGTTCGTTCCAGCGACGACTTGCATTCACATGTGCATACTGAATACGACCCACAGACGCCATATCATGAGGCAGATAATAATCTAAACCACGAGCAGAAAATGGGTATTCAGCATCACCAAAGTGACCAGCAGCAACATTCATCCATATCAAAGTCAAGCCACGCAGGCCCCGTTACTACGGCATTACCCATGACCGGGAATAACGTGTCGGCCCGTGTTGCTAGCACTACCAATGACCAATATTTGGACTGTTGTCCGTATTGTTCTGACCACAATATCAGCCCTACTTGCCATCAAATAGATTCCGATCCTACCATATCTGGATGGTCATATGGTCATGTGCAGTCTCTTCTTCATCACAATTCTGGTGGCAGATGTGTAAATGGGCCCTGTCGCGAGCATCAACATCCAGATTCAGCATCTAGGACATATACTGGACCTTATAATAGTCATTGTTGCTCAACTACTGCTGGTATGTGGGAAGAAGCCAGAGCATGCGGTGGTGGAGTATGGGCTATCCAATTGCAGCACGAATCTTCTACTTTGGACAATCCTTACCCAGCTGCTCTTGATCACACAGATGCCAGTTTTTCCGAAAATCATCCGATAGCCGAGCTCACCAATGCTGTCAAGGACCAGCACCACATTTTTGATTCTGCGGATCATGCTAACCATGCGAGCGACTTGCAACCCAACCCAATGGCTCGTATGATTGGTCTTGTCGCTCTGTTTCCGATTCCTAGTCCTAATCAGCGCACTACCACTGAAATGATAGGCCGTGCACATGATGAACTGTATCTGGATGTCATGATTCTGCCTGCCTATCGTGGTCATGGTTACGCAACAGAGTCTGCCAAACGTGTTTTAATGGAGCATTTTGCTCCCTCTGCAAATGCCATTTCCACGCCTCTGCCATTCTCCTCGTTATCCAATACAACAGATGCGATATTACCAATTCTAAATCTTGAAGACCCATTGGATCATAAAGACAGATTTCCGCAGGATAATCTAAATTGTCTACTGCCTCTTCCACTGCTCCCCACACTCCATCTAACTCCTCGAACACCCCCACCGCCGCCACCACCTATACCTTTTTGTCAGCCTGCTAAACGTATTGTTGTTGCCGCACCGTCATTTTCTCAGCATACTGGAGATGGACCAAAACGATCGAATTCTACTGGCAGCAATTCGTCAAGAGTCTCTCCCTCCACATGCTGGACACCCACATCACCAGATACGATCCATATCAACGAATCTACCGCATCTCTATGTCCAACCTTGGTCACGGCGAATGAAGGATCGTCTGGGTATTTACAGGAAATGCCGTTTACTACAACAACTGTTGCTGCCACACGTGTTGCAGTCAAGCTCGGAATGGAACCCACACATTCGCGATTGGTACATCCGTCCATCAAACATATTCGATACGAATGCCATGCCATTGAACAGCAGGATTTCGTAGACTTATGGGTACAGATATAGTCAACTACATATCTTACTATACCCGACCAAGTTGAAGCATGTGCTTTGTAAATTGGTTTAGTTTTTTCTACATGTTCTATTTTTGCAATCTTTAGTTTTATCTTGCTTTTATGACAAGTGAATCAGATTCTTATGTTACATTGCCTTATTCCCAATCATCAATATATATTCTTAGTTTATGTCACTATTTTCTGAATGAGCTGGGGTTGCTTTTTGCCGTGTGGAGAATGAGTAGATTCACAGTTTAAAAACAAGTTCATGTATTTTTGAAATGGCCAGTCTACTGATGGATCGGAGTTTACAATCTTGAACAGCAGTAGATTGTCCGCCCACTACCGGTAACACCAATAAAAACACATTGAATATAACCAAACGATCCATGTTTAATTAAAAATGAGATCAATATCCGTAAGAAGCAAGTGCCTTTGTGACGGGCTCAAGAGCATCAGCAGATGCGGCAATGGCAGCAGTACGGCGACGGAGGAAAGCAAGTTTCTTTTGATGGAAAAGCTCACCCTTGGCCTTGCGCTTCTCTTCAAGACGAGTAATAACGTCATTGTATTTCCAGCCAAACTCGGAAGAAAGACGTTTGAGAGTGCAGAACTTGCGGCCAGGAGCCAGACGAAGAACACGGAGTGCTGCGGGGACAACTACACGCTTCTTGAGGTTGTATACAGGAGGGACACCTTCAAAAACCTTGAGACGCTCAAGAGCAGCGGCTCCACGAGGAGTCTTGTGGGGGATCATACCACGGACAGTGCGGTAGAAGATACGTGAGGGAGCACGGAAATGGAAAGGTCCACGGCGAGGGTTTACAACGCAACGCTTACGGAGGAAAGCCATATACTTGACTAAATGTATTCCAAAAGTGCACAATCAATGCAGATTAGTCGTTGTCTCAAAGCTAGATCCCTATATTCCCAATCAACAATAGCCAAAACTTACGCTTGTTACGGAAGAAGGGACCCGACATGTTGATCTCCTCACAACGAACAAGAACAATATTCTGGCCATTCAAAAGTTGCTTGGCAATGGTAGAAGCCAAACGACCAAGGAGATGTCCCTTGGCGTCAATGACGATTTCCTAAAAAGTCGGACAAGTTTAAATCATCGTTAAAACGTTATAGAATAAAACCAAGTATGATCCACCCAATGGGTTGCATGGCAAAAACAATTCGTCTTGCAGCGCCATAGAGATTCAAGAATGGGCTGCAAGTCAGCCTAGGGATTTGAAGTGGAACGCAGAGTAGGGATTGTGGAAAACAATCCTATGCATTTCATATGAGGAAATGCAGACAGGAAGCCATACGATCCATTCATGGCAATACTTTCAACAAATGCTGTAGTTTCCAGTAGCCGAATAAAAAACTGCAGAAATGGATAGCTGGCAGAAAACAGCACAGACTAAGAAATCCATGAAATTAGATATAGCTGAAAACTCATTGCCTTTTGTAAGCAAAGGCCATCTGATCCAGTTCAAGCCAGATTACTGTAGATTATAATCTTGTTGAACTATGAACGCTACTTGTTCACAGCATACACATGGCCACAGAGCAAACAAATAAGAGACCCATATAGTGATGCAGTTTTGTAGATGGGAATACTACAGGTGTCACAACAGTATACAACGGCAGGCCATACCTTCTCGTAGGCCATTTAGATAAAAGAGAGGTTAGTAATGCAAGAGAAAGAAGAATGCGAAGAGAAAATGGCAGCAAAAAGTAAAAAGTCACGCCCACTCGAATACTTTTGTTGGTGTAGTTATTTTGTCCAATCAGTAAAAATCCTTAGGAATTTCCAGCCAGTTCTTTAGCAATTGGTTCCTATCAAGTCTATAGAAAATTCTGGCAGGGCTCATGTGGTCCTCAGGCACTGTTTCACGTTACTTGCAATCGTATGAACAAAAAAAATATAATCACGTGAAATATGTCGATTGGCCAAACGTGTAATTCTCCGCGGAGAATTTTAAAATCTACATATAAACCAAGTCACATGATCACAACAATCTAATGCTCCAATTTGTTTGGATTTTGAAAGATAAGCTCAAGTGATGGAATACAGGATATTCTTATGGAGCATGACATGGCCATTCGGATATAAATTCCCAATAGATAATAGATCCTCATTTCCTGAGCGACTTGCGAGAACTTGAAATTTGAATTATTGCATGCAATCGTTTTACTAAGCCACTAGTATATATCAGAATCAATTGATCTTTATTCATTGCAATCGTATTCACGTGAAATAGAACATCGATCAAGGATGCCAAAGTATAATAGACGGCTAGTCCCATAAAATAATACATGTCAATTTAGCGACCAAATTGTGCTCATTGATATTTTCCTTGGTGATTGGATAGAAACAGTTGTTTCCGAGACTGCAATCATGTTTTTTAACTAGAGCGCGAGCGTATCTGATTCATTCAAATCTAGATATTGGATTCAGTTGTCTTGAATCAAGCTCGATTGGTGACCGTACAATATGACCATCAAATGAGGACAGCTCGAGCCTAAAACTATAGTTTGTATTATATGGAACAAGGACTGAGGATATCTAGTGAAAAAGTAAAAATATTCAACTATTGTTTATTTCAAATCAAAAAAGGCAGTGACTGCAAATAGATACAAATGTTCCATTTTATGTGAATACGGTTGTAGTGCAGACCATGCATAGTTGGGGTTAAAATATCAACACCAAGAAACCAAGCCTTTTCTCAAAGGTAGTTAAAATCACAAATATGCAAAAACAAAATGTGCAAAATAATAGATGTATACACCATGTTACCAGAGATGCAAAGAAACAACAAGATAAAAGCTGTTGATTCATCCGTCTCTCTATACAGGCTTTAGCTATTTAATCAGGTCTTGATAGAGATTTCACCATTGCACTTGACGGACAGAGAGCCAGCCCAGTCGAGTTGAGTGCCGAGAGCATTTACATCAGTCACGAATTGATTGCGAACTGTTGTGTTAAAGGTGATTCTAAAGTCACGCCAGGTGTCAACATTGGCCAAGTTGCTGTCTGGTTCTCGCTTTTGCTCTTCAAACCAAACCGCTGCGAATAGTTTTGGCATTGCTGCTCCGGCACCAACTGCGGTGTGAAGAATGGCATTCCACCATGATCGCTTGGATACCATTTCAAATTGAGTCTGATCTCCAGCAGGAACGACTTGTCCACCTCCAGTTTGATAGGCAGAACCAGTTTCAGATAAGATGAAAGGCTTGTGAGATGTTCCTGGGAAACGCTGATAAAAGTTGTGCATGGCGTCGGCTCCAGTAAGCGATACTTCACCGGGAGTGGTCAGGACGTCCACAGCAATAGGAGCAATCTGATGATTGTTGTCGTAGAGGTAATTGTATACAGAAACACCAACCCAATCAACCCATTCATCTCCTGGGTAATAGGGTCCATAGGGATCATCAAGTATGGTCAACTGGCCATCTTTGTTGGTATCAAGAGCAGCAAATTCAGCAGTTCCAACTGCAGGGGTGGGATCCTGACCAGGAACAGCACCAAATGGATAAGAGTTACCAATGTTGGGTGACCACAACATAGCTAAGAATGTAGATTAAACCATTGCAGACAATGGGGTTAAATACAGGTTGATAAAATACAGACAGCAGATTGATAGCATACCAGTCATGTTGGTGTTGGCACGAACATATGACGACAGTGTAGCAAATGCCTGAACATATGCTCTGGGACGCATGCCATGATTGGTCATCCATGGTCCTACAATAATACAAATAGAAATGTAAGGAGAAATACAAATAAATCACAAGCACGATATGTCAAGAACGCACCATTCATCTCATGCCCAAAACGAAGCAAAACAGGAACACCATATTGAGAGTTGATTTGACGCATAAGTGTAGCGTAGCTCCAGAGAATAGTCGTAGGAATGGTGTCAATGGGAGCAGTTGGCATAAGAGTAAGTTCTAGCATAGCTCCAACCTGTCCAGCCTGCTGGGCATTCCAAATAATAATATCAGACTGGAACCCAGTAGCATTGATATTCACAAATGAGCTGCAGTTGTTACAATAGTCATGAGTAGGCCCGAGTGGTTGACAGAACAAACAGGCACGTTGAAATCAATAATTGAATTCCATTACAATAGTATAAAGTATGTTAGCTTGTTGGTATAGCACGATCAAATCAAGCAGTAGGCACTCGACACAGCTTCCAAAATTGTTTGGTCAAGCAAGTAGTAATGCACCATAAACTGCAAATAGTGGCTGGTAAAAATGAAAAAGGGTTGCTACGCTTCTCAGCATCACCCTAACATGCTACTGTTGGGTATTAGGCAGTCCAAAACCATCAGCACTGCCCAGTACTCAACAGTAGCAGCCAACCCTCAAGTAGTCATTACAAACATCATGCATGCAATCAATGGAACTTGCTTGAAAATAACTGGAGCCTTTCCAATACGTTTGTTGAGCTGGTCGGGAACATCAACGCTCCAATCAAGAGAGAAGCCAAACCAAAAGGTTCCTGGAGGAGGCTCAAGTCTGGCCTTTCCACTGGCAACATCGTGGAAGCAAAGCGAAGCGTCTGCAGTTCCTGGAGGAGGGATAATAACAGGCGCCAGTCTGAGATCAGGTCCATAGAGGGTATAAACCAAGTAGGCCTGATAGCTCAAGCCAGCAATGGCGGCCAGGCCAGCAAAGGTTGCCTTGAGAGCAAAAAGAAGTCCACAACATTGTCTAGAGGACACCATTGACTTTCAATATATTTAGAGATGAATGGAAGACAGCAAACCCGAGTGAGGATATTTAATCAAACCGGGTCGATGTTGGAACAAAATTTGGAAACAAATGGGTTTATATAAGGCGGCGCCAGCCTACAAAAAAGCGATGATTGCACTCGTTGCTTGACCTTGCAATCAGTGCTGTGGCACTAATGTTTCCAACAAATCTGATGTAGAATTAGGTATGCGACAGGTCATTTGTAATGTATGGATTCTACCCGCCCTGACAATCTACTGTTTAAAACTCGCAATATTCAAATCAACCGATTGGCGTGTTTGTTACAGCCAAGACTTTTATGATTCTCCACTTTGGTCCCACAGATGAATCAACACAGCAAGTAAAATAACAATAACTTTATTGATTTGCATTATCCAAGCCAATAAAAAAACAATCCATTAAAATTCAAAAGGCTGCCATTCGCAGCTTCGAGCACAAGTAATTATAGCTAGCATCACCCAATATAAACAAGTCGTCCTTTAAAGTGCTGCTGCCAGACATGCAACGCCCAATAATGCTGCTGTAAGTCCCATCTTAACACTGTAACTCTCGCTAGATGACTTTGCAGCACCTGCAGCGCCTGCAGCAGCAGAGCTGGGCTGTACGCCAAAGCTAGCAGTCATGGAATGATGCGAGGTAGTTCCGCCTACAGTGGCCGATGCACCCGCCGTTGCTGCTGCACCGGAAGCTGAAGTAGCCGACGCACCTGCCGAGGTTGCTGCACCAGGAGCTGCTTCACCAGAAGTTGTTGCTGCTGCACCGGAAGCTGAAGTAGCCGACGCACCTGATCCAGGAGCTGTTGCAGAGCCTGAAGCGGCCGAACCACTTGTTGCTGCAACTGGAGGTGCTGCAGTTTCTTGCGACGCGCCAGATGTAGAAGCAGCACCGCCAGATGTAGAGGCAGCACCGCCAGATGGAGCAGTTGTTGAAGCCCCAGAAGTCGCAGATGGTTCAGATGGCTTGACTGCACCACAGAACTGCAGACTAAACTGTTGCTGGATAAAGTGTCCAGGATCGTTGGGGCAGTGAGAAGAATAGCTATCGTAATTCAAAAAATAACGGGCATGAGCACAACTGCACAAGTTCAATACTGAAACCAAAACTCTGCTTACCAGTCAGAAAGACCTTGAGACTTTTGACACAGGCAGTTATAGTACTGAATGGCAGTGGTTGCCAGGGATAGGCAAGCTAAAATGTCAAAACCCCAAATTAGTCAGGATTCGAATATCATGCGGGTTTACGAGATAACAAGATTGCTGCCAGCATGGTCGGCGTTGAATCATAATATCAGTCATGACAGGTGATTTTGCAATCTTACATGAAAATTGGTCTGCCTGACCACCTGAACCTTCCGAGTTGGTAAGAACTCCAGTAGCACATTGGGTAAACGCAGCGGTGTCTCCAGAAGTGCACCCTGGGGCAGCAATAACGGATCCAGTTAGAGAAAGAATGGCAACGGCAGCGACAAGATACATTTTTATTCAAGATAGTTTGAGTAGGTTTTGAAGTCGAGTAATAGTTTTGCTAGCAAGCGAGATGAGATCACGACAGAAGGCGACCCAAACTCCAGTTATATAGCCAACTTGACTGCTCAATGACTCGATGATACTTGACGAAACACAGCATGTCATCGTACGAAGGGAAATCCGCTTGAGTTTGGTGTGACGTATATTGCGGTATGGATGTTTAACTGATTGCTTTGAATTAAATGCAAGCGCCACTGTTTCCAGGTTGGGCGAACCATTCGACATGTTTGGCAGTGCCAATATTCTGGCACCGCATAATAGAATGACTGAACAGGGCTAGAAATCATCACAGCGTTATTTGTTTGACGGATGCTTCGGATGGAAAAAGAAAACAGCAGTACATTACTGGCATTGTTAATTATGTATTGAATATTATACCATAATCCATGCTATTTGCAGTCCATATATTTACCTGGCCATGCTGGAAGCTCCAGCCACAAGAGCTATGGCGGTGGTAGGCTGGAAAAATGCTTACACTCATACTCAAAGTTGAAGCGGTTTGTTGAATTAATCTTCAGTCCAAGCTCTACAGCATCATCTTGGATAAATCAGCTGTGTAAATCTAATTCATCCTGCCAGCCCATTTAAAAGTGTTCATGCGGCTTGTACAAAACTTTTTATTCTTAACATCGACCCAAAATAGATATATACCTAAATGCCGCACTGCAGTGTCAAATGTCTGCGCTATAGATATAAATCCAAAATAGTAGTTGGGCAAAACCATAGAACCAGGTATTCACAAGTAATGCAGGCGTGGGGTTGTAAATGGCCCACGATTCTCGTATATTCCAAAACAGATATCAAGACAATATCTAAATACGACTACATCAAGTCTGCTAATTAGCCATTCATGATAATTGAGCAGTCAACTGCGCCTTGGTTTCAAAAGCATCGCCTGTATGCTCTTTGTCGGATATAATTTTTGGTTTGATGACTCCGTAATCCATGAGAAGCTTTGATATAAACACAATGATCGCCAAAACGATCTGTTATAAAACAATTAGCCAACGTACAATGCTTTTACAGTCAAGCACATGGATCGCCAAAACATCAAAGTCTTTACGGCTCTATAGAGTTGTATTGACAAAGTATCCATGTATCAGGGATAAATAAACAGTTGCAAAGCAACCAACCCTGACACATGAGTACTTCTTCCATTGTCCATGATTCTCCACCAAATTGCTCAACATCCACTCTTACCTGCACTATAATGGGAATCACTCCTGCCCATGCGTTAAGCATAATCATGTAAGTCATGGTCAACACTAAACCAATAGTGTAGCATAGAATCCAGAGCATAGATACGTCCTTTGCCGACTATATTCAATGTGTATGAGATGGTAATCAAATGCTGTGGTTAGATTGGACATGACTAGAATAAACATGACTGATGGTGGGGTATGTTCATTGGCTTCCAGCTCGACAAATTCCATTGCTATTACCCTGTTCTTCCACATCACATACAGCTGTGGAATGGCGCATAGGCCCAGGAATACACCACCAGAGTAGCCAAAACTATTAATAACTGAAGGAGAATGCATGACTCGAGTATGATTGTTACTTGCGGAGAAGGAAAACACAATTTAAAGGCTTTTACTTGAGCATAGCTGAGATGGCTTTGTGCTGAGCAGCTGCATTGCAGTTAGGGCGATTGAGATTGTATAAGCTTTTATTGAGTCACGTGGATAAAGAAAAATAATCAAAAAAAGGCTGGTATCGTTCAGTGCCTTGTTACGGCCCATTCTGGATTTAGTTTCGGAAATCCGAATGCTAGTCTACAACTCAATCTACAAGACTATTTGGCTTTATTTTTTGCTTCAAGATAATGCCATCTCTGGCGACAACTGCTCAAACTGCTTGCGGGAAACAGTTTAGACACAACGGCCCAGTCAACATATCCATGTTTTGATATCATTTTTGGCACATGGTCCATCATTAAGCAATCGTCCTCTTTGGTCCACGCTTTATCTTTGGATTTCAACATGATTTCCTTGGCCATAGGAACAGACCGGATCTTGGACATTATGCCATTTCTATACATATTAGCATTGATCTTTGCAAGCAAAGTGTGTCCTTTGGGAACTATAGTGTCTCTAAGCTCGGCTGTCTCTTGATCCATTCCCATGGAATGAATCAACGCCTCGTTGATCCAAGGTAAATTTTTCGAGTTCATTAGCTCATTGCTGTTTAGAAGATACTGTGCACTCCAGTCTCTATGAGATGCCAACAACTTTAGATCTGGTATTTCCGAGTTGCGGTTTATCAATCTGTATAGTCTAGCAGCAAGTTCAAAGGTATATCGAAAAGGAAAGTATTCTCTGCGCAGGCTAATCAAGCTTACTGGTTTAAAATCGTCTAGACTGCTGTACTTGGTAAATACACTCATTAAGACTTTATCATCTTCTGAAGACCATAGGGCATTTGGATGATTGTGCGGCTCTTTTAAAGTCCATACCAGTAAAGCCTTCTTCATTCGAACCCCAGGAAGGTCCAGATAAAGGTTGAAATTGAAATAGGCTCGTCCATGATTTGCAACCCCATCAGAAATTACTTTTATGTCGTCTGGTTTTAGTGTTTTTATGGGGAAAACCAGCTTGAGAGCTTTTTTACGAATCACTTCTGAAGACATTCCAGGAAAATTGTGACACATAGATTTCCATGAGTAGTTTGTTTCAGGAGTATCATGAACGAGGCTGATAAGACGCTCATGGTCTTTTTCTGTCCATTTCTTTAGTTTTGCATTTTTGGATCTTGCTACGAGATACATGTGTCTTTTTCTGATGCGTAGTCTTGATTGGCCAGGAAGATCGGCCAAGAAAAATCGATAGCAGGGCCCAAAATCTGCAACGCATTTCAAAAGAATTGTATCTTGCTCAAGTGTCCAAGGCATTCTGAAATGCGCAGTATATAAATGACTCCCCAGTCTGCCAACACGAATGATGGGATACTGCGCTATATTTTGAGGGAGCTTCAAAGTGTCAAACACTTTTTGAGATGGATTCGCTTTCATGAATTTATCGATCGCACACAGTGCAGACAACCGACGCTGTAATAAGGCACGCAACGTTATTGCAGTAGCAGGCATATTTGCCTTTTTACAATTAGCCTGGTCAGTATAGAGAGCTGGTATGATAAAATTATCCCAAAAATAGTGTATACGATGCGGCGGATATCTGAGACTCTTGATCAGGCTTTTTGATATGCGAATAACTCCACTACGTAGCATGTACTCGATAATTTCAATTTCCTCTTGAATGGTAAACATAAAAGTATGCTTGTTGATGTGGTAGTCCTTTTTCAACGCATGATTCATGACTCGTTTAGATGTTCTACCAATCGTCTGTTTGATCTCAGATATCTTGCAAGTGTCATTTAATAGCTTCAGCCTGATCTTCAAATAGTCACTGATGGGAAAATGGGTTATTTCCTTTTGTACTTGATCAACTTCCAAAGTAGTAGATAGGCTGGGCAAAGAGTTGGATTCGACAGGAGCAATATGGCTCCTCTTTTTTGACTTGGTTTGATCCGTTTTACTGTTCAAAGTTGATGCATTTTTTCTTTTCCCCGATGAATGAGCTTCAGTTCGAGCAGAAAAGTGTAGTTGCCGAAGTGGTAAATGAATGAAATGTGATTTAAAGAATTTTCTCGGCAGGCTTTGTTTAAGATGGCTATTGCAGGTGGAACAAACTGTCCAGGCCAAATTACGGTTTTCTATGTTGTGGATATAAAACATTGCACTGTAGCAGTTGTATGAAAATGAAGCCATATATCTAGGGGAAGCTACTGTATTCAATGCAGAGAATATAGCTGGAATAATATGCAGATTTCTAATAGTCTCTGCTGCTTTGGGTCTAGTTACCACTAGACTTGGTAACAAGTGAATTGATGAGCAGTGTTCTAGTTTTCAGAAATTTCAACAGTGATGCAGTTTCAAGTAAGTTAATCTGTGATATGCAGCTATTGAACACATTGATAGACACTTGGCCCAATAGCGTATCGGTGCCTGGAGTTCAGTGATGTGCTCAATGTGAATACCAAATTGGCATTTACAACCATAATCACATAAACTGGAACACTAGACAAGTGTCAAAATACATGATAAACAGCCTGGATTATGAACAATCCACACCAAATTTACTGAGCAACATTGTTTTTTGAACTTTAGTTTGCTGGTCTCGCTTCATGCCTATTTTTGTATAGGAAACTAAACGAATGCTCACATTGCAGTTTCAGTACATCCCACACTTGTTCAATCCACAACTCTCCTTTCATCCAAACCAAGCATTATGGTATTGGGTGATCGGCATGAAAGTAATGTTGCATTCCTGATACGTGCAATCATTGCTGAACTAGAACATAACCGTATTTGGGATTTTAGGATACAGTAGAGGAGTTTGTAGAGTTTTGCAATACCAGGAATGAGTCTGGGTTCAAAGTTGATGATCGTATAATACATGACCATACCAAAAGAGGAAAAAGGCAGGCTCAGAAAAGATCATTTTAGACCAAAACTATAATTTGATTTGTGAGCATTATATGATGGGCGTAGTGTCTACTGAAGAAGCAGTCAATTCATAGTAGGAAATCGCAACGAATACTCAACTATCGTTTACTCCAAAGCAAAATATAAGAGATCAATGTAAGCTCTATTCTATGAGTGCGATGGTAAAATATGCAAGTAAAGCACGTGATTGTGTAGGTTGGATTGAGGAATACAATCGATGGCTGTAGCATTGCATTACTTGGCCAATGTGTTATGAACCTGCAATAAAATACAGTTTATTACCCAATTTAAATTGAATTTTTGGTATAAATTAAATAGTGTTTCATTCTGTCTGATATCTACTATTCCATAATTCTATTGCAATCTCACAACTCTTTACAGTCGATTCATATACAATGGAACTTGTAATCAAAGCTTCTTTTCCCTTGAAAAATGGCTAAACGTTTGTTATACATTCCTACTAGAGATTGACTACTTCAATATAATTTTCAATTCAATAAACACAGCGTTCATCATATGATGCTTGCAATCAAACTGTAGTGTTGAATTGAAATGGTTTCTTTCTTCACTTTAGCACAACCATACACCGTACGATCGACATATTGAAACAATATTCACTACTAATGTCGCCAAACTGTAAACACCCTGCTGTATTCTAAAGTCTCGGATACATTCGCGCTTAGTTCAAGAAAACAAAGATCGCATCTTCATGAGTGCAACGTTCGTTTTTATTTCAGTCATCAAAAAACCAATGAGTTTGTCAGACAGTTCATGACACAGTATTGTTTAGTAAATTGACCCTCATCATTTCATGAAATTGGCTGTTTATTTTATATTTTAGCACATCTATCGTGTCCATTTACATGAATGACTAAACAACTGTAGAAATTAAAAACATGACTTGCTTATCAATAGGGTGCATCATGTTAAAGTAGAAATTCAAATAAACTGAATTGTCTAGTGATTGCAAGCAACGTATACAGTAGTACTGAAAATTGGATTAGCCAACTAAACTTGATTGTAGTTGTGGATTCGGACAAGTTCAGACAAATGCTAAATTTATTTTGATATAGCAAACTTTATAGAGATCAATGGCGGCACAGTTTTGAAAATCGATGCCTCTGTGAATTACTATAAACTCGTTTGTTATGGAAACTGAAATAAAATTGACACTATCAATAAAGTTTGGCCAAACCATATAATGGCCATGGCTTTATAATCAATCACGTTTAGGCCCGAGTTTAAATGGCAAACCATAATAACTTTCACGACTTACCTTATTTCATTCATATATCTCAACAAACGGCGAGTCTCCTACGATTGCAAATGTCGTCTCCCTCCATACATCCACAGTTTCGCTCAAAGGCAGTTTGCACTCTCAATTGTCGACACTGCACCACTGTTATCTGCAATCGAGGCATGAAGGCTATTCTTTTGGGAGATACGCGAGTAAGTTGGTTTTTACAGCCCACTCAAATCTATACCATGCTGGTATTTATTTAATATATAGGTCTTTATATAGTTGTTGAATATGGTAGTCTTATTAGCTATTTCCATTGCATTTTCATTTTTATACTGAATAGGTCGAGCTGTTCTCTACTGATGTGCCACCGTTCAGGTATATCTAAATTTCTTTGATATATACCTGGATATTCATCTAGATATGAGCTTGTTATTTTTGAAAATGACGTTGTATTTTGAATACTGCTGAGAATTTGAAATTCCATGCGATTGAGACCAATACATCCTTACTAACGCGTATTATATTCCATCATTGCAGAGTTCAGCTTGTTGAAAAGGACTACATGACTCGAAACTGCCGCTGTCGCATCAGAGATGTCGCATGTCTTGGATGGTAGGTTAACCTTTTGCAGTTTTGATCTGATGCATCAGATTCTAGTCCTCCTACTTGATTCCAACGCGTCGACTTGATAGTTGTCTAAATTGAACATCGAGTTTTACAATCTCAAGTCGCTACTCGATATCCAAACGCGCTTTTACATGGCAACTGCCTATTTGTAAAGCGCATATGTTCATTTTATTGTATTGGATATCCATGACGCTTCTACAAAGCAGCGTAGTTTTTATTTTATACAAAGTAATAACAGCAGGCCTGATCCAGACAGCTAACATCGCAAACTATTATGCAATGAAAATATATAGTGGAAATGTAATTGGATATCATGTTACTCGGCCGTGTGAGCGTTGTCTTGATTCCTGCAATAACGGCCATTTTTGGATGTTTCTTTCTGACGGAGTTTCTGCAAAAGAGCGTTTGGATTCAACCGGTATGTTATAGATTCGATCTTACATACTCAATCTCATGATGCATGCAGCAAACAACAATGAGCACCATTTGATACTTTAAGACTGTCTGATTGTCATTTTAGGAGTCAAAACATTGCTTTGGGCTCATCTTGTCAAGGAAAACACACCTACAGGATGTTTGGGAGAAGCAAAGTATGAATTACTGTGTCGGTAAAGTAATAAACTCGGCTCTACAGAGCTTGATTTGTAAAGCTATAGTTGTGTAATCTTGAATGTATTGCAATTGTATTATATCGATGCTTGATCAGAGTTGGACAACTATAATTTTTTAGTTGGTACAATTCTCATGTCACGCTACTTTGTTAACCACCAACTCCGAGTCCGTTTGTTCAGGGTTGTGACAACGACGTAACTGGTGATCATCTCAATATTAGCGGTTCGACATGTGTTGGAAGTTATTGTGCCGCCTCGATGCAAGAATTGGTTTATTTAAGTACCAAGCACATGTTGGACCAATGGCACCATGTGACATTGAGGCGGCTATTCATGCACCATAATCCGCCACACTAGACTGAACGTAATGAATAGACAGACAACTAGGAAATGAGCTGGACACTCGATATTTGTGTAATTGAATGTTGATAGAAACATGTTGTAGCAGACAGGCTTGATATTTTGAATGGGTAGTGCCAAACTCTAATAGTCACCAATACCGCTCTAATAAACATAAACGATCGCTCAATCGTTTCTTTTAATCTCGCTGAAACACTTGCTTTTTAAATATTGATCTAGCAGTCCAGCTCAAATGATTGCCGTGTGGCAAGTTACAAAAATGAAGGATCAAAGCAAATGATCTTGGGTTTTTTCAGTCACTGTATTGAAGATAGATCTGACACAACATAGTGGTGCCGTTATATTAAACTGCTTGTAGTGATCCAAGCAGTCTACGATTCATTGTTGTTTTGTAAAAATTTATTTGATTGATTTCACGTACTGTAAGGACAGCGTATTGTATCTGAAACGTATGTTTGAAATCCTCCAATACATATACAAATGTTGATATTCTACAACCATACCCACATAAAATAAAACACTTGTATTTATCCTGCAATGGCTACTTCTATTTACTTTGGAATAAACAATAGCTGAATATCCATTACTTTTCTGCTAAAAACTGACTGCTTGAATAGAGTTCTCAATTCAATAAACGCAACGTGCATCATATGATGTCATCAAGCTATAGCTTTAAACTGAAATGTGTTCATCCTCTACTTTTGACATGGCCATGCATTGTACGATCAACAAATTTGAAACAACACATCCATTTCAATTCGGGTATTGGGTTCAACTGTTTTGATATTCCGAGGTGAATTGCACTTTGTTGTATTCTAAATCTCGGATACATTCGCGTTCTAGTTTAGCAATGATTGCACGTACTAGGAATGCAACAGTTGTTTCCGTGTCATTCATCCAATATCATAGTACCCAGATTTTAGAAAGGGAGAGTTAGAGATGGAACAATTATGGGATTGACTGGAATTGTAATGTGAACATTCATTCAGCTGTTTGATATAAAGTGAACACACAAGAGATTGGTAAACTATAGAGTCCAATAAATCTGGCATCAATTATTTCATGAGATTGGTTTACTATGCACTTTGATATCCTTAGTATTTCATTTACGTAAATGCAACTGCAAGATCGAATTGCATTCACGGTTGTGCTTTAGATATTGTAAGCCATGACGGCACGTATTTTTGAGCTTGATTGATGCACCCGTGCTATGTTTGGCAGGCAAAATATATGATGCGTAATGATACGCCACTTTGGCTTGGCATACTATAGTTTGGATCTTCGGTTTATTCAAACATATTGCCAATGAAAATTAATCCGTTACAGCAATAGTTCCAACCACGCTTGCTTCTAATCACTATGTTCCAAACAAACGCCAATACACGCAAGTAATTTCAAGTCAACCCTGCTATTTCCAGTTTGTATTGTTTGGGTGCCTCTACATTTGGCAAACTCATGATGGTTGCATGATTGTTCGTTGCACGGTTTTTCTTGTAAAGCCATATTTGATTAATAGCTTGATGGTGGCGGTGCGCAACTGTGGCCCATCCGCATTTACAAGCAATTGGCAATTTCGCTAGTGTTTTTGAAATAATAATTTTGTTGTCCCATTCAAATCAAGTCGCGTGCAAACTCGTTTGATTGGAGTTGCCACATTTCGCGCTTTGGCTGTTACTCAACGAGACAGTAGCAGTGTTGATGAGTTGATCGCCACCACTAGTATTCCCAAAATAGAAACAAAGCCACTTGCTGCGGTTATAAAATCCGACAGGCTCGTACCGTTTTCAACTCAAAAACTTTCTCTTGTATCTATCTACTTCTACGTTCAAGCCATACTGGTTACTTGTTGTAAACTTTAGCTGTCCATTTCTCCCTTGAATACTGTCAAGAAAATGTATGTTCGCTCCCTTTTTGCTCTTATCTGCTCGGCTGTGATTGGCTCTGCCACAGCACTTTCGCTTGATTTCAACCCTGCCAAGTTTATTATCGATGATACCAGCGCTGGCAAAGGGTTTGGCTGCAAACTCAACGAAAAGCCCACTTCCCCAGTGACTATCTACTTGGAGCACACTTCCATTTATTTCTCTGATTGTATTTTGGTTTTCACCCCCGAAAACTGGGATATACTCCAGACGATCAATGCAACTGCTGTCCCCGTGTTTGGCTCGTACATGGGAGCAGGTGGCATTGCTGATATTGCTTCAAGCATCAATGCCCATATGGTCCAAGAGGGTCAGACTACCGAGATCCCCAAGGTTGAGTATGGGTGTGATCGCAAACCCGCAGCTGGTGGAACTTGCACTAGTATCGGCGATCCCCATTACCAGACATTTGACTCGCTTACTTTTTCGAGCCAAGTTATTGGACATTACTACCTTTTGAAATCCGACGATTTCGAGATTCAAGTTATTACTCATTCTTGTGGTCCTAATGTATCGTGCACTGCTGCCATTGCTATCCGATACGGCTCGACTCTTATGGTTCTTGATGTACGTCAAAAGAAGGATCCCAGCCAATACACTGTGCAACAGGTTACCCCCAACACCAACGGTGTTGTGTATATTCCTCCTCCAACCGGATCTGGTGTCCACAAAATCAACACTCCTTGCGGTTCATCCATCTCCGCCGTCAGCAATCTCGATAGAGGTTTCAACAACATTGACATTACCATCAACTTGGCTGGCAGATACAGCAAAATCGGTGGTCTTTGCAACGTCTTGTCTTCTCAAACCAAAAAGGGTCTGATTTACTCGAGCGGCAAGATTGGCAACCCAACTTCAACACAGGATGTCAGCGGCTTTGTGGATTCTTGGGTGGTAAAGAGCGGTGACAGTCTGTTTGAGGGCAACTACAAAGGCTCTACTCCTCCCGTGAACACACCAGGAAAGATCTGCAAGCTCCCTACTATTCCCAAACCTGTTCCTGCACCACCAGCTCCCTCCGTGCCTCCTACCTTGCCCGTCTATGTTCCACCACCACCTCCTCCTGCACCCGCATCAACTGCAGCTGCTTCTACTGCACCTGCTTCTACTGCAGCCGCCTCAACCGCAGCTGCTTCAACCATTGTTCTTTCTTCAACCTCTCTTCCCGGATCCACTGCCACATCTGCTGCTCCCTCTCCACAAGCCACATCTGCTCCTCCTCCACAAGCCACTGTTCCTGCTCCACCACCCGTGTTCGATCAGGAAATCGAGAAGCACTGCCGAGACATGTTCAACGTTCCATCTTGCAACACCATCATTCCCGTCGACTTCTTTGTTCAGTCTTGTATTAAAGATGCCCAATCTACTGGATCTTACATCTTTATTGAAGGTAGCAAGCGCGCTTATCTCGCTCGTTGTGCCGCACTCTCCGTGTATATGGAGAATGGACCCACTCCTGTTATTGTCGAGCAAGGTAAAAAGGTTCAAGAGGATTGTGGATTTGGTAACCGCACCTGTCTCAATAACTGCTCTGGAAACGGTGTCTGCTCCAACGTTGGTTGTGCCTGCAAGACTGGCTTTGCCGGCCAAGATTGCTCCATGGACTTGTCCAAGGTCACTCAATACGATCCCAATGCTGGCAAATATCAGGTTAATGTCAATGTCAATGTAATCATCAAATACCAACAAGAGCACATTAACCAAACACCCCAGCTTCCAGCCCCTGCTCCACAGGCACCTCAACCCAGTGCTCCTCAGACTCCAGCCACCGCACCTCCTGCTTCTGATCCTCAGACTCCAGCTCCTGCTTCTGATCCCCAGACTCCAGCCCCTGCTTCAGGAGGTGAACAGCCCTTGCCTGTATCAACTCCCGTTGGTCTCCCACAATCCAAGCCAGCCGAGAGTTTCCCCAACTCGGTTAACCAGGATCCTGTCCTCTCCTCTGCTCAAAGCATTGGTTCCTTTGTCGCACTGTCTCTTGCTGCTGTGGCATCAACCATGTTTGTTCTCATCTGATGAGTTTTCGCTTTTGAATCGTAGAATGTATTCCATGCACTGAAGTTCTAAATGAATCTTGCTAAATTGCCATCTCACTGCAACGAGTATTTTGCTTGCAACCATGTTCACGTAGAATGGAATACTTGTATTTATTTTGCATCGACTGCCTCTTGGTTCGAAATAAACAATGGTTGAATATCCACTACTTTTTACAAATTATAATCATATTCACTTGGAATAACTCTTTGCTCCAGAATAAGCAATCGCTGTTGAAAATTGGTTACTTTTTTATTGAAACTCGTCAGATACGTTCGCGCTCCAGTTCAACATATCTCAGGATGCAACTGTTGTTCCTATACCAAGAGAGAGACTTGTAAGTTTTATCAGGACGCTATTGTTTAGTAAATTTGGTAGAAACTGGCTGCTTATGCATTTATCGAGCATTTCACTTTACATGAATACGACTGTAATTACATTCAATCTGGGTTTATTCAAAGTTTTTATTGGGTTGAAATAGTTGCTCAAAAATGACCTATTACATTTCAACTAAATATTTGTGGTTAGTTTCCGTTCAGAGTGTAACAAGCCCTTTAGACACTTACCATCCATGGCTAAATTATCCACTACTGATTCAGCAGCAGCCTTTTTGGCATTTTGATCTTGCAGCCTCTGAATAATGAACATTGAAAATCATTTTAATCTACATTTGCCTCTTCAAAATAGAGATTGCAACCACTTACAAATTTGGCGGCTTGGAGCAGTTGCTTCACTTTTTTTTTTGAAAGTTGCACAGGCATAGACACTGTACAGTTCTTTCCAACACGACCCGGTCTCACACTCTTGACCAGTTTGATTTTTTTGGCATTCTTTGCCTTTTGCCTTTCAGTCAAAACTGGCTTTTCTCCATTAGCAGTAAGCAGTTTTCTTACAACGACCTTCTCTGTAGCCAAAGCAATGGCTTCATCGAGAGGTTCGATAAGAGCATTTTGTTGAATGATTTTTGATCTTCCATCAACTTTTTGCTGCTGTCTGCAAAAAACTTTTTTGCGTCTATGGTCCTTTTCATAAGTGCCTCGGGTGCGATTGATTTGGTCAGGCATTGTATCAGAAAATAGGGTTTGTAAACGTAGTGGATAATCTTGAATCCGTGGCTAGCTCCAGATGAATGTATCGAGCTAGAGTATTATGTAAACAGCAAGGATTACAAAAAACTTGGATGCAGGAATCAAAGTCTGTTTTCAGCTAAACAAAGTGAGATTAACCACGTGATCCCATCCAATATTCATTTAGCTATCAGCCAAGATTGGCCATTTACGTAAAATAGACAGCTTTAAAAGCTTAAATTGTTTAATCTCAACCATCTTACAAAATTTGCCAACTTAGACCACCCGTTTAGTCTCAAAGAAACGACGCAGATATAATACTTGAAAGCCACAGGCAATGAGCACCATAACAATCTGTCCAAATGACCACCAGAGCACACGTCCATGTGTCGATTGAATAGCTGTAATGTCAATACAAATCGCCATCATAGCAAAATCAAAAATGTATGAAAATAAGGATTAGAATCAGTTTCAAATATTGCTCGTCTTGATGTTAAATTAGCAATCGGATTGCTGAATACAATGTTCAAGAGATCTACTTGCTTTCGCGGTGACGATTTTGACGCTTGAGAAGAAAAGACTGCTCATCACGCATAAAGCGGATATTGTCCATCAGTATCTGAAGTGTACGGAAAAGGTCCATTTGTTCCTCTAAACTCCAAAATAAAAACCAAAATCAGTTTCATCATACACCAGCATATTTCAAATCAAACCCAAATGGATATACCATCTATCTCTTTGGTGTTGTCTTTTTTCATATCACGAATGATCTTGTGTTCGTCAGGACCAGTGATGGAAAATACAATCATTTTTTCCGAGTTGTATCGCATATTGCTAAAACAGATTTGATATGATCCTTCATGAATGGCATTGAATCCCAAGTTTCCTTGGCGCTCTTGAGGAAAAGAGTGCAGGAGAGAACCATCTGGGTTGCTGATCTATAAAATAATAAGTTGTGGCAAAGTTAGTGACAGAACTAGTGCCGAATCTAGAATCGTCAAGATTGTTGGTTGCTAGTTGAGTGTCAGCGAGATCTATAGATGGGCAGATGCCCACTAGTCCAAGTTTCAAATTCCTTGATTGCATTAATGATGGGCTAGGCTTGTTGGACTAAACCCCTACCCAATAATGCATACAAAGCTCAAAAATATACTTTGGCCAACACTCGAATAGGAGATACGAAAGTGATTTAAACAGACCGTATAATCGATATCATAATCGGAGCCAGAGCTATGCATGACTTCAAAAGACAAGTCGAGTCTATCGTTTCGCTTCAAGAGTTCAAAGAAGCATTCGTTGGAATATCGGGAAATCTGAAAGGAAAATGCATTGGATGCAGATACAGGGGTGAGACCAAGTACTAGCAGTACAACGGCCAATAGCGAGCGAACAAGCAGAGAGTAGGATGCCATGATAAGGACAACAAGCAAGCAAGATGTCGAAGTGTTGATGAATGGTGTTTACCGACTAGAATCTAAACTATGGCTGTTTAGCGACTATTCTGTAAATGGCCGATTGACCAAAAACTCGACTTTAACCCAAGTTTACTCCTAAACAGCGCTCATTGCATTACCAGTGGAAGATGATGATGCAGCACGATGCCTTGCTTAAACAACTCAAGGCTCCCTCAGAAAAACTTGTCTATGACATTCATGCCTGTTCTAGTTACTCTTCTTCATACATACCCGTCAATATCCTGGTCAGCAAACCCCAAGACCAATCTTCGCGATGGTCTAGTGGAAGCAATAACCAGATGCAGTTCATTACTCTAAAACTGAACTCCATGGCTGTTGTCAGTAAGTGATTTTTATTGGATTTTACAGCGAATAGTAACATGTGTGGTGATTCATTTGAGCTACTACCATAAACTAGTCTGTATTGGTCCATATCGCCTTGTCAATGAACATGAACCCTTTATTATTCCCTATCTTGATGCCACCATTATCACCTCATTAAAGATTTGATATATGCATGATTTCAGCTTTAGCTACTAGTAGAATACTTGACATCAGATGCTTGGTTTGAATACATGTCGAACGAAACTTTCTCGCGTATTACCGAGTTTAGGCTGGTGGCATCAACTACCATATTCAACTAAAATAGTCTGAGAGTCACTAATTAAACTGTTTCATACACTAAATCACTATCATGCTTGGTTTATTTCAACCCTTACTAGAAACAATCACGTTTGGAAAATATTGTAAAGTTCATGTATGCAATCTTAAAGAGTTCAAGGTCTATGGTGGTATAACTCCAAACCACATGCTCGAGTTGTTGCATAGCGGACTCAGAAACGATACTGAACAAGAGACATTTGCTTTAAAACACTCTGCTAATGGCGTTGTGTTCCCCTGTTTGTATATCAAGATTGTTCCATTGCTAGCTTGGGGTGCTAATTTCAATTTCAGCATCTGGTATACCGAGCTGCGTGGTATTTCACAGCCAGATATTGTTGCTTCTACCTATCAGCAATACTCTAATGTATGTTGACCAAGTTTTTGTGTGGCATACTCTAATATAGGATTGGCATATACTATTTGATTTATTAACACTGCCATGTATTTTCATTAGTATCGAGAAACAGAAGTTATCCGTCTTTGTCTCAAACACTTTCGACAGAGAAATCACCAGGACTCTTTTCAAAAACTGCAAGAGCGTACAAACATACGGCTTGAAGATGTGTTGCTGACTGATCTACACAAACACTTGGTTGTTAACGGCAATTTTGACGAGGCTGAGGAGCTTCTTATTCGCGCCGCATCGCGCAACCTTTTTGATGATTATATCTCCTGCTGCACATACAAACCAGTGTGGAAACTGATTCTACCAGCTGACACCGACTCACCCGTGCCTTCTAAACGCGGCGGTCATCAAATGTGCATTGACTCGAACGGAACATTGTACTTGTTTGGTGGCTGGGATGGTGCCCGTGATCTATCTGATTTTTGGGCGTTTGATGAGCCAACGAAGCAGTGGAAATGTATCAGCATGGATACTAGAAAGTATTTATCATTGCCTTTGAGCTGTCAAACAACTGATGATTTTAGAGTGGTTTCTAAACTTGTCGATTTTTTTAAACTCCAACTTTAGACAATCTGGTCCCGGTCCTCGCTCTTGCCACAAGATATGCTTTGACCCTCTTACTATGGCCATTTACATTCTTGGAAAATATGTGGACCCGGAAAGTAGACCCAATATGCCGCTAGAGAGTGATTTTTGGCGCTATGACCTTTTGTCTTCCAAGTGGTCACGCATCAGCAGCAACACCGCCCAGGAGGGCGGTCCAGAGCTCATATACGATCACCAAATGATTGTCGATTCTGATCACCAAGTCCTTTATGTTTTTGGCGGCCGAACTATTGGACCAGATGTCTCTCAAACTGTCTACTCGGGTCTCTATTCTTATTCTATAAACACCAACCAATGGCGTCTAATCAGCACCGACATTTCACAGCCAGAAAATGCTATCCAGCTCAAATCCCGTATTGGGCATTCTATGCTTCTTAACCCTCACACTCGCGAGTTGTATATCTTTGCGGGCCAGCGCAACAAGGAGTATCTATCTGATTTTTATGTATATGAAATGGACACAGATACAATTCGTGAAGTAGCACGCGATTACACCAAGTCGGGTGGTCCAGATGCAGGATTCACTCAGCGTGCGACAATTGATACAGACCTTGGTGAGTTTTATGTTTTGAGCGGCTTGATGAGAGAAAAGAATTCAACCCAGGAGACAGTACGCAATTCATTTTGGGTATACAGCATTCAGAGGAATGCGTGGTCTAGAGTGTATCAGAATGAGAATATTGGTGCCGAGTATTGGGAGAGTATGGGTGATAAAGAGCCTCGTCCACGATTTGCACATCAGTTGGTATATAATCCCAAGTTAAAGTGCCAATATCTTTTTGGGGGAAATCCTGGGGAAATTGGAAACCCCAATCTGAGGCTAGACGATTTGTGGGAACTTCGACTTATTCGGTAATTTTGCTTTGGGATGAAATTGTAGTGGATGATTTTTTGAATGTATAGATTCATGGTTTGAAAAATGTGTATAGGCCCACAACAGAGGATATTCTTCGACGAGCACGGTTTCATATCCGACGACTTAGATTTGCTGAAATGTGTCAAGCACCTGGATATAATCCATTGACTGCGTTGCAATATCTTCAATCTCAAGTATCCCAATTTGTAAATCATACAGACGAAGAGGAGTCAAAGTCATTCAGAGATATCTCATCGTGTTTGTTCCGCTGGTCGCCTGCCTGTCGGGGTTCTACAGCTACCAATGCAGATGGTGAAAGTTCTAGTAATATATCACTGCCCCAAGTGAATGGTGAGTTGGACGTTTTAAAGTGTTATAGATTGATGCAGTTTACTGACAAATGCACCAATTCCTATACAAATATGGTTTCAGAGTCATATTTAATTCGTACGCAAATATATGAATCTCTTTTGGAGTATTTTCCGGATTATATGCGTGAGCCTAAAGAGAATCTTGTGGATCTGGTTCCTATGAGTTGATTTATTACGTTATATTTGGACTACTTTGATGCGAACTACTTGACGAGGTTATTGTTCTCGACTATTTCTCCCCTTGACGTTTTATCTACTCGACTAAATAAAAGCTAGAAGTCTTGTTAAAATGCAATACACAAGTTTCGTCCATGTTGAATCTATTATCCGTGTATTAATAGTACCAGGAATACATTTGGATCAATAAACACAGTGTTGGTCAAGTCAATCTTGTATTATGAGCATGAATTTAGTATATGAACAATATGCTCATGACCAGCCTTGACAGCAAGAGAAAGCGGAGTTCTGCCATCCAGATCTACACGATGAATGTCGGCACCCATATCAATCAAATATTGAACAATATGAACATGACCACCCACAACAGCACGATGCAAAGAGGTTGTATGCAGTTCCAAGGTTGCATAGTTTATATCAGCACCAGCCTGAATCAATAGTTTGCATACATCAAGATGTCCTTGTCTAGCAGCATAATGCAAGGGAGAGTAGCCAGCAGAATCGAGTTGGTTGGCAAGTTGAATAGGGTTGGAGCGAGAGAGAAGTGAAGTTAGACGAGTCCGATTGTTTGACTGAGCAGCACTATGAATGGATTTATCAAACTCGAGCTCAAGCAACGACTGCGAGTAGTCTAGACTCTTGTCAGAACTATGACGATCTGAACAGTTGGAATGGTTGCAATTCATGAACCAGAAATGAAAACTTGACTAATTCAATGATTACTCCATCGATTGTTCCTGTTGTGCTGGACTCACCCGAGAGTTTTACTACTGCCCTCTCTCAAGAAACTGATGGAATAATACTGATCGGATCTGCATTGACTCCATTGCTTACTGCCACTCCCCTCCAGGCTCTGTTTGCAGCGTATCCCAATGCTCTTGCAACCATCACTGCCCACTTTGCTGCTGATGCATCTGCTGCCAAGCAATCCTCTGCCCAGTTGATTGTTGTTCCTGGACTTCCTGCCAATCGTCTGGTTTTGGCTCCAGTTGTTTCTATTCTCGGTGATACTGACGATGTTCGTCGTTACAATGACGCTGCTCGGGCTGCTATTGCTCGTGCTTGCTCAGCTGGCATTCGTTGTCCAACTATCTTGTTGTTTGACAATCCCATCACTGCTTCTGCTGGCAGTCCTTTTGCTGCTCGGGTTGCTGTAGATTATAGTATGTACTTGAAAGTCACTCTCTTGGGTATCCTGTATGAGATTTACCAACCCCTCCAAACCCGAGAGCATCTTGCTCAAAAGGCAACTGCCAGCAGTGCTGCTCTCTCGGTAGCCTATTTTGCCGCTGTTGGAACTCCACTACCCGAATTGAAGCAAGCGATCCAATGGGCACTTGCTACGGATCATGGTCGTTGTATTGCTCGTGATATTGGTGGATCTGATCCTGAGCGTATGGCTCCTCTGCGTTGTGCACAGTATATTGAGAATGCATTCAAGGGTGTAGAAAACATCAAAGTTACTGTTGTCCGCGATGTCGATTTGATCAAAAAAGAATATCCTTTGCTGCATGCCGTGACTCGTTGTGCTCTCGCAGTGCCCAGCCATTTCCCTGCCGTTGTGCGTCTTGAATACCATTCTCCAGATCCCTCTAAAGTCAAGGAAAAGTAAGTCGTGTTTTAATTTGTATGTTGGATAGTTGCACGGTTCTCATGTGTTGTATTCAGTCTTTTTCTTATTGGAAAAGGTGTAACCTACGATACAGGTGGTGCTGATATCAAGCACGATGGCGCCATGCGTGGGATGTCGCATGACAAGTGTGGTGCTTCTGCATGCGCTGGATTCATGAAGACGGTATCGCTTTTCAAACCCACTGGTGTCAATGTTATTGCTACACTTGGATTTGTTCGCAACAGCGTCGGTGCTGCCAGTTATGTTTCAGACGAGATCTTGGTAAGCCGTGCTGGTGTCCGTGTTTTGGTTGGCAATACGGATGCTGAGGGTCGTATGGTTATGGCTGGTAAGTGGATCAAGTATACTAGTATTCATTCAATTACTTTACCGAGTCAACCTTTTGCTTATACTGACGTGTTTATTTCATACTATTTTATTGGCTATTCTACGTGCAACAGATCTACTTGCAGAGGCCAAAGAAAATGCACTGTCTGATCGATATGCTGCCATTCCATCCAGGCTACTCACTGTTGCAACACTCACTGGTCATGCTTATATGGCTACAGGTGAAGGTTACACGCTTTCTTTAGACAATGGTCCTGCTCGTGAAGGTGCAGTAAGCGATCGCTTGTTTAAAGCAGGGCACGCCAGTGGAGATCCATTTGAACGGTCATCTCTGCGACGTGAGGATTTCAAGTTTATTGTTCCAACCTCGTCTACTGAGGATGTGGTGCAAGCCAACAGTCTTCCTTCTACTCGTACTGCGCGTGGTCATCAGTATCCAGCTGCATTCTTGTCTGTGGCTTCTGGAATTGTTGAGCATGGACTAGATTCTTTGCACCCCATTTCATATACACATGTGGATATTGCTGGCAGTGCTGAAGAGTCTCTTGGTGGACTGAGTCTTTCCAGAGCCACTGGGGCTCCTGTATCTGCATTGACTACAGCATTTCTTTAACCCATCATAACTGTATGAATTTTTTAAAAAAGTCCAAGTTTATAAACCACCTATGAGCTGGATATCAATTTAATACTTTGGGGATTTGATCAGGTTGGACATATTATTTTATTGCATCTGGCAGGCTTTATTTCTTGGTTGCTACCATTAGATTGTAACCATAATAGTGTTTAATTTAAACCTACCAGCTGCATTGACAGCCTGAAATTTGATAAACCTGTGAGAGTACATTGCTGCACTTTTTAAATATTGATTACTTTAAAGGGTAGCATATGTTTTAAACCTTCAATTTTTATAAAGATCAAGAAATTGATGTTGATTTTTGATACTTTTCAAGATCGAAACATCAGTCTTATACGATGGGTTGTTTGGACTATTTCCGAGTTGCCCATTCGATTTAATGACCCATCCAACAGCCAAAACAGTTTTTAATTTTGGCGCTGGACCAGCCGTTCTTCCTCAGCAGGTGCTGTATCGAGTTCAGAATGAGTTTCTCAACTATGGTAATACCGGCTGCTCGTTGATGGAGTTGTCGCATCGGTCATCCGAGTTTGAGCAGCTCATAAACAAGGCATCTTCTGATCTGTGTACGCTATTGTCTATTCCGGATTCGTACCAAGTGATGTTTATGCAAGGAGGAGGGAGCACGCAGTTTTCAGCAGTGGTCTATAACCTTGCAGGTTGTTTGCAGAAGCCGGTTGACTATATAGTGACTGGGGTGTGGTCTGGCAAAGCTGCTCAGGAAGCACAACGACTGGGGGTTCAGGTGAATATTGTGATTTCCACTGCAGCTACAGGACATGATGGGAGCATGACTGTATCACCAGAACATGGCACTCCTACTGCATCTGACCTGGCTTCTCCACTGTACAAGTTTAGTGGTAGCGATGCCGCATACATCTACTACTGTGATAACGAGACCGTTAATGGCGTTGAACTTGCTGCTGACTTTGTAGATCACTTGCCTGTGGAATGCCGTCAAGTCCCAGTGGTTTGTGATATGAGTTCCAACATTCTCTCTCGTCCATTTGATATCACAAAGTATGGGTTGGTATTTGGCGGAGCTCAAAAGAATATTGGGCCGGCTGGAGTGACGGTTGTAGTGATTCGTAAAGATCTCTTGATTGACAACTCTCGTCGTGGATCTCTTGGCAGAGGAGTTGTAATGCCTACCATGCTGGACTATAAGGTATGCGCAGAAAACAACTCGCTGTACAATACTCCGCCGACATTTGCGATTTATGTTTCCGGATTAGTTTTTGAATGGGTGATGGCAGCAGGAGGAGTATCTGCCATGGCAGAGGCAAGTAACAGAAAATCCAAACTGTTGTATGACACCATTGCCAAGTTGGACAAGTTTTACAGATGTGCAGTAAAACCAGGTGTTCGATCGCGCATGAATGTGCCATTTAGAATTATTCGCAATGGTCAACCAGCACCTGATTTGGAGAAACAGTTTATCATTGAATCAGAAGAGCAAGGCATGATGCAACTCAAAGGACATCGATCGGTTGGAGGAATTCGAGCATCAATGTATAATGCACTCTCTATTGATGCCGTTGAATGTTTGGTTGCATTTATGCAAAACTTTGCTGCCCAACACAGTTGATTATAAGTGATGAATCTGGTGACTTGAATAAATCATTTGAATTGAAGTTGATGAACATGTAATCTGATGATAGTAGATGACGAGAAAAAGGATAAAGTGCATGTTGCAACTGTATTCACGTTGAATGAAACACTAAACTTGAAATACATGATAAACAGTTCATGTTTGATGAGTTTCTGTTAAATTATTGGATCATATTATGTCCTAAACTCTCTGATTTTTTTGTATAAAATAGTCGAATGAATGTTTACATTACAACACCAGTAAACACTGAACAATTGACATGAAAACAGATGTATACAATCTCTGTTTAAACCAGAACGCGGAAGTATGCGAGTTTTTAAGATATAAAAGTTTAAGAATATCTGAATTAAAACGAATCTTACAATGCAAGATTATACCAAAAGAACATTTTGATTTAAAACTAAAGTTTGTATTCCATCAATGATGACTAAAGAGCCGAGAATGACAGTTTTGAACAGGAAGGCGCAGCGATACTCGAGAGTTTTGTGCGAATCCAAACAGATTGAAACGATTTAATTGATTTGAATGGCAAAGAATTGAAAGCTTTAATCGGGCTGACTTGCCAGTTGCAAATTATACAAGCTTCAACTCGTTGCACATCAGCATAGTAGCAGCAAAGTGGAGAACCAAGGCTTGACTATCTGCTATGGACCATCACAATAGTCCTGAACCCACTAGCAATGCTAGTAACACCAGCTCATCACAGGCTTATGTCAAGGGTAAACGGAGTTCACACCCCAAAGCTGATAGAAGATTATCCCCATTGAACCCATTATCTGCATTGGTTGCTCCTACTTCATCTCCTACTTCTACTGGAACAGTCTTTGGACAGACTCTCTCAAACAGAGAGTATTCGCTTGGTAATAATCAGTCACTCATGCCTCACTCTACAACAGCAAACACCAATCCAGAGCAGCCATGTCAACCTGCTGCACTGACTCTCGATCTGCCTCAGCTCCACTCTGGTGGTGTCAGTACTGTATCCCCAACATCTCCACTTGCTGGCTCAGTGACATCTTCAAATGAAGCCGCTGCCAAGCGTCGTTTAGTTGGGTCTCCGTTTTTTCAGATGCGACGTCCTTTACCCACTACAAGCGCTGCTTCATCTACTCTCACCAGTTCATTGTCTGCTGCTAGTATTCCCGCTACACTCCATTCATCGGAATCCATTGAATCCAGCACTTCTCCAGTATCCACTATTGCTACGAATAGCATTGATGCTCGCACAATGGTTGGACGCGTTCATACCCATCCATTAGCTGCTACTCTGCTACCAAAATCAAAATCTACTGGTATTGCATCCTGCCCTGTATCTGGCCCAGGTATCAAAGACAATTTACTTAAAGCTACTCATCAATCTATTTCTGGTTTTGTTTCGAGTGCCTCCAAGAATATTCCTACAAAAGCCACAGCCAGATCTGATACTGGGGATTCTATTATAGAGACTATAGACAGTAGCAGTTCAAGTGTTACAAACATGCATCCATCTATTTCACAGCATTCATCAATAAACAGTTTGTCACAAACTCGACTTAATCAGCCATTTCAACAATCAACTACCGATCTCACTACCAATTCTGGATTATCATTCAAGAAACCTATGCTATCAAGCTCAGATACCATGTCTAATTCAGTACAGTCTGAATTAAATTCTACAAATCAATCACCTCTTCTTTTCCAGAAATTTTCATTCAACCAACTCTCTTCGGCAAGTACGAGTCGAGCTACATTGCTAAATTCTTTGGAAACACCTTTGCGGACATCTACAATGCCAATATTACACAGTCAAAGTCTATCTGGTCCTAATTCTGCAATTTCCACAAAATCTGGAGCTATTATCTTTTCGCCCTTTATTATATCCTCTCATTGTGAAACACACGATCCTACTAATATGTTCAATGCTTGCGAGCAACAGGACAGTAACAGCCCAACACCAAATCGACCTCGTCGTATTCTGTGTCTTTCTACATCTCTTCCAGATATGCCGCAGTGGTCTAAAGCTAGATCTTCTGGTCGCACTCAGGAAATGACCTCTTGGCTTCCTGTACAGGCATCCCAAACAACTCCACTTGTGGCCTCACTTTCACGAAACGAGACGTCTGAAGTGTCGTGGCGCTTAGTTTCTTTTGGAAGATCTCCGCGTCTGCCTGCTTCTGCTCTATCTGAAACTATTTCCCCTCCACAACCAGTTAATAGCCCAACTGTTTTACCTGCATCTGGTCAGCCACCATCTACTACAGTTTCATTCACTACATTACCTTTGAATTCCAATATACCTGCTTCTACTGTTTATACATCTACTGGAATGTACATGGCTCCACCAAGTAGGTTTATTTTCCATTATTTTACCTGTTTTTTAAAAGCCTGCATTGCCTTTTTGTTTGCATAATACATTGCAAAAATGATTCAACTCACATTCATCATCAAACTTAATACAGGACTTCGACTTCGTACATTTTCGAGCTCCAGTCAGCAGCAACAACAGGTAGCAAGCTCCTACACTTCGCCCAACATTAAAACGACTAATAAGCAGTACTTGTCAGTACATATGAACGAGCCACGTATATCCGCTCTTCCTATTAAAGGTGGAAACAGCGAGTGTTTGGACAGACTATCCATGGGATTTACGGTTTCAGACCTACATGCATATACTTTTGTTATCGAGTCTTCGCGACAGGCAAAAAACGCACATTGGACACGCAATCCAATTGCATTTTGGCCACCATGGCACGATGTGTTGCAGCAACAAGACGATAATACAAAAGTACTTGTAAAATCGACTGATGTGCCAAGTTCGCAGCATGGATCACTTCCAAAACTTTCATTGCAATTGCCATCACCAAGAATGTACTCTGCTCCGCTACGACTAGCTCCAACCCTATCATCTTCTCACACTTCTCCACAGCTGGCCAATTCATCTATTCAACCTTCTCAGATCCTACAAAATAGTGGTAGTACTTCTGCAAATGTAAACTCATCTGCTACTCCACTAGGAGGAATTCGCTTTCAGCATCGTCCCAACTCTCCCGTACGACATACTGCCAGACAGTCATCTGGCATAATCAATTCTCCTGTTCTTGCTCCACTTCCAGTACCCATTCTTGATCAGCGATCACCAAGTCCAATGTTTATACTTGAAGACGATGATGCATCTGATTCCAGTGCATCGTCTGGAACTAGATCTAGCCACCGGCCTGATGGTTCGTATTATTCAAGCAACAATGTACGCACACGTTCAAGACGGCTAAGAAATCCGTTACAGGTATCCACAGTAACTTCATTATCAGGATTTACAGGCGGACACGTCAGTCATTCCGAATCGCCTAATCGTGGTGCTCCATTTGCTTCGGTGGAGTCACCCGATAGTGATATAGGTTCTTGGCGTGGCGTATCTGGAGGAAATGTAATCAATAGATCGTTGAGCGACGGAGACCTGTCAGAGTATCTAAAAGGCTATTCTGAACTAAAATATTCTTTGCAGATTGCAAAAGCCACATGCGACGTTGAGATTCAAAAGATCTTGCATGAGTTGGCCGAGTATATTGAAATGCATATTACTAATCATGCCAATGTTACAGCAACTGATTCTTGTCAATTTTGTGCGTCTGAAAAACAGCGTCATTGTGATTCTACTGATGTAAGTCTTTGAAATCTTTTGTGGTATAATTTAATAGGCTCTATATATGCATGTTTATCAAATATTGACAAAAGCTAATTTTTGCCAATGAATGTAATTTAAAATACGCTGCTATTATTTACACTTGTTTGTGATTTAGTCAAATGATGTTGCTACCAAGGGTCCTTGCGACTGCCAAGCCATCTTGAGTACACTAGATGAACTGCTAAAACAAACCAACTTTTTGAAACGACCTTTTCCACCTATACCAACTTTAATAGATTCTTCTGCAGAGGTTATTTCTAGCGTACCTGCGACAAAGGATGGAAACTTTCAGACACAAACTTCTTTGCTATTGAAACAGACTGATCCCATAACTGACTCTGCTGCCCAAGTGGACTTGTATGCCATACACAATTTATTCTCACCAAATCTTCATAAAATAGACGATCCTCCTTTGATTGCCTCTATTCGTGATCTCATTGGTGTAGCTGAACATATTATTCGAATGGACGTAACATCTCTCATGCAGCCGGGAACCTGTCGAGCACTTATGGGACATATTCAGGAACTTCAATACCAATGGCGACTCAATCCCGAATGGCCACTAGCGCATTTGGTTGTTCGTTTTTTGATTATTTTTGCAAGTGTGGCACGACTACTCGAGCATTTGGAAGAGGATACACGGATGTGGATGTACGCTTCGGGTCACAATACACCAGGAAGCCAATCTAAACTGATTTCCAGTATGGCAAAGCAGTTTCGATCTTCACATAAAACAAATTCATTTAAATCAAAAGTCACTGATCGTCGTATTTCCGTGTCTCCAAGCATTTCTTCTGTTATAGGAGTGGATTCAAGCGATGCTGATGTAGATGATGAAGGTCAAAACACAGATTCCCAGAACGATACCGACTCACGACGTGTCTACTCGCGTAAACCACGACAAAAAGGGTCACGTCCACTTATACATAAAGTCAACAAGCATGACCTTCAAGAAAAGTGGTCATTTGGCGAATCGCATGCAGCTGTAGACAGAAGCCAAAATTTCAACGTTCTTTTAGAGATTGCGACGGATGGAACTATTACTTACATTTCACCAAGTGCGCATACAGTGTTTGGATTTGAACCTACGTTGATGGTTGGTGCTATGATTCCGCCATTTCTTCCTATTGATACCAAGAATGTGTTTGTTGAAGCAAGTGATAAATGTCCTTGTGAGGATGGATTTATTATGGAAATTTCGTTTTCAGCCGTGCGATGTGATGGAAGGACGCTGCAACTTGAGGCCAAGGGCATGTTGAATGTGGATCGGACGACAGGAAAGAAACGAAGTATCGTGTGGGTGATGCGACCTGTTGGGCTTAAAGGTGAGGAATGGGAAGATGCATTATATTGTAGCGATCAAGCCACATCTAGTCTTACAGAGGATCATAGAGGGGATGATTCCATGTCAGAATCATCATTTTTTGATCAGCCTGACAATGCATTCCATCAGCTCAAAGGCTTATCTGGCAGCAACAGCACTGTAAATGCAGCATCTTTAATGCGTATCAACTCTACATTGCAGTCGACATCTGCACTCGTCGAGTCAAATGCACCTGGCCATAGTATATCCACTTTACAATCCAACTTGTCAACGGGGAGTTTTATCTCAACGATTGAAACACCTCTTTCAATTCACGATGAGCCTATTCCTAATATCAATCTAGCCCTATGCAATATCTGTGAAAGGTCTATTCCCGCGATTATTTTTGAAGAGCATGCTGAGCTATGCACTGTATTGCATCGCACGGAAATGGAAGTTGTACTGGCAAACGATCAGTTGAAAAATTTTAGAGCCCAGTGTATGGAAAAGGTGGGATTATTGGAGGATGAGATTGGAGATGAATGCAAGGAGATGGCCGACACGGCCCAACGACGCACAGTTCAAGATATAATCTCCGGATCAACCTTGACTTCTGCTACTAGAGATTTCAAGGTAGATGCCAATAGCAATGATCGCAATAAGGCGCGTAAACGTGGAAGCGACGGTGAAGGTGATTGGGCAAGTGGATCCGATGCAATTGAAGATGACGATCGAAGGACATATTTACAACATTTAGCCAAGCTGGTGTCTATAGGCAAGGAGATTATATCTGTTATCGACGAAACTCTTGCGATTCCTATTCCAAACTCAGAGAATTTGCAAACATCGCCTGGTGGATCTGTATCCGAAGATGTGGAAGGCATATATAGCGATCATAGTCTTCTTGATCCTTCTCATACACATAAGATGGGACAGAGTGGTCAGTCCCTTTACACAGGGTCGCCCACTGCCTCGACTCAATTATCGAAACTAGTACTTTCATCCGCTCTGTCACATTTAGAATTTGACCGTCTGCTTTCATGGTCCTGTCCTGCTGACGCCGAGTTTTCGACTCCAGATTTGCCCGTTTCAACTTTATCAAAGGGGAGTGGATTGAACTTGGACGAAGAAGCGCGGTGTCCGGTTATTGACAATGTGGTGATTTCACTTGCTTTTGCTATTCGAAATATTGGCGTAGATACCATGTCCTGTATACATAACAAGGTGCAATCTATATTGAAGCTTCGTGATGAGATGGCCGAGTATCAGCGATGCATTCTTCGCGAAGAAGAAGTAAAGGTTGAGATTGGTATTCAAACTGGAACGCTTTCTTTGGAAGGCGATCAAGGATCAGTTCATGTTTCTGATCGTGATTATGCTTCATCTGAACGTGTTGAAAGATCCTTGCATAATTCTTCATACGGTGAATCAAGTACCAATCTACCACAATCACCGCTTCGTGGCACGCAACCTCACTTGCTAACTAGTTTGGCCAACTTTGCTGATGAAGTCATGGGCAGTCCAAGGCAATCTATATGCTCGTCTCCTGTGACGACTATTTCTCCTTCGGCCATATTATATCAACTTACAGCAAACAAGGGAAGCGGATCAAATATTAGTCATTTGTCATCAAATGGTAGCGTCAACAAACTGACACTACCAGCTCACCATCCTCATAACCTCGACCGCAAATTTGGCTTCCCAGCGGCACCGCCTTTTATACGCAGCGGGCATAATGAGGGTAATGGCAGTAGTACTAACTTGAATGAGGCTACTGTGCAAGAGCCAGATCACAATACTTCCCAAACCAAACCCGAATTGAACCCCATGAGCGCTCCGCGATCTAAACTAAAGCGCAATAAACTTACTTCGTCTTTGAACATTCGTACGACATCCAGTCCTGAAGGCAATGATCAAGGTTTTCAAAAAAGCAATAAAAATAGCCAACGACATCTCCGTGCATCTTCTGGATGTGCGGATCAGCAGGGAGATGAGCCAGTCAGTCAGCCATCATCTCGATCACCGAGTGTGTCGCAGTTTTTACAGCGTGGAATTGCAAGCCCAATCATATCACAAGGAACACACTTTACGCCTGTTAGTACCAGCACTTGTAGCGCTGCACCGTCACAGCTTACGAATAGCTCACTATTTTTTGGATCTCAAAGCAATGGAGTTTCCCCGCCTTCATCTGTTCCCACATCGCCCATGGTGACATCTACTCCATTGTCATCTACGTGTCTTACCCCTAGCATTTCACAGCGTGCCATACCTAGTATCAAAGATTACGAAATTATCAAGCCCATATCCAAAGGTGCATTTGGGTCTGTTTACCTTGCCAAAAAGCGTGTTACAGGGGACTATTTTGCCATTAAAGCGATCAAAAAGGCAGACATGGTTGCCAAAAATCAAGTCATGAATATCAAATCAGAACGTATGATTCTCACTCAGCTGGACTCACCATACGTTGTTAAACTATATTATAGTTTTCAAAGCAAAGAACATATATATCTGGTAATGGAGTTTTTAAATGGAGGTGATTGTGCTGCGCTGCTAAAAAATATGGGGCAACTGGATGAAACCTGGGCAAAACAGTATATTTCTGAAGTGGTTCTTGGACTTGAATTTTTGCATTCGCGAGATATAATTCATCGGTATGTTGTATTTTAATTTTATATTTAATTCAAGGTCAAGACTAATATTTTGTTTTTGAATATGTGGTGTTTTTACTGCTGCCAACTAAATTCTTGTTATAGTGATCTCAAGCCAGACAACTTACTGATTGATTCGAATGGGCATATCAAGCTCACTGATTTTGGGCTTTCTCGTGTTGGATTTCTTGGTCGCCGTGCTCGCGGTGTTGGCGATGCTGTGGGAGGAACGTTGCTTGTTGATCGACCCTTTTCTGCTCTTTCACCTGGCCATCCACTTGTATCTCCCATTGGCCCTTCTGGATTTACTCTACCATCAAGTCCATTACCTAAAGATCACCCACTAAATTTTGCACTGCATCCACAAACTCAACATTTGAGAGGTGGCGGGAGTGGAGGAAGTAGTGGTCTACCAACAAATCTTCACAGTCGTCGGGGATCTATGGCAAGCATACTGGGAGCCACAGATTCTGGACCAGTACTTGGTGGTCGTTTGGCAGAAAAGGTAGATGAAAAAGACTCGAAACAGTTTGTAGGTACGCCAGACTACTTGGCACCTGAAAGCATTTTGGGTCTTGGTCAAGGTGCAAGTGTAGACTGGTGGGCTCTTGGTGTCATTTTATATGAATTTTTGTACGGTATCCCACCTTTTAATGCCAAGATGCCTTCGCAAGTATTTGAGAATATTTTGACAAGGCGAATCGTCTGGCATGAGGATGATATTGAAATGTCAGATACAGTACGAGATCTTATGGAAAAATTGATGTGTTCAGATATTCATGCGAGATTAGGAACTGAAGGCGCTGCAGAAGTGCGATCGCATAAATGGTTTGATCACGTCGATTGGGACAATCTACGACTGAACAAAGCGAATTTTGTTCCAAAGATATCCAATATTGAAGATACAGACTATTTTGACGATCGTGGTGTGGCAACGAATATGTCGGATGGATCGCCTAAGCAAGCTGATGGGCCTCTATCTGCCAAAGACAAGCAGACAAAAGATACCCATCATACCCCTGATCAACAGCACGCATCTTCATTTTTAGGGATTTCGGGTACAGACATGCTTACTGAATCTAGCTCGGGTAGTACGACGGTCAAATTTGGACCTGTGGGTTCATCTAATAGATCCGCGACTGAGGCAGTTATCAATTCATTTAATGATGACGATGATGCGAATAAATCTTCAGAGGATGAAGATGAGGAGTATTTGAAATCTGCAAGTGCAGATGGAGAGGCACCCGACTTTGGCGAGGTGGTATACAAGAATTTAGAACTGCTTGAAAAGGCAAATAAGCAGCTCGTATCAAGAATCCGATCAGATTTCCCAGAAGGCGAAGAATGGAAACAACGTCGCAGAGAATCTTTGCCCTTGTCTACTCCTCCAATTGGGGTTTTTCGAGGTACTGGCGTATCTTCTTTTGGGTATACATTGACAGGTGTTTCGCCTAGTAGCTCTCTAGGAAGCGGCAATGTAAACGTAAATCAGGGATTTTTCCCGTCTCCACCAACTCGACTCCGCACATTGTCAGCAAATGCCACAGGGCTACCGTCTTCGGGAAATTTTGTAACCAGTCGACCAACTACTCCTACAAATCTATCCTCAATGCTGTCTATTGAAAAAAATTCACAAGATGAGCTTAACGAGTCTGCTCCAAGACCAAGCGCTCATCCAGTTAATGACCACAACGTTCGACACGCTGATACATCAGCTGCTGTATCAAAGCAAATGCAGACTGTGATATCTGAGAGTGGAATGCGTGCACGGCGAAGCTCACTGCCTTCTTTTCCCACTAGATTTCGGGTACATACACAGTCCCCCGAATTTGGATTTGCCCGGCCACATGTCACTAGCAATACTCCTTCATCTACGCCAACATCTGGCGGTGTGCCTACCTTTACTTCCATACCTAATTCTGCCACTTTGACTTCTAGCGGTTTATCAAAAGTAGGACAGAACGCACATTGCGAGCCGGCAATACGAGAGGTAGCTGGTCGTGATCAATCCTTAAAACCAGAGCACCACGGATCTACTCGTCTCAGCACAACCTCGACCAGTTCATATCAATCATATTTAGAAAATGCCAAGCAGCAGCTATTTCGAGAACAGCGTCGTGGAAGTAGCTTTTCTACACACAGTCGTGAAGCAAGCATTTTGACTTCCTCGCTGACTGGTCCAGAATCACTTATTGAAATCACATCTCCAGTTTTACCTTTATCGCAGCTATCCCGCCCGCATTTTCTTTCTGAGCACACGCACACACCTCAGCATCAGCCTTTACATTCATCTGCTAAAGATCATCGCAGATCGGCTTCATCAGCTGGATCGTCCAACACTCCATCGAGTATTTCTAGTCATCACTCTCAGAATAGTCCGATTGGGCGACAGCTGGATGCTCTTATTGCATGTGATAACGTGGCTGAAACAAAAGAACTCGAATCACTTTTGGCTGGTCAACATTGCCGGTGTGTCACAGTACGCAGTGGATCTGAAATTCTTCAGTGTGCCATGGGAGATGCTCGATTTGATATTATTTTTCTAGACACATCCATGCCACAGTTGAATGGGGAATCTGTTGTTCGCATGATCAGATCAACCAAAAACATAAATCAACACACACTTGTTATTGGTATTATTTCTGGCCAGCCGACCTTTTTACAATCTCAGCAATTTGATGATACACTTTCAAAGCCATTTTCAAAGGAAATTTTGCATCGTATATTGGTTGCAATTGCTCCTAGTGACAGTATGCTATATTATGAAGCATCAGGAAATTTGTATGGTTTACCTAATAACAAGATTTGATCTTGGCATGTCTTTTCACCTTTTTATTTATAACTTTAATAAAGCATTTCAAGTATCTCGATGAATTTAAACGTGTTTGCCTATGCATAAGATTGACAGCTTATACTCTTGCATCACTGCTGAAAGATTTGCCGAATACAGCACACGAGTATTTCGAGAAAAGATCAAGTTGAAACATGGCAAACCATAATGAACGTGCAAATATGTTGCATAAGCATTGACAGACGGTCTACGCAGAGTATTCTTGCATTATCATAATGAGTTGAGCAACAGTGCACATCTACACGTGACTTATTTTCATTCTATTCCGACTCAAATTTGCTGTTTAATTCAATCTAGCCCAACATGGACTTTCAGGTAACCGTTTATGACTATATGGGATGGATGTTCTCATTAGCTGATGTGTGTTCTTTCGATCCCTGTTCAAACCATACTCTTATAGAATCGAGCTGGTTCCAAGCCTGGTTCTGGCGGTGTTGCCGACTCTTCCCAGTTCAATGTGGACCGTAGAGAACGACTTCGCAAGCTTGCTAGCGAAACCATTGACCTAACAAAGGATCCATACTTTATGAAAAACCACTTGGGTTCATACGAATGCAAACTATGTCTTACTCTTCACACTAATGAAGGTTCTTATCTTGCACATACTCAAGGCAAAAAGCATCAAACCAATCTTGCTCGTCGTGCAGCCAAGGATGCCAGAGAGTCTAATGGACCATTTGTTGGTTCTGGAACTGGAAGTAATTCTATTAGTGGTCTATCTGGGGTGGATAGACCCAATATGTTTCCAGCTATTCGCAAGGTAGCCATTAAGATTGGTCGACCTGGATACAAGGTTACCAAAGTACGAGATCCAACCACATACCAACTTGGATTGCTTTTTCAGGTGCATTATCCCGAGATTGGTAAGGATAGCGGTATTGAGAACTTAAAGCCTCGACATCGGTTCATGTCAGCATATGAGCAGCGAATTGAGCCTCCGTTGAAGAATTTCCAGTACTTGCTGATTGCTGCCGAACCTTACGAGACCATTGCATTCAAGGTGCAAAGTTTGGAGGTAGATCGGGGTGAAGGCCGATTCTGGTCACATTGGGATCCAGATGCTAAACAGTTCCACCTGCAGTTTTTTTTCAAAGGAGATCGTGGAAGTGGGGCGACTGCGCTACCCGACGCACCATCAAAATAATAGTATTTTTTTATCATATTATAAATTAGCAGTCTCGAGTCAACATCAAATATACGCCAGGAATACAACTGATTTATTTAATTTATTTTGAGTAATTCCACCTATAATGGATTGCGAATCAAGTTGGTTAAAATAAATTGGATGTCGAGACAAGATTAGAGAAAGCACTTGCATTTACTATCAAATGTAACCAATCTACCTACATCAAATATCAGTACAGAATTGGGCGGGATGTCTGATCCTGCTCCTCGAGCACCATATCCATACTCGGGCTGAATGGTAAGAATAGCTCGCTCTCCGAGAGACATGGAAGGGATTCCCATATCCCATCCTACACGATAAACATTCTCATGAGTATATTGAAAATAAGAACCCAAATAGAGTATTGGTATGCGAGATGAGCTTACCCTTGATCACTCGACCAACTCCAATGGTGGTAGTAAATGGATCGTTGCGATCGCGTGAGGAATCAAACTTTTTGCCATTCAAAAGCTAACAATAGATGGAGTTAGAATTGCATGATGGATTTAATACCAACAACTTTCAACTTATGGATTGCTACACATATAGTTCTTACCGTTCCAATGTCTGAGATGATGAGTTGCATAAAAGGATGGGCAGGTTAGTATTTTATGGAAACATACTTTTGTAATTTAGCTGGTCAACTATAAAAGTATGGCAATATCTTACAATGAACAGAAACAGCATCACCCTAAGTTGAATATAAACAAGTGTTAAACAACTGCTACAACACCCGAGGCAATAGTGTAATGCTCAACATTCATGCAAACAACATGCGCTTAAAAGTTACCTGTTTAGGAAAGGTCTTGCCATCACCCACAGTCACAATCGTCTTTGACCAATGTGCATCAGCAATAGCACTGGGTGATACTTGCATGCGATTGGTGCTAACAGGAAGCTCACTGTTACTCTGGTTTGCAGGAGCAGTGCTAGAAAACACATGTGTGCCAAAGTAGAGATAACCAAGCACTCCTGTGCTAGCCAGTATTAAGAAACCAGCAATATACACTATGAGCATTTTGGACCGACTCAAAGGTTTTCGCTTAAGAGAATGGTCATGACTGTTCTTGCTGTCGTGGTTAATGTATCTTTCAGTGTCATCCATATGCCTTCGGGACATCTGTCAAGATTGTTTCTATTGAAAAAGGTTGGGCATGTTGTGAGTGGCTGATTCAATGGTTTCATAGTAACAAGCATTGCAGTCAGCTACGACCCTATTTTCAGATTAACTTTGTCATTTTGCTATTGCTGATTGCATTCAAGATTACAAGCAATGTTTTGTCCAACTCAGTGTTAAAGTATAAAACTAATTGCATTCGAGATTTCGAATTGTCATGCATGCATCAAGTGTGGAGTTATATTCCCTGACTAGAGTTCAAATATGGGGTTATTTGAGTAGTATGTACAAGACATTGAACGGTATCAGATTTTTGTCAGAATTATAATGTGAATTGAGTTTCAGGAAACCCATTCTGAAGAGTTTTCCACACAGTTCAAGTGAAGAAATTAATGAAACTGTTCCAGGAAACTAAAGTCTTGACAAAGTCCACCCTCGTTGCCAACAATCTTCAACGACCCACTCTTGACAACATATTTTCTGAAGCAAAGCAAGATCGTGCCTTTGCTCTGATTCCTGCATCCAATTCGATTGGCATTGTGCTTCAGCACAGTCTTAGAAAGCGGCCTACTTTGGATGAACTCGAAAAACTGATCGAGCACAAGATGTGAAGATGAATATTCAACTATTCAATACAATCTGTTATATATTAAAATGACTTTCAATGCTTATGAATCTAGCACAAAAGACTACCCATTATTCCAGGCACTTGGATTCCAATTAGATTGTATACATTACAGCAGATTATAATCTGATTGTGATTTATTCACTTGAACTGTATGGAAAACTCTTCAGAATGGGTTTCCTGAGACTCAATTCACATAATTCTGATAAAAGTCTGATACCGTTCGTTGTCCTATACATACTACTTATTTGGTTTAGTGTGATCAAGAGATTCAATCTAGTATCATCTAACCCATGCATGCTTCATGAAATAAACTTGGATTGATGTCAGTTCAGTCAATGTAATACATAATAAAAACTGGTATTTAGATATTTGTCTAATGGCCATTGAGAATAGAACCAGCCGGCAAACATGGGTTAGCAAAGCCGGCTTTTATCAAAGCCTTGACATGACTAGTTGCTATAGCTTTTATGGTTAAAATATCTCCCCTCGATTGATTCAAGCCCCAATACAAGACTCGAGTCGTGGAGTAAACGAGAGCAGTGTCTACATAAGCTTTCTATTAGCTGCTTGCCTTTTAATGTTGGCCACAAACATAGGGTTTTAAATGGATGTCTTTGGGTATTGCTATTCATATCTCCAATGTGTGATTGTATTTGCTAGTATACCTCGGCTAGTTAATTTTGAATTTGCCATTTTTCCATTAAATATTCTAGTTTTACCCGGCAACCGATACCTCCAGAATTGTAAATATGGCTTGACTATTGATGCATCATAAACACTTGTACACGCTGTGTAAATATAATGTCTAAAAGATGCTTGTAGTCGACTAAAATACTCTGTTTGTTTGTTATATTCATTTACAAGTGTGGCACCTATAATGATGGACGTGCTAATTAAATACCAATGCAGAGATAATCTGAATGCACGCATTTAGACTGAATAGATTTACAGCCGAATTCACGTAAAATGAAACACTAAATAAACATGCATTATAAACAACCAATCTCATGAGATGATTGGTGGCATTTTACTGAGCAGTATCGTATCCTAAACTCATCAAGAATACGAGATTTATTCGAGCAAGATGTGAATGCTGCTTTAAACATCCATTCACTTTTACAAAGATAAGCACGAAAGCTAATTGACTTGTTCAATCTCCAACTCTCCCTTCATATAAATCAAACATTACAAGTAAATATTGGGTGATTGACATGAAAACAACGGTTGCATTTAAAGCGTGCAATCACTGTTCGCTTCAACTAGAATGTGAGCGTATCTGTGAGTTTAAAATACAACAGATGGATTTGTACCGTTGTATTGAGATAAGCTAAGCCAAATATTTGGATTGCAACAAGTTTGGATTCAAACTTGTTGGTCGTACAATGTATGATTATGCTAAATGAGAATAATTTCAGCCCAGGACTATAATTTGATTTGATGCACATCATATGATGGACGCTGCTTATTGAGTTAGTGTCAATCGAGCAAGCAGCAATATCTGGTAGGAGAGCATAGCTAATGTTTGATCACTGTACTTCAAAGCAAAAGAGGCAGTGATTGCGAAATGAATACAAGTGCTCCGTTTTACATGGATACAGCCGTAAATGCATTACCCCTCGATTCGGAATTGCTGGAATGTCTTTTGCGGCAGAATATGAAACATGCACTCATGACTAGAAGCTATGTATGGACAGCGAATTGTCATGCAATGGATTGACCCGTACGCAAAATTCAACCCTGTAAACAATTTTAATCAATGTTTTAAACTAAGCAACATATCCGGCATATAAGGCTTACCTGACCCCGCTGTTTTCCACTCCGATTGCTCATCCTTTTCAATCTCTTATCTTGCAAGTCAATAAAATCTGCCGATTAAATCAATCACTACTACCCTAGCCGTATTTATCATTCCCATTCAATGTCAGCCGTGATGCCCTGTGCTATCGCATACAGCCGTTCTACTGCTAAGACAGCTTGTCTATCTGGCAAAGATGCTACATTTTCACCCACGCCTATTCCTAATGCAGTATCAAACTCGATTCACTATGGCAGACGGACTGATTCAAAAAGTCAATACATTGCCTGCTCCAATCATTGCAATGCTACTGCTCCACGCATTTCAACCGCAGTAAAACCCTTACCTGAAATGGCCACATCAAGCCATTTCTCTGACGGGCTTGCTGCACCTCAGCCAGTTCGTATGCGTATTAGAGTTCGCTCTCCACACGGTCTTGCTCATATTAATACAAACCTGCATGACATGCATCCAAACTTTATCCCTAATACGATCCATACGTCACGATCAGCACCCGTTAGTCATCCTAACCGCAGTCTCAAGCATACCAGGTCATGGAAATCCAATAGCTCCTTCACTACTGACCAACCAAACATTGCTGTCAAAGCCATGCGACAAGTTAGCTTTGAAGAAGCATTATGTCGTGGATTTCAAAGTGCTCCCCAGCTAACGCTTTTGATAGCCAATGGGTTGTCTGACTTTGCCGCAGAAACCCTCCATATCTCCTTCACACCAATGGAGCTTCGATGACCCAAATGTTTGATCTTTGTTGCTTATACATAGTTTATTATCTTTATTCTACTCCCCATAGCCAGCCATTACCATATTAGAATATATTTGAGAACAAGCTTTTCGGATTTTGGCTATGGCGGATTCCAACAAATCATCCAAACCTCCAATAAAATCTTTTAGTTGTCAAGCTGCAATCTGAATTATTGATAAATGGCACATGTGGTTTGTTAGTAATCTATTATGACATGTAGCCACTGCTATCATTACAGCCAGTCCACTCAATGTCTAATCACATTTGTTATTGTGGCAGCCTTGGTATGTTTACAGCATGTTTAAACACTTACATAGCAGCCAAACCACGCATGATCCAATGCTTTTCTGGCTTGTCAGTCGGGAGCCTGATTGCAATCACAAAATTGGTTGAATGGCCCGTTGTTGACAGTACACCACGTCTTGCACTGGTCTTGTAGACCGGCAATGTGTAGGTTCCGGTGGTTTTGGTATCCACAATGCGAATTGGCTTGAACCAAATCATTGGCATTGGGTCATACAACACTTTGTTGAATGACTCACCCAACACATTGCGTTCTTTCACCCAGCGAGCTCCTTCGAGATACAAGCCATTAACATAGACTCCATCGACTGGAGATACTGCGGATGTGGTGGTTGGCATGACTTCAAAATCCAGTCCAAGCTCGTCAATTGGAATTGTATACTTTCGCGCATAATTTTGTAGTGTGGCTGGTTCAAGTATACACGGTTATTTACATTAAATCGGTATTAGCAGCGCATTATAAACGGTACATAGTCGGTCATGATTCTGGTGACTGGTTTTATTGCGCAGTCATTTGTATGGATGGATATACTGTCTGATTAACTTCAGTACATTGTATTCATACCCACTAAGCCAGCTGCATAAAGCAGTTTTTTGACATTTTTTATCCATACCATACCATAGACTCAAGTAGCAAGGCTATGCAGATCAAATACCAAATAATTTAAATATAGTGTACCAAGCAACTTACCCGTAATAAACGATTGTGTAAAGAAGAAACCTGACATCCAAAACACTACTGGGCTGCCGTGCTCTAGCCATGTTTGGAAAAATTTGATTCGTGCAATCAAATCATTGACATAGCCTCCAAGCGGTTTCAGAGATGGATACGATCTGGCTGCCCACATGGCAGGAACTCGGCCAACAAGAATGCTTTTGCATACTTCTTCGAGTTCTGAAGAATTAACCACTAAGCCCTTGATTGCTTTCTGCACATTTGCCAAACCCCCCAGCACCACCTGAATAAGTTTGTTGAAACGAATCATCTCTTGAACAAGTACCGTATTCATGCTTTCGTTATAGTCCACAGGATACCTCTTGATTGCTTCTTCAAGATTAAACGCTGCTGGGATCCTGGAAAGAATATCTGACGATATTTCAATGATGATCTCTTCACTTGATTTTTGTCCATTGCCCTGACTTGACCCAAACGTATTACCCTGTGTTTGAATCACACTTTCAAAAAGCTGTCTAGTTTCTGCCAGCTGTCTAGCAATATCTCCGTTGTCGTGAATGCCAAAGATTTCAGGACTCTGGTTGAGAGGAAGACTTCGCACATACTCTAGATATTGATCATATTTTCCTTTGGCTGGTGCATAGTACACACCAGAAGGAGAGAAACGATACCCATTGTCCTCTACTATTGCTGGGCAGTAGAACGTGGTTAATAAATTGGTAAGTGTGCGTCTGTCCCACTCGTCTGTTACTCTGCCACCATAGTTACACTCTCCAGTAAGATAGATGATTGCTTTGAAAGGAATCTCGGCATATTCGTCTAAAAACATCTGCAATTGGCGTATACTAATTCGTAGATCTGATTCGTTGAATTCATACGGAATATTCCAACCAAGTGGGCCAAAATTTCGTCTTTCTTGCACAATGGCATGAAAGGTACATAGACCAAACAGCAGCTTTTCCCATTCTGCAGGTTTCTTACATGCTGCAAAAAACTTTTCGTTTGAAATGGGGTCACTCAAGTAACTTTTGAGAATATTTGCCTTGATTCCCTTTGGCGGCTCATTTGTCATTTTAACGCCAATCTGTAGGATCGATGACGGGAATTTGGGACTTGGATATGAAGTTAGCCAAAGCCGGAAATCACGATGAACAGATGCTCCACTGGTCATGTCATCGACTATTTTTTCAAGAGTGCTGAGCCAACTCACTGCCAAGTGGCAATTCTGCAACACGACCCATGTACCGCCTTTCTGGGCTTCGCGAATCATTTGTGCAGCGATTGGACCCTGACCTTGACCCAAAGATATGCTTTGGCACTTTTGGCCTCCAAATCCTTGGTCCTCTGCAAACTTGATCAGCCTATATTATTTACACATTAAATCAGCATAGCAGAATATAAAGTATAGTGCATTTTCACATGACGACTACTTACTGTGCCATTGGATCTACTCCTGGAGATAAAATAAAAATTAATGGACTGTGATTGCTCGAATCTTCGTAACTACCAGCCAAATCAAAAATAGGTGGTTCAATAAATTTATGGCCAAGCTTTGCCTTGACAAACTCTTGTACACTAGGCACAATTTTTTCTGGTCGCAATGCACGAATAATCAATAGATGCTGAAAGTCATTGATGGTATTCCATTTCCCGGGAAATTTCACTTCAAGCAGGTCGTTTGTATCTATCACTTGCTTCCAACCTGAAAGACTAAACTCCTGAATAAGTCCTTTGAATGCTGGAAGATCAGAAAGTCGTCCAATTTCTGTCCAGCCTTTTTCAGAAATTATGGATGGATCTGGATTTGGAATGCATTGTCCACCTAGTCCAATACCCCCCGTCATAAAGTGTGCAAACTCGGCTTCATCTAAATCATTGTATTTGCGCAAAATGGTTATGCATAGCAAAAATGAAAACAAAAGCTTGTCTTTTTCAAAAAGTGACCTGCATACGTTACAGTACAAAGAGTATGTAAAGTATGATTCGAGATTTTTGAGACGCCGCTTCACAACACTTGATTTGTTGGACTGAGAAATTGAAATAACAAACAAATCCATAAACCATACCAATGAGTACTGATACATAGGCTCAATGTTCGTTAGATCTGCAATGCAAAAATAGAGTACTGCAGAGTGGTTGGCAATAGGTCTATAGGACTCGCGCGTTTCGTCGATTTTGCATTCTGTTTCCTCTGCAACCCGCTGCTTATCAAACAGCTCAACAGAAAGAACTTTGGATGAAGACAACACTTCGATAGCGGTCTCGTTTTCCAAAATATTGCCCTCTGCTGACGATAGGATCTGCAAAATTTGGTCCTCGATTTCCTGCAGCTTCTTTTTATTTTCCGCACTCTGAAATATTAGTTGCACTTTTTCTTCTTCCAGCTCTGGCCGCTCTTTTGCCACGACAATACCAAGCAGTTGATCTTCCAATCCCTCGGGAGTAATCATAAAGTTTAGCAATGACACTTTGACACTTGTTTCAGGAAAATAGTGTGGATTGCGCAGCTTTGTTGTCATGTATAGCCTAAATGACTCGGCGTACTCGATTACCGCGTCACCGAGTCGAATGCATGTTGCTCCACCAGACTTGAACGTCTGTTTTTGTAAAATAGTATCTAAAATTGGATCTAATTCCTCTTTTAGATTTTCCAAAAGCACTGGCAAGCCAAAAGTAATGGCATTTTCAAGGTTGCGTACAAAATCGGTATCGGTGAGCTTAATAATGACTAGTTTGTGATTTTTTTCCATATTTTTTACCCATTTGTTGGCCTGCCCTTGTGGATCAATCATGAGTGGCCATCGCCTGGCATTCTGCACAATTATTCCATTATCAACCGAGAATGCATCAGAAGGAAGTCCAGCAATATTCCATTCACGAATTTTGATTGGATCGCCAAGTACTTTAATCAGTGAAAATGCATCGGTGCAAGGAATCTTTTCTTTTTTTAGTGTTTCGACCCATGAAGCCACGCATTCTTGTCGATACAGTTTGGTAAATGCACCCAGATACGCAGCAACTCCTGCCGAAATCAAAACGTCCCCACTCAGGTTATACAGCGTACCATCCAACTGCTTTGTAATTTCGGTCCACCTATGCTTTTCTCCTCCAAGTCCCCCCAAAAGTTTTTGGGCACGATCCAGTTGATCTTCACAACTCTTGACTTCTTTTTCCAACCTTGCCTTTTTTTCAGTTAGGGCTTGAAGATTATTGTTGAGAGATTGTAGGCGATCCATGATTTCTTTGAGCAATGCTCGCTTTTCGTCAAGCCCCTTCATGGTTTCTGCCAATTCAGCCTCTGCTTTTGCCAGAGCTTCCTGTTTTGGGGCCACAATTTTGGCAACACGATCATATGCTTCCATGGCTCCAATCCAACTGCATAGTCCCTCGGCAGCTGATGATGCATTGCGTACCTTTTCTGGTTTGAATTCTGGATTGGGAATAAACGTTTGACGAATTTTTTTGATGACATGGGGTGGAATGTCGTCCTTGTCAAAGCTTTTAAGACTATTGAGAAACTGAGGATCTCCAAGCATTTTAAGCGAGGGTTTCCAGTAGTCCAAAACCATACGGCCTGATCCCGATGGGTCCGGGATTTTTTCTGGTTTAATATCCTTCATGACACAAACAGCTTCCATAACAAGCTTGACCCCATCAGGAGGATTTTTCATGGACTTGACAAGATCAATATCCGTTTTTTTCAAAGTATCCAAAGCAGCCAAGGCTGCATTGAGAAGTGGAAGAGCTTCGGCTAAATCGTTTTCGCATTCGTTTTTCATGGCTGCTGATTGTTCAGCTTTAAAAGACGCAATAGCTTCATCAGATGCAACTGTTTTTCTCGTTGATTCTACCTCGACCGACTCTTTTTCAATTTTTGCAAGCATCTCGATAGTTTCTTCAGATGTTTTTAAAAGCTGGGGTTGCAATTCTTTAAGATCCACTTGCATGCGAGCAATTTGTTCAGCTGCAAACTGGAGCTTGTCCAATCCACCTGCATATCTCTTTCTTACCATTGATATTTCCTGAAACTTTTGATTTAGAAGCGTCTTGTATGCATTCAGTAGCTCCAGATAGCTTGTGGGAGTAACATAGTTGTGACGCGAAAGTGCAACCAGGTATCGTTGGGAAAGTGCAATGGCATATTGGTGAAAATACTGGCACATGGCAATCACTTTATCAAAAATTGAAGTGTCCAAATTGGTATCTTGAAGAAACTGCTTTGCAACGGCTTGAAGTGCGTCATTTGGCCACGCTTGAAACCAATCGATAGTACAGCAATTGACAATTGAAGAAAACTGTCGCAAGCGGGCTCGAAAGGCGTCTCCAATGGGACTCATGCATAGTACAATATGAAGATTTTTTTTAACCCGGTCAACAAAATAAGAATAGATTGCCATGGGACTTGCATCTGCGGCCTTTCCATCTTCCACAGCATCGTTTGCCAATTTTTCGACAATTGCTTGGCGTTCGTCTGCTGCAAATAGGTTTGGTACATCTCCCGCATTGAGCAAGCTATTAACATCTTCAATAAAAGATTCTTCGCGAATCTGAGTATCTGGGAATAAAAATACCGTTTTTTGATTCTCCACTCCTGTCATTGTTAGAATTTTTTTCAGATCGTCACGCCATTCCACTCTCGAGTATGATTTTGATATTTCAATTTGGAAGACTTGATACTTTGAAATAAATGCAGATAAACGAGTCAATGACTGTCTACCACTGCCTCCAACACCCACAAGCAGCGCATTTCCACCAGGCAGCTTGAGTATTCGACAAATTTTGGAAACATGTTCAATTGCAAATCGAAACAAAACTAAATCAAGCTTTGTCTTTTTTACTTGATTGTATTCAGCCAATTGAGCCTTGCATATCTCGCTAATTGTATCAAAATTTTCAACCTCTATATAGTTGGTTTCTGCTCCCGGGCTTGCACAAGTAACAAAATCACCGAAAAACACACTGCGCATGTCGTCATCCACAACAGTTGGACTTTCATCTACTTTATCACCCGTTGCTACATGAGCAAACACTATGTTTGGATCTTTTTTGAATTTCTCGTTAATGGTCGACATTACAAACGCAAACATATTGCTGCGATCTTCATCAGCAACAAGTCGATCGTAGTATACTCGGTAAACCTCATGTGTCCAAAGACGTAGCATGGAAGTGTCAGATCCAAAATGAGTTGGGCGTGATAGCACTAAGCCTTGAATAACTTTGGCAAAATCACGCAGATTAAATGTATAGTGGGTTTTTGCAGGAGTGGGTAGCAGATTTTTAACCGCCCATTGATACACACTCATTGTGCTGTCAACAAGAATATATGAAATATTTCGAATCTCTTCCACAAATTCAAAACGTGAAAAATGCCATTCCAAAATGGAATTGAAAATACGAAACATGGTTGCATCGTCAAATGAGTTGATTACTACTTGGTTAAAGTGTCGTTGGAATCGTGGAGTGATCAAATTTCTTCCTCCGCCTGGTGGTCCCATTGCCGCAATAAGCTGTATATCTACCAACTCAATGCGTGAAGTATCTTTACGGTCGTACCAATTACCGTGATCTATCCATTGTCGAAATAGCTCTATAGGTGGTTGTGCACCGTATTGCTCCTTTGCTGGCATGTTCAAATCATCAATAAACACAATATATCGCTTTCCAACTGGAGCACCAAATACACCTTTACGTCGTTTATCTAATTTAGCCATCACCAAGTCTTGGACTTGGTTGGCACTTGTACGTGCTGAAAAATTGATTGCAAGTGGAAGAAACATGTCACGCGATATGCCATTGAGAAGCTTACTGCTGATATACTTTGACTTTCCAGTACCCGTCGGTCCAACTAAAAGTAGTGGAATATCATGTAGAATCATAAGATCCATGAGATAGTTGTATCTTGCGGTATCTTTTGTAGGAATAATAATGTCATTGAAATCAGAATTGGTAGGTAAATGAATTGCGGGAATGGTCTGTAACCACGGAATCCATGCGTCTTTGTTGTGTTGGAGCTGCTTTGTGGAATCTGAAAAGTCGGAGTCAGACTCTTGTTGATTTGACTGATACAGATAGTCATATATTGTGCCTTCAATTGGAAGCTCTAGTTTTAGGGGAGGCTGCATTTTATAGATGCATTGTCGCATCATGTGATCAAACTTGAGCTGGCTCGGAGTATCGATACTTCCACCTATTGTCCATGCCATGCAAAACAAGAAACGACACTGAATCCGCTGCTCCCAAAGTGAGTCTTGGTCGTTCTCTTCAATAATACCGCGTTTTCGAAAATCATCAAACGTACTATCAAAAAGTCGCAAAAGTGAATTAACAAGTCCTATATCTGTTGTAGGTGAAAGTTCCTTGCAATCTTTACGAACAAACGTCAATGATGGCTGAACAAAAGTCTCGAATAGTTGGCTAATGTATTCTTTAATAGTGGCTGATAGATATGTGATACTGTTTAGCCACGATTGCAACAGGGGCCGCCAACCAAGCCGTTCTGGCTCGAGATACACCATTCCACATCGAGATACAGTAGCAGGAGAAGCTACTGAAAGATCCATCACTTCGAAAACCAGACTCATAGTGTTGGAAAGTTGGATAATTTCACCACTCATTAAACAGAGTTTTTTGTTGTCATCCAACACGGTGTTCATATTCTCAACCCAAATTGCATCTACTGGGCCATCAAAAATAACCCATTTTCGATCAGGACTTGTGCTGCTGGCGTATGATCTAAAACTAGTTGCAAGTACACCATCAGTCCATTCATGAGAAATAGGATCAAATTGTCCATAGAGCTGTCCCATTGTAATTGATTTTGGATTAATGGCTTTGTATTGCACACTAAGCCACTCATCCGTCCCTGCTGGCTCATTAGCCGCAATAATGTTTAATGCTTCGCCAAGAACACGATATGCAGTAGTTTTCCCTGAAAATGGTTCACCAACTAGCATATATCCATGTCTAACAAGCATCATCTCGTATAATTGAAACACCTTTTCAACAAATGCCGGCACCATTTGTAGGTTCATTCTTTGGCAGGCAATTTGTATTGCATCTTCTAGCTTGACATAGTCTGATTTTGGAAGACAAACGCCCGGAAATAAATCTGTCGCAATGCCTTTGAATAAAGCAATATCCTGTGACAAAAATTTGGGAAGGTTGACATCGATGATGGATCGAAGCACTAAAACGCTTTCGTCTTCATCTGGATATTTTAGTTTGAGGTTTCCTGCGGCAGTCAAGACTGATTTTACAGCACGCATGCCATAGTCATAATGGTCCTGCGACGAGAGTTGCTCAGAGCACAGTCTGTACGTGGCAGCAATTTTCCTTGCCAAATTACGAGCTTCAATAAATCCAAATGAGTAGAGTGTAATTTCGGCAATAAGTGAATAGTCGGGCACCATCATGGCAACAGTACGGAATAGTGCTTTTAAATTGTCGGGAAGTTCTGATCGACCAGCATAGCCTGGATTCATTGTAATGAATACGGCACATTGCTGATTCAGTGCCAATTTGCTCCCTTCAAACATAAACTCTTTGAGATCCAATGCAATGGCTCGCTGTATAGTCAAAATCTGCTGAGCAACTACAGACAGTACTTCCAAGTCAATTCGATTAAACTCGTCAAAGCAAGCCCATGCACCAGAAGTCGCAAGTCCTTTGAAAAATTTACCCATGGCCAGATAATCAAGACCATCGGAACAATTGAACACAACACACTGTTTTGCAAGAGCTTTGGCAAGATCCTTGGTTGTTTCAGTTTTTCCTGTTCCTGCTGGACCTTCTGGAGCACCACCAAGATTCAGATGCAGAGCTCCAAATAATGTTCTGTAACATCGATCAGTCAAGGGTGTGATGACCAAGCGAGCGGAATTTCCCAGATACTCGTAACCGTATCGTTTTTGTGCATTAATCATCTTGACCATTACATTATTGTTTTCCCAATAGTATCGTAATTGGGATAGCCACGCAAAATCGTTGGTGTCTTTGATATTTTCAGTATGTGCCATATTGGCTATAACATCACGAGCGTGCACATCAATCACAACCAAGGCTCCAAGTGTGTATCTTGCCATTTTAGAAAGCTCTCCTCGAACAAGCTTGATGGTTTCATTCAAATCCCGATTGAGTTGCATTAGGTGTTGCTCAATTCCTCTTTTCCCCTCAAGAATGGCTTTTTCGACAGCCAAGGTCCAATAAATTTGACTCACACATATAACAACCTGGCCGGGCCATTCTAACACCCATTTTTCTCTTGGGCTATTTGGATATGCCAAATATGCAGCCTTGATGATAGAGTGAAGACTGCTTAACATGGCATTTTCAACATCGCGAAGCCATTTCTCCACTGTACCTTTTGCATCTACTGTCGAGACTTTTTTAGTCAGTGCCAATCTTTCTTTCTCGCTAGAGTATAGACTGATGATATCCAATTTTTCGTCAAACTCGAGTGTAGCAACACCTTCAAAACACTTTTTAAGATGCGGCTGCACACGCGTCGGATCCTTGGTTTCGCTCAGAATCTCGAGCATCTCATCGTTGGACAGGAAAAAGAATCTTGGGAAAAAAAGTCGCTTGACTTCCAAATAGGAATTGAGTCCTTTAAGAATCTCTTCAAGCATGATATTGTTTTTTTGCAGCTCTTCAAGTAGATTAGGAATGGTTGTGATTTTAAGAATGTGACGATCTTGGCTAACAACACACATGGTTTTACGCCATGAGTAATCTACCATTTTAAACTTTTTACTTTCTTCAGGCATTTGATTCATAATGTCTTCGCTTGAAAAAATAGGTTCCAAATATAGCCATGTTGCCTGTACTTTTAACCATTCATCAATAATTTCTTGGGTGGTGAGTAGCTTGTGCTCCCATTCTTTAATTTGCTGTTCAAACGGTTTGATGTAGGGAGATCCACGCATGGACTGGGTCTTGACAATTTGATCATCTAGCAACTGTTGAGCCTCATCAACAGATGCAAGAATATGTGTTCCAGTTTCTCGGTACGCAATAAGAATAAATTCAAGTGGTTCCCACTCTTGGAACATCTTGCTCATATTCTTTTCCAAAGTATATTCCTTGGAAGCAAAATCGCTGATTTCCTGGAATGGAACGAGAAACTGCTCCAGATTCATTTTTAGCATTTTTCGTAAACTAGCAGATCCGTCAGGTCGAATTTCAAATTCAGCAGCAGCACTCATTTTTGTCCAATGGCGATCACGCATGCCAGGATTGCATAGCACATGTATAAGCGGAATGTTGACCATAAACTCGTCGATTTTTTCCTTGACTGCTTTGGCAATGTTTTGTGGTGCAGAATCCTGCACAAGTGCTCCAAGCACACGGTACATGTCTCGTTTCAATGAATCAACCTCTTGCTCAATCTGCTCAGCATCGAGCTCAAGCAAATTGCCATCCATCCATTTTTTGTAACTTTTTTGAAAGGTAACGGCTGTGGTGTATAATGCCTGAAAGGGTTCGAGTGCTGCCATGATTTGTTTTCGTTGCGGGTATGACGTTTCTGGCCATCCAAATAGCTGTTCTTCCTTATTGAATCCAGCAACAGAATCTTGAGCAGCTTGAAGCTGCTTTGCAAGAGCTTGTACTTTTTTAACATAAAATGGCATTTCGTCCAAATCTCCTACTTCCTTTAATTCGTCCACCTGAACACGAATCTCTTCCAGCTCCAACTCAAACTTGGTACGCCGCTCACGAAGATTTTCTTCAGATTTCTCTCTCGCAGCACCTATAATAATATTATGCTGCTCTAAAATAGGTATAATTTTTGCTGGCCAAGTAAATGTTTTTGAATTGAGTTTAATATGCTCGTCATTCAGCAACGAGTAATTGAAAATATGCATTAGTTTACGTCTGCTTTCCTCTAGCTCAAGTAAGAGCAATGGCAGCTCATCTTCAAGAGTTTTCTGCATGTATTCCATTTGCTCTGCCATCTCTTTGAAACCTTCGGGTATCTGCAATGCACGCTCTTCAATTGCTTCGTAGCGAGCACATATTTGCTGTTGATGTTCAATGCTTTGCTCAGTGATTTTAGTGATAAACCTGGCAGCCAAAGAATTTGCACGGGCAACAAAAATACGATGAAGATCTTCTGTTATGAGATCAATCAAAACAAGCTCAACTCGACGAGGATGACTGAGGATCTCATTGACGATTGATTTATACTTTTCAATTTGTTCCACGTGCTCCTCAAATGAGTGTGCTGTTGAAAAAAACTCTTCAACCTGGCAGTCTATCTCAGAGGAAAAAAGCTCAATGTAGGGATCATACCGAGTTAGATACTCGGCGGCAATTGCAAAACAATTGTTTACGTATTTCTTCAAGTGAGAGTTTGTGGCCTCTATAAGCGAGTCTTCAACATAGAGTTTGATTTGCTCAACATCGCCAATGGACATGCGGAATGCTGGGTTTCCATCCGAATCAACGCTAGTTGCATGAGTATTTTGCAATACAGTTTGAATAGAAGGGAACTCCATGGCCAAAAGAGCTTCTCCGTTGTGGCCGTAGATGGCTGACTCAATACGTGGCGCAGTATCCACCGTAGAAACAAGAAACCCAAGACCATCAAGAACTGCGTCTTCAATCTCGTTAAAAGGTGGGTCAAACTCGATTACTCTTGCTTTTATAGTAAAAGTGAGTCTGACGCTAAAGCGTGGAGGTTTCAAGTTTTTTCCCTTGACATATACTGCATCCGAGTTAGAAAGTGCTATTGGGTAAAAACTGAACATATGAACATAGTCGTTGATTGATTCAACCATGATTGCTTGGAGCTGATTACAGATTAGCATTTGAGCACAGCGGAAAAAAGGCTCGGATGGTTTTTGGGGGAGTACCTCGCGCTTTCTTTTACGAATATAGGTTTCTGCAAAATTCTTCAAAATAATTGCAAGCCATCCATGCCAAATTTTTGTACGGCATTTCTCAGCTTGAACCAACATCAAGCTGCGATAAGAAGAAATTCTGAATGCATCACGTTGGCTCCGCATCTCCTTGATATCTACATAGCGAAGATGTGAAAAGTAGCTTGCAGTTTGCATCAAATGACATAGGGCATGGTTGCTAATAAATAGCAGCCGCTCAATCTTTGCTTTGTTTTCAACAAAAGATTTGTGCCATGGAGATGGGTTTGAAAGTGTTTCGCTAAATGCTGGTTGTTTTTGATAAGTATCAAGTAGCTGTTGCTGTTGAAGATGAGCTGGTTTCTTTAGAATGTGATGAACAGCAGAATTTTTTCCACTTTCGCGAAACGACTCTTGAACCTCCTCCAACAAGTGGGATATTTGGGCTGGATAGCTTGTTTTCAGGTTTCGTGGGATTGCACGTAGAATGTTGTTGACCCAGCTTTGCTCCAAATCACTCACGGTAACTGCCTTGACACTAGACCCAAAATAATCATAAAATGCCTAAATAATATTACAAACCAACTTTAGATTAGTATGCTTGCAGCCTCCAATTGTAATGGGTTTATAGATTCAACACACCTCAACAATGCACTCATCCTCAAGGTCTGTAGCTTCGTCAGCAATCAGTCTTTGCAGGATTCGATAAGTTCGAGGATCTGGCACAAATTCTTTTGGGAGATTCACTAGCATAATAGACGCAATATCATCTAATTGTATCATTTATAAATAAAAACGTCAGTAATAATGCAAATTGTATTGAATCATGTCTCATAACAATTTAAACTTTACCCTCGTCCAATGCACTTTTTGAATTCTGTTGCTCACTGTAATATTTAGGGCACACAACGTTGCTTAGCAAATCGTACTATTATATTAAATTCCAGGACAAGCTTGGACCTACATGAGGAATTCAATGAGTCGATCTCTGAATGCTGTACAAGTGAGCTTGACTGGCGATTTGTCATGATTGTTTAGCGCTTCATGAGAATGATGTTTTTTGGCAAGTTTTGTACCACCAGCCGTTGCACCTACTTCGGCAGCAATAGATGCACCAGGACTATAATTGCGCGCGTTTTCAAGTCGCATCCATGGCTCATCAATGGTATGAGAGTGATAGGTGTATCGTTTTGGAACAGGTGGCCGTACTTTGATCTTGCTTAGAAGCTCGGGTGGTATTTCTGTTTCGTTTACTCTGGCATCCTGTGAGGCTTTGACCAGTTCTGTAGTTACCAAAAAAAAGTCGCAATTTCAGAATAGCACGTTGGTTAGGCAGTTGGGTAATTACAGTTTAATGAATTGTGAATCCGTTAATGGACGCTAGTTGAGGATGCAAATTAAATATACCTCGGAGTGTCAATGACCTCTTGCGAAGAATAATTTCGGGCGGTACAGCAGTTTCTGCAACGGGTGGTAGATGAGGCTGTTGTAATGCCTCTTTATCAGATACTCCAAACTCATTACTATAAGTAACGTGGATAGGATCTGGCGAATTAGTACTCATGCTATTGGGGCGACTGGTTGTCGAACCGAGAGTATGTACTAGAGTGCAGTGAATTGGCTGTGGTTGTAAACTAGACAAGAGTCAAGTGTGTTGTGCTTTCAAATCCTTTTGTATATTACTAACTTGGTCAAGTAATCACGCTGTATACATGCACACTGGCAATGTCAGTTGGCAAAAGTTGAACTGGACAAGCAGTCTACGCGCTTATAAATCTGGACCATTACAATCTTGTAAAAATCAATCTATTCACAAAGTACGGACCCAAGACTTTACTAGCAAGATACTCTTATATATCAAGTCATACAAATCGCCCCCAACCAAATTAATATAAAAATAAAAAAGATTAAGTGGAACTATGCCAAAAGTCTGTTAATTAGGCGTTATAATGAGCCAAGTGTTTGGCGTAATGTGCGTTTTTGAGTTTCGTTTAGCGTGCTGGGAAGCGATACCAAGACTGTGACAATCAGATCGCCTTTTTTTCCGGGGGTTTTGCTTATAGGCATGCCCATTCCAGGCATTCTAATCTCTGATCCAGGCTGAATAGGATTGTTTCCCATTGCCCCTTGAACTTGGAATGACTTGCCGTCCAAGTGTGACAGCGTTCTAGTAAATCCACATAGTGCTTCCACAAGTGTAGCATGAATAGTTACGCGCAGATTATCGCCATCTCGCTTGAAAACAGCATGCGATTTTTCTTCAACGACAAACTCAATATCCTGATGTCCGCCTGTGCCTGGAATCTCATCGCCCTCTCCAGAAAACTTAATCTTTGTGCCGGCCTTCCATCCTGGCTTAATATTGACTGTAAGAATTTTTTCTGTAGATATTTGGCGAGCTGTTGCTCCATCAATTAGTTTTCGTGTAACCTTGAGGCGCTTTTCAGCACCAGTGTACAAGTCCTCCAATGTGACAGGAAGTGTGCGCTGAACAGCTGCAGCAGGTCGTCTGGATATTTGTCGAATTGAAACATGAGTTGGTATTTGATCCGAAAATTCAGGAATCACGTCTACACTATAAAGACTTACCGTCCAGAATTTTGTCCACGCATACTAGTATGAGCACCACGTCCTGAAGCATCATTCATATTGAAAAATCCCGATGGCATGCCTCCTCTGGACATACCGCCAATGTCATCATCCATGTCCATACCCATGCTTCCAAAAGGACTGTTTCCGCCAAAGAATTGACGGAAAATGTCGTCGGCATTGGATGGCTGGAAAGGTCTAAAGCCAGCGCCTGCTCCACCTGGTCCTGTTGAAAAGCTAAATGTAGTTGCTCCTCCAGGAAACCCTCCAGATTGAAAGCTCTGAAAGCCAGCTGGAAATCCACCAGGAAAACCTCCCTGCGCACCGGCACCAGCATCGGCACTACCTTTCAAACCATCCTCTCCAAATTGATCATAGATGGATCGCTTTTGCTTATCCGATAGTACTTCATACGCCTCTGAATGTATAAATAGAGTGTGAGAACAGCAATATATAAGCAAAATCCAGTACAACGATTCACAGCCAAAGTCTGCAGATCTACAGTCGTATTCACGTAAAATACAGCACCAGGAACTAAACGAGTGTTTAAAACAGCATTTACATTTCTGTTTCAGGAAATTCCAGCATCATTTATGCATCTTCAATTTCCAATCCTCCTTTCATCCAGACCAAAAAATACGAGTAAAAATTGTGATTGACATGGAAACAAGAGTTGCATTCCTGACATGCGATCTCTGTTCTTTTGAACCAGAGCGCAAGCGTATCTGATATTGGGATGCAGAAAAAACGAGTGTAGAGTTTGAGAGTGATCGAACCCAATATTTGGATTACAATGAATGAATCTGGTTTCAAATTTGATGATCGTACAATGTATGGATGATGTGTAAAGGAGAAAGAGCAGACTCAAGGTCATAGTCTGACTGTAAACATCATATAATGAACGTTGTTTGCAGCAAGAATTGAAAATGCCAGTTGAAGCAGTTAATTTCCAGTAGGAAAGTGTAACAAGCATCCAATTATTGTCAATTTCGAAGCAAAATAGAGGTGGTGATTGCAACATAAATAAAAGTACTCCATTTCACACAAACTGGCTGTAATAGAATATTATGGAACGCGAAGGAACAAACGAGCATCTATGATGACAAGGGCCAAGTCATTGACGGGATTAGAGTGATGGGTTGGTTGGAAAAGGTTTCTGGTTTGAATGCAGCAATGAAAGCACTCTAGAGATGCACAAACCCATTCCACTGGAATTAAAAAGACTAGAAATCAAAGTCGCCAATTGATGTTCATACTCTGCTATGACTGATCGACATGGCCAGATTGCAGACTTTCACGAGTCTTTTAGAATGACTTTATCAACAAAATCAACTATTTACCTGAAACTTCTTTGAACTTTGAGTCAGCAAGTTCCTTATTATCTGGGTTACGGTCTGGATGCCATTTCAGTGCCTGTTTACGATAAGCCTTTTTAAGTGCATCTTCATCACAGTCCTTTGCAACACCTAGAGCAGTGGGTTGGATGAGTCTGAATGCACAATTTTAGTAGCAGTTTAAATGGAATCAATACATACCAAGAATACTATAATAATCTCTGCCCATTCTTACAACAAGTTGAATATAAAATGTAAAAGATGTTTAAAATTAATTTGATGTCAAGGCGCATAAGTTGATGCGATATCTCGAATATTCCAGAATCACCGTTGCATTCACGTAACATTAAGGGTGTCAGTGTCCAAGTCTGATGTGAGTTCATTACTGAATATTGTATTTTCTGGACTCTTTGGGGCTTCGTGCTCATCTTGCATAAAACTGAACGGGTATTCAATCTCCAACTTTTGTTCCTGAAAACCAAACATTGGATGATCGACATGGAAGCAACTGCATTCCCGAGATTGCACCCTCTGTTTTCTTAAACTAGAAACGCAGATGTGTTTGAGATTAAAATACAAGAGTTTGTACAGACTTGACAATAATCAAACCCAATGTCTGAATTAGAATGAATCTGGTGATTATACAGTGCATGGCTATGTTGGAATCATTCCAGTTCAAACCAATAGTTTGATTGTGTGCATCATATGATGAACGTTGTGTTTATTAGTCAATTTGTAGTAGGAAAACGTAACGAATATTTAACCAGTCTATTTCAGAAGCAATCGTCGAGATACAAATGTCTAGTATACGTGAATACAACTGTACAATGGACCTTTGGCTTTATTCTGAAACTTGTAGTGTCGAGACCAATGCAATGCATGTTCATCTGACTGGTCTTGTTCATGCAATCTGAATATCTAGACTACTCTTTTTAATGGCCTATTTATTACCACAAGACTGTTTTATTAAACTTGGTTACTTTCAAAACCACTCCGAGTTCATCAGTTGCACAATTCAGCCAACGTGATCTGTGTTAATAGCAAGCTATGGCAACTAAGTGGTTCTCCACTATAGCACGATATATCTTGAATAAACCCATACTGCACATCAAATGTTGGTACAACGTCATGATTGGGCACAATATTCACAAACGTCGATTCCAAGTTGGCCAAACTAAAACCATAATTTATAGTTTGAAATCCCAATCCTGGCGCAGAAAATCCGATTGCTGGGATACCCATGTTGGAACCCACAATCCCTGCAATCGCTCCGCCCAAACTGTGTCCTGTAATAACAACCTCTCTGCCATCCTGTGTCTGCAGCAATCGCACTTGTTTGGCCACTGCTGTCCAGTACGAAAGAGACAGTCCTGGTCGTCCAACACTCGAGATCAGATATACCGCCAGTGAAGTAATCTCCACTGGCCATAGATTCACCAATGTGCCAAAATATGAACTTGATTGCAATAGTACTGAAGTGCTGTACATGTATATATCCTGGAAAATATCTGTAAATGACAGTGTACCCCGTACAGCAATAATCGATAAATTACTCGGCGCTGGAGCTCTAAATTCGATATAGAATGACTTTCCTGTTGGATCGATCGAACCATAAATCCCTGGTGTAAAGTTTGCCAAATGGGGCCGTTTTATCCATGGCGAGGGTGAGTTTATGGGTTCTGCATCATACGCTGCAAGCGCCAAGGCCGCATAGTCTTGAATGTCCAATCCAAGAATATCCATTGCACATACGGGCGGCTTGATTTTTGATTTCTGGTAACTTTGAGTTGGACTACCATATTGATGTAGATTAGAAAATGGAAGCGTTTTTGTACTTCCTGCAAAAAATCCAATCGTGATGGCTATAAACAAAATAAGACCAAGAACTCTGAGCGTGCTACGAGTGTTTTTAATTCCGCGCCGTTTTGCTCGAAGATTGATATGTTCTTGAAAATATGAGTTGTGGTAAATTGTCCACGAACATCGTGGATGCCGAAAATCAATGGCAAGATAAGATGCTACGACTGCCATTGAAGAAGAGTATCCATTTACAGCAACACAGGCAGATATAGCAATTATAACTTGAGCAATGGTAATGACACCGAGTGCAATGGCTCGAAAGTTCATGGAGCTCTTGTATTGTTCAAGTCGAGTTGACATGGGAATCAAAAACACCAAATCGCGCAATAGCGTAATGATCACATACACAAAAACCGAGATCCATTTGAGAACCTTGGTAGTACTAAATAGCCCAGAAAGTTCAGTAAAATTGCCATCGTAGTAGACTAGGGATATAAACCCAAGGCAAAAAAAGATCACTCTCAGTACAAACAAAATAATAGCCGGCCATAACGATTTGCCATTGTAGTACCGTCGTCCGTCTAAAGCTACCATATACGTATTATCTACATAGCTTGACAGGCCTTTTCGAGCAAATGGAAATCTCACCACTATGCTCACAACCAACATAGCAAGACCTGCAGCAGCAAATTTTATGTTGTTCTGATCATTTTGAATCGTAAACATAATGCAATCAAATTAGAATAATCATGAATACTTTTGATTGAAAACTGCATGGTTTAAACTTACTGCAATAGTAGTAAAAATTAGAGTACTAAAAAGAGCCCAAAGTCCAACAGCGATTCCAATTTCTGCCAGTTTGTGTATCATATCATGACCATCATCAAACCCTAATGTGGAAAGATACATGGACCTTAAATATTCTGTAGGAGTCATATTTTCAGGCACGTTGGATACTGTAAAAAGAACCGCCCCGCTTCGTTGTACTCGCTTAACAAAATTAATTAGTCCGATTGATACAGCGGCAGCAATACAAGTCCCCATTGTGATGTATGAAAGCACAATCCAGTATCCGTATAATGCGCTGATGACGATCAGAGGTGATCCAATAATGACCACCAAAATGATAATGTACAAAATATTTCCCATGGAATCGACTTTACGTGCCATATGCTCCTCAACATCATCCAAGGCAGGTTCGAGGGGTCCTGGAGGAAATGCTTCGGGTGGGTGATACTCTTCAATGGTTGGACCAATATCGACAGGATCTTCAACAGCAGGCTCGGCTCTATCCTTTTTTTTAAAAGTGTACGGGAATAGTGCTTTAATTTTTTCGGTGCAAAACTGCTGCCATTCAACCAGCTTTGAGCCAGCAAAATACATGCTATTAAAAAAACTGGGTTTGTTGTTTGAAGCATCTGCGCCGACGCGCTGCTTCCATATCAGCATGATTAGTCGTAAATGTGTACGTATAAAACTACGGCATAAAAGCCAAATAAGACATCCAATGGCTCCCAAGCCATAAATGGGAGACCAAATGTGGATTGTAATGTTAAATGTTGTATATGCAATATTGATAATGATACAAACTGCACTGGCTATCCACAGTGATATGCCGGAGAGAGACCACACGACGACCAAAACTTGAAGTATCTACAGGGAAAATAGCATTGAAATAAATAATGCAAAATAGAGTATCATCTCAAGTGTCAGTATTGGTATCACTCGACTGCTGTTTAGTTTCTAAACCGGTATGGGGCTTATACGATAGTATTGAAATTCAATAGCTAGCAACAATTGGATGGGTATGCATTGCTAAATGCTGCATTCAAAACTACATGTGCTCTTACCCGCAATGAGATATCAAATCTGTGTAATCGCGCCGATTTTGGACCATACTTGATATCTACAGGATCGGAGGCGCATGGGGCGTTGCGGTCGCACATGCCACTTGAAAGAACACTTTCTCCTTGAAATTGTGAACATCGGTCCAGGCTTTTACGATTAAGGCTGTTGGTAGGAGAAACATGCTGAGAAGCAGCGGGAACTGGAATAGATGTTCTATTTTCTTGCTGAGAGTTGCTCAATATAGATTGATTAAATGGCTCGGCGCATGAAGGTGTCTTGGCCGTTGGCGATGCAGCAGAAATCTGGTCTACGATATGAGTGTTTTCTAGCACATTGGGCAAGCCAGATTCAATTGAATTCGACTGCTGTTCTGTTGGTGATAATTGTGGCAAAGATGGTCTTGGTGGCTGATGGTCGACAAATGCTGAATGTGGAACTTGTGCATTCAATACTGTATCTTGTAAAGATGACTTTGGTTCGTCAACCAAAGCCTCCAGTGCTGTAGTGTCACGATTTGCTACTCGATCTTTATGATTTACTATAGTGGTACTGTTCGCTACTCGATCTTTGTGATGCACTACAGGTGCCGGTGTGACTGCATCCATCAGAGTCTGATTGCTAATTATATTTGTTTTGCACTAATCAAGAGTAAGCAAACCAAGGAATCTTCCTATCCGTTTCTTGTAAATCTACTAGCGTAAACTAAAGCTACTCAATTGAATGAACAAAAATACTCTACAAAAAAGGTAAATGCCTTTCAGTTGATGATTATAAGAATGGGGAATAATGAAATATGGTAGGTTTTAAAGAGTCGAACATTTCTTTGTCAACAAAAGCTATATTATCCATTCTCCCTTTTTTTCATCTCAGGGAGATTTTAATTTGCTTTGAAATAAACAATAATCAAATCTTTATGCTTTCCTATTAAAATTAACTGCTTCGATGAGCATTTTCAATTCTTTTGTCTGAAATCGCATGCTGTACAAAACCATTTTTATTATACCAAAATAGTTTTCACCGGAGCTTATAATCTGTCAATCGTTCGACAAACAGCAACGCTGCGTGTAATCACTACACTGCCTCATATTGTCATGTTTAATCGATGAATGTGTGGCTTTGTCAAGAAATTCAAAAGACACTGGTTGGTAAACTGCCATCCATCATTTCACGAGATTGGCTATTTACTATCTATTTTGGTATATTAGTATTCTATTTATGTGAATACGGCGGTAATATGCATGCGCTTTAGATTCCCAAGCCCAATTGACGTCTTTTCATAATTTAGCCAATCTATTTTCAGACAACTCTAATATGATTAAACAACCATCAAATTGAGTGGTTTCAACTCAACATGTAATCTAGCCATCGACAGCATTGGCAAGAATTAGTGTTCAACTTTATTCCATATGATATTCACGTGACAGCTAGAATCCTTCGTTTGGTTTTCAGTACAACTCCTTCCTTTTCAATTCTATCAAGACTCGCCATGATTGCAGAGGTCCTGGTCTGTACGATTATTGGATATGTGGTAAGCTTTTGTTCTAATATATACCAGTGTACTCGCATACTCGTAGAAATGTCCAGGAATTTGACTCTGAATTTAATGCCTACATCTTATTTTGAATGCCATGTTATTCACTGGACTCTGCAAACCGCCAATACGACGCATCTCACTCTGATAAAATCCAATCTAAAACGATATCGTAGTTATTTATGCTGGTCATTTTCATTAGGCCGTATCCTATACAACATTACCTTATTTACTTGAATTGGCTCAACTTTCCCTCGCTTAAATTTCGAAAGGGATTCGAAAGTCTTGGATATCGAGGTAGTCAACTCGCTACTTTTGACATCTCCTCTACATTCGATTAGATTGTATTGTAATTGGCCTACATCTAATAACTTGACTAATCTAGCTGGAAGTGTTCGCAATGTATCCATTAAAACAAGCGATGGTCTTACACTTGGCGGATGGCACATTCTTCCAAGAAAAGCAACTACAAATCCAACCCCTGGTCAAGCAGTACCGGATGATTCTGACCAACGCGCAGATCAATTGCTTAAATCTGCCGAGAGGGTGTACTTGTACTTTCATGGAAATGCTGGGAACCGAGCCACATTTCATCGCAACGATTTTTACAAGGTTTGTCAAGGCACCGTCAAAGCGTATTATGCACTGGTTGATATGCTTTCGACTCTGAAATACTAGTCGACTCGAGTGGTTGAACTAATTAATAGTGTGTGTTTTAATAACCATTTGTTTCTACAATAGATGATGTCGTCTCTCAGTGTTGATTCTCATGTTCTTGCTATTGATTATCGCGGATTTGGTGATTCTTCGTCAGCCGTTCCTACTGAAAAAGGACTCGCATTGGATAGTCTTGCTGCATACGAGTGGCTTGTTGCTCGCGGTGTTGCTCATACAAAGATCGTTCTGGTTGGTCACTCTCTTGGTACAGGTGTTGCCACAGATCTAGCCTACTACCTTACAAATTTGACAAAATCTCCATTGTTGCAGCTATTTGGTGGTTTGATTCTAGTATCTGGTTACGTATCTATTTGCGATGCTGCTATTGGATACCCCATGTTACCACTTTTAAAACCATTTCACGGATACCACATTACCGAATGCTGGATAAAGGAAAGGTTTGTTGATCACTGGGAAAGCGCGCAAAAGATCAGTGCAATCCGCACACCAATTTTGGTTATTCACGGTAAAGAAGATATTGAAATCAATCCATGGCAGGGGCGAGCACTGTTTCTTGAAGCTGCTGGTGGCCGACTGGGTCAGAAACTTGTTGATGATAATGGATACTGGCAACTCCGGGAATCTGCCTCCAAGTTTATGCCACATGAGTTGGACGGCGTGATGATTACCGATTTAGGCACGCATGAAGGTGACTTGTGGAGCGTAGAGGTGACTGCAAAGTCTGCTGATATTGCAGCAAATGCCACGACACCCAACGTTGCAAAACCAGCTGGGCCTGTATGGTTATTGGAAGTAGCTCATGGTGGACATAATACTCTTTCAAAATTCTTGGTTGTTAGCGATACCATTGAATCGTGGACCCATGAATGTCTTGATGCTGAGCTCAAGTCACACGGATCTTCCAATTGATCAGATTAATTTATGATTTATAGCTCTATAAAACCAATATCGGTTGTATTGAAAAATTGAAGGTTATTTAAGGATTTGTGGATTAATTCCGGTTTTAAAAATGTGGTTACAGCTGGAGATGAGAATGGGGAATATTTACATTTCAAGTCAATCTCGTCATATTTTGAAACCATTCTGATGGCATTAAACAGACTGTTGCAGCATTTCAACAACAGGAATTCCTTGTGAAACTGCACGATTGTTTTAGATTAGCATATACTATAAATGGAACGCTGAATATTGTATCATAACAAGACCAAATGAGTGATGTTGTTTTAGACTGAATCAAGAACAGCAGATTACTCGACAGGTCAGATTGTCGTTGCAGTATAAAAGACACGAGCAATAAATGCACATGCCATTCAAATCAATAATCTACCAATGAGTCAACATCACCAAGAATGGTAGTTGCTGACCGTTCTCATTACCTCTGTTTTCGTGCCCTCCATCACCAATCGTAAAAGTATCAACAAGACGAGATGGTGGCAGTTTGAAACAAGTGTGGTTTATAAAAAGGCTGATTGAATATGCTTTCATCTATTTGCCTATTTGTTAACCATTTGATCCAAACAGCAACCAATATGGTACTTGAATCCCCAAAACGCTGCTTCCAACATGCTGGTGGATCATCATCCATTTCATTTGAAGATGGCGTTGATAATGAAAAGAAGTCCATGTTGGTAGCATCAGAACCCATTGCAATCAACAGAGAGTCTGCTAGCAGCCAGATAGGTACATCAAAAGAAGTTGTTGACGTGCAAGTAGTTTAAATTAATCTCAATTCTTACCTTTGTAGGCAGTGATTTGAATCCACACTCGTCGCCTAAGCAAGTGAATAGAATGCGAGCACAGTTATCTTCGATTGTTTTTGGAGAGCAAGATACTGTTGCTAGTGAGAGATTGGCAACAGGGAACGCCACTCGACCAACTTTGGCTGCTTCCACCAATTCTGAAAACATGTCAAACACTCCAAATTATTCACAACATTCAACTCGTCGATATCCTCCAGGTGGTCATTCTTCTATAACTTTGGGTACAGATCCAATTGTTTGGCCAGAGCGTCAAGCACCACCAGCTTTTCCTCTCACTAGTCCTATACAATCCGTCAGCGTGCCTCAATCTATGCACAAGTCGTCCATCATCTTTGGCGATGCAGGCAAGCAACTCCCCGATCGCTTATACTCTCAAAGACTGTTTCCCTATAAGACAGCGAATGACACCATGAAATTTAACGATTTTTCTGATCATCACGACAACATGAGTAAGGTGGATCGAACATCTGCAAGACTTGATCCTGCAACTTTTGATCACGCTGCTGGACGTCGATCTGATCACCAGCACAGGTGTTGAAAGCTCGATGTAAAAGAAATACAAAATGAAATGCCAAGTTTATTTTTATTTTTAAAAGCGGAATAAAAGTGTAGTCTAATCTGCCTCAGTTCAAAATACCGATGTTTAACTGTCAAAACTAGGTGGTTCATCATACACCAAAACCTCGAATGGAGTCACGGAGCTCACTACAATTTGCATTATAGTAAATTTAATGAGTTGGCACTTGATAAAAACAGGTTTGATTAAAAGGCAATGCACTTACCCTCTGAATTACCAAAGGAAACGTTGCATCCATACATATGCGATCCAGCCTTACCAGGACAGAGACTCGTCCGACATTCAAAGGCATTGATCAAGACGTTTGGCATCCATCCACCAGATCCCGCAACGGTGCCAAGAAGTGATTCTTTCACCACAGCCCGAGAAATATATAAATGTTGACCATCAGCCTCGTATCCTCCTGGAATAGCGTCAGGAGGAACACCTGCCCCACTCAGGACCTTTACCCAACGAGATCCAGGAATTTGAGAAAGGATTTCCATGTCATCATCAATTTGGATTTCTTTTCCGCCCCATGGAATCAACGCACCCTTTGTATGATGGCCAATTTTGCCAATATGTAGTCCACCCTTATAATACACTCTGACGGTATACAGTGGCTCGCCATTTACATCCGTACCAGTCTGCCACGCACCTGGAGGAATAACGGTTTTAACTGCTGTTGAGTTGGACACTGTCAAGACTCTAGAAGTGGATGATTCAGACGGGGGTGGTATGGGAAGCGTAGCATGCGGATGATAAGGAATCCAAAAAGATAAAAAGTGGAATGGAGTAATATTTTTGAGTCCTTGAATTAAACGAACTGAAAGTTCAAACTGCACTGGGGTTGCACCTATGGATTTCCCGTATACAGCAATGTAATACCTCCCAGGTCCATCAATGAATCTACTGATTTGTTCCTCACTTCCATCCATTAATAAACATCGTGACTCTTCAGCCCGTTCGTAGAATAGCCAATTGGGTTTGTTGGGAGCTTTAGAGATATGGAGTCCAACGGCTTTATCAGACACGATGATGATACCGGGAATACCATGTTTGTTCACGCGATGACTCGCAAGTTGACCCTCGAGTGAGCCTTCTCCGACACCATCGTGATCACTGGCGTTTGAATCCGAATCATCAAGATTTACCATTGTAAGATCTGCATCATAGTCAAAGTAGAAGTAGGCAGTAGATTGAAACGCAACACATTTGTTGATGTATGATCCGATTTCAAGCTGCTGCCAATCTCCTGAATAGACCGATCCTTCGACGGTATAATGTGCATTTTTGGAAGATACGACAGATGTGGAGACAGAAGGTGCTCGAGGAAGAGCGCCTGGTTGAATTACAGACATATTGGAACGGACAATTTCGGTGGTTGCTTTAGAGTTGGAAAGGGATAGACCAGAAATATAGCTGTCGATACTAGCTTCATCAAAAGAAACACCAGTGGTGGATAGATTGTCAGGATGACTGGTAGTTTGAATGATCTGCAAGGCATTTGAGGTTGCTTGACAGATTTTTCCAGTGGCAGTCACAGCAGAAAAGGTGACGGAATATTCAATATCAAAGCCTGGAATGGATACACTGGGCAAGATTTGATCCATGAAATAGACTGCAAGTCGCTTCATTGCAGTTTCGCCAGCAGCAAATCTGCCAAAAGTGACGAGTTGAACCATGACAGTATCTTGAAACAGAACATCATGCATAGGATGGTCCGAGGTGATATCCAGAGTGTTTCCAACATCAGTATCGATTCTTACAAGGGCAGATACCTGGAGAGAGCAACGTTGAATATCGATGGAAGATTCGTTACGAACACAAAGGGATAGACAGAGAGCATCATTAGGGGAGAGAACAGAATGAGGAGCATTGAAGCCAACAGTAATGATGCCAGCAGTGCCTAATGGAAGAGTTTCTTCAGAGGAAAAGGGTGTTTGCTCAAAGGTCACAGAAGGAACTTGCAATGGAACAGAGGAGGAAGTGTGCTCAATGGATTCGTTCTGATGAGGGTTTTGAGAGGACTGTGAGGTCAAGGTAGTGGTGGCAACCAAAGTATAAGAAACGGAGAGTTTGGAGTCTTTCAAGACGGTGCAAATGGTAGGAGGAAGAGCAGCAGGCAAGCCTAATGAGAAAGCAAAGCCATTGTCCTGGAGAGTAGCAACGCATTGGTCTGTATGCAGCAGTCTTGACCATGAAGATGATTTGGATTCCAACGACAGTAAGCAGGAGAGTGTGACTGTTGGAGGAGAGCATCCAGCCAAGTCAAAGGAAACCTTGACTGTTCCAGTGATGCAAGTCTCTGCAGGTCTGAGTGGACAATGCAGGACAGAATCAATCACCAACATGAGTGATGTGGTTATCAATAATAATCCTGTTATCAATAATCCTGTTATCAGTAATCCTGACTGTTAATAATAATAATCCAGACTGTTATCAATAATAATCTTGCTTGTCAACATCAAAGTAAGAATCCATTCTATTAGTTGCCCATTTCATCATCAACAGTCAAACATTATTGCTTATCTGATTGCCATTCAACCAAGTCCTCGACATTGCACATCATGTCATATATTCTGCTGTCGTTTGTCTTTATGGGAATGGCTGCTGTTGTTGCTGTCTTGATAGACTACTTTGGGAATAGAAAGTCCTTTCCTTGGTATGTCTTGGCTGCCTGCTTCATCTCGTACTTCTTTCCATTCACAATCATCCTGATGTTGCCTCTGGATCTGGCTTCGGTATGTATTCCATCTGTTGTGGCTCATCCTACATACACTACTCAGCTTATGCATATATTAGACTAGATATAGAGACTGTTCATCCAACCCTCTCATTACAACACCATGCGACCTGCCACTAGCATATGTTTCTGAAGAATTCCTTTACAGATTCTGGGAAGTCGTTTATTGGATTACCTTTAATATTCAGATGTTTGTTGTTCCTATCATGCAAGGCTATGTCAGATCTGGCGAGCTGTCGTTTGGCCGTCGTTTGTGGTCTGGCATCAAGGACAATCTTATCTTTTATTGCATCTGTGGTTCTATTGGTTCTATATTTGTACTTTATGCTCTGTTTGCACTCCATATCTCTGCGTAAGTAATTTAAACTATCTTGCTCATTTTAACCAGCTCTAACTTTCCTGTTGGATTCTGCCAGGGAATATCTTCTTACGCTTGCAATCCCCGCAACCAACGCTTATGGTCTACTTCTTCTTACAATCCTAATGGGATATGGTCTTGTAGAAGTACCTCGTGGTCTGTGGTATAATGCCAACGTGTCTTGGGTATTACGCTATCTAGAAGTACAAGCCCCTAAATTAAAAGAAGCCTGTGTGGATTCTGAAACAGACATATATGATATTGCTCGGGTAATTAGGCTTGCTTCATACTTGTATACTCATTTCTACTGTGTTAACCTTTGATGTAAATCTACTAGTTGGTTGGTCATGCATCCCGAAAGATTGAAACGGGTGATGCGCTGCGACCTCTTGTAGACCAAATGATGGAAAAGGTGGTTGTGTTGTATTGGTAAAGCATATGTTTTGGCATCCATCTGACAATCCTGTGATGTTAGTGCCCTCTTGCTCTTCAGCAACGCAGCGCTGCCGAGGAAGAAGACGACCTTCCAAATTCATTTACTCGTGATAAGCTCATTGATCTTCATGCTCGTATTAAATATGCTGCATTTTTAAGTGAGCGAGACCAGGCGTAAGTTTGAATGTTAAACTTTACTTTTCTCAATCTACTGGAAAGTTACTGAGTATTACCCTATCTGTCATTTCAACTTGATAGCCTACTGAAATACCTTGAGCAGAATGCGTTTTTGTGTCAGGACATTATTGCCAACTACGGAAACAGCAGCCGGTACGATTCTATTTGGCTTTTGATGCATTTATTCAATATCAACACTCACGTATTGCATTTGTTTCAGTCGATTCAAATCATGCTTTATCTCTGTGTCAGAGACTGACAAATATGCAGACCTGAAGCTACAGGCGTATTGGTGGTGGTTTGTGTGGATTAGGCCAATCGCCATGCGATCACTCAGTGTGATGTGTGTGATTGCATCCCTGTTAGTCATTTGGTCTGAATCTACTTTTCAGTTCACTTCAGTTACTCTCTCAATTCCTGCTCTCATTGTCGAACCAGGAAACATCAGCTATGGATCTTTAGAAGTAAGTTTTTAAACACGACTACATGGATAGGTCTGTCAAAAAGGCTGGCTATATCCAACATATCACTAATCTTGTTTTTCAATACAGATTTTGGCCATTGGGTTTGTATGCTACATGTGTACCTGTACATACTCTACTTTGCTTACCATCAACATATTTGAATATTACAAAATGGTTCCTGAACATCACACAAACGAAGTGTCACTGTTGTTTGTTGGAGCATATCTCTGGTAATTTACAACACTTTTATTGCATCGCTTTGTCATTGACTGCATAATAATTTACTATATAAAACAGGCTGACACGTTTAAATTTTATTTTGTATTGCAACATCTAGCAAACTTACATTTCCATTATGCTACAACTTTTTGAATATGGGAGGGTTAGCTGAGGGCGTTTCCCGCAAAAACTCTACAATGGTAGATTATTCTTCATCTCCTGTGTTTATTCAGGTAGGATATTGGATATGCTGAACACGATACAATGGCTATTGAGTGATTTGTTATCCATTGCAATGTATGTCTTGTTTAAAAATCAATTCTAACCTTGCATGCATTTTGTGTGCATCTAGTATTTTGGTCCTGCAGTTAATCTTACGCCGCTGTTTGGAGCTGGATATAACGACTGGGTAGCTCATCTTGTTTTAATCACATGTGTAGTTATTAGTTTGAATCTTCATGGTCGCATCTTGCGTTTCTTCCGTATGGAAAATTACTTTTACGAAACAATCAAGCCCAATAATACGGATGTGGAAGAGGGCCAGAGCATTATATCCCAAGGTATGTGGTGTCGAAGCCACCATTTTGGTAAATCTATCTACCACTAAACACACACTTTTATTAGCACGGACTCTGGCAGAGAGAAAGTTGCAACGTGGTGGTACAACAGATACTTCTAGATTCTCTAGATCAGAGCCACGTGCACGTAACGCTCGCGAGCTACTGGATCGATACAAGAATTCTGCGGCCAATTCTAATACAACTCCAAATCGATCTGACACCCATGCAACGCTTTCAGGCTCGAGTAGAGCATCTGACAATGGTGGTGCTGCAGTTTCTATTTCTGACACAGCCCAACATAACACATCCAAAAAATCAAACAACCTACTGCAAGGGTTTGCTGGAGTGTCTGCCTTTTTCACACCAAAAAATGGATCGGCATCAACATCAATTGGCGATGGATCTAGATCTGCATATCAAAAACTAGATCAGCAGCAAGATGAAGAGTCTGCAAGTGTGTCTAATTCTGGTGGCCGATCAGCACGCAAGTTTGGTGTGACCAACAACTTATTTGCATCTTCTCAAAGAAATGGTGGAAAGAGTGAAACCGGAAAGTCGACGCAGGGAACAAAATCGTCAACTGTAAAGCGAGGAGGGTTGTTTGATGATGTGTAAAAAGTGCAACTGCACACACTTTTGAGACTTTTATCCAATAAAGGCTAAACTTATTTAAATTTAGTAGCGTATTTTAACGTGCTGTATTTTACAATGTTTTAAAATAATGAAAATGCGTCTACTCCCAGCCCACGTAGGAGCATCATGTAGTGTGTAAGTATACCGATGAATATCGGTAGGGCAACTAAGTAAAGCGTTGAATCAAAAAAATGTCAATGCATTCACAATCTTCACTTGGCAAAAGGATATCAACAGTTTGTGCAAACACTACATACTAAAATATATAAAAAAGGTTCCATGGCGAGATTTCTTTTTAGTTGTATCAAGTCTTCGTTGCAGCTCGTTCAGCTAAACAAGTGTAACATAGTAATTCAATAAACCCAATGTATATGTATTCATATACAATATAAAAGACTGCGTACTTACCACATCATGCTTTTCTGACAAGATCGCAGCTCGATCATCTAATCGGTATTGCAACTGCGACAATTTCTCTAATGATTTTAAATGCATTTGCTCTGACCTGCTATGCCGCTCCATGATTTCTATATTTCGCTGTTGCGATTCGTTAAGTTGACAGAGTAATTCCTACTCATCCAGTCAACACAGAATGAGATGCGATCCAACTAAACCATAGCAGCACTCGCTTTATATATTTGGCAAATCAGCATACCGTATTTTTTAGCTCTAGATTTCGAAACTGACGAGCAATGGATTGTATTTTGGCTGCTTTGGTTTGGATTACAGCCTAGAGTGGTAGTGAGAAAATACGGATGACAGGGTTAGCAAGACACGGAGCACACCAATACAATAATGGATTTGATAATCAAGTCTACGTGTACCTCCATGGCAATGATTTTCGACTTGAACCTATCTGACATGGTAGAAAAATTGCGCAACTGCTCGACAACTCTAATCGAATCAAGAATAGTGCAGATTGAGTGTGATGAGAATGGGATGAAATGGCCATGTATATTCATAATACGATGCATGGGTTCACTCGAAAACCAGAAAGATTTGAATCGACTGCTCAACATGAATATGAATTACCCATTTAAAGTAAGCTGAGAACCATGTAGATCAGAAGTTCGAGAAAGAGCATCAGTGACTGACATGCTTGAGATTCTCTGCATGGAATCAGACAGCGGAGCTGTAGTGTTGCCATGAGATATCTTTTGAAATAATACAAGAGAGTCCCAGTATCGAGACAATTCCGACTTTTGTTTAGCATCAGAACAGAGATATAGATGAACTCCAGAAGCTGTATTGAATTGAATAGCAGGGATCAAGGATGGATTCTGTTCTCCTAAGCCAGACATGAACAGTAACGATGGTTGAGTAAGCCGAGACAACTCAACAGGACCAACTCCAAGAATGAATACCTAAAAAATGACCAATATCTATGAATGTAACTTGGTCAATGCTTCCTAGAACAGACCATTGGGATGGAACCAAGTCGGGATTTGTACAAGTGTTTTTGACCGAGTAACAGAGCGAAGAAAGAGTGATTGACAGCACAACATCGGATTGTGGCTGCAGAGTAGGAGATAATTGAGTGACGCTGAACAGACGGCTGAGTGTGAGGCCATTGACTGGAACTGTTAGAGTTGCTGCAGTCATCGTGTTGTAAATGGAAATCAAGTTTTCCAAATCTGATATTCTTGAGCACGACTCGATGGTAACGCATGGCATGAGATTGTCATGCGATTGTCATGTTAATTCAGTCACTGAAACTTGTCTTGTTGAAACCAGATGTCTTACAGCGCTTCTGCAGGAGAATTCACTGTTCAGGACAATGCAACGCAGTCTTCGACTGCCGGTTCTTCCTTGCAAATGGCAATGTCCGATCCTCATCGAACTGAGAAAGAAGGCAGCGACTCTTCTGAAGATGAATCTCCTGAAATCAGTCAGAAACAAATGGTCGTCACTGCAAAGTACATTTCATCGCTTGATCCAGAGGTAGTTGACTGGCAATCCGCATTGGAATTCACCATCTTATTGTCGTTGCTTGAGCATTCTTCATATGAAACTATTGTAACAAATATTACTGTAAAACTAGCTTGTCAATCGCAAGGTTTGTGAGCTTGTCCGATTCGCACTGTTTATGGAAAGTAGTCGAACTCCCATCAGACGAAAAGATATCATCACAAAAGGTTTGGATTCATTCGACCTATTCAAACAGTATATCTTGCAACCAACCCACTGGCTTGTTTTTCATTCTATTTCAACTAGTTCTCAAGGAGTATTCAAAGGGATTTCCTATATTTGTTCAGCGAGCTAGAGAGATGCTGCAGCATCTGTTTGGAATGGACATGGTAGTACTTCCTACCAAACGATTCCGTCGTAATCGCAAACCTGGTCCCACTGCATCTCAAGGTGATTTGGATTCCATCTTATTCTCAGATTCAGATGTCATCTAAATCTAACCAACTCTTGTACAATCGGGGCTCGTGTAAAATATCGCTAAAACAGGCTCATCCACTACAAATTCATGGATGCTTAAATCCATTTTAACAGAGAAACAGCGAACTACTGCCTTGACAATAAGATCTTTAGATGCACAGCACATGACACTACTCACTATTATTTTGGCCTTCATTCATGCAAACTCACGGTCGATGCGTGAAGGTATTGTTTTGTGGATTATAATACTGTTACTCCTGTTGCTCATTGTCATGCTGCGGATTGATCTGTCTAGGCACGCTTTATATGCATCTCAAAGAACTTGGAATTGACCGGAATACGACACACCCTGTGTTTGGCAGCATCGAGGCCGAGCTTAAACAATATACTAAACTAGGTTATCTTGAAACCTCTAAAATTCGTACTGGTGAGGGCGAAACCAACAACTATATTTGGGGTTCACGAGCTATTGTCGAGTTTTCAGAATCAATGATAGTTCGATTCATCACAGAGGTAAGCAGCATGTTCTGCTCTGAATCTAAAACTATGCTTGATCATTTACGCATGATATATATGCATCGGTGTATTGTTTATACTTTGTATATAGATGTATCCCCGCTTGGATGATGCTGGTCGTCGTAGACTTGCAATTGACGTGGAAAGAAATGCTGGCAGTGTATAATCTAGCTACTGATTAATGAACTAATGATTTACATGCTGCATGACTGTATTTTTATCCAGAAACCCATTGTTTTTATAAACATCATTTTCAAATGCATGTCATAAGATAAAACCGTGTTCAAATCCATATTCTATATAATTGAAACCGTTTATTTCAAGATCAGTATTTGATTACTCTTCACACGTCTGCTTGTTTCAGGAATGATCCATAGAACACATATTTTATGCACGCTTCAGATCCACATCAACTTGATGGTTTAAAAAACTACCAATTGGAATTCTCAATTCAAAATTGTTTTTTTCTCAACAGATCCTGATCAAGGACTCGCTGCTCACTCACGGTGCGAACCTTGTTTGGCGCGTCCATAAATGTCTGAATCCCGCCAAGCTTACACTGTTCACTTGGTAGGATAAGAATATTGAATTGGCGTTTGGTGCTTGTGCGAGGAGTATTGACATAAGCGGTATGCATTTCACTTGAATACTGAAATCCAGTGGATGATGGTTGGGCCAATGTGTCAATATGGGCTGATTTACCAGGATGATGAAAAGTGTAATCATCTAATTCTGGAGGCTGAAAATCACCCGCATAAGTTGATGTCATCATAGTGCTATAATAAAGTACATCACGTCTGGTTTACTTTAAATTCTACTGTTTCAAATTCAATACAAGTATATACCTTTCAATTTGAGGTTTTTTTCTATCAGATGTTTGATCCAGTTTGCTATGGTTGAATCACCATCAGTAAAATTACCCATTTTATTTGTCAGCGTATCAGATTAAATCAATTTGCTGCAAACCTCTAGCATATCATTTATAATGCAAAACTCACAGTTTACGATTTTGAAGCTGGTGTATATTTTCAACCTTTAAAAACCATCTGCGATCACGAACCTGAACGTTTTTTTCTTTATTTCGTCGTATCTCTTGAGTTTTGTCGGTAAAATCAACGCAGTTGGTGGTTACAAACATGTCCTGGATATGCATATCATAAATGTATAGTTGGTTAGTAGATTACTTTTGAATGAGATGGCATGGACGCGAATTGAAGACTATGAATAAAATGTTAATGGTACATCCTGATGCAAATATTCGAATGCTACTCATTGACTCGACAAAAATGAACGTGGGAGTGTTGTTGGATATGGTAGTGTACCTACAGTATGTCCATAATCCCAAACTCCGGGAGACTCTAAAGACTTGTGATGCTTTGGTGGCATTTTCTTCAAGTATCCAAATCAAAAAGGTAATGAATATAAATTGTAGTTTGTGTCAAAATAGTTTATTTGATTTTTAAACAGTCTCGTGCCTTTGAGTTGAATTCGGTTATATTTATTGTGAATATCTAGTTGATAGCACGGAATAGTCTACTGAAAGTGTCTACCGTATTCATGTACAATAATACATTGCATATCATGCCAAACTACGTAATACACTGTCAGTTTCATCAAATGGTAATTCACACCAAACTGATTGGTCTTTGTGTTTGTTTTGTATATAGCTGGACAAATGTCCATTTTCCAATCCTTCTTTTGTACAACTCCAGCATTACAACTAGATACTGTGGTTGGCATGGAATCAACTGTTGCATTACTGGGACGTGCGATCACTGTTTCTTCAACTAGAACGCGAATGTATCTGCAAGTTTCTAGGTTACAATATGAGGTTGTCACAGTTTGATTGACAGCATCAAAACAGTCAATACAATATATATATTGCAATACAAGAGTCTGGTGATTGCACAGTGCATGGTTATACCAAATGAAAAAGGGACAATTTCAATTCGAAACTACAGTCTGATGTTTTCAAGAGTTGAGAATGTGTATTCAAGAAACAGTCGATATCTGATAGGAAAGTACAACGAATATTTAAGCATTGTTTATTCCAAAGTAGAATACAGAGTGACTGCAAAATAAATATAGGTGTTCCATTTTACGTGAATATGGCTGTAAAAGATAAACTACAAATATCAGCCAAAGCCAACCTAGTGAGTCAAGGTGTTTATAAAGAATTGTGTAGTGGATATCTAATAAAAGGGTATTGATAAAACACAAAATCAGGCCTTCTTTTTCGTACTTGAGCGTCGTCGAGCAGCAGACTGTTCCCGTCTTCTTAAAAATGATGCGCGATACTCCTGCATACCATCCTGAAACTCTCTTGGCACTTTACGACTAAACACAATCTTTCCACTTGACTCCTGAAATGTCATATTGAAAGGCTTGAGTGTTTTATTACACCGCGCAACAAATCTAGGTACAATTTAAACTCGACAAATATTAGCCTAAAGTTTGATCAACATTGGAGTTGTATATTACTGTATAAAATCAAATACGGTGCATCATACGTTTCTTGCGTCAATAGTTTTGTTTTGTACATTCCGCTAGCAAAAAAGATCAGAGTGATGGAGCATGAGCATATAAATACCAATGCGCTCCATGGAGTATGTTGTGGTTGTGTGCCCGAGTGTGGATCTGTACTTGGTTCAAATACAGGAATCTCTGAATTGTAGAATATGTAGGCTGATCCAAAAAGTGTAAGCAGCAGAGCAACCAGAAATACTATATGGGTAGTACAATAAGTCGATGAGATCAATTGAAGATTATGTTAGCGAATTGGGTCACAAGAAATAGATTAGCATTGCTAATACCATTTCAAAATTCACTTTGTTTGAAATACTATTATTTATAGATTTAAAATCAAAATAGGAATATAATAGATGGACTGAGCTGAACTGGAAGGCATTACCTTTCCATCGCAGCGTGGCTCCACGAATCCGAGTCATATTGGACTGCAGTCGCTCCTCAAACATGATCAGGTCTATCCAAATTTCATTATCAAGAAACAAGTATGAAAGATACAGTAATAAAAAAGATTAAAAGATATGTTTTTTAGACAATCGATAGTATGCCGTATTTAGCTTAAACCACCAAAATAACATGAAAACCAGCACCTCGAAATGACCGCTCGTTGTTGAGGCTATCTCCAAGCCTTCGTTCAGGAGAAATAGTATCTAGACCACTTGACTGCTTTTTAAATATCTTCTGCTGTGACTGAGGTTGCTCCACATCACTGATAGACGATTCTGTCATGCCCGTGGTAATTGGCATGGTGATGTTTCTGGCAATGTTGAACAATTGCCATCAGATTGAACGACTCTACTCATCACGTGATACAACTAGCAACAATGAGAATGAAAATGAGAATGGTCAGCAACTACCATTCTTGGTGATGTTGACTCATTGGTAGATTATTGATTTGAATGGCATGTGCATTTATTGCTCGTGTCTTTTATACTGCAACGACAATCTGACCTGTCGAGTAATCTGCTATTCTTGGTTCAGTCTAAAACAACATCACTCATTTGGTCTTGTTATGATACAATATTCAGCGTTCCATTTATAGTATATGCTAATCTAAAGCAATCGTGCAGTTTCACAAGGAATTCCTGTTGTTGAAAGGCTGCAACAGTCTGTTTAATGCCATCAGAATGGTTTCAAAATATGACGAGATTGGCTTGAAATGTAAATATTCCCCATTCTCATACCTTTTGTCTTCAGTTGTAAGCGCAATCAAAGCCTGCATTCAATTCTTGCAAGCTGCAGATCTGGATCCTAGCCACTGATTGTCATTGGATACCTATCAAAAATGGAACACTGTCTTGCAGTCACTCTGTATTCTACTTTGGAATAAACAATGCTTAAATATTCATTGTACTTTCCTATCAGATATCGACTGTTCTTGAATACACATTCTCAACTCTTGAAAATATCATACTGTAGTTTCGAATTGAAATTGTCCCCTTTCATTTGGTATAACCATGCACTGTGCAATCACCAGACTCTTGTATTGCAATATATATATTGTATTGACTGTTTTGATGCTGTCAATCAAACTGTGACAACCTCATATTGTAACCTAGAAACTTGCAGATACATTCGCGTTCTAGTTGAAGAAACAGTGATCGCACGTCCCAGTAATGCAACAGTTGATTCCATGCCAACCACAGTATCTAGTTGTAATGCTGGAGTTGTACAAAAGAAGGATTGGAAAATGGACATTTGTCCAGTTATATACAAAACAAACACAAAGACCAATCAGTTTGGTGTGAATTACCATTTGATGAAACTGACAGTGTATTACGTAGTTTGGCATGATATGCAATGTATTATTGTACGTGAATACGGCAGATAACATTTAAACCACTCACTTTATTTTTTAAAACAAATATGATTATCAAAACTATATTGGCTACGTGTACTAATTTAGAGAGGGATATAGGATGACAGCACTAGGATTTATTCGACAGTTTGAAAAACTTGAGATGAATCCAACATTCACTCTCATTTCCAAGAAAATTCGTAACGCACCAATTGAAAACGGCAGATGCAAAAATATCACTGATCAATCATTGAATGATGCATGTTTTTTCTTTTCCTCGTCGCTTGTATGCCTCCAAGTATTTGAGCTGTCGTGCATTAATTGCTCCTCGCCGTCTTTCTCGGATATAAATGACCGAGTCAAGCGGAGCCATTCCCGCTTCAATCAAAGCCATTGCTACAAGTACTGGAGCTCTGAAATATAGTAGTATTTAAATAGTATGTAAAATTAAACTTTAGAACACATGTTGATATAAAAGATTGTTTGACTGAATAGATTAAAGTAACAGTATACGGATTTTTAAATACGGCAAAGCTTAAACATTTCAATAATGGCGGGTACTATAACTCTACCTTCCTAGTCCAGCAACACAATGCACGCCAATGCATGATAAGTCCAATGGTGATGGCGATGGAGACTTGTCGTCCTTTTTATCTTTTGAGAATCGCTGCATGACAAGGTTGAGCCAAGCATGCACAATACTGTCAGATGGTGCTTCTCCGTCCGGAAAAGGCCAATCCTAATATTCGATACAATTTGAGATGTTCCAATTATAATTATGAAAGTTTTGGAAAAACAAAAAGTAATTAGAGTCGAAGCTAGATTTAAACTTTGAAATATATTGCAGCCAACTCGATGGTTTTTACTCGAGACATTTATAGAGCAAATGACTTACATGCACTTTGATGCCAACCTTTTCTAAAGCACCTCGATCATAAGTCGAATCACAAACCCGAACTACATCAGTCACATTGTGATTTTGAAACTCCTTGATATACAGGTCGATGATGCGATCTGAAGGAGCATCAAACACCAAGAATCTCAAGTGTTTAAACTCGATCAATGTAGGCTGATTGGCAAGTCTAGCCGATGTTGCGTTGCTGTTGGATGCAGTATGTTGCCTATGGGGCTGGGATGGAGGATGAAGTTGGTTGTTGGTCTGCAACATTAGCAAGTATAGAATTAGCTATTGTTTTGGTTCAGTGATTGGAATGAATGGTAGTCCTTTGAGTCTATATTATAATCAAGGGTTCGGCAGGTACAATATGAATTATTAGTATAACAGTTTAAACTGATTCGATAGATTGGGTGTTTACAAGTAGCAGATTTGGAATTGCTTTGAATAGAGGATATAATCGTGGATGTAAGTTTTAGTTTTGGAATGTGTGAAGTTTACAAATTCACCCGAGTTGTAAATACAGCCTTATTCACGTACAATAATACATTGCATATCATGCCAAACTACGTAATACACTGTCAGTTTCATCAAATGGTAATTCACACCAAACTGACTGGTCTTTGTGTTTGTTTTGTATATAGCTGGACAAATGTCCATTTTCCAATCCTTCTTTTGTACAACTCCAGCATTACAACTAGATACTGTGGTTGGCATGGAATCAACTGTTGCATTACTGGGACGTGCGATCACTGTTTCTTCAACTAGAACGCGAATGTATCTGCAAGTTTCTAGGTTACAATATGAGGTTGTCACAGTTTGATTGACAGCATCAAAACAGTCAATCCAATATATATATTGCAATACAAGAGTCTGGTGATTGCACAGTGCATGGTTATACCAAATGAAAAAGGGACAATTTCAATTCGAAACTACAGTCTGATATTTTCAAGAGTTGAGAATGTGTATTCAAGAAACAGTCGATATCTGATAGGAAAGTACAACGAATATTTAAGCATTGTATGTTCCCAAAATAAAGACAGTAACTGAAGGATAGTGTTCCATTTTACGTGAATATGGCTGTAAAAGATAAACTACAAATATCAGCCAAAAACGGCCAACAGACACAAACAGAAGTGCCATTGTAGTGATGGTTACTCCAACATGGGAAAGAATAGTGCTAGTTCGCAATGGTAGTTTTCCAGTCATACATAGTAGCGGATAGTTAGAATGACTTACACAAAGTCAGAGGGGATTGACACTGTAACAGGAGTAATTGGGCTGGTTGATAGATGGACAAAGTCTAGAGTTCAAACTTTGGTTGCGTGATTTGAATTGTCATTAGTGGCAACTCGATATTATGGCAGGGGTGGATTTGCAGCCATTCATCAGCATCGAGTATCGAAGCCAATACAAACTGCAAATGTCATCCACATTTCTACTGACAAAACACTTTGCTGGGTTTGTATAGCTGGAATCTTCAAATGCCAATTTGTTTGCAAGACTACAAAGCAGTGTTGGGCAGATTGACATCTGCAAAGCTGGTAGTTCTATAGTTGCATCTGTAAACTATGTGGTTGATAAAACAAGCCAAGTCCTACCCAGTTTAGATTATATCTCCGGGTAATGATATCGTTGGAAAATGTTTGAATAGACCAACAGGTTGCATCAGTTCAATCAAGTTTAAATCCGAGCAGGCTGGCGTAAAGCTTCCTCAATTGTCTGGTTGCTTTGGAGTGCCATGCTCTGGATGGCACTTGCTTTGGGTTTAACCGACTGGATGGGATCTGTTTTATCTATATTACGCTGTGCTCATGTGAAATGGAACACTGTCTTGCAGTCACTCTGTATTCTACTTTGGAATAAACAATGCTTAAATATTCGTTGTACTTTCCTACCAGATATCGACTGTTTCTTGAATACACATTCTCAACTCTTGAAAATATCAGACTGTAGTTTCGAATTGAAATTGTCCCTTTTTCATTTGGTATAACCATGCACTGTGCAATCACCAGACTCTTGTATTGCAATATATATATTGGATTGACTGTTTTGATGCTGTCAATCAAACTGTGACAACCTCATATTGTAACCTAGAAACTTGCAGATACATTCGCGTTCTAGTTGAAGAAACAGTGATCGCACGTCCCAGTAATGCAACAGTTGATTCCATACCAACCACAGTATCTAGTTGTAATACTGGAGTTGTACAAAAGAAGGATTGTAAAATGGACATTTGTCCAGCTATATACAAAACAAACACAAAGACCAGTCAATTTGGTGTGAATTACCATTTGATGAAACTGACAGTGTATTACGTAGTTTGGCATGATATGCAATGTATTATTGTACGTGAATACGGCAGAAAAAGTAACATCAAAACAAACTCAAGTTCAACCATGCCAATCTAATATTTTTATAGAAAACTTTAAAGATGGATAGCAATCAGGATATTCCTGATCCAAACGCACTCGGAATACATGCTTCCTTGTATAGATTCAATGGTACTTTGTTTGAACGTGTACTTGAAAGTTAGTATACTATATATTTGTCCATTGTAACTGGTATGCAAACACCCTTGCAGTATCGACATTGAACTACATTACTGCATATACAAAGATAATTATTTAATAAATACACGAGTTTTGCAGTGTTTTCCCTTACAACATGATGGGAAGATCTGACAACTTGACACTAATAACTTGGCTCTAATAGTATGGGATCCAAGACTCCGAGCTTTTGATTCAAGGATTAGGCGCGTCGTGCTTGCAGCCATCATCGAATACAACTCAATTTTCAACTTACCTATATTCCTAACCAAGGTACTGCTATAACCACAAAACAGCTCCATCAAATTTGGAGTATATAACCGTCGCCTTGTTTTTGCTTAGACCAGCCACCTTTTTGTTTGTTTATTCAGCTTTTGTCACTGGGTTTATACTGAACAGGAGCGTGTTTTCTGCTGTTCAACCTTGTAGCTGATTATACGTTTATATCTGATTTTCCAAAGTTTACAGCAGTCAATTTAAAGTAGCTGGAATTAGCTCAATTAGACCAAGCATACAGGCTCATTTCTTACACTCAATCACACACATTTACATCTGGCAGAAAATATACAAAGCATGTCCCAAATAAACTACAATGGCTTCAAAGTCACCAACTACGGAATAGGTATATTCATTGGCATGTCCTTCCTCAACAGCGTCGATAACCTTTTCACTCTTATTCAATCCTCAACTATATTCAACGGTCTTCAGTTTGCAGCGTCATTTTTTAACACCACGCTGGTCATCATGTTTGCGATACTCGATTCCATTCCTTATACCAACTGTACTGCTCTAGTTTTATTTTCCTCGGTTATTTATTTTTCAATGCAAGTAATTGCTACGGGAATAGCCATCATGAGAGGCACGGTGATTTTTGGAAGTTTGAGGGTCATTTCTTATGTTAGATATATCTTGTGGGTCTCTCTTGGAATATCAATGATTCTTGTGATGATGTCAGTGGTGCTATTGAACGTATCCTATTCTGCTGATGGTATTTGTCAGAATCACTTTGACAGACGATGGAATGATTCTGGAAAAATTGGTCTGGCTTTGGTTTGTAAGTGTATCAATGGACTGAGGTTGGATAGATCTGACTTGATATGTTACTGGCAAGTCCAGAGTTGCTTAATCTGATATTGATTTTAGATTGCGGCGTACTTGGATGCTTTCTTATCCCACTTAAAAAGGTAACCTCGCGTTACTGCAATCGACTGTAGATCTATTTTAATTACATTCATGTCAAAATAACAATCAATTTGAATTATCTGGAGTAGCACCATGAATCAATCACATCAAACGGTGGAGTATCAAGAGATCACGTTGCAAAACTCGAAACTGCCGCATTTCGACTGACTTTCAAGATTGTTTTGGCTATTTTGGGCTACATATTTACGAGTATACTTTCTTTTTCCGGTGTTTTTGGAAGCTATTTTTATATACAATTTTGCATTCAAAACTACTGTTGTGTAATGGCTTCTACATGGTCATGCGAAGTGGATGTCGATTCAGAGAAGCGGTTGTATATGGATAGCCCAAGAAGCTCTTTACCCCAGAATCTTGTCATATATGGTCCTTCTGCTGAAGGATTGTAGAGCAAATTCAGTTTTTAAATAATATACCACTACATATTTTCAACATTGCCTTGATAATTCCGCTCTTGTTTACACAAGTTTGTGTTTTGCTATCAGCAACCTTTTCTAGTTGTATATACGCTATGGGTTACAACGCAATCATGCTGGATGGGCGTGTGAATCTAAGCTGAGATGGCTGTAGCTAAATCAGATTCACCGCGCTAAAACATTGATGAGATCAGATAGGACAATCAAGACCATTGTTATTGCTTCATTTCTTTGCAGGGTAGTTGTAGAACCCGCTGCCAGACTTTTTACCAAACTTTTGTTGAGCAACTAGGCCATTGATCAGCTGGGATGGAGCAACGTGACTGTTACCCTTGAGCACATCACTGTCAGAATACCATCCATCAGAAATGAATTTGATTGTATCAAGACCGACATAATCCATAAGCTCGAATGGTCCCATGGGATATCCGGCACCCAGCTTCATTGCTAGATCAACATCTTCTTTAGAAGCTTCACCGCGCTCAACGATGCGAGTAGCCTCCAGAAGGTATGGAACAAGAAGTCGATTGACAATAAATCTAATTAAAACGTCGAGTTTGCAAAGCCAGCATAGTAGAATCAGTGATACTGTTGCAAGCAATTATAAAAAGCAAGACCGAGAGTTTACCCTGGAGTATCTTTGCACATGACAGCTTTTTTGAGCAACTGATCGGTAAACAAAGCAAGCGACTTGCAAGTCTCCTCGGTAGTGTCCTTTGTACGAACAATCTCGACCAGCTTCATCACAGGCACAGGATTAAAGAAATGCAAACCAGCAAACTGACCAGGGCGGCTTGTGGCCTTGGCGATCTCAGCAATAGGCAATGATGAAGTGTTGCTAGCAAAAATAGCATGCTTTGGAGCGATCAGATCCAGCTGGGTAAATAGTTTGCGCTTAGCGTCCATGTTTTCAACAATGGCTTCAATAAGTAGATCAGAGGATTTTGCAGCGGCGGTAAGATCAGTGGAATGAGTAAGAAGCTCCATAGTGTTATTGACAAATATCTGAGCTGATGCCACAGCAGAGCCATGCTGTTTCTTTGACTCACGAACAAGGTTGGACTCGATGTTCTTGCGACTCCTTGCAAGAGCATCGTTGGAAGAGTCAATGAGGTTGACTTTAAAGCCAAACTGAGCAGCAGTTTGAGCAATTCCAGACCCCATCAGACCGGCACCGATGATGGTGACCTCATTGATGGGGTGAGCACTAGAAGAAGACGAGAATGAGGCTGCAAAACAAGGTTTATTTAGATTGTAAGAAGGACCAGAGGCATCAAAGGCCTTGATGATCTTGGAGAAGGCTCTGGCACGATACATAGGGCGGTCAAAGATAAAATAAAAGATAAGCACAAGAAGCAGATTTGTTGATAGTTTTGAAATCTATAAACAGACTATCCATCGAGATAATTTACACTCTGCATTGGCAACAGCATGGAGTGTACTAGAACAGCGAGTGCATTCAAGATTGTAGATTCGGCAATGAAAGCTTAATGTTTGAACAGGAAAAAGTCAAGCTTATCCACGTGACCATAGATTTGATCACGTGATGTATGATTGGCTCTGCAACTAATTGATGCACAAGTTGCCGGCTGTTGCTGGCCACGATACACAAGGTAAGCAATATTGTAGTCCTAGATATGTCATCAAGAGCAATCCATCCATGCTAGTACTGGCATGCATGGATGAATACTGTAAAGAGTGTACTTTAGTCATCGATTACTGATCCCTGCTTGAACTGATGCTCAACTTTGGAATTGCCTGGACAACCGCTACAACTACGATCTGAAACCAACATTTGACCTGTTGCGCAACTGCCATGTATTCAACCCCTGACAGCCGCTGTTTGGCAACTTTCTATATATTCATATCTTCTGGACCCTTCAATGTCAATGACGGATTCGGTTGTGTCCAAAAACTTGTTTGCCGTTCTCGGTGACAGTAGTGACACAGAAGTCAGTGTTCCAAAGGTTGCTCCTGTTAAGAAGGCTGCTCCTCAAAAACAAACTCCTCAGCCTAAAAAAGATGCTCCTACTGAGGGTAAATCTCGCGGTGACCGTACTTCTCGCCCACAGACTGGCAATCGTCAAGGTAATCTTGTTGATGTCTTGACTAGTTGTTATTAATTGTCTAGTTACAGGCCATATATATCCAAGGCTTGTGTACAAGTGGTTTTTAATCCTCTGAGTCGGTTGATCTATTTGGATCAGATCTGTCCATGTTTCAGATCCGTTTGTCATATTCTGATGTGCATGCATTCAAACCATGTATATAAACAGTCTGAGCAGCTGCCAATCTAATGCTGCCGGGCAAGTCTTTGAACAAAGTTTTATTAGATTTGGACTGGCATGTACTTGCCAGTCACTTTATCCAACTTGACCAGTCTTTGCTCAAGCTATCATTTTTACACTGCAGCATGATTAGCACATGATTTGGAGTTGGCTGAGGGATTGTGCTGTTCAGACTTTTGTTATTCCATCTCAACTGTTCAGCTTGTTTGTCCTGATTCGTGTGGTTATTGACTTTGTTTTGTTTGCTCTACTTGGCTTGGATCGTGGCCAATCCAGTGAACTATCGTAACCCTACTGGCCCCCGTGAAACTGGACCTTTTGAACAGGCTCCTGAGCAGTTCACCAGCACCACTTCCGTTCGTCTTGATAAGCGTGGTGGTGGTCGTGGTCGTGGTGGCCGTGATCACGACAGGCGCAGCGCTGCTGGTCATTACAAGGCTGGCGAAAAGAAGGATGTTGCTGGAAAAGGCACTTGGGGTGATGCCATCACTGCCGAGGTTGACGAAAATGGTAACCCCAACCCCGTTCTTGAAAGGTTAGTCTTGCGCTTGACTTTATTCTAAATCTACTTGTTCTTGAACCTTCAATTTTGCGCATTACATTTTTATTGACCTGTTCAAATCTGTTTAGTGAGGATGCTGTTGCCAACCCCGCTTCTGCCGAGCCCAAAGAAGCTGATCCTGAAGACAGTTTCAAGACTCTTGAGCAATTCATGGCTGAGAAAAAAAAGTCGAGTGTTGCTACTGAAGTTGTTACCCGCAAGGCCAACGAGGGTGTTGATGAGACCAAGTTCAAGGGCGTAACCAAGCTTGAAAAGCCAGATGAGGAATTCTTTGGCGATCTCAAGAAATCCAAGTCAGAGTCTGCCCGCAAGAACAAAGAAAAGGCCGCCAAGGCCACTCTTGACATTCAACAGACTTTTACCCCTGTTCCTCGTGATAATGGGCGTTTTGAGCGCAACGACCGCAAGGCACCCCGTCGTGACGGTGAGCAGCGTAATACACGCAACCGCAACACTGGCCATGGTCAGACTCGCATCAACGTTGCCGACACTTCTGCTTTCCCATCTCTCGGAAGTCAGTAGGTTTTAAAACAGCACTCGGCATGAAACCTATTTTCAGTAGCCCTACAAAATGACAGGCTTTAAACAACAATTCTGTGGTAGTTAGTGATTCAATTCAAGTCTTAAATAAATCTCAGTCCTGGAAGGAACGAGTTTGTCTCCATTAAAAAGCATGTTTATTTGGATCTTGAATGTATTGTCGAACTTGAGTCCACTACCCATCTTTTCACGGATGCCTATGATTAGTTCAGAATGCTCTGGTATCTGAGGAACTCGACTGATAGTTGAATTGCCAAAAATCTAATGATTTTTCTGTAAAGTTGATATTGAATTTAATGGCTATAGATGGTTAAATTTATGATGTTGAGCTATCCATGACAGGTAATCTGCTTGAGATTCTTGCAAGCCTGCTTGATGCGATCTTGATCCATTTTAGACAAGGGCAATCTCAGCCCAGTATGGATTGGATTTCCACCCAGTTCACCGCCACGATTTCCTCTACCCGATACATTGATGCCCAATGATCTCAGCCTTGTTAATTTAGGTAGTAAGCTCACCAGCACATCCACGCCAACGCCAACAGGGACATGATCCAACGATTTCAACCCAGAACAATACATGGCAACAGCTTCGACAGACTTTACACCAATTCTGATTCCACCAGAAAATGGGAATGCTAGATGAGTTAATCTTGTATTACACACTTTGGCAACCATCTCTAATCCCAAATCGGTCACATCTCTTCCTGCACCAACACGTAATCTCATCAATCCTGAGCACATCTTTACCAATACCACAAGTGCTTGGTTTGACACCCCATTGCCATCCATCATATCTACATCAACAAGGTTCGGACATGATTGTGCAAATGTGACAAGATGATGATCGGTACTAATGGGAATATGAAGTGTAGTGAGGTTAGGGCATGCAATCGCGAGATCATGGATATGTGCTGTGGTTGCATCAGCTATAGATGCTGTGCGTCGACTTGGTGCTAGTTTTAGCGTAGTTAAAGAATGAAATTGAGAAGCTATAGAAACAAGTTCTGTCAAAAAGCCTATTCCATCCAACACAAGCGAGATCAGACCCAATGCAGAAAATTCTGTCGTAGTAGTCGAGTGAGCACTGTTGTAGCTTGAATTTCCATGGTTATATAGACGATTTTGAGTGTAGTTGTACATGTTGTCATCCACATCTATTTGATGGGTGATTTGTGGACTGGATGTGAGTTGGGAAAGCATATCGCCATGACTGGGCAAACCAAAATGGTGCGAAACCAATGGTTGCAAAATAACAGGAAGGGCACCCTCTGGAAAAGTCACATCAATAAGTGCAAGAGATTTCAAGTATGGATTGGCCCGTATTAGCAAAGCGATACTGGAAAAGTCGCGAGAATTACCAATGGTCAAGCATTTCAAATGCCGAAGTGACTGTGCCGCTTGTGCAAGCATTTCGTCCATTGCTACAGGCCAATCCAACCGTAGTGTATGTATATCTGGACTGCTAACGACTAACTGTCGAAGTGCATCACCGAACCGTTTGTGACGGGCTTCCGAGTCATACATGGAAGATAAAGTAATGCCGTTGTTGGACTGGGAAGCAATCGGAGATGATGAGCGCGATGACATGGAAGATGCAGATGAAGATGAAGACATGGATAAGGGTATGGATGTTGATACAGGCACACGGTTTATTGTAGGGGTATGTATGCTGATGAAGTGCAAGGCAGATCCCGTCGCGTCCACAGACACATCGGAAACAACAGGCGATGATGAACGAGATAGTGGTAGAGATCCAGATAGCGATCCAGATAGCGATCCAGATAGCGATCGATGTGAAGATCTAGAACTATCTGCAGAAATTGTTGGACGCATGGCATCTAACCCCATAGATCCACTACACAACTCTAATCCGAACGTAGTCAATCGACCTTTGGTGTATTGTGCCAAGGCTGAGATTCCTCTTTCACTAAACACGCTGTCCAGCATGCTCTTGATGCAGATATGCTTTAGCTGCTTACAGTTTTGTGCAAGTGCAACCAACCCCTCATCGGTAATACACCCGGCAGGTTGAACACCCGAAACAAATGAAATGGAAGTGAGTTGCGGACAAGCCTTTGACAAGATCCAGCAGTCGTCATCATTGAATGAAGGAATGTGAATATGCAGACTGGTAAGAGATATGCAGCCAGCAACAGTTGTTCTTAGACTGGATAGCCGCAGATCTCCACCCGTCCATGGCTGTATAGGACAGTAGATATTCAAGAGTCGGATATCGTGTCGGTAATCCTGATAAAGTCGTTTCGGTCGCTGAAACAGAAGCCGCAATGAATCCCCTAAACACAAAGGGTTAGCAGGACAGTTGCATGCAGACTACAGTCGGCCAGTCTGGTAACAAACTTTACATTCATCAGCACTGCATTGGGTCCGTTTCCATAGCAACGACAAGCCAGCACTAGCCCAAGCCTTGTTCACCATCATTGCTGCTAGAATTTGAGTTTTGCAGTCCATCCGTTGCAGAATGGCAGTAATGAGCTCTGCTGGCAGTGTGCTGCGCTGTTTCTTGTGCAGTGTGAACAATGTCTGCTGAGCAGAGTCCTGCAGCGCTTGCTTATCTGGCATGGACTGCAATGAATTCAACTCGCTCGCAACAGACTCGCTACAAATCAAACTGCTCGAGTCGGCTGTCTTGCAATTCATAGCGTCGATAAAGTGTAGATCCGGTCGCTTTCTTATAAAATCAATTCGTTTATTTTAGTTTAAATTCTGCAATTGTAATCTTTCTGCTCATCACAGTGCTGCTCCAACTGGCACTGCAAGCAACGGATCGTGCTGACTGCCTGTGGGGTTTTTCATTGTATTCTGTCGACGATCCTCGACTTGCGCTTTCTTGGCTGCTCCAATCGCTCCAAATTGCCTTCGTGTCAATAGTACCATCAGATCCCCTCTCGATAGTCCATTTAGATCCACATACTTGCTGATTCCAATTTGATTCGCAAACTGGATCTGCTTTGGTGTCGCTTTACTGTTTCGCCATGGTGCATTCCAACCCAGTTGCATAGAATGTGTATATCCAAGTGTTTTGGTTATAAACGTGTCTGATCCTTTAAACGCATGCATAAGAGTATCGGATTGTACTACAATGTTCTTTTTTCTGGGGTTTTTTCGTCGATCTGTCTTGTTTTGAATGTATGTGCATATATAGATTTTGTCTGTGTTTATATAAACATTACTTTTTAGAATCATAAAAAATATTACCGCAATATACGCTATTTGGCCAATTACCTTTTTTTTCAAGTATTAGTGCACTACTTCCAACATTGGTCGACAGCACCCATTTTTGAGTGGCTACACGCGTCCATGCAAATCGTGAAAGCTTCTTGAGATATTGATCCTCGTCTTCCTTGATTACAAGAGAGAATGGATCCAAAAACGGCTTCAAAGAATACCCAAGATGATTAACTCCATCGTATTGGCTTCCAACAATTTGGTCATACTCTTTCAGCTCCTCAAATGTACTCATTTGGCTCAGCACATCGAGGTCTAAATGCTTTGACTCGAGTCGTTCCATTATGGAGCTCATTTCTTTGATCGTTTTACCTTTTTAATGTCATCCGTAAAACAATGCATATAGTTGGTTAGACGGGCATTGCAAATACTATTTAGCTAACCCAGACTTGCCTTGCATGTTAAACATGGGCGACAGTCCAAACAAGGTTGGAATAGTAGCTGCTTGCAAGCTGCGATTCATTGTATCGACAAAATCAAACACAATGCACCTTTTTTTCCCTAAAAATTAAAAATTCAGTCTAGATTCAGCACTGCATCTCAAACTTGATTGGCATGGAAATTAAAACATATACGCTACCTTCAAACTTGCGCATACCACGACCCAACATCTGCTGTAACAATCCACTAGATTTAGTAGGTCGTGCAAGCATGACACAATCAATTCTAGGTATATCGACTCCTTCTGTAACAATTCCTACATATTTAATGCATGGCCCAGTCACCATATATAAGCATTTCAGTATTTTTATAAATTGCAGTTAAACTACATCCAAAAAACAGACATACCACAGTTGATAAGTACTGGAATATTTCCGTTGGAAAACTCCTTTATAATTTTCTGCCGAGTATGCAATGGGGTGTTTCCATGAACACCAATTGCTGGAATACCCTTTTTTTGAAATGCTTCAACAAGATCATTGATATGTGCAATGTCTACTGCAAACACCAATGTGGACTTGCAATTGGCAGAAGCTACATCAAACACAATTGACACAAAGTGTTAGATCCCTTCAAAAAGCATTATTATCTATGATTTATCTTGACTAAAGATTTAAAAGTGTATACACAATCCAATATAGTTTTACCAGCTTCGTTGAGATACAGTTGAGCAATGGTGAGATTGCGCTCGGGAGTATTCACTGCTGCAGATAAAAGTGGAAGAGAATAGTCTCCAGAAGTAGGATTCGTTCTAACTCCTACAATATCTATTTGAGTTTGTACCTGCTTGACATCAACATCACACAGCCTAAACACATTTTTCAAGTAGAGTTAGCATCCATCGCAACTATAGTAGCATAATCCACAAATGAATTAAACTATGTTTTACCATCCTTCAGTAATCATTGTGGTAATAGGCTGCGCGTACGCAATGGAAAGAAATGTAGGATGTAGACTTTGCCCGTCATTTCTACGCAAAGTTCCAGAGCATCCCCAAACACGCATGTGCGATTCAGGATCAAATGCACCCATATACTCCAAGACGCGATTATAAGTAGGTGCTGATGCATGATGAGCCTGATTATAGATGAAAATAAATGAGCATTAAAATACTCTTGCAATCAATGGCCTTTGCTTGCTAGTTACTGCTGTACCCAATAAACAAACATATTTACCTCGTCTGATTTCACAAATTCCAAAAACAAACAATATATTGCAGGGTTAAAATAATCAATCACTATTCACTGTTGTTTAATTTTGTGATTATATATCTGCATTCTCACCAATAATAATACACTTGAATAGCTTTGGATCGTATGCCTTGATTCGAAATCCATTCTCTCGTCCTATCGACTGAACACTAGACAGTATTCAAAATAAACCAACAGCTATTAAATCCAATGTACTATTGAAAATACATCCAGCTAAATACGATCCGTTACAAACTCACCTCGCAATAATCACATCAGCATCCATCCAAGGTTTAATATTTCCTCTGTCAATACTGACCTTCTAAAAAACACAAAATCAATATGATTTAGTCGACCATCTGCAATAAAATGTAATATTGTCAACCACCGAATGGCTTAAATCAAGACATGAAGAATTACCAAATGAGGACAGTGACGTTGGACTTGAGCATGTGCTTGATCGATCAATTCTTCTCGATGTGCAAGCACAAGTGTTTTTGTTGCAGATGGCAAAGTTGATTTGAGTTGTGGAATAAGATTGGCGAAAATGACCTATTTAATAGCGACAGCCAAGTAGCAAGGTATGATTAAAAATTGTTTCGGTACACAATCGATTGCATTTTCAATTATAGCAATGTAATTTAGAAGACCATCCGCAATAATGAGTTTATATATTGAGTGTTGGACAGGTTGGCCAACAATGGTAGTACAAAATGATTGTCAGATATGAATGTAGTGTAATAGCTAAACATACTGTTTTTCCAGAACCAACAGGTAAAGATACTGCAGTTCGCTGCACACCCGCTTCAAACATTTTTAATGTAGCATGAATGCATTCTTTCTGATAAGGTCGTAGTTCAATATGTTCATGTTGACTGGATGTGACGCTATGTAGAGCCTGTTTCAATTCAAAATGAAAGCTGGATAATGCATTTAAATGGAAATTGTATGTGTGTTTAAATAGATGAATCGATTGCAATGAAGTGTTGTGTAGTTGCTGATGACGACCAGACCATCGGAGTATCGACCACATTTTTGAAGTTTGAATTTCCATTTGGAAAATCCGTTCAATTTAGAGACTTGTCATCAGGTAAAAATACATGCACATTCACATAAAATGGAACACACTCAATACATAATAAACGATCAGTCTCAATTTATTGAACAATATTATGTCTTTGAACTTTGGTAAACTTGATTGATTTTTCTGGTGGTTGACATGAAACAACTGCTGTATTGCTGAGATGTGCAATCTTTTAAACTAAAACGCGAATGTATTCGTTTTTAGAATACAAGTGAAACCTGTCGAGTTGGATTGTCGTATCATAAGATAAATACTGTGTTTTAAACAATTGGCAGTGACTATTAAACAGCAATCAATTTCTAATGGACAACAAATACTCGACCAAGATTGATTCCAAAGCACAAGCCATTGCAAGACACAAGTGCTTCATATTACGTGAATACAACCGTGAATGAAACGATTGGTATCATTTTTTCTGATCGCTTACAATGGCAATCACTCTGCGACCAGCAACAGTTGGAACAGATGACGATGCAGCCATCGATATAGCAATTAAAAACTGGCTACTAACGCCTAAACTTGTGTCGGCAGAGCGGTTACTGCCAGAACCACTCATGAAGACCAGAAGATCCCGCCAAAATCAAGCAGCACTCAATCCAGGGTCATGGCTGTTTCTGGTAGCAGTCGATGAAGAGGGTAAAGTTGTTGGCCACTTGGATGGAGGACCTGCACAGGCCCATGATGATGTGAGTATTGAACTGTCTAGCCATCAAGGGATGCATCTGCAGCATCTGGAGCAGCACTGCTTGAGAATGCCGCTAGACTACAAATGCTAAACAGTTGAACATATGGGTTTATAGGAACTAAAAGATCTTGGGATGGATCTGGACAATACTGTTGAGCTCTTGACGATACATGTTCATCCAGACTACAATCGCATGGGTATTGGCAGCATGCTGACCGATGCCTTTTTTGACTGGGTTCCAACTGGTATGGCTGCTCGAAGACTACACAAGCGACTGACAGCCAATGCCGAGACTCCAGAAATGCTGGTTCAAGACCATCCGTCTACTTGCGAGGTAATTATCTGGACATGGAAACATAATACAAAGTCGATTCCGTTCTATACTAAGCGAGGCGGTCATCTGTTTCTGCACTCCAAGTTGTTCTATCTAGGAACAGACGTTGAAGTTATTTGTTTTAAATGGACAGTTCCTGTCTGATACTAACGGATTAAGATGTCCAAGGAGTTTCAAGCAGCACTCGTTACTAAATAAAAGTTTTAGGGTTGCGCTAGTTTCAACATCTACAATGATCTTTAGATTGACTAGGTTACATATTGGCCATTGAACCTGCACATGGAATACTACAGTTTGCAATCGTATTCATGTAAACTGAAACATTTGTATCTGGTTTTTTACTGTGGAGTAAACAATGAATATCCGTTGTACTTGTTTATTGGGAATTGAAAAAGTCAATTCCAATAAACGCATCGGTCATATGATGCTCACACAGGCGATAGTTTTGAACTGATTATCCATCACTTGGTATAGCCACACATTATAGGATCACTAGATTCATTCACTGCAGCCCAGATATTGGGATTATTATTGACGTCACTAATACAACTCTTGCATTTTGGTCTCGGATGGGTTCGCGTTCTAGTTCAAGAGAATAAAATGTAAATCTCAGGAATGCAACTGCTGCTTTCGTGTCGATCGCTCAATATCATAATGTTTGGTTTAGAAAAAAGAAAAGTTGGAGGTTGAAAAGATGTGAAGTGTATTGGAACAGGGATGTGAGCATTCACTCAGCTATTTTATACAAAAATGAGCACGAGTACCAGTAAACTATCGAGTTTAAAAGGCACAGTATTGTTCGATAAATTGAAACTGATTGTTTCATGAGACTGACTGTTTATTATGTATTGGATGTGTTCCATTTTAGGTGAATATGGCGATAAAACGGACAGGGTGGACCAAACGTAATTTTGACCAAAGCCCATGCATTACATTACTGTAATCATACTCCAGTGCCATTTTCTGAAATAGATACAATATGTGGTGATTCGACAAATGGCAATGTTGTCCATTTGGGAAAGACTCGCTTGTATAGATTCATACAGACCGTGTCATGCTGCTTAATACCTGCATCAAAAATACACTTCATATATCCATGGGTGCCTAAACTTTCTTTGATGTGACCTGTACGTCCGAGTTTGGTTGTAAGCTGGATAGGCTTAAAGTACAAAACATCCTCTGGGTTGAAGAACATGAATCGCAATACCGCACCACGCTTGTGCACCTTGTATGGATGTCCAGTTAGCACAATTCGTTTGGCAATAATACGTAGTGGATCTAAATCCATTAGACTACCAGTTGCAATGAGCGGGTTAGGAGCTTTAGGAGTCCAAAGACACTGATCGCCATTCTTGTCATGCTTGAAAACCAAAACGGGTGCTGGCCCAAACTGAATAGGTGCATACACGGTAGCAACTGATGGTACGCCTGGCTGGAGGTACCTCTCAAACTTGTGCACATTATTGGGTCCTCCACGAGTAAAAGTAGAGTATATTGGTTGTACAACGTACCGCCTAAACCCAGACATGAGAACAACAGGCTCCTTTGACTTGACAGGATCGCTGTAGCTTGATGTTCTCTGAACAACAAAACTGACAGTAGACACCTTGTGTTCGTATGGCAAGAGTCCAAACACAGTGAATAGCTGACTAGAATCATGCCCATCTATTAACGTAAATAAAATAACACGAGTTTCATGTCAGCTATTTCAATTCTTGACCAGATACAACACAGTATACCATTTGTTTCAAAATATTGTAGCAGTACTTACCATAGGCTGCACGAGGAACATTGGAAATATGGATTGTTACAAGAGTACCAGGAGCAACACCAGGTCCTTCTTCCAACGAATCCATCACACGTTTTCGCGAACGCTTAAAGTTTTGAAACTGGAAAATACGCGAATAGTCCATAGGCAGATTCTCATATGGGTCCCATACTGATGAACGGAAGCTCTTCAATCCACGATAGCGTTGGAATCGTTCGCGAGCAGTAATATGCTGAGGAGTATCTATCTCGTCGGGAAACTCGGAATCATTGCGGCTTTCTTGTTGTTTTTGAAGATATATAGCAAGTCTGATAAAGCAAATGAATAGGTAGTGGTATGAAAGTAAAGAAACAACGCATAATACATTAGTCAGCTAATTAAAGATACATATTGTAATACAGCAGGTTTTACAGCTAGTAAAATTCGAATAAACCACTCAACTGTTCCTGTTCCTCATCTTCATCAAGATCGTCGTGCGCTATCTCACGATCTTCAACATCTACATCTTCATACTCCTCGCTTTTTTCACTGTTAGAATCACTACCATCTGTATCAGAGTCATGGTGTTCAAATGTAGGCATATCCTCGTCCATAGCTGCAGAATCAGACATATGACAGTCATCCTGCTCTTCCTCGCTGTTCACATCATCATCATCCAAAATCCAAGCGGCTTGATATGCTGATGTGCCCTTGGGAACACGTCGTTTTACTGCAGGCTTTTGGAAAAAAAAGGGTCTTGGGCGGTTGTCTTCATCCATATCCAAAACATCTGTATTGTGAAGCCTACGAACACGTTCTAAAATATTTAACAGTATCAATAGAGTTTAGTTTAAATCACTGTACAACTAGTAGCATATCAATATACGATACACCAAACTAGACATACCATCTGCCTCTGCAAGTTCTTCTGCAGTTGGCCACGTTTGTTCTCCCTCCATGGGATCAATGTCATTTTCTGCAACAAGTCCTTCTTGGAAATTTGGATCTGCTGTTTGAAGGATTTTAACATCATCATCATCCATATCTCCAGACTTGTGAATCTTGGCACGCGAGGTGATGATTGACATTTGGAAATCGCCATAGTTTGGGATGTGAACAAGACGATTGACATCTAGTTTATTACCACGAAGATAGCCCGTAACGCAAAGTGTTCCGTGAGTCTGTCAAGTTCAATTCAAATCGTATTTAATAAGCCTATTGGTTTGTAAAAGTGCATTGAATAAACTGTACAATACCTCGTCTAATGTGTTGGACTGGAATGATAGTTGATCTGCAACCAGATACGGATGACGCTCACGCCAAACTACTTGTTTTGGTCGTTGGGTAGTGATATATCTCAATGCAGAAAGACATTCTCCTGAATCATGAACATCAAAAAGGCGCTGTTCGCCCGAAAATTGGTGGTTCATGTAGTATTCCAGAGATTTACGAATATCGCTCTGTTTTTTAGTGGGATGAGTTTCCAAGTGTTGAACCATATTAATTACTGTTGGTACGCCTTGAGATCTAATAGCAGTCATGCATAGCTCGCCAAATTTGTCGACTTCTTCATTAGCAGACAGTATAAATATAACCATATCAGCAACTTTGAGTGCATCTAGAATTCTCAAGAGATGTCGGTCAACTGGAATAAACTGGACGCGCTGTTTGAACCTCTCCACTCTGAAAATGGGTAGTAAAGTTAGTTGCAATCATATAGTAAAATAGGCCGTTTAAAAGCTCGGTGATTTTTTTGACACACTTACGTTAACAAGGCAGAACCATTGGTCTCAATATACGGCTGATCAATTGATGCAAACATGCCATGAACGGCAGTATGTGCATCTACGTCAGCACACAGTGGAATAACAGCAATAATTTTTGGGGTAGCATACAGTCCTTGAAACATGCGAGAATTGGACAGTACATCCAATTGCTTTTTCCGCTGCTCAATCTTGGCGGTATTTCTACGGTCTGCCTTGTGAGAGGCCACGGAGTTGCGAGATTTGACCGATTTAGAATGTTCTGTTTTGCCTGTATGCATAAGCAATAAAAATGACTAGGTTTACTTTGACTCTCTTTGGATAATATAGTTGGGACTTGAATCTACAGCCTGTTCAGATTTTGACAGACTTTCAATCGCATTTACCTTTTGAAAGTGCTTTGAGAGCACCTTTTGAAGCATGCTTAGATTTAAACGGTTTATTAGACTGCTTTAATGAAGAGCGATGCGAAAATGATTGCTGTCCATTTCCTGCCATTTCAGTCTCTTTGATTAAAAGATGTTCAAGTGAATAGCAGTGATACTACAGGCTGAACTACAATCACCAGCAACTTTGTCGAGTAAAAAAATCTTTAAAAGAAAAAAATTATTTTGGGCAAACACGTCAAATTGGCATGATTGAGCTGACTGCTTTTTGAATTGCAGTTGTATTGACGTAAAATATTGTTTTAAAGATCATTGACATTATTGCCTGGCATTTGCGCTTGATAAGGTCTACAAGTGCACTCATAATACTTTGTTGTTCAAGTGTTGATGACTACAAGGTTACTAGATCATTAATCAATGATTTGATGTGTTGGTTTTCATGGTAATATTATAGAAAGTTTTGACATAAAGTCGAGATTCATACTAAAAAGACATGTTTAGATGATAAAACCACTAGAAACTGTTTCTACACGATGATTCTAAAAGACACAATTTTGTTCAGTAATATTGACCCATAAACATGATGTTCGTGTAGTTTAGTTTATCTAGTGCTTCATTTTACGTGAATACAACTCTAAAAAGCTAGTTTACTTTTCATGTCCTTTGTTGCCAACTGCAAACTATTCAGAAAAACAAACTGAACCCCAAATATTGATTTCTTGGACTCGACGCCAATCATGCTTGTTCATCGACTTGCTCAATCATGCAAGCTTGCTTCCCCCCTGCATCAGCAGAAACATACCCTTGCCAGTATATTACCAAAACTCAGTTGAGTATCATTCATGCAACTTCAATAAATTTTAAAACTATTGTCTGGCACTCTGACAACAATAGAGCTGCTTGATATAAGATGCCATTAATCCGCTTGATGGATGATTACATGCTTTTACTCTCTCACAACCCTTGGTCAATATACTATTCACAGCTCACCAATCTATAATCTCATTTTTGAAAACTTGTGCAGAATTTCTTACTGTCTCATTTACAAACTCGACTAAAATGACCGATTCGCCCATCTACAGCTTTGCTGTCAAGGACCTCCGTGGAACGCCTGTAGATCTTGGACAGTATAAAAACAAGGCTCTCCTTATTGTCAATACTGCCTCCAAGTGTGGCTTGACTCCTCAGTTTGCTGGTCTTGAAGCACTTAACAAAAAGTACAGCGACCAAGGATTGCAGGTTATTGGATTCCCTTGCAATCAGTTTATGGGCCAAGAGCCTAACGAAGGCGAGGCCATTGCTGAAGTTTGCCAGCGAAACTATGGTGTAACTTTTCCCATGATGGAAAAGATCAATGTATGTTTGAATCATGCACCGTTGGTATATATATCAGTGATTTGCAGCATCCGTATCAATCCAATATACTAATATTGCCAACATAGGTGAATGGAGCCGACGCACATCCTCTATATCAGTACATCAAAAAGGAAGCTCCAGGAACTCTTGGTATAGAAATGATCAAATGGAATTTTGAAAAGTTTCTAGTAGACCGCAATGGCAAGGTGGTCAAGCGATTTGCACCTACAACCACTCCAGAAAGTATTGAGCCTGAAATAGCAAAGCTTCTCGCTAGTAACCATTTATAGTCCAGCAACTCATTACTTTGATAAGCATGACAATTGGAATAAAGGATACTATTTGACACCGAGTTACTATTTTAACTTGAGAAGATCAAGATACTGCCTTGTACTGGCCACATACTGGCATGATATTCAAAAGCACCGCCTGCTACTATCTGCAGATATTTTAATGCTCACACTGTATACTTTAAAATTCTTACCGTGTATCCAATGGTTGGTGAGTCGGAAGTTTGCAAATGCTATTTTTAAGCTTTTTAATGAATGAGCTATGGATTATTTTTCTTTGCAAAGTCTATTCCATAAAACCGTGTATCTTGACAAGCGCAACCACTCTTCAAGGCTCTTGAACAACATTTTGAATAGCCTGGATACCTTGCAACAAAATGATATCACTGAGTGAGCCGTCGCAATGCATACCAAACAGCGAATATATCAGAGAAGCCATTTTGGAGCAAACCATGCCAAGTATATCCAGACAGCAACTTGTTAAACTGACTTCTAGCGCCAGTGGATTTTTCCCGTCGATTAATTCAGGAATGTCCATACTTGATGGCAAACACCTACGAGGTGGATCTGACGGAGTGCAGCCTTATATTGTTGCACAAAACCCGTCAGCACGTCATACACTTGCACCAATTCTGCCTAAACTAGAATCTATATCAACTGGTCTAGGGTATGACAATGGAAATACGAGTATTATGCCGCGTCAGATTAAAGAGTACTCGACAGAAAATCTAGTCGAGCTGGGGTTGGCACCTCAATTATCAGAGCTAATAGCATTAGACAACAAGCTCGTGATTCCTGCCCATTCCGCCGACTCTGTTGACCCATCGTTTGCAGTATTTCAACCATTTGCGGCCAAGCCATATTCTTCAAAAACCAGTCAGATTATTCGCGAGTCACAAGACTTGCAGCAACAGTGTATTACAAATTCGAATGAAAAAGTTGTAGCCACTTGCTTGACTCCAACTCTAAATCCTATCGGACAACACACCGCAATAAACTTCCAATCTAAAGCAGCATCAACAAACACTTCATTGAGCAGATTGGATAAACACTTTCAAAGTCTGGATACTGGGAGTCTAGCAAATAAATACAGACAATCTTTAACTAGCGAGTTTTCTAGTGCATCGCATATTCTTTCCGACACAAGCGGTATTTCTCGTGTATGTCAAGCACTCATGTATCCAGATGCTAATTGTGATCTGTTGAACGACGAGACAGATATAGACGACGAATATAGTTCTATTGATGAGTCCAATCTGAACATGACTTTGGATGCAGTGCTGCCCATTCCGGAATTTGCCAGTCAAACAACGCCTGCATCTGTAGAAAAACTTGAATCTCGAAATCGCTTCAGTAAATCTCCTAATTCTAAAGCCAGATATGCCACTACGTTGGCAGCAGTGTCTACGCAACCAACTACAGCAATCCCTATACATACCGCCACTAAAAATACATCCTTGCCAAGTGTTTCAGAAGAATGCCCAGTCACAATCTCGTCGGAAACCAATCCATCAGTTTCTTTGCAACCTCAGACACCTGTAAAAAGATCACAAGGTGTACTACCCAATTATGAAGGCATTATGCATCGAGCACTCGGGCCTTTTCAACGTCAACGCAAGGTATCTCCTATAAACCAAATATCTAGACTGGAGCCTGTTGCATTAGAAGAAAACGACCAAAATGTCTTGAACATTCCATGTAATACTAGTTACCAAAGTATTTCCCCGACGGATGCTACTGCACGCGAAAGCCAATACGAAGCAATCCATTTACCGCACATTCCAGTCAATGATTCTACCGATACATTAAAACCTAAACCATTCAATATCAAGCCATCTCTATCTTTGGGAAAATCATTCAATTTTAAAAGATTCAAACTGCACCATTCGCATGATTTAGACATGCCAACACTGCATAATCAATCAAATTCTACGAAATTAATGGTAAACCCAGATATTCAAACCCACCCACTCCATAGTACATCTGACACCATGGCAGTGTCTCAGCATTCTCGATTTTCTTTTTGGAAAATATTTGATATGTTTTACTGGAGAGGGCATCGTGCAACACGAGCACATGTGTTTCCTCGCTCATCTGTGAGTATAGACATTGATGATGCTGATACTGATACTGATCAAAATCCATATATGAACGGAGCTTTACCGTTGATTGGACCTTCTAAAGATGATTTTACATCTGATATATCATTTCAGGAAAAAAGCGCTTTGCAAACATCAGCACATCCTCAAAGTGATACAATCTCTAAAACTATACCGACTGCTTTCTCGGTTCCTCCAGAGATCAGATATCTGTGTAAGCTTAATTTGCAGAATTTTCAAAACAAAGTATACATTTGGCTTACTAACAGTGCTGCATCTGTATTGAATGTATATGGATCATGCAACTTTAGCCACAAGCGGCCGACTCTCTAATTATTTCAATAATGACTCGAGTTTTAATACTAGACCATCCACTAAATCTACAGAAAGTAGCTCAATTCAACCGCGTTTTGAATTATCAATGCTACAGCATCTAGGCACAACTCAAACAAATCTCAATTCACCGTCTCATCCACATAGTCTTAATCAGTCTGATACGCACGATCCTTCTCAGCACCATGATACACTGACTACAGTATTTAAAGAAAATACTTCTTTGCAATATGTATCCTACACACATAATACGGAAATCATCGCAGACTCTACACTAGTTAAAGATCAACAAACCAAATACACTTTGCAAGATAAACAACCTCATCCACGTGTTGCTTTTGAAACTTTTGACCATCAGCAACATCGTAGCTCAATCTTCCCTATTACTATTTCCAAGTCTGATTTACATCTGTACCGACAACAAGAGGATATTTATCCAATGGTAGCATCTGCTTTTGGTGTTACTTGCTATCTTCTTCCGCAGTTTTTGTTGTATCATGATCAAATCCATGCCGCTCATATTACTCCCGTATTAGACTCCTCTGCACGAAAACAATCTCTTGTTCCATCGTTGGTTTCATCCATACATGCCAACATGGCTTGTGCAGTTGTCAAGAAAAATCCAGATGTTAGAATCGTTGAGCTCTCCACAACGGATACACAGTCGTCAGAAGGATCAAAAGATATTTGCTACAAGGCAGATTGGTTGGACTAAATTGGCTTGCCGTGGCATTTTAATGATACAGAGTGAACACGCAATACTTGGCAGATATAGCCTATTTTAAACCGCTACTCCAAAGTGTATCTGGTTGATGCAAACTATTTGCTGATCAGATGCAACATAAAATTGAAATCAAATAAAGACAATGCACTTGATTGTAGAAAGCAAACCACAAACTGAAATTGTCGAGTTGAAAAGTGGTTTGAAAAGAGTAGGAACATATTTAACCATTCGCCCAACAACACTAAATGGTTCGAGTCAAACATACGTTTGGATCTTGATTTAAATGAAGCATTTCAACTTTGTTTTGAAAGTCAGTGGTATATCTTTTCAAATACTTTTCAAAAACCCAGTTTCACGCCTGCTTGATAGCAGCAAGTTGGTGACCGAGTGTAATGAGTGATTCCCCCATTCGCACATATCGGACTTTCCTGTAATGACATGACTTGGTTGCGTATATTCTTCAGCTGTTCATACAACTCTTAATAATCAGTAAGCTGAATGCACTCTTCAACCTGAGCAGAAAGATCATTGAAACAGTCGAATGTCTCGGCAAACTCTACAGTCTGCATCATGACAAGAATCCTTGTAATTGCAAAAAGTTTATTTTTGAAATTACATCTTTTCAAGAGTAACTACAATGCAATTACAATTGCTTCCCTCTTACATATCTCAAGCATTGCGTCATGTAGACGTAACTGAATATCGTCATTGAGCTCTCGAGGTAGTTTATAGGGACGTGATACTGACGTATTGAATTTTCAAAGGTTGTCTAGAGCAAGGTCTAGTTGGTGCTGTGGCTGTGTTTATAGACTTCAAAGACAATATAGTCATACAAAGATATAAACGAGATGATATACTATGTAAATCTTGCCTACAACAGGATACTGAAGGTTACTTTTGGAGCAGCTGTTTAATGCCACATTCCTATGTTACGGCACTAAGAATGGGGTAATCATTGTATCTGCCAAATCTCGACCATTATGGCTGTTGAAAAGTGAATGGCAGTCGATAATTATGCTTTTAATATAGAGTCTATTTCAGATACGATTGATAGTAGATTTGAACATAAAAGTGGCTGTAGTAGCTATGGACACAAAACAAAAGCCACCGCCAATGGGTTTCATATGCTGAGCCGTTGGCCGAGGTGTGTGAAATATATATGATCGGCGTGGTTTACTCATCCACCCAATCCTCCCGTCTGGACAGCACTCGAGATAGTCGTAATATTATTTACAGCCATTTTCCTACAACTTCGTATACAAAACTGAGCATTTGTTCTGGCGAGTGAATTGGCCAGTTATTAGCGACCCGCATTGCAATCACAATAAAAACAGCTGCATCAGCAAAGTTGTCAAGTCTTGAACTATTTTCGACATTCTATTCAATGACAACGATTTCTACATATTCTGATATGATGGAAAACCATACAGAACTTTCGAACCCATCAACTATTCCATCCAGTACTACTCTACCAATGATAAGTGATACGATTGCCAGCGTAATGGCATACGCTATTGCAAAACCTGTTCACCACCTTGAAGAAAGCCACACACGCAGTAATCCAAGCCTGCATATCTCTGAATCATTGACTGGTTTGTCCAATCATACTATGGATAATGCAGACTCGAAACAGCCGTACAATATATCTGCAACTAGTACAGAAATCGACAATCCTCATCAACCGTCTATGGATGGTATGCCCCATCATTTGACACAGTGGTCTCAGCCGCCACGCGTCCAGCCACAATCGCTGGGTCAGATGCATACCAACAACCAGCAGCCAGCTAGTCTGAATTTAAATAGTAAGAACCTGAGCAGAGCCAGCACGATGAACTTGAATACTGGCGTTTCCAGTAGTGATACCCATATCAAACTACTTCATCCACAGTTGAATTCTGCAAGCAGTAGTCTCTACAGAGATGGTAGCATGCTCCGACAGCAACAGCAGTCCAAGGGATCTTTTGCTCAATTGGCAGCAGAAAGTGCAAAGCGTTTGCAGCAAAAGAAATCAAAATCATCAGTAATCTCATCAGCATCGGCAGTTCAACATTTAAGATCACCATCGCCAGCTTTATCTTGGGCCTCGTCCCATTCACATGCTTCTAGCAAGTTCGATCCTACCTCGTCTCAGAATCAATCGCCCTATATCACACCTGCCGTGACACATCTTGATGTACCTTTTTCGACTGACAATAGTGGCTGGTACGATCCAAGCACATCTACACATCCGTCCCAGCCACATATAGGCTCTGTTCTTCCTAATACCACAACTGCCACTTCAAATTCGACAGATGCCCCTAATGCGATGAATACTGCAATTAGTCAAGCCTCACTACACCAAACTCGCATCAAATCCAATGCCCGCCAATCGCTTCCTATCAACGTCATTCCGCCACGAAAAGATTCGGCAGATTTAGATTCAGCTAATCCATTGAACCAAGCAGCCCCTCTACTGACTTCTGACAATATTATGCATCAGCAGTCTAGCAAACCTGATGATTTTACTGATATCCCAGCGGAGGTTGGTACAGCACGATCGCTCCAAAGATATGGATCATCCACCATGTGGTCTTCTACTACTGGCCGTAAACCCGTTCGCTCTCCATTCTCCAAAGAACATAATAATGTTATTTTTTCGGGGTTCTTGTGGAAATGCAATCGTTTTGGCAAGTTTCAACAAAGAATATGTCGCTTTGATGGGGGTATCTTTGTATCACTTTCTTCGAACCTTTCTTCAACTACCCCTAAAGGTGTTCCAGTGCATGAATACGACCCTATCGACTCTCCGGCAGAAACAGTCAATACTAATTTTTCCAATGCACTTCGAACAGGATACCCATACGGCTGTCCAGTTCCGGCATTAACAATGGGTCTGATTGCTGGTCCAGTCGGTAGATTCAATCCCTCGCCAGATATTCAAGCACGCGCCTATTCCGCACCCAAATGGGTCATTGCTGTCCAGGACATGCATCAAATCCGACAATGGGATCCATTGTCCCGCAATACCAAATCTGCAGAGTCTCGTACATTTACTATTGTCACAACCAGCCATGATGAGTATACATTTAGAGCAAAGACATTGTCAGAATGCAGGCAATGGGTGTTTTTATTGTCCAAAATTATTATTTCAGAGCAGTCAAAACCAACACTGTTTCCTAAACTTGAATCTTCTGTCATATCTGTTACAACCTCGGTCCGCGAGTCTGAAGATGAGATCTCTGACTCTTCAGAGCCTTTAATTGGAGCTAGCAACGGCAATATTCACAATACCACAAATACTGCCTTTGACGCTCGGCATTGGAGTAGTACGGCAGCAACACAGTATCAGTTTGCTATGATGAGAGTGTATGCATCGCGACTGGAGAGCTGGAAGAAAATGCTGTATGCAATCGCTATCCAAGAGTCAAGTGCTATTAAACACATTACATCTATTCAATGCTCACCAGTGAATGGTATACAGGCGTTTCAGGGAACTATCACGGACATGCCTGAGCTTCCAAAGCTATCGAAACAGTCTAAAGAAACGTTGCAAACCGAACTTTTGCCTACAAGTTCTCGATCGCAGAATGACATGGCAGTCACTACTGATAGCTTCCCATCTGTAGTTCGTTTTGATATGACTCCAGTGGAAATATCTACCAAGCCATCTTCCATATTAGAGCCCTCGAACGCCGATCAGTATATATTTAGTGATGAGGATGATGATGATGTGGACGATGCTGGGTTTGGCAATACATCTCAGCTTCATTCTGACCATCGCAGGTCATTTTCTAATATAAATACGAATAATTTAAATCATCCACCTGTTCCTACTGTCCCCGCTCATCTGCGATCAATCGAGCCAATACCTGTTGCTATATCTGCTGCTACTTTAGTTTCTCCTGCCGCTTCTACTCAGCTGCCAACGGATGAGCTAAATTCTTTTGCATCAACAAAAGCTGATACCAAATATACCACTTCATCTGATTCCGAGTCAAGTCTTCGGATCAATACGACTGCTCAAATGTTGGTAAACTCGTCAACACCGGCATCTATACTGTTATCAGCAGACCAGCTCGTATCTGAGAGTACATGCACAGATACAATTTCAGATACATCTGGTGATCATCGCATGTCTATCGCTTCATCTACTCCGTTTGGTAGCGCTCCTTTATCTGCACAACGTCATTCACATCTTGCTGCTCTTGAAAACAAACCAGATCTTCCAACGGATCGTCAATTAGTTGCTGACTCTATTTCAAGTCAAAGCACTAATCATGTTGTAGATCATACTAAAAAAGCTTCTGATTTGCTTCAATCTGAGATTCACCAGGAGGAATATCCTATCTTGGAAAAGTATGCTGATAACGGAGAGGATGGTGATTCTGATGGTGTTGTCATTATCGAAACTCTGGAATACGACTGTACAATTTCTAGTGATGGTACTAGGATGGAAGATGCATTTACTGACGAGGAGAGTAGAAGTAGCGCATTTTTTTCAAAACAGTCTGATGCTGCTTTGGCAGAACATGCGTTTTCAAATGAAACTGGCAACATAACACCCATAGATTCCGAGACAGCACTTGTTGTTTACGAGGGAACAGTATCTACTACTACGCCCATCAGATTCAGGCCGCGTAGCACTTCTCTCCGGCGTGCCTATCGGCATTTGCTAAAGAAAAAATTAAGCAACGAGCATGTCGATCATATTCCATTAGCCGAGAATTCCACTGATAGTACAATTCCCAATGCACAGGAGAATGCAGCTGTAATTCCATCATCCACTATGGCTGAAAACAGCACTTTTCAATATGCCGCTCTAGAAATGGAGCTGTATACAATTGGACGAATCCCTCCAGCAGAGGCAGTACTAGATCCCAGTTCTGTAGATATTCTAAAAAATATTAAAGTGTCTCGAACAAACCAAAAACATAGTCATATTAACTTGGCTGAAAGCATATCTCCAAGTGTAATCGCACCTCCGCGAACATCTTCAATGAAACGGAATATTTCAAGCAAAGCACTTTCTAGCGTCCCTACTGATGTACCTTTACTTGACAGACAAGTCCAACCTTCTACTTCTGTACTTGCATCCTCACAGATCAAGACTGATGCTTCTCGACAGCAACAAGAGTACAGAAGTAGATCTCCACCAAAGGTTGAACCATCACTTGATGGTGTCAACCATGCTTGCAAAGCTACGATACGTCTTTTAGATAGTTTGGCAGTGGGTGCGACATCCATTGAACCGTTTTTCATCCGTGAGTTTGCCGCAATCGCTATACCACATCACCATCTGATGTTGCGTTCATTTGCTTTTACACATCTTAATGAAGAAGTGCCCGTGTTTTGTTTGCGCTATCCAAAACATGCACCAGAGATTACTCATCGCGCAGAACTACTCAACAGAGCACTGGCAGAGTTTGACGGTATTATGCATGCCTGGAATACATGTGTTGTTATTCCTTTAATTAAAGACCAAGGGATTGACGATGCAATTGATCCAGAAGTTGCACTGACTTTGAGAGGAGAAGGAAAAACAGATGCAGTTCTGGTTACTGCACTTCGATACGTTATACGAGATATTCATGCATATTTTAATACTTGATATGTTTTATTATTTCTGCTATGATTTAATTTCCTACGCCTAAACTACTTGTGAATAAATGTTGCAGTAGCAGATGTTTGAATCCGTTTGCATAGTAGTATCAATTCAGATTAAAATAGATTGCTAACACCATGCAGAGCAGATCAGTAATGTTGATAGTCGTAATTCTCTCTTTGAGCTCCACTCCCATACTGAGAATTTGAACTGCGATATGGTCTAGATCTATCTTGCCTCTGATATCGACTGTCCCTATCGTAATAGCTGTGGTTGCTCTGACTATACGACCGGCTTCGACTTTCATCCTCTCGTTTTGATGCAAGCTAAAAATTAAAATGATAAAATTACTAAACAAGCATATAATATACATAATCAGAACTGTTTCAAATCAATCGCAATTTAAATGTTTTGATAGCATACTGGTTTTTCAACAGCGTCGAGATTTGGAAGCTTCCATGCATTCAAACACTGATCACGAATTTGTATCTGATCAAAAGGTAGTGGCGTTACAACTCCAGGTTGTCCAGTATATTTGAGTAATTCCAAAATGGCTTCCCGTTGCTTTACAGCCATTCTAATATCATTCAATAACGTATTGTAAATACCATATTAATGATGAGTTGAGTTTCGTGTATAAGAGCGTAGTCCTTGGATTCATCATAGAGCCTTCTTCAAATTATACCATACTTCATATTCAATGCCTGAATGTAATCAACAAATGTCTCGTCGCTCAATACCCAGTCTCGATTCAAAATGTCTGATACTTGCTGCAGTCCCAATGCAGCCTTGTTTTCGGTATCAGGCTCAGGTTGACGAGAGCTGTAAGCACGATCAGCACTAGATTTGAGCAGATCAAACTTTGAATTGCATTCAAAAAGATGAGCAATAAGTGGGGATGGGAACGAAAGCTCGAGGTTTTCGCAAATAATGTACCTGAATTTAGATTTGGTATTTGTTAGATGTGTCTTGCTAGTTGTTTAAAATCCAACGTGGGCTGACGTTTACTTTTTCACAACTAACACCAGAAATAGCTAGCAAAACATTTAAACATGCTTATAGTAGATACCTCTCAGCGTCTGCTGGTCTGCTAGCCAGTGGTTTTAAAATAGCGATCTTGGAAAAGTGCAAATGTAAAATATACAATAGCTCTCCAGATAGTGGTGTAACTAAATCGAAGCATTTTAATAAAAATGTCCCTCCTTGATCACAAAAAATGGCATTAGTTATCAACAAATCAAAATTCCTATTGCAAGTATTACTCTATATGGATAACCAAAACTGTACCTTGCTTTAGAATATGGAACATGGAAAGAATTTGACATAGCATGCGTTGGTGTGAATGATTTTCTAGATGCATGCCATCGTGCATGGTATCGAGTTCTCCATCAGCAAGTACTAAATCAACTCCGCGACCATTCGTGGCTTTCATGACATGATCAGCAAAGGCCTTAATATTTTCCGAGTTGCAGATATCACCCGACCCATCAATACCGTACACTGCTTCAAAATCTAGCTGTGGAAAAGCACCGGGCGGAACAATCATTTTTTTGAACATATAATCCTTCTCGCCGCGCAAAGTCATCCCCCATCCACGTGCTGGCTGACGCATAAGCTGTTTGCGCCAAAGAAGATACTCTGTAAACCCTCCATATTCAGAGCAAAAATCTGCAAATTCTATACCATAGTCATTTTGCGTCTTTTGATCGATGTTGGAGAAATTAAATTGTGCATCTAAACTGGCAAGTTTTACAGCCGAGCTGTCGATAAAAACCGACTTTCCTACAAGCTCGTATGGATTGGCAGCATCACGACCTTTTATCAAGGCATCTTTTGGAAGTTCTGCAAGTGATTTCTAATAATTGATGATAATAGCAAAGCCAAAATGCCATAACAATTGAGTTGACAAGCTGATCAAATCAATGAATATAAAATACACCTATAAAATTACCTTTGCAGTTAGTAGTTGTTCAACCAAATCTGAATAGCACAGAACGTTGTAATCGACTGGCATGGCCTACATTGCCAACAGAAAATAAACTTGGAATCAACAAGACATCAGAAATGGAAATTCAACCTCAATCATTACATCAAAGATAGTGTCAATACCTCTTGCACAATGATATCAGCATGGTTCATCCATGAATTAGCTGATCTTGACTTGGCTCCTCTTATAAGCCAAGAAACAGGAGTCTCGTATCGCACTTTGACATCATTGCGAAACAGTTTTGAAGAATGAGACTGACGACTATCAGAATCAAGTGATGAATGGCTGCTTGATGGCGCATAAGAAGATTTCTGAGCATAAGGATGACTTTTATATCGAGTGGATTGATGGGAATTCGTGGTGCGTTGATAGTTTGAGTTATGGTTTCTATCTACCATGGCACGCAATTCAAAGATGTTTGGTGGAGGAATATCAGATACAAGCTTTGTTTGGTGATACTGCTCAGTATCATAAAGCAACTGAGCAACATCCACCAATGATTCCATCGACATGTTGAATCTTTGATATTTCAAGTTATTTCAAGTTATGTTTTCTGGCGAGTCAATTCTACAAGTATATATCACGTGCTAAAACTCAAATCTGGATTATTATTGGCTACAGCTGTTCATGTAAAAACACTATCTTGCAGTGCTCTTTTGCTTCAGAATCGCCAATGATTCAATATTATTTACAATTTTATACTATAAATTGACTTGAAAACACTGCGTCAATTTCAGATGTGCTATTTCAGACATGTTTTTGACAATATCGCCTTGATCATATCAATGCAGGTCAACTAAACATGCTGTAATACTGAGTTTTAAAATTTCCAGTAGATTGATAGTTGATGCAGCTTGTTATTTCCAAACATGTAGCAGCAATAACTCGGTTTAAATTTGCAGTTTTTTGTGGGCAAATTTGAATTGATTCTTTTCTTATTTTTAATTACTTCAAGGTGTTTGGCGATATCTTTAAACTGGCATCTTTCAGCTACTGATCAAGAATGAACTTGTTGAAGATCGACGGTCTAGTTACCCGGCTGCCATTCCCTGTTTATGTGTCTTTCAAGAATGGTCTGGCAACACATGCCAAATTGCCAACTCGGATTGCCTATTCGACTTTTTTAAAAAACAATGACAATACACCAGACACTCAAAATACCAAAACACCATCAGACAGTTTGCCAAAAGTGACACTACATCAAGTACGCAAACGGGGGAATTCAAATCGATATAATACAATCAAATTGGCGGGACCAATAAGCTCGTTTAATCCACAGACACTCTTGGACGAAAGCCAGGTTTCTCCAGTATCGCGATCGGCCCAAGATGCTAATGCATATCCCTCGACTAGTAGAGCTTGGACATCTCCAAAAATGTGGATGAAATCAGTTGATAGCGTTGATATTATCAATCGGTCGATTCAGCAGAATGATAATGCAGATAGCGATTTAGCTGGTGATCATACAGGACGCACGCATAATCAAGCTATTCGATCATACTCGAACAAAAAGAAATCCTCATCTTCGAGCACTACCATATCAACTATACAAAAAGATTGGGATGTTGGTCTCTTGACTGCTCCATCCACAGGAAAAATTGATCCGGCATTCTCTAGACTTGAAGCTGGCCTGCTGCCACATGGCACTACATCAGACTCGAACAAATCTAAACTTGCACCAATCAAAGATATCAAGAATGATTTCAATGACACTATTGGAGATAAATCTAAAAATGGTATTAGTGCATGGGTAAAGCCTGAAAAACAAACTGCATCGTCAGGCACCATACCCATATCTTTTATGTTGGATTGCATCAAGCATTCACCCGATCAACTTCCATATCTTTCTAGTGATGCAGTGTGGGCCATGTTCAATCGCATAAAGCAAGCCTTTTTAATCAAAGAACTAAGTATTCACGATTGGCACAAGCTTTTTGCAAGGATTGTAGACATGTCGGCTTCATTCAATGATAATCCAGATCCTAAAGAATTTCAGCGAGCCATTATTTTGCTACAAGAAATGAAACAATGTGGTTTATGTCCAGATGCATTTGTATACGGATGCATGTATCGAGCCACTCGTGATCGTATTAACATGGTACTGATGATTCACCAGCAAGCCGTTAGCGATCTAGCACGATTCAAACGTCAAGGATTGGTTGTCAAGGCTCATGATATTCCTGCCGATTATCCACTTTCCAACAAATCGATTCGCACTTTGTTGGCCGTGCTGCTGCGACAAAAAAGGAAGGCTCGTACTCATTCTAATGCAATTTATCAGCTCTACGAAAATGTAATTGATACTCCAATACTGATGACAACTGATACATATCTTGGATTTCTTAAAGCGTTTACGGACCTTGAAGACAAGACCATGGTTGAGCGTATTCACCACTTTTTAGCAACGCGTGCAAAAATGACTGGTGATCTAAACATTCAGGCATATGAAGGAATCATGTTTGCTCATTTGAAAATGAAAAACTTTAGAGCAGTTCGACGCCAAATGGAAACGATTCTTGAAAAAAAGTCAATCAAACCTCGATCGTAAGTTGATTTGTTATTTTTATGACTGTTTTGGCACGCAAATAAGATTGATAGATGAGTTGTACTTTAACATTTTATTAAAATGTATAACCATAACAGTGCAACATACCGGTTAGCTTTACAAGCATACGAGCAGCTTCAAGACTATGCATCTATATATACTACAGATGCTTTGATGAGACGGTTTAACGTTCCTATAGATTCCGAGATTTACTCTATTCTTCTTAGAACGGCATTAACTCAAACTGACAGTCTAGACAGAATCAAAAGTCTACACAAGCGAATCAATTCACATATGAAAACTAGTTTTGAAACGTTGACTTCTAAGTCGAGTTCAGTCAAGGATCAAACTATATCTGAAACTTCAAGCCCACTCTCATATACAGTATATGAACCTCTTTTAGAAGCATACGCTGCAGTAGGTTCATGGGACGATGTTCAAAAAGTATTCAATCAAATGATTAAAGTAAGATCTATTGCTGTTTCCAGAAAAAACAAAGAGCAAGGATTTCCTAGCACGACTGCTGCATTTATTGAATTTTCTAGACCCAATGACATATGGAGACTATCTAAACATGTACGCGAGGAAACTCAACAGCAAAGACCTACTCTTGCTTCAACTTCGCTTTCAGAAAATGTTGATGGTAGCACTGACACAAAGCCCATGCTCATTTCAGAAACTGTGACAACACAGCCAAACAGCAAACCTTTGAATGAACCATCAACTGTGCACAACAGGCTTACTAGTCAAGATTTTCGCAAGTTTTTCCCACCTGAGCCGTCACGACGATCGTTGCGTGCTGTTGTCTCTCACCTTGCTACCAAGCTGGATGCTATTCAACTGAAAGAGTTTTTTTTGAAACATGTTTTGACCAAAGATCGTCTAGGATTATATGCCATGCATCGTCTTTTTTCTCAAGCCGAAAAGATTAAAGAACTAGTAGCTTTGTCGCAAACACAAATTAAAAAAGTAAAGACGGAGATGCCAAACATACCTACACCCAGTCAATCTAAAGGCTCATTTGGTGAGGGTCGACGTCGAAGAAAACTAATTACCGAACATAATAATAAGATTCGCGAGCTCAAGAAAAATATACTGTGGGCGTCAAAGCGGATTAATCGAGGAATACCTATTGATGTTGGATTTAACGGACCGCTTGTGTCAGTATATACAGCGATGAACGATGCATGGCGTGCCGCTACTGATGCACGTATTGCCTCTGTACCTAAAACAAGCAAGCAATCTGGTGATGCAAATGAAGTGGATGATACATCCATGAATACTGCAGAAAATAATGTACTTTGTTCTGACTTGAAAGGTGAGCTACTGATGCAGATGGAGCATCTGTTGACTGAATTGCAGAAAATTGAGGAAGAAACAGTTTTTGCATGTGGATTCCGTGGTCTTAGACCATCCAAGAAATCTGCTGGCGCTTCGTCTAAAGATGAAAATATACTGGGTGACGACTTTGAAATCGAGTTTATTGATGATGACGAACCACCAGAACACGATGCTATACCAATGACGCCTTTGACAGAGTCGCATGCACACATTTCTGAAGGGTTTTTGGTTCAAAACCAGCATGACCAAAAGTCGACTACCCAAGTCAAGATCACAAACTCAAGCAAGTCGACTATACAGGGAAAAAGCAGCGATATCTTATTTTGGGAAAATGAATAATAATGCATACTTTTAGTAGAATGATGTGCATGATCGTTTGTTGAACGGGCATAGGTTTGCACGAGATTAATATATTTGGAATACACCCACATTAAAGGCTGGTGAACCACCACATGGCCCAAACTCCGCTACAAAAGGTTCTGTAAAAACATACTATTAAAAATACGGGTCTTTAACCAACCACCATAGTCGGAAAAAGAAAGCTCTCTCAATCATAATTTGGACTGCTTGTCACATGGCCTTTTTGAGATTTGCTAATAGTTATGCTGACATGGTTTAAAAGTAGAACTGTTTGTTGCCTATCGTTGAGTACATTAACCTCGGTCGTATTTACGATTTAAATCTACAGTAAACTGAAAATCCACATATAATCTGATTTAAATTGAAATCAAGTGCATCTTACAAAATGAAACTGCCCACTCTTTGGAAAAAGAAAAGTAAACTGGTAAACACCGCTGCTGGCGAAAGTGAATCGCACTCCACCCACATTGACAGCCAGATCTGCAGTAATTGCTCGGTTGACAACGACTATGCTCATCACCATCCATGTCACCATAAGAACCATTGTCCGCACACTATGCCACAAAGTCCAAGTTCAACCAAAACTCCAATCGTTCATAGCAACTCACCTAGACGCACCCTATACAGTGAATACGACGATTTGGAATGTTTCACCAAGCATCCCTGTCTGGGAGAAGTGCAGACAGCCTCACACTCTAACCTTTCAAGCCGTTTACACTCATTACCACATTCACCCATAAGCTATTGCGGGTCTTGCTCTCAAACTCAACCTTTTGTACTTTTACAAAAGCCCATTACTTGCAGTTGCGTCGCGACTCTTGTAGATCTGAACGACCAAGTCATCGACATTGGACCTTCTGATTCTGCTTGCAGCATTGCCGCATCCAACCCGTCTATTCAAACCAACATCCTTGGTTCTGATTTAAAATCTACAAACTTAATACAGGGACCTCTGTCTCAAGCCGACGAAAAGTCGGAGATTTGGAATGGCCAGGTTCTCTCTTTCAAGTCAACAGATACAGATGTTTTATCATATCGGCTTTGCGATCACACTACTGTTACACTAAGTAGACAGTTTAGCATGAATCAAACCAAGAGTGTACGGAGCACACCGGATTTAATATCCTCACCAAAGCACTCGAATGTGCAGCATTGGTGCAATCAAGACTCGGATGACAACTTTTATGCTAAATCTAATGATACCGCTGTCGATCCTCCGGTTCAATCTAATCATACTTTTATTTCAAGGCGAAAGAGTTTTTTCAAAGGATTGTTGGACTCCAACACAGAGCCTAAACGCACGGTACGACCAAAATTGAATAGCGAACCTAAGCCATCGCGCTGGACATTGGCTGATGATCAAAAGGTACTTTATTAAAATAGACAACGCTTTTGGTAACAGCTATGTATCTAAAAGTAATATATCTGCAAAGGTAAAGGATGTAGGGAACGATCTCAATTTTAAAAAGACAACCAAGACTACCGAGTCTAGCATTCCAAAACCGACATCGAAAATAGCAAACTCGCTTTTTCAATGGTCTAAAAACCCATTTTCTTGGCTGAAATCTCATTCCAGCTGGTGGCAGGCCAACTCGACACGATCCCCTTTTTGTGCCAACACAGGCCCCGCACCAACCAAAGTATATAAAAGCTCATTTTCAAGCACTCAGCAGGATCCTTTGCCAGACACTCAACCATCTACACCTTTCTGCGATGTAGCGGAGGAAGTCAACACCGACTCGCATAAACTCAGCCATCACACTTCTAGCATGGTGCAGCCTATTCCAGCTCGTAATTATGAACACGGTCTTCATGTTCCGTCCATTGGCACAACTCCCAGGAACAATCTTTCCAATACTGAGAGTAGATCACATCATCAATTTGTTGGATTTAATCAGAAAACTAGCGTGTTGGAAATGATGGAACAACTGGCCGATAATCAATCAATGAATGAAAAGAAACTCCGCAGAGGCAGTTTCCAAAGTAAAGGAGCGGAAATAATAGCCAAATCCGGACTTGCTGGATTTGCTGCTTCTGCTATGGCGGCAGCAGCAGCAACTGCAACTGCCACCGCTTCTCGATGAATGCAGATAGATACTTTTCGGATTACACTTGTCAAGGCTACGCTTACATGTATGATTTACCATACTTTTTCGATTTCTCGACATTGTAATGAAACCTGTTGCTGTTGTTATAAAATACATGTATTGACCGCAAATCCATATACAAGTGCATAGCTCAATATAAAACTAGACTGATTTACCGGCTTTGGATTAACGATCCTGCCTACATTGTAGTCGTCTTTACGTAAAACGGAGCACTTGCAATTACTATTGCTTTCAAATAAATAATGATTGAATACTCACATTGGAAATTGACTTTAGACACTCTCAATTCTTGAACGCAACGATCATTATATGATACAATCAAACGGTGCCTTGAACTGAGATTCTCTTTTTCTCATTTAGCACATTCATGCATTGCAATCCAAACATGAGTT